TTCGATAATCGTTGAACAGAATACTTGTCGGAAAATATCCACCTTTAAATCCTAGAAGAATTAGTAATTCTTCGCTATTTTAATATAAAATAACGTCGTTTTAAAGTAGTCTTTAACCCTATAGGGATCTTCTTCTTTAATAAGCGTTTAATAAGTTTAAATCGGCGGACTCGACAAATTGTTAACCTAGAAGGATAACTAGGTAAGCAGGCTGATAGCTATTTATAGGTCTAAAAAGGATGCCGGCGAGCTTGCAAATATAGAAAGGTGCAATCACGACTACTAAGCTTCCTAGGCCTACCAGATCTAGGCGCTAAATTAACTATATATTATTATGTAAAGCGTTGAATAGTATTATATATCGTCTTCGGATCGTATACAAAATCACGTGCTAGCTATGCTCTAGATATACTATTATTAGTAGTATATACTATTACTAAACGCTAGTTAGGGGTAAGCTTACCTTTTTTTCTTCGCTTTTTCGTAGTTTCTACTAGGCTATCTGGTACTTTGAGGTTGTAGGAAGAAGAAAAAAAAATAGGGTTAATAGTTAATATAGTAATAGAAAGTAGGGTCGGGAAAAACTTTTAAAAAGCTACTATATATTTATTTCCGCTTTGCTCGCGAGCGTCTTAAAATAGAATAGATTAGTAGTAAAAAGAAGTAAGGATCTTAATATATATATACTAAATAGTAAGTAAATACTTATAGGATCTATCTAGATTCTAATTACTATTAATTTATAGTAAGAAGTTATAAAAGCCTAGATTTTAACCCTGTCTAACTATAAAATTATCCTTAGTAAAGACTTCCTATAAAAAGAAAAGCTATAAATTAATTAGACTATATTAGTTATAAAAATCCGTAATTTAAACTATATATATATATCGTCTAACCTTCCTATTAGACCTAGATAGAAGACCTTAAGCTATAACTTTACCTAATTAGTACTAAGTAAACCTATGACTCTAGGAAGAAAGTAAATAGAGTTAATACTATATATTATTAGAGTAAAGAGATAGAACTATCCTCTTAGTAAAAATACTTCGCTAATATATATAGATCTAAAGATTTAGAAGATTTTAGATTAGTTTAGAGATATTTTTAGAGACTTCTTATCTAAATTACTTCTACTAGAATAAATAATTATATATAATATTAATATAGAGAATATACTACTAGTTAATATTAGTATATATCCTCTATTAGATAAGAAATAGAAAGAATAGGCTATATAAATAGAAGATCTACTCTAAAAAAGACTTATTTATATATCTACTAGGACTTAGGGATTTCTAGTTATTTTTATAAAGAAATAAAATAGAAAATAATATATATATATATTAATTATCGCGTACTTAATCGCCTAATAGTTAAAAATAGATATCTATTACCGCGTATTTAAGAACTCTTTAACTTAGTTAGAACTATATAGATTATAATAAAGATTAACCTTATATCTAGATATTAGTAGATCTAAATAGAAGAGAAATTAATTAATAATACTATATTTAATACTACTTGGGGTAAATTTAAATTAACTTTTATAGATATATTATTAGAAATAGGTAAGTTAAGCTAATACTAGCTAAAGTTACTACTATTTAGAACTAGCTATACCCTATAAACATATATAAAGTTCGCTAATTTATAGGACTTATAACCTATTACTAATAATTTATAAAGTGATTTACCTGAATTTATATACCCTTATATAAATTATTTAAAGAAACTAATATAGAGATAAAGACGTAAAAGGTTTACCTAATTTAGTAGATAATTATATATAAAAGCGCGTTCTAAAGGCTAAAAGAACTCTTAATATTAGCGCTAGTCCTAGTATAGCTAAACTAAATAGAACCTTTTATTATTAAAATATATATCTAAATAGATAATTAGAATAGTTCTATTATAAATAGGAGAAGATAGAAAACTATACTCTATCGTATTTAATAGTAAGAAACTTTTAGGTATAGAATTAAAATTCCTATATATAAAAAGGAGTTATTAGTAATAAAAGAAGCCTTATAGGTATAGGATTAGTATATTAAATATAGAACCTAGACTATAATTATTACTAATTACTAAAGTTTATAGTATCTCTAGATAATAAAGACCTATAGTAAGTAATTAGCTTACTAGGTTAGCGAAATTCTAGGAGTATAACCTGAAGATTTAATATTAGAAAGGATTAGATACTATTATACCTAATATAATTAGTCGCTAGCTAGATTTTATTAAGGATAGCCTAGCTAATTACGTATAATTACGCCTAATTTAGGACGCTTCCCTAGATACGATAATAATAGTCTTCTAAACTATTATAAATATCCCTAAGAAGGAATAGTTAGCTACAACTATACGCTTCTTAGAAGAAGGTAAAGTATTAATAGAGAATTAGATAGCGAAAACTATAGATAAATTTATAAAAATTTAAGTATTTAAGACTAAGAGATTTCTAGAGGGGTCGGACTATACTAGCTACCTATAATTATAACTAAATAGTAACTATTCTTTACCTACGAAGATAGGACTTATATACTATTTTTAGAGCCTATAGAGACCTAATTAAACGCCTATATAAGGAATTTAGTTATATTAGCTTTCTAGGCCTAAAAAGGGTTCTATACCCGCGCGCGTAGTAGCTATAATTATGAATAGATATTAAAAAGGTTACCTACGCGTATCTAAATTACTAAATATTATAGCACTTACGGAAAGGTTAGAATAAGAGGCTATCTAGTATATAGTAATAGCTAGAAACTATTCTAATATTAGGGAATCGACCTTATTAGATATTTACTAATAATACTAAATAGAAATAGGTAGATTATAATAGTAATTAATAACGTAACTAGTTAGCTAGTTATAACGTGTTTCACTAGTATTCCGCGCACCCTATCCAAAACGCGTATCCTACGCGTCACCTACTATCTTCCACTATACACTATGCCACCAAAACGTTCTGAAAAACGCTCAAAATCACCCGATAGGGAGGGTAGGATCCTATTAGCAATTGCTGCTATTCAAAAGGATCCTACCCTATCTATACGTAAAGCAGCAAGGATTTATAGCGTGCTAGAAAGCACGCTTCGCGAACGTATGAAAGGAGTACTAAATCAATAGGAAAAACGATTATCTTTGAATAAGCTTACACAAGAAGAAGAAGATTCGCTTTGCTAGTGGATCCTATTACTAGATACGCGTGGAGCTTTCCCTAGGCCTTCAGCAATTGCTAGTATAGCGAATCTTCTACTAGTAGCGCGTAGTAATATCTTCCCTCCTCTTCTACCTCCTACTATAGGTATTAACTAGGTAATACGCTATATTAAACGTCGATCTAAGCTTTATACCCGATTCTCTATACGCTACGACTATTAACGTGCGCAAAACAAAGATCCTACTAGCCTACGCGCGTAGTTTAGGCTAGTAGAGCGTACGATTTATAAAAACGGGATCCTTCCTAACGATATCTATAACTTTAATAAAATAGGCTTTACAATAGGCTTAATATCTACTACTAGAATCGTTACACGGAAGGATATATACGGTCGGAAGCCTCTACTATAACCTAGAAATCGGGAGTAGGTAATAGTAATTGAATCTATATCGGCTGCCGGCTTCTCGCTTCCGCTATATATAATATTCAAAGGGAAGGTTTATATTGCTAGCTAGTTTAATAACCTTCCTAGCAACTAGCGATTCGAAATATTACCGAACGGTTAGACTACCGACGATATAGGCCTACGCTAGCTAGAAAAGCTCTTTATTCTAGCAACTACTAGTTATATGTAAGGTAAATATCGCTTATTAATATTAGACGGTTATAGAAGCTATCTAACACTATAATTCGACTAAATCTGCTAGCAAAATAACGTTATACTACTCTATATACCGCCGTATTCGTTATATCTTCTATAGCTGCTAGATATAGGATATTTTGCTATCCTTAAACGCGTATATAGTCGCTTAATTAAGGCCTAAGCTCGCCTAGGATATAACTATATCGACAAGCTCGACTTCCTAGAATCCTATACCCTAGCACGCTAGGAAGCCTTCCTACCTAGCACTATACAATCAAGCTTCGCTAGCGCCGGCCTAGTTCTACTAGATACCGACCGAGTCCTATCGAAGCTTAATATATCGCTTCGAATACCTACACCTCCTACTACTACTAGTAGGCCTAGTAGTAGGAGTAGCGCTTTCGTGCCTACTACGCTACATACGATTAAGCAGCTTAGCAAGCAAGCTTTATCTATCAAAGCTCTACTACGCAAGCGCTCGCGGTCGCTAGGAAGCCCTACAGAAAGAGCGCTAGATTAATTAATTAAGGGGTGCTAATTAGCGATACATAACGGAGCGCTTCTAGCACAGGAAGCTAGGGATTTACGCTAATTCAACGAGAAGAAGCGTCAAAAACGCACATAGTCTACTCGCTAGATATCTAGGCAGCAAGGTTCTATAGTCGGCGAATCTATATCTCTAGTTTCAACGTTGCCAGCAAGCGTTGAAGCTATTCAAAACGATGATGCAGAGCTTCCTCAGCAGCCTACTAAGGGCGCTAAGCCTACTACTAAGCGTGTATTTCAATGTTCTGGATGTAGGAATATAGGGCACAAGATTACTCGGTGCCCTAGTAAATAGTTGAATTAAATATATGGCATTTTGGTGGAAAAATAGTGTTTTCAAAAAGTAGTGGTTGGTAGGGTGCGCAGCTCGCTTGTGGAATACGTTAAGTACTTTCTATCTTATTTAGCTCCCTTTATCTTATCTCGCTTCTAACTAGGAGCCATGATCCTCTCTATATCACTTGATCCTTTCCCTCCTGGAAAAATTCTTTATATATCAGATATTAGCTTTCTTCCTATCTTGCCGAGTATTCAAGGCCTTATTTAGCACGCAATCAACTGGCACCAAATCTCTTGATCTGGAGACATTTATCAAAAGTTTTATTTCATATTTATACAAGAAACCAGTGTGGGACCGCACAATAATGCCTTTCATTCTCTTTTAGCTATATGAGATCTCTTCGCGGTGATAATTTCAGAGAGCAGATTTGTATCTGATAGTGCCATCTTTGCAGCTTCATCCCCTGCTGCCGCCTTACTTGAACCCTGCCCAGAACCAAGATGGCGTTTTGTCCAGCCCCAGCCCGTTAGATAGACGCCCACGAAAAATGTCTGAGTCCCAGTGCCTCTTTGCTGAACCTGTGGACGCTCTTCTTGGTACTCCAGTTTGATGCCCTTTCCCATAATCTGCTGCGCCAGCGCCTCTTTCGAACGTAGCGTAACTTTCTCATTTACAAGGGGACTAAGCTTTGGTAGCCATAATGCAGTTAGCCACTCCTCTGCAACGCGATAACCACCTGTAGGACGGGAAAGAATGACAGCCGCTACATAAGCCTCGAAGATGTCGCCCTTTGTTTTGATCAGTCGTTTTGGCTGGGTTGAGTAGCTGATTGGCATCGAAGCCTTGCGGTCAAACCCATAGTTGTCTGCGAATGCGGCCAGCGTCTCATTTTTAACAAGAAGTTCTCGGATCTGTGAAATCCGGCCCGCGGGGATTCCGGGGAATGACCTCCAGACCAGCTTGGTTGCAATCAGTTCAATGTAAGCATCGCCGAGTATCTCAAGCCTGTCATAGTTGGCATCATAGGTACTGTTACAGGCCGAGTGGGTGAAGACTGCCTTTTCCAGCTGCTCATCCAAAATAGGCGGCAAGGCTGGAGCCGGAGCAGGAGCCGCATTTTTTCGTTCATCACGCAGACTAGCCTGCGGATCTTCAACAGTTCGGGATCGCTGGCCCTCCTGGTTGCGAAAGATATTGTCTAGCATGGAGATGGCTTGCATGATTTCCGGGTTGATTCCAGAGCGGTCCGTCGCAGTGATCATTTTCCGGACCAGCACCCTGAGATCCAACAATGACGGGTCGGTGCATGATGCATCAGTTGAACCATTATGTTCCATATCCGGCCGGTTTTGCCAATGTACGTGGTGTGTGGAGTTAGAGGCCTTCATTGGACAACATATGTAAGCTAAGTTCCAGTCAACGAGGGCACCTTCGGAGGGAATGGTGATCGATCTGCCGTAGCAAGAAAGATCCTCTTACCTTTGACCTCTTAGTCGGCTGGCCTGACTCGCCATCTCCTTGGGCGTTTGAGGACCGTTTGGAACCCATTATTTATCCCTATGATTCTTGTCTTTCCCCACCTTGCCGGGGCCGTGATGCGCAGATTCGGAGCTTGGGCGGGTCCGCAGTGGAAAAAAAACATAAGCGCACGTGACATCGATTCCGTGCGGAATGCCTTCCCAGATCCACTTCGTCTTCTCTTTCTCGAACACGGCCGGCTACGCGTGCAGTTTCCAGCAGGAAAGATGTCACAATCTCGGATACTTGATTTGGTCAAGGTGAGGAATTCTTTTCCATACCACACATCTTTAGCCAATCCCTACTAATGCTCTGGTAGACACAATGCCGTATCTTTTCCCTTAATTTCAACCCTCAACGACTGCGATTGGGTAACAAGATATTGCGGCAACGGTTACGAGGCCCAGCACTGTCCGCGTGGTACCCAAAGAAAACAGTTTCCTTCAAGTCCCTCCAGCTAGCATATAAGGACCTTGGCCTTACCACCTTCGATGAAGCCGAGGACGATCGTGAAGAGGCTATTCAAATGTTCGTATCCAGCATCAGTTATACACAACTCAGTATTGACCACTTGCTTTGTACAGCGCCAAACTGCGAGGAAAGGGACGGCCCAAAAAGAAGAGAACTGCTGCCGGTAAGGTTCCCTGATGACTCTAGACTTGTTCCTTACCAACCATTGTTCAGAATCGAGATCTGCGAAGAAGAAGAAATAAACGCCAACTCTCTGCCCTACAAACCCTCACACTTATCCCTGTTTTCCTTTCCTCCTATTATCTTGATCCGCTAAGACGCACTTCCATGAGGGATTGTCACCAAATGCCTTGAGCACCCTTTCCTGGATCCACCGCCCCACGATAGAAGTGATAAACGCTTGGACGACAAAGAACTGAGGTTGACTATCCCCTGTATTCTGCGTGAATTCCTCTCTGGCTCCCAAAGTGGTGGCTCAAATCCACCATATACCGCTTTTCGACTTGTACAATAGAACCAATATATCGAGTATTACATCATTCCATATAGTATCCTCTCACGGTGCAAGGTCGTCCTTTTTTGGTCCCTGAATCTAAATTTCCTGTATCCACTAGAACGAGGGAGAGATACCGATTCACTCCACTAAAGCAGATATGTATCATTACCTCTATCTCTCCCACTACCTCGACATCGACCAACTCTTTTCCTAGAGAGACCAGAGCATTCTTTCTATCCATGGAAATTCACCAGCCACCAGTCACACCGCTCACCTGGCAGCTAGGTGAAATGAATTTGAGACTTATTGTTCTAAACCCAGTATTCTCTCCCAGTAATTCACTAGTCACTTCCAATCATGAAATTCGTCCAGACGACAGTAATAGCAATAATACAAATGTGGCTCATGCGGATTGAAGGCGGTGGGGAGTCAGGCCAATCAAACCGAGCGTGGCTTGGCATTTGATCGGCTTCGACAACTTTCTCCAACCTCCCGCCTTGAATTTGGTTCAGACTTCCCGAGTCCAAAGGTACAACGGGGACTCAAACCGATCCGCCATGGCCGCCCCGTCATCGACCATGAAGCCCAGCAAGAATCAGCTTCGAAGGGCGCGCAAAAAGGCCCAGAAGGCCGAGGTGAGTCGATTTTTTCTCTTCATCACTACCAGATCTGCTCACAATTCACAGGCCGACAGCGCGCCCGCGCCCGCATCCGCGCCCGCGCCTGAGAAACCTCCCCAGGACTCTAGACCAGATGCATCGACCTCTTTGTCACCAATAAAAGACGCCGATGCACCCCATGTTATCGTCACCACCACCACCCCTGAGCTGGACGATCCATTGTGGGAAATCTATAAGGGCCTTGTGGCGAAATTTGACGAGGCAGCTAGTGAGAATTCTACAGGCAAAGAGGCCGAGAAACCGGAGGTTTTTTTCGACGATGAAGATGAAATTCCGGATGAGGATCAAGACATTGAGCCCAAAGTATCGAAGAAGAAACGAAAAGAACTGAACAAGTTGTCAGTGGCCGAGCTCAAGGCCTTGGTCCGTAAACCCGACATCGTGGAATGGACAGATACGTCTGCTCCCGACCCTCGCCTCCTGATTCATATCAAAGCCCATCGCAATGTGGTTCCGGTTCCCTCACATTGGTCCCTCAAGCGCGAGTATCTCTCGTCCAAAAGAGGAGTTGAAAAAGCGCCATTTGCCCTTCCAAAATTCATTCAGGAGACAGGAATTACTGAGATGCGCGATGCAGCCCTCGAAAAACAAGAACAATCCTCTTTGAAGCAGAAACAACGCGAAAGAGTTCAGCCTAAGATGGGTCGCCTCGATATCGACTACCAGAAACTCTACGAGGCCTTCTTCCGCTTTCAAACAAAGCCTGAGTTGACACGCTACGGAGAGATCTACTACGAAGGCAAGGAATATGAGACCAATCTAAAGCATCTCCGACCCGGTGATCTTAGTGAAGAACTGAGAGAGGCTCTTAATATGCCCCCCGGTGCCCCTCCGCCTTGGCTGATCAACCAGCAGCGATACGGTCCTCCGCCTTCGTATCCTGCCCTCAAGATCCCTGGTCTCAATGCACCTCCCCCCGCGGGGGCCATGTGGGGATATCACCCTGGAGGATATGGAAAACCGCCTGTTGATGAACATAATCGACCGCTCTATGGTGGCGATATCTTCGGCGTCTTACAGCCCCAGCAGAATGTCCAACAAGGAGAACCTGTCGAGAAAGAGCTTTGGGGCGAACTGCAGGCATCAGAAAATGAGGAGGAGAGCGAAGAGGAAGAGGACGAAGACGAAGAAGACGAGGAGGAAGAAGACATTGAAACTGGGACGCACTCTCCAAGCGGCTTAGCCACCCCTAGCGGTGTAGCATCAGCTATTCCCTCCGAGTTTGGAGGAACTGAGAGTGTACCAGGCGAATTCGATGTGCGAAAGCATCGCGGAACGGAGACCGAGGAGAACATTCATCCTCGTAGTGCTTATCAAGTGATCCCGGAGAAGCAGACCAGCGTCCAAGGATTCTTTGGGGGTGATCGTGCATATGACCTCAGCTCGTCCTCTATTCAACATCCCGTTCTTGGCGTTGATGACCAAAATCGAAAACGCAAGAAGCCCGGTGATGTGGAAGTGTCTGTCGACCTGGATGTGATTCAGTCCGGGGATGGGCTGAGCAAAGAGAATCTCCAGGATTTGTACGAGAGCCAGAGACAACAGCAGAATCAGCCACAGTGGGGATTCCAGGAAGATCTCAGTGACATGATTGCGCAGGAGAGTCGGAAAAGGTTACGCAAAGAAGAAGAACGACGAGGTAAGCGTTGACCTGGTCTCTTCCGTCATGGAATTCTTGACTTGAAGCTCTTACTTCAAGTTCCTGTACTTTATGACTTAATCTGGTTGCTTTCTGTTGTACTTGTTGGTCTTCACTAGCGAATCTCTAAGAGTCTGAAATGGGACCTCGTTATACCCGGGTTCGCCAGTGATATGCTCTTTACCTTGTTTTCTCCTTTGAAAAGCCTCTTTCAAAAGCTATAATTCTTCTCAAACCCCAATCCATCCAAGAAGATCTCTCAATGGACTGAAAGAGGATTTATAGAGTAAATTTATAGATTATTTGAGATGGACTGGGCGGCTTCAATGCTTGCTGGGTAACGGTCTTATCCAAAAGCGGTTTAGTCTCCGCTGGTGGTGTCTGATCTCCGTTGGTTCCTTGCCTGTTCGCCGCAACATCTACGTCTTCAACTGGGAACAGGGGATAGACTAGGCATACGAATCTACGCGATCGAGATTGCGGGAGAAGAATAAAAAAAGAGACTGCGGCTGTGAGAGCAAGACGCTTTTGAATGTTTTTGGCCTTCAGAGATGGATTGGGATCGCAGAAGGTTCGTTTTCCTCCCCTCCAGAGATTCATCGTTTCTCACCAGGTTTCTAGGGCTGATGACCGGCGCGGAGGAGAAAGTTATCGTCCTGCCGACCGACCAGGCCGATCGCCTTCTCGAGGATACGACATCCGACGGCGCTCCCCGCCTCGAAATCGATCGCGTCCGCGCGCTGACACCTGGGTGCCTTCGAATCGAGGATACGGGCGACCACGAAGCCGCTCACCTCCCGACTACCGTCGCCGTTCACGTACACCTCCGTTTCAAGGGAGAGCCTATGGCCCTGGCGTCTATAACCGACGACGCTCTCCCCCGCGACGATTTTCTCCCCGACGCGACGATCGCTTTCGGTCGCCCCCTCCTTCGTGGCGGTCTCGGTCTCCATACAGCGAGGGCAAGTCTCGGGATGCATCCCGAGGGCGAAGTAACCCACGACGGACCCGGGATTCTACGCCAGGCAATCAAGAATCTCGTATGATCAGGCGCAGCCCCCCAATTATCCCCAGTAATGATCGATCTGCACGCCCTCCCTCCCCGAGAGTTCATCCAATGCCGCCCGTTCGCTGCCAAAGTCCCCACGCGGGCCGGCGAGACCAGCTTGCTGACACCAGAGAGCGACCTCGTTCACGCTCCCGACCCGGATCGCCTACCTATCTCACTGTGACAGAACCCAGTGTTATATCCAGGCGTTCATCCCCTGCTGGATATCCTGAACAAGGTGGCCCCGCGCCTTTTCGAAGCCGCAGCCGTTCCCCTGCGCATCACTCTCCCTCTCGTCGATCTTCATACTGCGATATACGACCCGATCCAGAAATTTCTGAAACAGGGAAAGTGCCCGAAGATCTTGACCGGCCCGTAGAAAAGGACTCTATCGAGCACACCAAGTTGGCTGTCAATATTCCCATCCAGCCGAGGAACCTCGCGTTGCGCCAATCTCCACCTTCGGGCCCTTCTCAAGGCCCCAAGCTCGCCCCCACACCGAATCGTGGATCTCAGAATCTTTCATTGCTGTCGGCTCCTACTCGTCCTCGTCGCGGCCCTGCTTCTCGAGAAGGTACCTGGGTCGGGGCTCCCGGAGCCCGTCGTGGCCCCCCATCGACTGTGCCCTCAGGCCCTCGAGCCTCCTTCGCGGCTCCCGCCCCTGGCGGGGGAAGCTATCGACACTCTACCTCTCGTCCGGGCGGCTCCACCCCGATTCTCTCGTCAGCTCCAAAGGGTCCTACCCATATGACTGGGCTCGGATCAATTATTCCAGGCGGTCGCACGCTACCCTCCATGTTGGACGCCGCAACCGAGCGTCGTTTGGCCCAGCTCGAAGTTGATCGCGAGAGGTTACTGGACCAGGTTTTAGAGACCCAACGATCCAAACGAGCTGGACTTCGTGACTGGGATCGACTCGACCGGGAGAGCTCCATTTGTGCGCTCAAGAGTGAATTGGCCGAAGGTCACCTACAGCGCATGGCCGATGAGAGTATTAGAGGCGGAGTTCTTTTTTAATGAGCATATGATCCGGAAAGGGTTGGCGCTGGCAATCCTGCTTTATTTATTTTTCTTTCTTAAAAGTCTGTATTTCTTGTCTTTCTTTCGCAGGGGAAGGGGCGTTCTGGAATCTGCTGGCTGTTATGATATGTCTTGCTTCTCCGTCTTCCACTTAACTCACCGTTGGACCTTAAATTAGCCAGAATCTGGATGAATTGATCCATGACTCATGGGGTAATACCTTGCAATGCCTGTATGATATCGTGCGACAATCGAGGATTTCAACAATATAGGATGCAGATGGAGTATAGATGATGCATCGACATCGGGACTGGGCTCCACCGCCCAAAGTCTTGGCTGCGGCGCGTACCTGATCGGCAGCTCGACGGCATCCCCCCTTCCATTTGGCTTCGTGTCAACAACTCTCGCTGCCTTGCCACCCTCCTTCACCTCGCCCATTCTCATCTTCATAGATTATTCTACTCGTCATCGTCATCGATATTCTCCTGGTCCATTACCCACTGCTGCTTGCCGACTCTACCGGCCTTTCCTCCTTTCAGACTCGCCCGCCATGAACATCTTCAGGTTACTCGGTCAGCTCGAAAGCAAAAGCAAGATCCTGGAGATGGCCAGTGATAGACTAATATAAACATAGCCGATTTCTCTCACCTGGCATCAATCCTTATCCTTCTACAGAAGATGAAGTCGTCTAGTGTATGCTCCTCTCGGCTCCAAAAGCATTAATTAATGATCGTCAACTTATTCGCTGATTTACCTTGGCAGAGTTGTTCTGGGCTCTCGTTCAAGTCACAAGTCCTTTATCTCCTAGTCTTTGTCACTCGATATCTAGGTGGGCTGCGCTCCAGTCTGCGTCGTCTATTGCTGCCGAACTTGCGCTGACTACGGGGATTTCGCTGTTAGATCTATTCTGGACATTCACCGACTCGCTATACCTTACCACGTTCAAACTACTCTTTATCGGCTCCTCCGCCTATATAATCTTCCTCATGCTGAACGATTACAAACCTACCCATGACCCCAACATTGATACATTCAAGGTTCAGTACCTGCTTGGAATCAGTGCGATTCTTGCCCTGTTCTTTCCGCATGACTACCGTCTATCGGAGGTTTGTAATCCCTATAACCCCTAAGAGTTCCCGTGAAAATATGCTGCCCCCCCCCCCCCCCACATTTTCTTTTTTGGACAGGCGAAATTTCGAGGCTCTGACTGACCGCGTTAGATTCTCTGGACCTTCTCGATTTGGTTGGAGTCGGTTGCAATCCTGCCTCAACTCTTCATGTTGCAACGTACGGGAGAGGCGGACACTATTACCACGCATTACCTTTTTGCGCTGGGACTCTACAGGGCCCTTTATATCCCTAACTGGATCTTCCGTTATTTCACCGAGGCTTCCTTCCAGCGATCGTTCCAACCCGTCCCGATCATCGCCGGTATCATTCAAACCTTGCTTTACTCCGACTTTTTTTATATTTACTATAACAAGTAAGCAGACAATGCATTGCGTATGAGAAACACCGCGTCTAACGTACACCAGGGTCCTCAAGGGCAAGAAGTTCTCGCTTCCCGTCTAAGGATTATGCGATTTGTGCAGAGGGCTCGGAGGAGTTGAATCGAAGCCTTGTTTTCAAAATCAAAACTTCGTCGATCCTATTTTGTGGACATTCTAGTCCTCAACCTGTTTGGATGCAACATAAGCATTCGCCAGATAATGCATTTGATATGATCACGCCTTAGTTTTGTCCAATGTCGCCTCTTACGACTGAAGTTGGAGGTCTATGAATTGATGTTTTTAACGTTACTCGGAGCTACCACAACCTGGGTCTAATCACCAACGGGCTTCTATTCACGACCCAGGGAGGGGGAGCGGCTCTGTTGCTCTGACTTTTCGACAACCGAACGCCGACCTATGCTTTTCTAAAGTCACAATACGACTGCATATTGAGATCTGCAGGTGGAGGGTAGAAAGAGTGCGTGCCAGGATGTAAGAGAGCGGGAAATAGAAATGGTGGGAGAAGTGCCTCTATTAGATTCAAATTTTTTGGCTGCACCCGAGTCGTCTACAATATCCCGAATGCGAAGACGCTGCATCAAAAATTTTCATTATTGCATGTTCCATTTTCTACTTCGTATCTGCTTTGAGTTTCTTTACTTCTCTTTTTTTCAACTTTGAAAAGAGGGGTCCCTTCTCCGGTTGGCTTGATTAGACCACAGCCAATAATAAAAATTGGTACGCTCTCACGCATTAAACAGACATGAGAGCTTTCCAAAAGCCTTGACTTGGACGCACATATCATCTCATCAAGACACAGCATGTAAACCAGGCCTTTCATATGGATCGCAGAGAGGATGCCTGCCCGCCAACAGCTCATGCATACCAGCAGCAACGACTAGAACTCTCGCGGGGTCGGGCTGCCATGGGTAGGTACATACCCCGTAGTGTAACTCAGCTGAGACGGGGGCATAGACATGTCGGTAGAGAAAGCATCCAATGTCCCGGCAATCGAGTGAGGAATATTACCCATTGGGCCGTGGAAAGATCTAACCCCAGCACTCAAAGCGGAGCGACCCTGTAGATTTTGATGGCTGTCAATCCACCCGCTGTGGCCATGCATCTGGGTGAAATAGTCCGACTGTGTTCGGTCCAGCGTCATCTGGCCTCCGAAGGTCGACTCACGTCTGGATATTGGAGGAGATGGGAGTTTGGGGGAACGCGGCATCATTTCCAACCGAGGAGACCCCCGTCGAGAATTAGGTGGCGTCAGACGTGAGCCTCCACGCCGAACCTGGCACGTTGGGCAAATCTTCACAAACCGGGAAATCAGCTCCTTCGGCACCCTACAGGATGGTTAATCGCTAGGTGATCACTCTACACAACCTGGAGGGCTGCTGTTGTTTCATACCATGAATAGATCCGGCGAACCTGTGCCGATGTTTTGTCACGACCGCCATGCTGGCATTGCTGATGCGCCTTGGTGAGGATTTTGAACAGCTTTTCGCGTATGGCAACGGGCTTCCCCTCATGGCAGATCATCTTTCGACACTAGAGGCATCTTTGTCAGGATCAAAATATCAGGTCGTCGGATCGAGGGAGCCTTACATCCGTGGTACCAATGCCGACACCTTCGAGTTTGAACATTTTCTTGACCCAGAATCTGACTTGTTCAGCGAGGCAAGAAACCAGGGCGAGGGGACAGAGAAATGATTTTTTTTACCGGAACTGAGCAGATTCGACTGCTGTATCTTTCGGGTCAATCAGCACCGTTCGGATATTCCGTGCGCGCTTTGCATGAATCAAGGCTTTATCTTGTTTCTTCACCGACAAGTCGTCCACGTAGCTTAGTAGAGGTGTAATGTTAGCTTTGCAATGTTCAATGGGCACCAAACGACCAATAACAAACTCACCTTTGCATAAGCCGATCAAACTCTTTGACATCAGGAAAGCCGTCCAGCGCAGGAACCACGGGTTCTGACAGCAAAGTGCCTTCGTTACGGGATTCCTGGCTTTCGATGTCCGTTTCATTGAGGGCATTGCGCAATGGAAGGTATCTGGTTGATTGCAGATAGCGTGACTGGGGCATGTACTGGGGAGGAGGCTGATGGAGCCTCATATCATCCGAGGTAGACATGGAGGGAATAGTATGATCCGATGCATACGGTAAATGATGCATTCCAGATGGCAGATTTGAATGTTGCCCATACGACGGAGCAAATTGAGTTCCATATGGGCTATATGAATGCTGGGGGAAATGATAGGATGCCGATCCTGTTGCACCAAAGTCATGGCCATCTGAATGGCTATACGATCCTGGAACGGTCATCGGTTGATTGATGAGATAGTTGTCGGTCCCTTCATTGCGTCTAGAGAAACTGCCCATCGTGGTGGGTGCTCGGTGTCAATTGAGGAAATGATATCCACCGTTCTCAGGGTCAGGTATGCAAAATATTTGATGAAATTGGGCGATGGAGATGGATATAAAGATATACAAGTGGACAGACAAAAAAAAAAGAGCACTCGGATGACAAACCGATTGTGACTGTCAATTTTTCTAGACTGCCGGGGGTGGACCTGTAGAGGGGATTGAAAATGAACCGGAGAGAAATCATAAATTCATGGTTGGCATCAAAGGGGTAGCAATTGCGTTAAAAGGACCCGCAAAGCCAGAGACAAGTCTTGCAGGACAGACCGATGCCCAAGGGAGTGCACGAGACCATGTCGAAAAAAGAGTGAGCAGAACCAACTGAGGGAATCCCTGAAAGACGAACAGCAAATATTCAACGGAAAAAAAAGAAAAGATGGTAGCCAGACTAGCCGAGCAGAGCTCTGTAAGGTACACATAGAGGGGTATTCCTCAAGACTGCAGGGAAGAGAGCGGCATGGGTAGCAAAAGACAAAAGAAAAGAAAAGAAAAATACAAAGCGCCAGATGCCAGATGCAAGTCCCAACCCCAAACAGAGAAAAAGAAAGGAAAGGAATGCAAAGCCAGAGAGGACTGGGGTTCGCAGTCGAATTCTTTCCGACTCGCCGAGGCAATTGAAGAGGGAAGTAGGCTGATACGACAGCGCACACAAACAATGGTGATACGGATTCCTGCCTCGATGCCCGGCGCCGTCATTTGCCCCATGGAGAGCCACGTTGGGGTTAATCGAGGCCACCTATAGGGAGAACATTTGGGGACCGACACCTAGAATGACCGACAGCACCGGGGGGACGATCAGGGCCTCCCCGACTTGCGATTTGGCGGGAACTTCTCGCGATTTGGTGACAGTTGTTTTGCGACTTGCGATGCGCGGCGGAACAACTCGACTCCCGCGACGAGGGTCGGGGGAGGCAGCATCTTTCGCGCAGGGCTTTGTTTCTGCAGGTTTGCTTCCGTCAAACAGTCGGGCTGGAGATTGCCCCGGCAAAAGTCCAAACATGCACGTAGCCGTGACCGTAAGGAACATGGATTGGGGAGATGTGGGCGACGGGGGCGATTGAGGAGGTCGAATGGAGGGTTTCCAGTGCACTGGGGGCCCATCTGCGGCCCATCTGCGTCTCGAGCGGGGAGTGGATGGGCATGAATGGGCCGAAGAAGGGGCGGGGAGAGGCGAGTAAGCGCATCCTGGTCGGTGCTGCTGTCCCACAGCCTCCTCTTCGCCTTCCAGATCGTGAGCTGTCAGGGAGATCCGTGGCAGCAGACGTGACCTTGACGTGGCGTCGATGCCAGGGCAAAGTGGATTGGGTCTCGTTGACGGGCAATCAATGCAGGCTGCGGGATGGCAGGATTGCATGCGTTTGGCTAGTCCGCGACAGGTGAGACACCGTGTTCGATGGACTTGGCATCGGACTCTCGCAGCGACAGTGTCCGGGCCAGTCGTGAACCAAAAAGGGGGATGCTTGAAGCCATCGCGCGTTATACAATCTACCACCCGGTGTCACTCTGCTGCTTCCCGATCCTGATCGTGAGCCGTCCATATTCCCGGGAAACAGACGCTGCTCTGGGAAGCGCCAAGTCCGAAGTGTTTCGGACTCGTCTGCAGAGAAGACAAATTGCGAGGAGAGAAGGAGCGAGGGAAAGGAGGAAGGGGAAAGGGAGGGTGCATGTCTTGTCTCAGGGGAGATCGGTAGCCGGTGTTGGGACAAGATAATTGAGACGGGGTTAAGACGATAGGTTTCCCCCGACAGTCGCGGGCACAGCATGGATCTTCCCTGCTGCTCGGATGCAGACGGTCGTCCGGATAGAGCATCGGCCCGGAGAGAAAGACTGGAGAAGAGGAGAGGAAGAGAAGATGGAAAGGACGGAAGGGGACGGTCTCCGCTCTTGTTTCTTTGCAAGGTGCCCCTATCGAAAAAAAAAGCAAGGGAAGGGAAACGGCAATCCTCCGCCCCGGGAAAAGAAGAGAAAAGAGGATTAGATAATAGAAGTCAGAGGCCCGGAGAAATACATAGAAGTTAATTAGATACCAGTACAGAAGACATGGCAGGGTATGGAGAAGTATGTACGTGTGTACTCAGGAATCCCAAGATACTAGAATATAATTATTACAACAGACCATCCTTTTTCCGGGAACAACAGCAATAGTAGCAACAGCATCACAAAAATATCCATAAAAATTCGTTTGACCAGGTTCATTATGGCCAATTGGGGGCTGGATTTCATGCTTCATGTCATAAAAAGGTAGGGGCTGCCCCGGGGAAGGGGGAGGCGGGGGGAAGAATGGGCACATCATTTATGTTGAGCTTCGCCCGGGACTGTTCAGGCGATAGAAGCATCATGGACGGGATCATCAGCAAAGATTGCACCAGTGGAAAAGATCCCCCCTATACCAAAGCAAAAGGGTGGACGAGAAAGATGCCTTGGACGGTCAGACGAGATCGCGGATGGCCCATCGCCAATGAATGTCACGATCGCCTCGATCAGAGCCAACCCACTTGTCCACTTTGCGTCTCCATTTATCCTCCTCAGCCCGTTGGCGTCGGATAAATTCTGGCCCAACATCGAATTCCTCGGTGATCGGTGCCTCGTCGGAAGACTCACCGCCACTGGGATCCTCGCCCGCCGTGGGAGAGTGAAGCTCATCCAGGGCTCCAGATGGTCGCCCGACAGCACCAGAAACTTGATCGTCAAGGTCGTCCAATCCTGCAAAGACGTCGTCCTCATCGGCGCTAAACCCGTCATTGTTTCCAGACCCAAAGGAGGCGGCCTTGAGCCAACACATGCGTTGTGGATCAAACACCATGCCACCGACGACCTGCACATTGTGCATGGCACCCACATTGGTGATGAGAGCGGGTGCAGGTTTCGGGGACTTCGGTGCGGTGGCGATATCAAAGTCCTGGATGAGATTTTCGTTGCCTTCCCACCTGAAGGTTTCCGGGTTATAGCGCATGCCTCGTACCGCTTGATAAATTGATTAGCTCGCTGTCTTAAGAATGGGGAACAGAGGTGGATCGATATTTACATTTGGCTTCATGCACTCCAGATCCCATGGGTTTAATTAAGTGAGGCTTGGATGGAGGTTTTATCGCCGGTCTAATTTTGCGATTGCGAACAGGGGCGGAGGTTGGTGAGATCCGGGAGACGATAGAATGGGGTTTCCAATTGGGAGAGAATGCAGCCAGGGGGTTTGCGTCACGAGTCCGTGAATTCATGGAGGCAATGCGTTGCTCGCGCGCATTTCGCGATGCATTGGTATCCCGCGCAAATCTTGGCGTGGGGTTGGGTGGTTTCGAGGCTGAAGGTATGGACTGTTTCGGAGATTCAATTGGGGGAGTAATGCGACTCTGGCTGAGTCGAGCACGCACGGATCGGGGGGCTCCTCGCCCAGCTGGATGCTTCACAAATCTGCTTTCCGTGGAGGCAGATGTTGGCAAATCATCGAAAGACTCCAACTCCGTTCCATCGCCGAAATTGCGGCGCCGCGTAGGTCGAGTGAGCGTTCGCTTGGTCGTTCCCGACCTGGCGGTTTCCGGACTCGTTTCCCCAAAGCTGTGTCGTAGAACCTCAGGACGAGTCGATCGTGATAGTCGGGAGAAGGTTCCCTGGGGGCTTAGAAGGTCACTGGAACTATCCGAATTAGTTCGCCGGGAGGGACGTTGATTCTTGATAGTAGAATGGTGAGATTGTCTCTCTGATCCACCAACTGGAACAAAGGAAGCCTGAGATCGGCGGGTTGAGGTCCGGACATCAACCATGGCGCGCTCCACGGGTGTCTTGGGTCTATTCAGAGCGGTGTGACCCTCCGCACGAGATGGCGCTCGTTGTGAATGATGTGGCGGAGTGAGTGATGTTACGCCACGGATGGATGGCATGGACCGTTTACTTCGGAGTGGTCGATTAGGAACTTTCGGGTCATTGGTATGGTCAGTGTCTCTGGAAGTCCTGCTTCCAAGAAGCTTTCGGCCAGATGGGATAGGAGTGGGAGATGTCGGATGTATGCTGGACGAAGGTAGACTAGACACCGATGATTGAGAAGAGTGTCCAAGTCGAGACTGAGATCGCCTGAATTTGGAAAGAGGTGCACCGCTTTCCGAAACTGTTTCAAGGTGGGTGGAAAGAGTTCGATCATTACCAGATAAACGTGGGATACGAGTGCGCGGAGACCCAGTTGCATTCGTAAAGGTTAAGGTAGTTGCTGGTCGACGTGTTGGGCTCGACGGCCATTCCGTCTTGCATTTGACATTAGGATTCAAGGTCAATTTTCTTGAGCCAAAAGCTCTACCATCCTCGATTTCAATCCCAGAGAAGAAATCATCTGCATCCAAAGGAGTTGGTATGTTCTGACTTCTTTCCGGACCGAGGGTATCATCTGGATCTTGGGCTGCTTGCCGCTTATTGAGCGAGGCCGTGAAATCCAGGGGGCCATCTGGAAACAAGAGACCGTCAAGGCCATCTTCTTCACTCTCTCCTGTCAGACAACTCGACACACTTGGACTGGCAATCGAAATAGAAGAGCTGGGAACTGAACGGCCATCTCGGGCAGTGCCGCCGACTCGGACACCGATGCTACCCTCGGACCACTCTAGATCGAAGTCATCAAGAATAGGGCTAGAAACATTGGCGTTTTCTTTGCGATGGGATAGTTCAAGGGGCTCATGACCGGGCGGTAGTTCCAGGTCTTCAACAAAATCGTCTGAAGTCACCCCAGAATTCTTCTGTGGAGACCGTGGTACGGGGGCCTTGATTGTGGGAACATCTCCATTGACAAGGCAGATATTTTCATCCTGCAATCGATCCAAATTCGCAAGCGTTGATTGCAGACGAGTGGCGATGTCGTCACTCCACGACGGAGAAGCTGTCGATTTCACGGGGCTGGTGGCTGCGGAGCTGATTTGCCTTAGTGTTTCTGGAAAAGCGATGGTTCGGGGGGTCTTGAGAGCCAATATTGTATCCGGACCAGGGAGCTCTACGTCTTCTGACCAGTCATCGACGAAGGTTTTCCTAGACTTCCGAGCCGACAGCCGCTTAATAGCGCCCCCGACAAGGGCGGAATTTGGAATGTCAGCGGGGATAGGAATACCGGCATTTTTAGCTGAAGCAAGAGCTTCCTCCTTGGAGAATTCATCATTATCGTGCAAGAGGACCTGCCAATCCTCATCCCCAGCATTAGAATCGATATCAGAACGAGCAGATCGACGAGACGAGATCGAGTCACGGTGTCCAGAGGGGCGAAACGAGGAGTTCGTGACAGATCCCGTGCTGGATGCAGCATGGAATTGGCAACCATCGTTAAACTGTAGGTCGTCATCATCATCCCAACATTCAACCATATCCTGCTCATAGGGCTGGGCTCGGGTCATCGGCAAGGCCATGCTGATTCAAATATCTGGGCAGAGCACGTAGAAGAGGCAGGCGCGCGTTTGCCAAACAGCCAACGGTGCAATGGCGATGATGAAGGGTCAAACCCGAGAGTTACGACACTGGGTCTCAGAGTAGCAGAGTTGCGGCAAGATGAACGTCATTCCGGGTTGTCCAAGATAAGGCGAGTTATAAGCCAGGCTCTCTCCAGGCCTCTGATGGCAATTCTCGGACGACCTTGGAATAGATTGATTGGGAAGCGCTTTGGGAGGACTCTGGAGGTAGGGAGGTCTGGATGGCAGTCGGAGAGCAGGAATATCTGACCTCCGACAGGTCCACAATTTTCTCGCTGGTGGGCCAGAGAGGTTTCGAGTAAAAGGAAAGGGGGTTCGTTGTGAGGTAGTGTGTGGGTGTATGGGTGGTGGTTGGTGGCTGGATGGGATTCCTCGTGGAGGGAGGGAACGTGCTTAGTGTGAGGACGCGGTGGGGACGTGCTCCGGACGGGTTGGCATGTTCGTGTCGGAGGAGCTTAGATGATAGACCCGCCGTGATGGCTAAGATATTGATTTAGGTCGAGAAGGCGATGGGTTGGAGGATTGGAAAGGATGGTGGAGCGGAGGAGCAGAAGGTGGAGAGAGGAGAAAGGTGTTGCGTGGGCGTCCCTTGGTGGATCACCAAACGGAGGCGCGGATGGTTGCCTTGCCCAGTTCCCGACGACTCGGAGATCCCATGAATCTACTCCCTCTACCCCATCGATCATCATGTCTTTTTCTGAGGTCCGAGTCCTCCAGGTTGCTCGGTCGGATGAGCCTGATTCTTTTGTACTCCTCCATGTCTTCCATACGGGCCCTGCTACCCTCGACTTGACGCTGACAGCCACAGAGGGAGAGAGTCCCTATATAACCACCAGTACGCTGGTATTAAGAAGCTTGGAATGAAATGGTTCGCTAAATACTTCACAGTCAAACAAACTCAACTTCAAGATCTCTGTGCCAAAAACTACCAGGGCTCACAAGACGAATGGGCTCAGACTGTCTCCTTCGTTCTGGGCCAATCAATCTTGTCGGATCAACCACCCTGGTGGTCAGAAATTGAGAGTTCCGCAAGTGTCTCTACCTCCAATGAAGGGAGCAAGGAGATTGTGCTCACGATACGAAAGAGGGTTCAGGATATTACTGTATGAACCTCGCAAGGTCTCATGCCGCTGATATATGTTTTTTAACTGCCTCTTAGCAAAGGCTCGGTGCTCTTACCCTTTTACAGGATGATGAACAGGCCATTGAGCTTTTTGAGTGGTGCGGAGTGACTGCAAGAAAAACCAGTGACTTGCAGAATCAAGTAACAAGCTTGATGGGCCGCTATCGGTCCGCAGAGGACACTATATCCAAGCTGAATCAACAACTAGAGGAGCTCAGGCGAGCAAAGAGCCAACACGAGAGTCAAATGCTGGTCAACTTTCTTCACCTGTTGAATGAGAAAAAACTCAAGATCCGCAACCAGCAGCGACTCCTGGCATCAGCCACAGCAGACCCTGTGAAAGGTAGGGCTCGGCTAGTGGAGATGTTGAGAAGTGGCTTCCCCTCCTTTAATATGCATTACTAAAATACTCGGTAGTTTCCGAGATTCAAGCTGCTACAGGGCGAATCCATGATCCCACAGGTACCTCCCAGGCACCAAAACGTCGTCTCGACGATACAAATGATGCTGCGGAAGAGTCAGATGATGGCTTTGAGCCAATGGATACAGACCACAGGGGCCTTGCTGGAGGATCTCTGAGTGACCAAGAGACAGATGATGAAATGCGATCAACACCCCAGCCATTGGAGGAAGAGGATAACATGACAACAGACGATGAACCCGACGCTCCGGCAACGCTAGGCCGAGCCGTCCCACAACCCCAAGAGGCTGATAACTTGACCCGACCACCCCCTTCGAAAGAAAGAACTCCTCCTCCACGAAGGGAGTTGCCCTTTGCCCGCCGAGGGCCACCGAGGAGGGATACTATACAGACAGAAGCAGCGTCCGCCGGAATAGCAGAAGAAACCGCGGGGGAAACAGATGATGACGAGCTATGAGATGGCTTGGTTTGGGACTCCGAGTCGAAGTTGTCTTCTAGTCTTATAATCTAGCCCTGTTGTAACAAAAAAAAAAAAACAGAAATCGGAAACTGGCTTTGTTTGAGAGTCTCAGTTATCGAAGCACAAGATACGTGAAACACTATATCGGGCTGGGAATAATATACGTTCCCAAGTGGCCAGAGATATTTGGGGTTGATACGGAGGACAGAATCTGTGCGTGTTCGACCATCATCTCCGAAATGGAATTGAAATTTATGGGTCTCAATCTTTTTATGTACAAGTCAACCCCGAACGATAAATCCCAGGTAATACCGGAGAATGGGTGAAGGAGGCTGACCACAGAAACCGGACGAAGCGGTGTCAAGATGATGGAGAAAACAGGTGGTGGAAAGGAAACGGTACATCAAAGGGAGGTAATGTGGTACAAATAACAACGCCTGCAACCATTAGACAAAACACAGAATCAATTCGCGACTCATGTCAGGGCCAGATGACCCCAGGCTTAACCATACAGGGCCTGGGGAGACATCTCCCCAGCAGCCATGAAGTTAGTCTCAGGGTTACCGGTGGCCTTGGCAGCAGAGCAGCGAGCCATGGTGGGCGAGCTGTCATTATGTCAGTTAAGTTAAAAATGAACTGGGGGATGCCAAATCGGAGTGCGTACCTCCTGGAGATAGAATCAGTAAAGAAAAAGTCGTCAATGACCCGCTTGAAAGGAGCTCCGGTGGCCGAGGAACCCTTGTTCTGGTCCGCCAGCTGCACCTTGCTCAAGGCGCTGACGGATGTGGGCTCAACAACATCATAGCGACGCATCACGGGGCTGATTTCTTCCATGCGATCGCGCAGAGCCTCGATATCATCGTAGGGGAGAGGGACGCCGAGGAACTCGCTAGTAGCACGGATGATCTTCCAATCGTCACGAGCCGCACCGGGGAGTGAGGTTGCCGCACGGGTAATCTGTACACGTCCTTCGGTATTGATATAGGTGGCAGACTTCTCGGTGTATGCGGCACCAGGAAGGACGACATCAGCGAGTTGAGCACCTCGGTCACCGTGGTGACCTTGGTAGACAACGAATGCATCCTTCGGGATCTCATTCTGCGCAACCTCATCGGCTCCCAAGAGCCAGATCATCTTGGGAGTAGTCTGTGCAACTTCTGGGGATGGGGTTGTGAAGCCAATTTCGTAAGCACCCGCCCGCGAAGCAGCACGCTGTAGGACGTTGTAGCCTTGCCATTCAGGGGTGTTGAAGTTATTGGCATGCTTTTCAACGAAACTACCCACGACCTCGAAGATGGCCTTAGCGTCAGGGTGCTCGACCGCCGCACTGCCAACCACAATCATGGGCCGCTGGGCGGAAGCGAGCTTCTTACCAAACTCGCCTGAAAGAGCCGCCTTCAAGGAGTTGACGTCCACGCCCAAATGCTCATAGTCAAAGGTGCTCTCAAAGTTTTCGCCGACAAGACCAATTTCCATATCCGAGCGCAAGTACTGCTTACGAATTCGGGCGTTTAGGACCGCAGCTTCATGGCGAGGGTTGGTGGCGACAAGAAGAACGGCATCGGACTCCTCGATACCGTAGATCTTCGAGTTGAACAGATAGTTGGAACGAACATCAACGCCGTGAGCCACAGGAGCACTGCCGCCAGGTTGGTCAAGAGCAAGGTTATCGGATCCTAGCTTGTTGGCCATGTCCTTCATAGCAACTAGCGATTCGGTATCTACCAGGTGACCAGCAATCGCCTTGAACTCGTTGGACTGGAGCTGCAGCTTCTCTTGAGCCGACGAGATTTCCATCAGAGCCTGCTCCCAGGTTGCCGGAACAAACTTGCCCTCCCGACGAATCAGGGGTGTGGTGAGTCGCTGAGTCTTCAATCCATCACAGGCGAATCGGGACTTGTCGTTAAGCCACTCCTCGTTGATATCATCGTTCAGTCTGGGAACCACGCGCATGACTTCCATGCCACGGCTATCGATGCGGATGTTGGAGCCGAGAGCGTCGAGGACATCAATGGACTCGGTGTGCTTCAGTTCCCAGGGGCGAGCTCGAAAGGCGTATGGCTTAGAGGTCAAGGCACCAACAGGGCAAAGATCGATGACATTACCCGACAATTCCGAGTCAAGGTTACGCTCCAGATATGTACCGATTTGCATGTCGTTGCCACGACCAGTGGTTCCCAACTCCGGTGCACCCGCGACGTCATTCATAAAACGGACACAGCGAGTGCAGTGGATGCATCGGTTCATCGAGGTCTTTACTAGAGGACCGATGTTCTTGTCCTCTACCGCTCGCTTACCGCCCTCCTCATGGAACCGACCACGGTCAGCTCCATAACGCATCGACTGGTCCTGAAGGTCGCATTCACCTCCCTGGTCACAAACCGGACAGTCTAGCGGATGATTGGCGAGAAGAAACTCCATGACACCCTCCCGGGCCTTGTGCACGAGCGGCGAGTTCGTTTTCACGACCATTCCTGGCTGAACGGGCCAGGCGCACGACGCGACGGGCTTGGGGGCACGCTCAACTTCGACGAGACACATACGGCCTAGATACATACACGTTAGCATGCCCAAACTGAGGCAACTTATGTTTGGATTTCTCCAGCGGGGAGGGTTGAACCCACAATTTCCGGCAACCAATAATTTCCTTCATTACTGCAGTGTTAGCAAGATCCATTCTCGAGCATTCGAAATCGGGTCGCCAATTGAACACATACTCGTGATAGCAATATCTAGAATCGAGTCAGTACTGTGAGGAACAAACAAGACAGATCTCTCGCATCGAGGAAGCCATACCTGGGGATTGTTGCACCAGCTTTCTCGCATGCCTGGATGAGAGCCGAGCCAGCTTCGAGAGAGATCAGCAATGGACAAATGGAAGAATCAGAGGGAAGCATTACCTTCAACCGACACCTTCTTGCCATCTATACTCTTTCTGTCAATGCGTTTTCATTAATGAGTTCGCGGATTGGAACATACCAATGGTGAGTTCCACCTCGGCCGCGCGAGGGGCGGTTGTCGCGAAGGCACGGGCCCTGGGCACCCGGAGAGACCGGGCGGCCGCACGGAAAAGTTGCGGCCGCATGATTAAACGTGAGACGATGAAGGAGAAGGGGGGGTAGGAGGGGATTGGGGATGGGGTGGACGAGGGGGTCGAGGAAGGAGCTTGACGTTCAGCGGTCGGAATCTTCTGGGTTACATAATGCTGCTGACCATCCGGGTGCTGACTCAGCAGGACCTCGCAAATCCCAAATGCGCGGGCGCGGATTGGCCAACGGGCTGATTGGCTCGGTTACGGACTGCGCGGATAAACAGGGGCTCCGGGCCAACATCAAAAACTGCCCGCGGCTGCCCCTGGCTTTTCCCGCTCCTCATCTCATTCACGGGCATGATTTATTGTAGGAGACAGGGCGATCAGTCCCGGCCTCCTCTGCAACATTGTCCCAGAGCAGAATTGCACCGAGCTGGAGCAGTCAAGGGAGAATTTCCCCGATGATGACATTGTTCTTTACTGACGGTAGCTACATCACCATGCCAGACACCCCCACCGGCCAGCCGGATTCTTGGGCGCCGTGAAGGAGATCTTGCTCATGATCAAGTCATAGATTGACGCTATGTACACTCTCATTCCATATGATGAATTCCTTCTTCACTCCTTTCTATTGCGGAGGTTGGTAATACACTTCCCTCAAAAAAAAAATAAAAATAAAAATAAAAAAAAAAAACAATTTTGCTCGCAGGCGAGTTGGTGGCACCAATACCTCGGAACATTTCTTCCAAGAAAGCAGGACAAATTGAACACCGCAACGCCGAGTTATAATACACTCAACAAGTCCCAACCCTCCGAGATATGGGGACTGGAAACCAATCCGTAGAAGACAGGGAAAGACACAAAGGGATGTGTGAGTAGCTAGTGCTATGCGCCGGTCTGGGAGTCGGTGGATTGCCACGTTGATTCTTGTTTGGTCCCGGGCAGCCAATTCCGAGAAACGCTGGTTCCTCGCGGTCGCACGCGCCCAGCACCATCGTCCTCCTTCTTGGAAGAATTGATCGCATGTGAGGAATGGGGAGCGACGAGGTCATATGCTCGACTCCCGGGGAAAGCGTAGCCGTTCGAATCCCACGGCTTGCTTGAAGGCCGAACATTCATAGGCAGGATGGATTCACGGGCACGGAAGTGGTCTGCGTTCGCTCGTTGGTCAGCAACATCATCATGGCTGTTGCGATCATAGAGGTAGAGGCCCACGAAGGTGAGCCCAATCCCAACAGCTTGGATGGAGGTAGTGGAGCTGCCAAACCAAACAATGGCAACAACAATCACAAAGACCCGTTTCACGAGGGAGGCAACCGAATAGGAGACAGGAGACACCATGGACAGGAGCACGAAAGCCAGGATGTTTTGCGCGAAGTGTGACACGCCGTTAAATACAAATTCAGCCATCAGCGCGCCGTGATCCAGCGACCCCTGTTTGCCCGACAAGGAAATCACACCGTCCTTGATGAAATCGGCTACCAAGGGATACCCTTCGCTGACAAACCAGATTGGCAGGGTAAGGAAGAAAGCCAGGCCGGAGCAATAGCAGAGTAGGTTGAGCTTATCCAGCTTCCGCCGTCCTGGATATTGTGCTTCGGATTCCGCACGCTCGGCTTCGTTGAAGAGCTTCTTAGAGAAAATGTTCTGCGAAACGAAAACCAAGGCAGCCAGGAATGCGCACATGATCCCAAAGAAATTAGTGGATAAATCCGTGGAGCATGCCAGCATGACTCCAACGGTAAGAGGGATCAGTGAGAGGTAGGTTGCCCTCGCATATCGGATCCGAAACAGAATTCGGTATGCCAGAACGGTGAACAGTGGCGAGAGGCCTTTGATGGTGTGCACCAACGATACGGGGATCTGTGAAGTGGCCATGGAACTCAGGATGTGCCCGGCTAACTGGAACACCGCGAGAGGCAGCGCGGTGGAGATCACCTCCCGCGATGGGTAGCGAATACCATGCTTGAGGACTGGTACGCTCTGCCGTAGCCATGGAATCACTGTAGACAGGTATACAAGCAATAGGCACCAGATGGAGACGAAGGCGAATTGGACGATAGTTAGAGTAATTGGCATCGGTAGTGCGTTCAAGATAGACTTTGAAGACGTATTCGTGAGAGCAGAGGTCAGATACCAAACGAGACAGAGAGACTGGATAGGTATTCATGATTAGCCAGCACAGCTAGAAGCGCCCGAGGGGGAAGGAACCTACAATCAAGCGATAGGACACCGGTGCTCGAAGTGCTTCCGCCAGTTCGTGTGCATTGGCACTCATGCTGCCGTTTCGGGTTCGAATGGTTGTAATGGCCTCGCTGATGCTCTTCCGAGGCCGATGCTTAGGATTCCTCGCGGACGCATGATTGTGCTCGCGAGAGTAGAATGTCGACTTCCGGGGCTCCCACAGTTCACTTGGCGCATACTTCACCGAGGCAGTTGGGGTTGGACGGCTGGATCCTATGGCTGCATCGAGAGATTCATCGTAGGGAGGAAATTGATCGATGGGGCTGCTGGCAGGTTGGGAGGAGGGGTTTGTTGGGACTTGCAATTCCGGTTGGCGCAGGGATGACCGTCGCCCATGGCCCGTCACTGTAGTTGTAGTCATTGTCGTTTACGGAATCCGTGTAAACGTGGTCTAGATCGGAGGTTAATTCTTTTTTTTTTCTGCTCGGCGGTTCTCCTTCGTCTCCCTCTATATTGGCTCCGCGTTGACCGCGTGTTCGGTGTCTTGCATCAACTTACCCACGAAAGTTGAATCGCGCAGAGCAGGCGATGTATTCGGGTTGCCCTCCGAGAGATGTTGCGCCAGCAGGGAGGAGAAGAGGAGGGTTGGCGATGACGAATCTCAGGCGAATGAGCGTGGAGAATGGAGGGCACACGTTGCAAGAGGCGAAACAGCCGGTGCCTGGCGACGCAAAGTAGTCGCGTTCCCACAATCAGTAAAGGAGAGGGAGAAGCCGAAGAATCGGGGAATCGGGACCGACAATTCCAAGATGAAGGGGAGGGGGGGGATCGAAGTGAAAGTAGGGTCCGGCATGTGTCTGGGGTTGAGGGTCGCCGAGTGCGACCGTCAACCGTTACATGATCATTACAAGGTACCCGTCCAATACGCCTCGGAGCTCTCCGTGTGGCACAGGGCCAATATGGCCCATACTCCATACTGCTATGTAGACTGTGGTCGATACACCTTCCTCAAAATGTGAAATGAAGCTGACTCACGGACTTGAAGAACCTGGCACCCTTGATAGAGAAAGTCTTCATGTATCGATCATTCTCGGAGCCTCGAAGCCCTGTCTCCGCGATTGTTCATCTATCGGCTCTTATCTGCCAACCCGCCGTATCTGCCGGAAAAGGAATAGGTGACCCGAATCAAGGGAAATCAAGGGAAATCAAGGGAAATCAAGGGAAATCAAGGTAGATCAAGGTAGATCAAGGTAGATCCAAGGTCACTATGTGACCGCAACCCCATATCTGCGAAGTTTCGACATTCCTTCCTAAACAACTGCGAGTCCGAATTAACTCCTGGGGCCTGGAATTGGGGATGTACTGAATTATGATTCTCCGTGAGGAGGAAATAAAGAGCTGCATATCTCTCTATATCGGCGGTGTTTGGATGGTCATCCGAATGTCCCTCGATCCACTCCTGCCTGCCGGTCTGTCGCAGTGGTAAGATCTCCTCGCCGGGTATATTGCTCGTATGGGGACTGGGTCACACAACTGATAATTCCCAAGGAATTGGGCGCTTGGTGGCGTGGTCGGGTAGATATTTGGAATAGGATCTCATATTGACACCATGTTCCTCTGGCTTCGGAAATGGGTATTCTTATTAATGGCATGTACGCGGGGGAGCTAATAGGGCTTGTTATATCTATAGATTGGGACATTTTTGGTTCTTAAATCTAAATATTGATCTATTCATATAGTAGATACCTCGACACAATGCTTATATAAATATGAATACGTATTGTAAGTAGGTCAGGTCATTCACCACTCTATCGCGAAAATCGACAGCACCCCGTCACGTGAATGGTACTCCCAAATCCCACCAATCCAGTCAACCGAGCTCGGTCTTCTCCTTCGCCTCCTTTCAAGCTCTCTTGAAGATACAAAAGTCGGCTAGTTCAACCAGCGACTACCCACGGACCATACTCCACATTTCCCTCTGTTGATGTGGGGTGTCTATAGCATTCCATGGTGGATCCCGTCAACTCGATATAGGTCATCCACGCCTTTACTACCAGAATATTTATCACCTGACCTTCCGTACCTTTCATATGTCTATCAAACTAATAAAGAGACCATATCACTACTAATCGTCACAGAACAAGTATTGAGATATGCAATTGTGCGAAAATACCTCACATCGTTAAACCGACACCCAAGATGCAAAAGCAATATTGTTTCATCTTCGCCCCAGTGTTGGCCTCATCCTGGTTATTCTATGGTCCATCATGCATAAGTCAATCATTGAGCCTTTCGCCAATGGAGCTATTCCGCCAGAATCCACTCGTCTCGGAATTCCACTCGGAATTGCCAGCTGCAGGGATTAGTCTGTCTGAGAGATGGGATGTTCTTGGACCCTTCAGGCTCGGTACGAGAGGTCAGTATACCGAAAGATGAGAAATGGCCGTGAATTCAGCCTATCAAATTAACAGGTTCGAGGTATGCATGCAGAAGCAATATGGGGAGCCGATCCGTTGGAGCGCTATGGTGGATTCCACCACCTGCAGAAAGATCCTGAAACGAGCTTCAATAGTGCTCTCCCAACTAATGGAACTGTGAAATGGATGGCTGCATATTCAACCGTTTCAAGCTCCTCGTATAGCCAGACAGAAGCTCTCCTGAAGGTGAGCTTTCCGAATGTCGATTGGGATACGTTGCATTCGGTATATGGTTGGTCAGCCCTACAGTATCAATCTTGGGCCCGTGGGACACTTGAGATCACAGGATCCCAGCCAAAAACGATCGCGCTCTTCGGTGGGGGCCTTCTTGAATTCTCCGTGGACGGTAAGCGCCACTTTGGTGGAGATTTGTATCAGTATAATCGAGCCCCTAGCATCCTTCGGTTAAACCCCGGCCCCCATGCGTTGGACCTGCGGCTGACCCGGGATGTTCGTGCGCTGGGGGGACTGACAAATACTGTGGAGGCTGTGATTCGTGCCGAGCTGCGAGACGATGAGGATTTACTCACGGTGGACCATAACAGTCTACTAGTGTCGGAGTTGGCTGAAGGGAGACTCGGTAGTCCCTGGGCATCGATCAGCGTACAGAATAACGGAGCAGAAACCATTGAAATCATCTCCTTATCGGGTTTGAAGGTCAAGCATATCACCCTTTCTCGACAGGAGAAATTCTCACTGATACCCTTGGAAACATAGGACGCGTCCCAGTTGTTTCTCAAGGCTCCTTTGAAACTCTACGCCTACCAAACTCGACCTCTTATCTTTAGAATTTCCCCTAGGAAACCAAGTGATCCTCATATATCCGCCAGTATAGTATTCTCAGTTGGCCAGAAAAAAATCTACAGTCGGCCTTTCAATATCTCATTTGAGGATATGCCACTTTCCGGTCCCCTACGATTCACATATCTGCATCCGTCCTCCATAGTTTCTTATGCTATCATGCGGCCTCCACCACTCGATATATGCAAAATGGATTATGCCCTTCCAGTGATTGTTGTCTTCCATGGTGCGGGGTTGCAGGCAAATAGTCCTCAGGCGCGTGAGATGCTTGATGCGGCGTATGGGGTTTGCGCATGGATGTTGTTTCCAAGTGGTGTGACGTCCTGGAGTGGTGATGACTGGCGTAAGTCTACCTAATGGAGGCTTTAGCTCATCCTCAAATTGTGTATGCAGCCACTCAGGTAATTTTTGATATAGATTACTGGGGTATTGCTGACCTTCAGGCCGCATTACTCGCAATCCCAGACTGGATTGCCAACGTCGATTGGCGGGGGCCCACTTCTTCTCAAGAAGACTTGATCGTCGTCGGTCACTCCAATGGCGGTATGAACCAGTCATGAAAGATATGAAAATCCTGATACTGAGTCAAAGCAGGTCAAGGGGCATGGTATTTCTCTACACATTTCCCAGACAAGGTCTCTGGCGTGGCGCCTGTAGCGGCATATACGTCCATCGAGAGTAGGGCTCAAGTGTTCCTCTTCATCATATTCCCCTCATTTCCGTGAAAGATGATATGCTAACATGGGTAGACTATGTCCCTTATACCATGTGGCAGTTCTCAGATCCCTCCCTGTCTTCGGTTCTCTCGAGATCCAGGTCTAGTTACCGACATGAACTATTACTGAGCAACCTTGCTGGTATTCCAATAGCACAGCAGCATGGCTCTTGCGATAACAATGTTCCAGTATACCACGCAAGACTGATGCATGAATTGCTTGATCAAATTCAATGGCCGTCTATGTATCAGGAGCTACCCGGAAAACCTCATTGGTTCGAAGGTGTGATGACGACGCAGTATCTGAGAGACTTCTATCATGTTATGATAAACAAAACGAGAAAAACATTAGAAGACCAACTCCCGGAGACATTTACAATCACAATTCCGGCCTCCGGTGATCTGGGTTCTAAAGCAAAAATCCAAGTGGATCAGCTTCAGTCTCCAGACACGAACGGCAAACTAAAGGTCAGCCGCGCATCCGGAACTCATACCTGGTATATCACCACCTGGAATATCTATCGCTTCCACTTGTCCTCGGAGGGTCCTCGGATCGAACTGCCATTGTTCATCGTATTAGATAATACTCAAATAGCATTTGACGTGGACCCTTCTCAACTGCTAGAAACATGGTACCTGAAAGACGCCAACGGCCAGTGGAGTGTCTCGCACGATTCGCACTGGAGGACTTTAGATCAACGATATGGACGCCAGCTTGGCGCAATGGATGCGATTCTCCATACTCGAGGGCCCTTCACCATCAGAATGTGTTCTCCCGGCATTGAACATGCTGCTCTTCAAGTCAGTCGTAACCTTCTTCAATACTTCGCTGCAGACTCTCAGATCGTCGAGGGATGCTTGGATGATTGGGAGCGGTCTCAGCCTGGATCTAATACCATCACCCTCGCAATGGGCCAAGATCTTCCTCCTGCATTACTCGATTCATACCCAATTCGTATAGAGCGTGATCGTCTGGTTATCTGGAAAAATCATTCAGTCCTTGCGCGGTCTGTTCGGCGTCATGAGTTCTCATGGGAAGCGGGCCTGGGGGCGGTTTTCCTGCGACCTCGGGAGGATGAAGCTCTGGAACTAGTGATCTGGGGCGCTGACCTGGCTGGTCTGAGCCAATCTCTTCGCCTTGCTCCTACCATCACCGGGTCTGGACAGCCGGATTATGTAGTTCTAAGCGATCACTGCCGCTGGCAGGGTATTGCTGGCGTGTACGCGGCCGGCCATTTAGATCGATCCTGGCAGGTTTCCCCTGCTTCATACCACTCCCAGCCCATTTGAAGACATCGAGTTCATGTGTGCCCTTGCTTTGCGACAGAGAGCTGGTATCTAGCATCTATCCGGTAACATAGATATGACATAATGTTCCGATGAATTGCCTCCTCAGCAACCGTGCTCATTGGCCAAAGGTTTTTAGACCCTTTGAATGCATCGAGCCTCTACCGCACATTGAAAACATAAAGAGAAGTGAGTATTTTATTGATAGTGTATCAACAATATGAGTACTCCCAATAGCTCCTTGGAGTGATTTTATGGACTCGTCGTGTTGTCGCTTACTTTGGCGTCTCTTAAAAGTAGATCTACGAGTGTTTTCACCGGGAAAGAGTCGTCAGGGCTTGCCTTCTCTGCCTGATACTCTTGAGCTTTCCAAAATGGGCCAATTTCTGGTATTACAGGTTGAGGTACCTACTTCCCCAAGGCAGATGTGCGTTACAACTGATCGTAAAGGTTGTTTGGGCGTGCAATGTTTATATTGCCCCCGTGCCTGCCTCCAGTGAAGCAGCAACCCGTCGAGGAGTCTTTTCCCGCTTCCCCCTTCACCTCCGACTTGTCTTTCTTCCTCCAACCCGATTCTCTCTCTGATTTTCTCCAGCCTTTCATCTCCCCTATGCTGTGAGGTTTACCTTGCATGAGTCTTCATTTCCCTCCCATTCCCGGTATTGTGCCTTGAGGGGCAGCCACTCACATCCTGGTTTCCATTCTATCTTCTCCAGCCTCACCCATCTTTAAAGAGCAGGATGTCTACTTTAACTGCACCCTCCATGCTGGCCCGCATGACCAAGGAAGGGCGGTTCCTCGCCCACGATGGTGGCGTGGACATGCGGCACCTCGCCTTCGGTGGACGCGAACCCTCGGTGAGCTCTGTTTTTGATGGGTGCTGAGAATAGAAAATATTTTGGGCATTTGATCTAATGCCTCCAGGATTGCCAGCACTCCAGTAGCCGCCATAGCCATTCGGACCTGGATGAAATGCCAAGGCATGGGGATGCGCATGTGCCATCGTTGGATGAGGATGCGGATGTTCCGTCTACCAAGGTGAGCCATGTTCTAAGAGATGAACAACAACCGCTCGCAATCTCACAATCCTAGAAGCAGAAGTTGGGCCATAGGGAAGTCGATTCTTCGGTTGGTCAAACATCTCAATTCGAGAAGGTCCTCACAAAGAAGCCCCCAAGCCTAGACTCAAGAACACATGCCCAATCTGATCGTTCTGCCGGTCCCTTGCGGATCACATCAGCCAACGATGCACAACCCATCAGTGATCTCGCTGATGCTGTGAGTTCTCATATCCAGGATGACAGGATATCAGAGCTTCTTCGACTCAAAGAGGAGCTACTTGCTGCCAATTCCAAAATTGCTTTGCAGGAACAAGAACTTGCACAGACCCGAGTCATCAAGCACACTCTAGATCAGGCACTAGGCCCTCCTTCTGAGGCAGATTTTGGAGGCCGTGAGATTACCGAGCAGACAATCAGCCACTTGCAGAGTGCTTTCAACGCCTCAAATCCCGCATTTGGCCATTTCCAGGACACCTGGAATGCACAGGAGGACTCACAGTCCGATATCTCGGATGCCATGTCTGCAGGAGCATATAATCGTACTCGTGGCCTTTGGAACCAGCAAAACCAGACCCCTGTCGGGATCAATGTGAATGATCCTCCCTTCAACAAACCGCCTGGAGAGGCTCTCCAGGATTCTCACTTAACAGGCCAAGATCCTTGTCGGTTCTGGAATGGTTCCACTGTCTACCCTGCCTTTGCCGGCCCCGGGTCATTCCAGCCCCAGAGAGTTCTCTCCGGCCTCTCAAACCCTGGATATGGCGTCTATTCGCGGCCACCCAGTGAGCATTCGCGGTTTGTCCAAGCTCCGCTTCCTGGGCCTCGCCGATCTTTTTCCCAGGGACTCCGCGGTGGGACTCTTTTTCCAAACCCAAATCCTACCTGGGGCGCCTACACTCCTATTCTTCCCAACGACTCTGCTAATAAATCGCCTAAATCTCCCGGGTCACCAACTAGCAGACCATCCAGCGGGTTCCAGTCGATCGGGATATATCCAGTGCCATCGTATCAGACACGAGCAGTCACAACGGCTCTTTCTCCAACTGCATCTGAATTCACCACCACGAACACGACAGGAGGAGCCTCTTGGCCAAACTCTACAGTGAGAATCATCGTCGTCTTTAGTTGGGATTTTTACTTACTTGCTGCCGCAGACTAGCGGAACTCCTATTCAGACCTATATTTCCCCTCTCGAGCCACTCAATTATAGACGCCTTCTCGACAAGAACGTTTCGTGTGACTGGAAGTATATCGTGGATAAGATTGTGTGCAACAATGATCAGCAGGCATCTATCTTCCTGCAGCAGAAGCTCAAAGTCGGAACGACTGAGCAGAAGTACGACATCATTGAAGCTATTGTTAGCCAAGCGTACTCGCTCATGGTAAATCGGTTCGGAAATTTTCTCGTCCAGCGTTGCTTTGAACATGGAACTCCCGAACAGGTGGCTTCCATCGCCAATGCAATCAGAGGTAACACGCTCAGCCTGAGTATGGATCCATTTGGGTGTCATGTCATCCAAAAGGCCTTTGATTGCGTTCCGGAGGAACACAAATCTGTCATGGTTCACGAGCTCCTTCGCAGAATCCCAGAGACGGTGATTCACCGGTATGCTTGCCACGTCTGGCAGAAACTATTTGAACTCCGGTGGAGCGATGATCCTCCCCAAATTATGGCCAAGGTAAACGAGGCGCTACGTGGCATGTGGCACGAAGTGGCTCTGGGTGAGACGGGGAGCCTGGTTGTTCAGAATATCTTCGAGAATTGCGTGGAGGAAGAAAAGGTATAGTTCGTCCATTCTCAGCAAGTTCTGAGTTCTAAACCTGCCCCGGAGAAAGACAAATAGATGTGATTTAAGACAGACGCAATGCTGAGAGTGAAACAGAGACCGGCAATTGAAGAAGTTTTAGGAAAAATCGATGTGCTCGCTCACGGTCAATTCGGCAATTGGTGTATTCAGCATATCTGTGAGCATGGTGCGCCGCATGACAAGAGCCGTGCCGTGGAGCACGTTCTTCACTATGCAGTTGATTACAGCATGGATCAATTTGCATCCAAGATTGTTGAAAAATGTTTGAAAATCGGGGGATCGGAGTTCTTGGACCGTTATCTTTCTCGAGTGTGCACTGGGCGTGCGGATCGGCCTCGTATGCCATTGATCGACAGTGAGTTGAGTCCTATTTGATGCCTTCCATATCTTCCCTCCCCCACTCCACACCCTACTCCCAGAGAATGCAAAGAAAACCTGGGTAAAATGGAGCCATACTAAAGGAGGCTTAGTTGCGGGGGACCAGTATGGCAACTACCTAATTCAATGGGTTCTTATGAACGCTGCTCCTCACCAACGGGAACTTGTTGCCAGTCATATTCGGTATGTAATTCTGGATGTTTTTACTTTTGGGACATTCTGTGATATTGATTTTTTATTTAGTAAGCACATGGTTTCCCTTCGAGGTTCCAAGTTTGGATCCCGCGTTGCGATGCTCTGCTGCAATCCATCCCATGCCACCCGTCCCGGCCCTGGTACGGGAATGCAAGTTGGACGCTTCAATCAATTTAATGAGGAGAGATTTTCATCCACAGGCTCAAGCAGTGGTCGTTTCAATCGAAACAACCAATGGAACCCCAGCTATTCTCCATTTCGTTGAAACGTTGCCCTCAATGCCATTATCATTGGCGGATCGACTTCATTCCCGTGTCGTCAGCAGAGAAAGCACTTAAAAAGATGAAAAGACCCAGTCATCAAAGAAAGAACGAGAAAAAAAAGCAATCAAACCCAACGATCATTTGCTGAATTAGTCTTTACATCCATTATCTCCACATTCCCTCTCTGGCATCTGAACAACCTGGTCATCTCCCAACCGTCAGAGCTGGCAACCAACCCCTTTTTTGATGCATGGTTTCCTTGTTGATTTTCGTGGATTCAATCTTGACAGTTCATCCTGCTTGCCGATCTACCAATTTGGCTTGTCATTCCCCCACGTTCCATCACCTCAATCTCCTTGTTACGTCGAGAGACGAGCGTGACTCGAAGACCACTGAGGTGTCAATCTGCTTGTGATGGTGACTGATATCTTCGTTCAAGTTCGGACCAATTATTCGGTGGCTATTATGCCGAAGAGTTTTTGTTTTTCAAGAATTCCCTACGTTGTTATGCGTCACACAATATCTACCGCCGACTTTCCCTTCTGTCGCTTTTTGCTATAACTTCCACGGTTGCTATTCTCCATTTCATGTTATCCAGCCAAACAAAATGGCCGTTGTCGTGCGATTCCAGATACTCCAGGACTGATATCTTTACCATTCCAGTCCCATATAATATTTCTGTTACATTCTCGGTCTCTCCGGTCATCCATCCATCATTCTCTGATGAATGGCTTTTATGTAAAACGTACATAATCGTAGGGTCGAGTAGTTCCTCGTCAAGCAGCGCTGCCGCTTGATTCTTGTAACGTGGGAGCCGCATCATCATCTTTTTCCCATGGCTTTCGTCGTCGGGGCTTTTCGCTCGAAATATCATGCCCTGTTAATACTGTGTTTGGAATCTCCTGAATCCCGGGGATAGGTTGTCCTGTGGTAATGAGCTCCACAATGTGCGCAAATGAGGAAGGATATGCCGGCTCTGAAAGGGGTGGCGCTTCAGTGCTAGAAGCCATCGCGGTCTCGTCAGCATATGCCTTGTCTGATGGCTGTGACAATGTTCCAGCCGGATCTAGTCCCGATGCCTCTGGTGGTTTAAGTGCGGTGAGCCAGGCTTTGTAGGCTGTGAAGTCAATGGGAGGCGAGAGGTTTTCTTTTCTAATTAGATTTCAGCAATGCCATCTGAGGAACAGTGATATATCTATGATGATACCTCGAGTAGAAGAAACACTTGGCCTGTATGACAAGGTCATCATCACGGCTGATCTCCTCCGCAGATGCAGGCACCTCGGCATGGCCTAGAATTATTGCCAGGCCTTTAGCAAACTCGGCGTCTGTGTGAAACGGGTATGCATGCAGCTGTTCGAATGAGCTGGGCGATTGAGTTGGCTGCGTCATTTTTAGGAGCCTAAGTTGATCAGGGAAGAAGTAGCTGCTGGTGCAAGCCTTGGAGAAGTTGCGGAGGAACGAGGGGATGTGGGGCGGAGAGTCGCGATCGAAGTTGTTATCTATAGCCGAGGCTCCAACAATCAGGATGCAGGCCCTGCTGAAGGCCCTCGATTGAGTCATCGAATGCATAGTTTTGGGGAAATTTAGCTCATTACGAAACGAAACCACTTGTGATAAATAGGTATTTGGTTTTATTTTCGAATGTACAGACCCAAACTCCCCCTCCATGCCTTTTTGCCGATGGGAAACCTGGAGCGCCGCTGAAAGCATGCAATCATATCAAGAAGCAAATTATAAGAAGAGGAGCTCTTACTCTTCGAAGTTCTCAGATCTTTCTAAGCTCTAGTATCCATTCCATCGGGCTTGGCAGAGTCACCGGTGGGTGTGCGATTGCTTCTGCTCTGGCAACCAGGACAGTTGTGGACGACTTCATGAGCAAAGAGATCACAATCGATGCAAAAGTGATTCTGACATGCGGTGCATTCGTAACGGCTGCTCACACTCATCCCCTTTGCGGTATTTTCAGAGGCTAGCCACTGGTCCTCTGGAGGTACGACGGGGAACGAAAGACCGCAGGCAAAGCAGGCAGAGCTTTGCGAGGCACGTCGCCACGGCACTTCCACCCAATTGATCAATGGGAACAAGTGATGATAGGAGCGCGCCAGATGAGTCGAAAGAATCAGGGTGAGCCCACAGGATGGGCACTCGGCTGGGAGACTGCATACTTTGCTACCGCAACGCGAACACAGATATCCCCCACGGGACGGTTTGGAATGGCATGCGCAGAGAGAAGAGTGGGCCTCTACGGTGCGAGAGGGAAACCCCATCATCAGGAGCGAGCTGGCAGATTGTTTTTGCGAGTAGGCGGCCGGGGGGGTTGTCACGTCCATCATCAGCTCTCGAAAATGCTGCTCGTGGAGTGCAACACCGTAGACGGTCTCATCACCGCCATTTGTCCGCGTACATAGCTCTCGACAAATTGCGACCTGGGCGGCGAGTCCGACAATTCGAACGCGTACTTTGTCACTAATCAGTGTATTGATAGTTTGATGAATATCCCCAGGGTCCGAGGAAAGGAGGGACCCGAAGATGACCAGCACTTCTCGGGTACCATGACTCGGCGTATGACTGCGCTCAATTGCGCGTTAGCGTAATCCGAGAAAATGGTGTTGTGCGAGTGAAGGGGACATAGCATACAAGAGCGCGCCTCGAGCCATTTCAAGGCCATTCTGTAGACTCGGAAGACCCTTGGGATCTTGAGTTTTGAGCGACTGGATTGCGGTGAGATGTTCAGTTGGATTGCCACTCATGTCGCTGATGCGCAGGGCGAGACCATCTCGCAGGCCCAACACTCCGAGTTGGGAAATGGGATTCTGCTCGAAAAACTCCCGCACGAATTCCTGTGCATATCGCAGGGTCAAGAGGTATCGGGTCGGTCGGAGATCCTTCTCTGCCATGGACTGTGAAAGGTCCAGGATCAGGATGAGGTGTCGAATAATGCCACGCTGAAGAGGTGTTGTATCTTTCAATAGTCTGGCCGCACACGACGTCAGTAACCGAAGCGCCTAGCTTCACGCAGGAGAGCAGGAAGCCTAACCTTTTCCGCTTCCCCGCTTCGAGCAGTCCTTCCACCGTTGAACTGATTGTTCCGTCCGCCCCTTCGACCAGAGTCTCCCAGGTCCGGGACAGCTCCCATTCGGCGCCGCCTCGCTGTTTTCTCTTTCGTGACCGCGTGCGATCATTGCGGGTGACCTGGAAATCATCCTCGTCCTCAGTCGCATCTCCCACATATTCCTCGTCGGAGTCCGCCATGGTGAGTGGGGTTGATGGTGTGGTGAGATGGGGTTAAAGAAAGGTCGTGAAAGGAAGCGGAGTATCGAAGCCGCTGGATTGCTGAGCCGCTGGGTCCAAGCTCCGACGGAGCTCCGTGCGAAATGGGAAAACCTCTCCTGTGCACCCGTGCTTTACAGTCATCACGTCGGCAATTGGGGACGTGGCTTGGGTGAAACCCGTCCAAATCAAAGAACCGACGGTAGCCGTGGTCTCGGGAGCTTCGCTTCAGCCGCGATGTGGGGGAGAAGATCCATTGCGGCGTCGAGACGCGCAGGTGTAGCCATCCAAACCGGCCGTCACCCAGTCGCTCTCCGCCCCTCCCCCTCCTTCGCCTTTTCTTCCGCCACTTCCTCCTCCTCTTCTCCTTACTCTCGCCTGCGCCCTCGGCTCCCGATCCCGCCCAGGCTTGACTTTGGTTTTATCCCAATCAGATATTGCTCCGCCGAAGCTCGTATGATGGCGTCCTCCGACAGAGATACCTTGCCTGACGTGTAAGTTGGTGTCCCCCGAATGGTGGGGATGACCTTTTGTTCATTGTTATTCGTTCAGCAATCTATCATTTCATACTTGTCGATCAGCATCTAATCTGGCTTTATAGGGCGAAGCCTACCAACTATCATGTGTCTCTCTTCGATTTGCAGCTGGGGGGTTCGTGGGAATACAAGGGTGTGGTGAAGGTTGACGCTACGGTCACTCGTACCACGAAGGAAATCGTTCTGAACTCCAAAGAGATTGAAGTGCAGAGTGCTGAGGCGTTGAAGAAAGATGGTATTTACCTTCCAAAGTGAACTTGACAAGCATGGCTAAATGAGACTCGCTGACAACGGCCTTGTTTGATTCTTCCAGGAACGTCACTGGCGAAGGCAACGGAAATCACTTATGATAAGCAATCGGAACGTGTGACGGTTAAATTTCCCCTGGACATTCAACCGGCAGATATTGTGTTATCGATCAATTTTACTGGCACCATGAACAATGCTATGGCCGGCTTCTATCGCTCCAAGTACACCCCCCGTCGGAGAGCCCGCTGCGGACACCCCTAAGGAGGGTGATTTTTACTACATGCTGAGTACTCAGTTTGAGTCTTGTGATGCTCGACGAGCATTTCCTTGTTTTGACGAGCCAAACCTGAAAGCCACATTTGACTTTGAGATTGAAATTCCCAGAGGACAGACGGCGCTCAGTAATATGCCTGTTCAGTCTGAAAGGGACGGTAGTAACCCGGGACTCAAATTCGTCACCTTTGAGAAGACACCTGTGATGAGCACCTATGTCAGTATACTTCAACAGCTTTGCTGTGTCAATCTTGCTGACAACCCATAAACGTCTTTCAGCTCCTCGCATGGGCAATTGGAGACTTCGAGTACGTGGAAGCGATGACCGAGCGCAAGTATCAAGGAAAGAGTATCCCCGTGCGCGTTTATACGACGCGTGGACTCAAAGACCAGGCTCGCTTTGCACTGGAATGTGCCCATCGAACTGTCGACTATTTCTCCGAGATCTTTGAAATTGAATACCCGCTGCCCAAGGCAGATCTCCTGGCTGTGCACGAGTTTGTATGTGCCGATCCTCGTTCCCTGCGATGATACTTAATGTGCTGGCGTGCACTGCTAACACAGCCATTTTTAGGCAATGGGTGCCATGGAGAATTGGGGTCTGGTGACCTACCGCACTACTGCCGTTCTTTTTGATGAAGGCAAGTCGGATAATCGATACAAGAACCGCATTGCCTATGTCGTGGCTCATGGTAAGAATTTCTCGAGTATAATTTACTGGGAGCCTTTTGACCTGATGTTCCTCCTACTTTAATAGAGTTGGCTCACCAGTGGTTTGGAAACCTTGTCACTATGGACTGGTGGAATGAGCTATGGCTGAACGAGGGGTTTGCTACTTGGGTTGGTTGGTTGGCCGTTGACCATTTCTATCCTGGTGAGTCTCCCTCTAGAACGAGGTCGAAAGGCCGCATATCTAACCTGGAAGTTATGCAGATTGGAACATCTGGTCACAGTTTGTCGTACGAAATTCCCGAGGTAAACCCCCTATCTTCTCAGAGAGCTCGATTTGACGTTACCGTAGGCTGAGGGTGTCCAACAAGCTTTCCACTTGGATTCACTGAGAGCTTCCCATCCGATTGAGGTGCCCGTTCGGAACGCTCTCGAGGTAGACCAAATCTTCGACCATATCAGCTACCTGAAGGGAAGCTCAGTCATTCGCATGCTGAGTGTGCACCTCGGCCGAGAGACTTTCCTGAAAGGGGTTGCAGCGTACCTTAAGGCCCATGCATATGGTAAGACAAGACTGCAACTAGAACATGCACACATTCGTGTCTATTCTGATACCCTAGTTTATAGGTAATGCCACAACAAATGACTTGTGGTCGGCTCTGAGCAAGGCTTCTGGCCAGGATGTACACGGGTTTATGGTAAGTGGGAGTAGCGCTGGGAGGATCTTTGAAATGATTCTAATTCAGTCATTCAGGACCCCTGGATTCGCAAGATCGGATTCCCAGTCGTTACCGTGGCAGAGGAGCCTGGCCAGATCAGCGTCCGCCAGAACCGCTTCTTGTCCACGGGAGACGCGAAGCCGGAGGAAGACGAGACCACCTGGTGGATTCCTCTTGGCATCAAGTCCGGCCAGAACCTGGCTACTGTGGACACTCGTGCTCTGACTGAGAAATCCGATATTGTTGGCGGTGTTGGCGAGGATGGCTTCTATAAGATCAACAAGGACCTCGCTGGTTTCTACCGAACTAACTACCCGCCTGCACGATTGGAAAAGCTGGGACAGTCCCTGAATCTCCTAAGCACTGAGGATAAGATTGGGTTGCTGGGCGATGCCGCTGCACTTGCAGTTTCCGGGGAAGGAAACACTCCTGCTCTATTAGCTCTTCTCGAGGGCTTCAAAGGGGAGCAAAACTATCTGTGCGGACCTCTTCCTTGTAATGCTCTTTACGCCAACCGTCACTAACTTTGCCTTCTCTAGAGTTTGGTCCCAAGTTTCTTCATCCCTGGCCAACCTCCGCTCTGTCTTTTCACAGAATGAGTCGCTTGCCGAGGGGCTGAAGAAGTTCACTCGTTCTCTGGCTGGCCCGGCGGTCGAGAAGATTGGCTGGGAATTCCAACCCAACGAGGAGTACCTGAATGTCCAACTTCGCAAGTTGTTGATTGCAATGGCAGGCAATGCCGGCCAAGAAAGGTAAATTTGAGATGAAGAAAACAAAATAAAAACAATCCTATTTTGTTTATTGATCATAGAGTTGGCTAACGATCAATGATAGCATTATCGCGGAGGCCAAACGCCGATTTGATCTCTGGGCTTCTGGTCAGGACCCTAGTGCGGTGCACACCAACCTTCGATCAGCAATCTTCAGTCTCAATGTATCTGAGGGTGGCCCTCGGGAGTTCAATGCAGTGAAGAAGGAGTATCTCCGTACGGACTCTGTGGATGGCAAGGAGATCTGCCTGGCTGCCATGGGACGGACCAAGGAGCCAGCTCTGGTCCAGGAGTATTTGGACTTTGTGTTCTCAGACAAGGTGGCCATTCAGGATATGCACAGTGGCGCCGTGGCTCTCGCCGCCAACTCCAAGATGCGCCATCTTCTGTGGGAGTACATGAAGACCAACTGGGTCTCGGTCGAAGCTCGTTTGTCCTCCAACAACGTCGTGTTCGAGCGGTTCATCCGGATGGGCCTGTCTAAATTTGCCGACCATGCGATCGGGAACGATATTGCCGAATTCTTCAAGAATAAGGAAACAGGGGCTTATGCGCGAGCTCTAGTCATTGTGTCGGACAATATCCGGACCAGCGCATCGTATCAGGAACGGGACCAGGCGCTCGCCCTGGAATGGCTGCAGACTCACGGCTATGCGTGAGGATTGGTCCGACCTGCGTCAGAGCCAGCCGGGCCACCACCGTGACCAGGACTCGAAGCAGATGTTATCACCCGAATCCGTGACATTGGGGTGGGTTGGACTAGTAGGCTAACGTGCGTAGATCACCTGGACTGGCCAACTGAGGCTCCCACAAGGCAGTGGGGCGGGGAACATGGTGAGAGTGCCTGTGATGTATGTAAACCGCACGCGAGAGAAAAAGTGAGAGCGAGAGAGAGAGAAGAATGCAACCGTATCAATATCTTCGTGTCATATTCCGATTCACGAGAAAACCCTCCAATAGACATCCAACGTCCTCTTCCCTTCGTCGTAGTACTTGAAAACAAGTTGTTTGCTGGGTTGCCAAAGGCGGTGACGCTGAAACAAAGCTGCGCCTCCGGCGCATCTGCCCTCCTGCACCTCCTATCATTTCAGGCGTTCATCATCCAGTTCCCTCCAAACCCCCGACACGCCTTTTTCATCTCTTGCTCTGCTCTCGGTTATAATCACCCCGATTTGGTGTCTTGATATCCTCGCTTCCCCTATATCCACCACTCTTACACCATGAACCCCGAGTGGTAAGCCCGACGCTCCGTCTATTTTGAAATCTCCCTCTCCGTATTCCCAGGTCCCTGGCAGCGCATGGCTCCGGCACCCGGGGACTCGCAAGAAAAGAAGCAAGAAACTAACCTGGGGTGGGTTTTTTTAGAGTAGTCCTACTGTGCTGGTCTTTCCCCATTTTGCGAACCCACCACGTCCAACTCGTCGATCTGCGGGACCTAACCAAGGACAGATACGACTATCTCTTCAAGCTCCTCCTCATCGGAGACTCCGGTGTCGGAAAGTCTTGTCTGTTGCTCCGTTTCGCGGATGACACTTACACGGAAAGCTACATCTCTACCATCGGTGTTGACTTTGTAGGTGGATATCGGGTCTGCGGGGTTGTGCCCGAAATGGGATGCTGACGCACTTGGTTTCTAGAAAATCCGGACAATCGAGCTCGATGGCAAGACCGTAAAACTTCAGATTGTACGCGAAATTCTTTGGTCCCCTCTTTGCCTCAGCCATGGGATCTAGATGTCTCTTGAGGGATGCATGAATGGATTCTGGCTAACTGATACCTGCAGTGGGACACTGCTGGCCAGGAACGATTCCGTACCATCACATCGTCCTACTACCGCGGCGCCCACGGAATTTGCGTTGTGTACGATGTGACCGATATGGACTCCTTCAACAACGTCAAGCAGTGGCTTCAGGAGATTGACCGATACGCTACCGAGGGTGTCAACAAGCTGCTTGTCGGTAACAAGAGCGATATGGAAGACAAGAAGGTCGTAGAGTACACTGTGGCCAAGGTATGATCTCTTGCGATACTCATTGTAGTGTCATCCATCGGTTCTTTACCCGATCCCGACCTTTGTGGACGAGTTTGCGGATGGGACTGAGTGCTGACCTGGTTTTCTCTCTCTCTTTTTTTTGCTGTAATAGGAGTTCGCCGATAGCCTTGGAATCCCCTTCCTCGAAACCTCCGCCAAAAACGCCTCGAACGTCGAGCAGGCCTTCTTGACAATGGCACGACAGATTAAGGAGCGTATGGGAACTGCCACCGTTAACAATAAACCCACCGTCCAAGTCGGCCAGGGCCAGGGCGTCCAGTCCGGCTCCGCAGGCGGCTGCTGCTAGACGATGACTCTGCGGGTGCGGTGCTTCCATTTGGCGCAATGTTACATCATGGACGAGGGCTGTCCAAACCGCGTGGTATCCGGTCCCTTCTCCGACCTTCGCCATGGCTTTGATCCAAATGGCCGAGAAGACGACCGGCATAGGTTTACTCAATTTGTTTTGCGACCACCACTGGGACCGCCCTTTCTCTCCCCATTTTCTTCTCTGTGCTTTAGACGGCCCTGCGTTATGTCATTCTCCGTTTTGCTCTGTGATTACCGCCCCCTGGTGTTTCTCCGTTTTTGTTGCTTATTTTTTCCCCTGATTTCCTTTTTCTCCTTTCTCTTTTCTGGCCGCATCTCTTTTTGGCCCTTCATTCTCTCTTGTGTTTTCTTGTAGTCTGGATTCATCTCTTCCGAATGAATTAATGGCGAGGCCTTGTTTGCTTCTTTTCCGGGACATGATTTCCACAATGAATTATGCAATCCTCCCCAATACTCCGCGTGGCACCTGGTCTTTGGATCCAGGTGTGCTATCCAAGTTAGTTGTAAAATATCTGTATGGACCCGTACATATATACATACATTTCTCTCCGAGTCCCCCCTACTCTAGTCAAAAGGCCGCCCCTTGTGAAGTAAGGCCGGCGGTGATCCAGGAGGTCCACGGGGCTGGGATCACATGCAATCCGCACCTCCACGGGCGATCGTGAAGGGGAACTCTAACTTCCAACCTCCTGTCCAATTGTGCCTCGAGTCCCCCAGTCACGCGAGATCCTCTTTTTCGTGGGGGGCAAAGGGCGCAGGTAGATGCGCCTGGCTATCATGTCTCATGTCCGTGTCCGCCTCCGACACGGTTCGGAATGTTCCCCTAGTGGAGTTGGGCAGGTGCCGAGGCACAGCAGTCGGCAAAACGTCATGAACCCTCTTCATTTCCCCCAAGCCGAATCATTATCGCGCCCTTTCCTGGTCTCTTTTTTCTTCAACACGATCCGCTCCTTTGATTTCTAGAATTTCTTCTGTCTTCTCTGCGCTCTCCGGACTCCGCAACCGCCCCGCCCTTTCGTGAATACCCACCTCCACCACTCGCACCACCCCAGCCATTCTTGCCAACAGCTCCGATCATGTCTCAGGCTCAACGTGACCAGCAACCTCCGAAGCCAGCGCCCTCTGCGGCTCTGCAGCAGAGTGACAACATTGCCCACGCGCTGGCGGGTGCTGGTGGTGGCGTCCTGTCGATGGTCTTGACGTACGCGAGCCCCGCGTTTCTTCCCCATGGGTCTTCCCCCCTCCCCAATTGCTAAGATCCACCTCCACAGATACCCTTTGATCACCCTGTCCACCAGAGCCCAAGTCGAGTCCAAGCGCGCGCACTCCACCGCCCTCGATGCGGTCCGACGTATTGTCCAGCGGGAGGGCATTTCCGGGCTCTATTCGGGTCTGGAATCCGCCCTGTTCGGAATCAGTGTTACCAACTTTGTATACTACTACTGGTACGAGTGGACCCGCGCGGCTTTCGAGAAGGCTGCCGTACAGGCTGGCCGGGCCTCTAAGAAGCTCACAACTGCCGAATCTATGATCGCCGGTGCGATCGCTGGCAGCGCTACGGTGCTCCTCACCAACCCGATCTGGGTCATTAACACCCGCATGACTGCTCGAAAGTCGGAATCCGAGGAGCAGTCCCTGCCAGGGGCTCCTCAGAAACCCAAGGCCTCGACCCTCAGCACCCTGATGGACTTGCTACGACAGGAAGGTCCCAAGGCTTTGTTTGCAGGTGTCCTGCCTGCGTTGATCCTGGTGATCAATCCCATCCTGCAATACACTATCTTTGAGCAGCTGAAGAACGTTGTGGAGCGTCGACGGCGGATGACTCCAAAGGATGCTTTCTACCTGGGGGCACTGGGTAAGATCATGGCCACGAGCATTACGTACCCCTACATCACTGTCAAGAGCCGGATGCATGTGGCCAGCAAGGATGGCCCTAAGGAGACCCTTAATGGAAGCCTCAAGAGAATTATTCAAGAGGAAGGCTGGACCGGGCTTTACAAGGGTGAGTCAATTACTTTTTGGTTGATCCATTGGAGACGATATACTCACATTCGTGTTGCTCAGGCATTGGGCCAAAGGTGACCCAGAGTGCCATCACTGCGGCATTCCTCTTTGCTTTCAAAGATGTGCTCTATGACACGATGGTATCACTGCGCAAGGGACGTGCCATTCGGAAGTAAGCGGAAGCTCAGGCTTCTTTCTTGAGGCCATCTAAAGGGGTCATCACAAGAGTTTCCTTGAACATAGCTGGGGCTGATGTCCCTCTAGAGTTCTTGCTCTTAGATGCCCTCCAGCAATTGATTTTCTACTGAGCAAGTCAGAGGCCAACGAAGCACCTCGGACTCTCGTTCTGGAATTTCTCTTCAGTAAAATGGGAAATCCACGTATCGCCGTTTTCTCATTGTGTTCAAAGATCACTTACTTCTTTTGGGTGATCTTCAACAGACTTGTACATATAGCGAATTGTTCTCTCCGAACTATAATGTGATGTGGAAGGGTGCTAGATTGAAAGGTCCTTTCTAGGAGGGTTTCTTCTGATATCCACTATTCTACTGTTTAAATTCATCTATTCTACTCCTGGCTTGGACCTGTATCTGATAACTTCCTTTTGTGTTCTTGTTGTAGAAGATTATCAATTCGAAATATACAATGGTGGCATCTCTAATACCAACTACCTTCCTCTTCTGATTAATTGGCTTCCTTCCCAAGTTGGGCCTTGACCGCCTGCCAGATTTACCGCCCCACTTTCGCCCCGTCACGTAGCGCGTTTTCGCGATTTCCCCGTTCCTGATCTCCCACTCCCCATTCTCCATTTCCCGTCTGCGGTGTTCTTCCATTGTCTTGCATGGCAGAGCATTGCTTGATATACAACTCTAAGGTAAGAATTCTAGGCCTTATCTGTCTTTATCATCTTGTTTTTCTAAAACCTTGCCTAACCGTCTTTGTGCTAAGGTTGCCTAATAATCCCTTCCCTTATCGCGTTGGTTGATGACGCAGGTCCTTGAAGCCGTTCTATTCTGTAAAGGCACCGAGCTTCTTTTCAAGACTACCACAGCACATAAAAGGGGTTACTTTTGACTGCTGCTTATGAAGAAGTGCAGACTTGACGCTCTATTAACCTGACCTCATCTGTTATGATGGATCTCTCTGTCAATCTCTCCTTGAAAAGCCAAGCCCTTCACTCCCGCTCTAACCTCTGCTCATACTTGAGGTCAGTAGTTCCCCGTATATCAGGAAGTAAATAGAATGCACTCACAATTTCTTAGTTTGTGATTGTATTGTCATGATGTTGAATGGGTTCACTCGCAGTAGGCGGAGGAGCACTGCGCCTGGCTTTACTTTGGATTCTTCCAAAGAGCCAGAGATTCAGCTTCTGGCCCGGCGTCTATTCCTGCAATATACTCAAGGCTTCAACTCGCAAACCTCCCAGAAACGGGAGCATAATGTCTCGGTAACTCATGGCCATTCCACGTTCCAGAGCGGCGATGTGTTGCACGCCTCTCAGAATGAGGTGACTGAGTTGGCAGGAGAGCATCACTGTTTGAGTAATACCTACCAGTCCTCAGATTTCCGGAGTCCAGTGATCCCATCAACAAGCCTCACCTCTCCTGTCCGCACTCGTTCTCGAACTCGCTCTCGTAATCACTCTCCCTCTGGCCTGTTTACTTCTCATCCCACCGACAATGAACAACCTGAAACTGCTTCTTCCCCCTCCAAACTTTCAATACGTACCTCTCAGCAAACAAGCCTCCTGAGACCTACTCGGCAGGAGAATTTGAGAAAAAGCGTTGCCTTATCGAACGTGGCTCGGACTCACCTTGAACAAACTGCTTCCAAGTCTAGGCTAACCAAGGAGAGGACGCCACCGCCATCTGAAGGAGCTGCGTTAGAGCACGCCTTGCACACCAATAAAAAGGGACCTTTGGCTGTTCCCCACACGTTACATATGTCATCGTCAGACTACCGGTCATCGTCAAGCCCCCCGAGATCTTCCAGCTCTCCAACTCCAAACACTAAAGGTACAACTATCCGGCGATCTAATCGGCCCAGGAAGGAGCCGGCCACTTATGACTTGAAGGCTTTATCCGATCTTGAAAGAGTGTGGATCTCTGAGGATGAGTCAACCTCTGCTATCGCCGTCACTGATAATATTTGCTCCTTCAACATACCATGCCAGTCTCAATCAACGGCACCTGTTCCCAGGGTCAATTTCCAGAAACTCTTATTTGAACGTGAACTTCGTCGTGGAAAGAAGAAGAGGCAGATTCAAACGACGGTGGCTTCGTCCCTGAAACCGTGGAAGCGCTGGAAGGGCGCCTCCAACGATGTATGTGCGCTTGCCTGGTCACCCGATGGCACCAGGTTTGCTGCCGGAGCTACGGCTCACCCGGATGAATATAACCGCCGAAACAACCTGACCCTGGGCGACCTCACAGACGGTTCCTTGTGTGAGCTTCCAGACCACTGGGTTCCTTGTCCTGGTTCGGCCTCGTCGAGTATTTCAGACGACCGCCTGTTTACGACCATGACCGCGATCCAATGGGCTGGAGATCGGCTCTATACCGCTAGCTACGACCATACCATCAGAATTTGGGACGTTGAATCCCGGCACCGTCCAGCCCGCGTCATAAGAACGCTCCCACATGATTCAAAGGTGCGGGTTATGTGCCTATCAAACTCGACGCCCAATTTGATTGCAACTGGTACCGAGAAGACGTTTGGTTTATGGCGTACCTCTCCAGAAGACTGCGATCCTACCTACACCTCTTTACCAATACAGCGGAATTCCCGCCAGAAGACTCACATTGACCTTGAACCAACCAATCTGACGTGGGGCGGGAATGCTCAGACAAGCCATCTTTTGATAGGCGGCATGGCGGAGCAGAGCCAAGATGAATACAATGTCTCCCCCTTCGGCCATCTCGGGATGTGGAGCATTAGGGAATCCTCCGTAGAACTGCGAAAGCTCAGCCGGGATTCGCAAAATATTTTCGATATCAAGTGGCACCCCAATAGGCCAGTGTTCGCGACAGCGAGTACGACCAGTCCGTCTTTTGAGCTCCCGTCGCGCACCAGATCCGTTGTCCAGCTGTACGATATCCAGTTGAATGACAAATCTACTATTATCGGCCAATTTCCCTGTCCAGCCATGGACATCAATGAACTAAGCTTTTGTCCCATGGACTCAGTCTATATGACGGCGAGTTGTACCGATGGCAGCACCTACATTTGGGATCACCGAAATCCGGGAAAGATCTTGCATCAACTCCGGCATGGCATGCCACAAATGCCACTGAATCCTGATTACTCTCGAGAAGTCACTGATCTGGGAGTCAAAGCAGCTCTCTGGGGCCCAACTATTGACCAATTCTATACTGGTGGCTCTGATGGGTTTCTCAAACAGTGGGATATCCGCCGGTCTCCTGAAGATGTGCTCGTTGCGAATACGACCAACATCGAGGAGGGCATTGTGAGCGGTGCATTTTCGAACGACAAATCCCAGCTCCTCCTGGGCGATTTTTCCGGTGCAATTCATATTTTATCCTGCGGACCCTATTCAGATCCAGAACCAGCTGACGTTGAACTTCACTTTCGGCCTGCTCCGGATCCAGAGAGTTCATCTGTCGAGCAGCCGGGGATTCCGATCGCGCAAGAGCTGGTATCTACAGGGCAGCTTGTTCTGCACCCTGTCTACGGACCTATCCAGGGGCCTCAGTATCAAGGACCGTGGGCGCGGTGGGCGCGTGGTCTCGAGAAAAAGGCTCCTGCTGATATGGTACAACAAGTACCGTTACTTCCCAATATTCGACTTCGCCAGTTTGATGGTCCCCCAGCACTGGATCGGGAACTTGATGCAGAGGCCCAACGGGAGGTTCAGTGTCACTTCAACCTCGCGCACGCACGACATGGACGGCCAAATTTAGGCGTTCCGCCTCAGGGAAAGAAACGCAAACGTGAGAGCAATACTGCTGGCTCATCTACAGCGGAGTTGGGTTCCCAGCGCCTGGGAGAGCCCAAGAAGAAAAGAAAAAAGGAGAGAAAGAAAGACAAGAAAGAGAAGGTGAAAAAGCGATATCGAAGTGACAGTGGATTTGTGATCACCAATATGGACTCCTCGATCATCGACTTGACGATGGATTCTGACGAAGCCGCCGACTCGAACCTGAAGCCGTCCTCCAGCATCTTACCAAAAGGATCATCAGGCGCCTCATCGGAAGCTTTGCAAACGCCAGCACCTTCTAGCCCCACTGCGTTGAAAGACGAACCCACAGACTCAGATGAAGACTATTGGTGGCCAGATAGCGCACATGTGGACGCGAACTTTGGCTATGAAGGCGTTTAGGTCAATGTACTGCTGCCTTGACGTACCGCCGCACACCGCAAGCTTGCCTAGGCTAAATCACATTGCATTGAGCGCGTGGAGTCCGCCGTGTATCTTGAATCTTGAATTTTCGGCGCGCCAGATCTCCCATACTTTTTGTACACAACTTTTATGACAATCATATCTTTCCTACAATGACTTACGAAAGTGCTAGAACATTTGAATCGTGGTCTAGTCCGCTGGTGACTCCAGACTAGTAAATATCCGGGATGACGTTGTGCACTGCCACGGTGGCGCACGCTGCATCGCTTACTCGGATGGCCAAGTACTGCAAGTTCATAAACTTCGTCCACTCGCTTCTGGAATATCACTTGGCTTTTCCCCCTCCACCCCCTTTGTCCATTTTCCATTTCCTCGTTGGAATCTGCAGCATACTTGATCTCTCTGTCTTAAAACGTCTTCAAAGAAACCACACTTTCGACATGTCCTCCTCCTACGCCCCACCTCCTGGACCGCCGCCGCCAACGGTTCCAGACGGCTGGAAAGCGCAGTATGACGAACGGTATCAGACATGGTAGGTTGTCGCACACGACTCCGATGAAAATTCCCCCGCGCCCAAACTAACCCCAACGATCTGATCAGGTTCTACATCAACATTGCTACCGGCAAGTCACAATGGGAACGGCCTGAAGCATCACCAGCTGCACCGCCTAGCGCTCCCCCGCGGAATTGCCGACCAACCCCGCAGCTGGCGACACGAAACAGCCGATGGCCTCCAACAACCCTTACAACTCCATCAATGCTACCAAGGGCGCTAGCCCCAACACCCTTGACGAAGATGCGCGCCTGGCCGCCCAGCTGCAGGCCGAGGAAGACGCGCGCGCACGCAGCCGAGGCGCCGGGGACTCCGGCACCGCGGCCGACTACTACAGCGATACATCGCGACCGCAGCCCAGCGGCGCAGGCTACGGACCCGGGCCATCCGCGCCGAGCCCTATGCCTGAGCAGAAACGCAGCAAGGGCTTCTTCAGCAAGCTGATGGGCAAAAGCTCTGGGAGCAGCTCACGCCCGTACGCTTCATATCCGCAGCAGCCAGGTTCATACGCGCCGCAGCCTGCTCCATCGGGAGGCTACTATGGTGGATACCCTCAGCAAGCCGCTCCCCAGCAAGGGTATGGCTATCCCCCGGCTGGGTATGGTGGCTACCCACCCCAGGGCGGCTACTATGCGCAGCAGCAGCAGCAACGCCCGCCGCGGAAAAGTGGCGGGATGGGCACGGCAGGAGCGGCAGCCCTCGGAGTTGGTGGAGGGTTGTTGGGCGGTCTCTTGATTGCCGATGCTGTGGAGGACATGGGGGATCATCATGACTATGACGATGGCCCTGGTGGGTGGGATGATGGCGGTGGTGACTTTGGAGGCGGTGACTTCTAAACAGGAATGATCGCCTATTGCTTTTCTTTCCCCCTCTTTCTGGTTTCCAGTTTTCTTTAATTTGTCTTCACAGTCCTTTTCTTCTCTCATGATGTATACGGCTGTCTTCGTTTGGGGTGAAGCCCCTAGGTTCGGGAATGGGGTTTGGGGTTTGCTCTTTTCGGCGCTGACTGGATTGGAATGTTTTCACCTCTGGAGGGACTTTCGTGTGGAAAGAGTTCTCATTTTTTTTTCCTCACATGCCCTCACGACAATGTGTAGTTGCATAGCTAATTTCTCATGCATTCTGAATTTCAAACAATTCTCCATGTTTTCTTTGATTATGTCACTGGGTGAATATACTCTATCGGCTTTAACCCCGAGGGCTGGACATATCTAACCGTCGGTGTGACTGGTATGTACTGCTAAGGATGGCATGGGAATGCATTTTTAACCCCGCCGGCGGGCTGAACCGGCCTCTCGCCCTGTAGCGCCTCCTGGAGCTTGATCAGTCTTGGCCACGTTGGGTGAGGTGCCAGCCATCCAGCCCGCAAGGTCAAATCCACCACCCGCCATCGCGTTGGTTGTCGCGCCGGATAGAGGTGAGGCCCGCGACTGCTGCTCAAATTCGGCACGCATCTCCGGATCCACTGAGAAGGGTGTTAGTCGCTGGGTAATCAATAAGCAAGAGAGAATGTCAGGGGGGGGGGACGTACTATTCTCCATCAGTTTGGGCATTCCAAAGGTCAGGCCCAGGGCGACAACAGCCATCAAGATCATCGGGTTCTTGAAGAGGCTCAGTGGTGAGACTGTCGGACCACCAAAAATATATTAGCTCGCATCGGTTATGAATCTTTGCCAATGGCAATGATCATTGTTATGGATCCCTGCGGGGGATGGAGATAGAGATGTAGATGAGGAGGGGGGCAGCAACTCACACTTCGCACGCTCCTCATAGAAGCTCTTGCGCGCGATGGCTTTGGCCTCGACGACCACATCGACGGATTTCTTGCTGGCCACATCGACGACATATTTCTCGGCGCCGCGGTTATCCCACGCATTGCCGCGGAAGGTCTCCCAGATGCCCAGCACGGTGCCGTCGGCGGCGACGTCGACGCGGTAGGGTGCGAACACGTACTCGCCGGAGCGGATATCCAGGAGGTATGATGCGGGCTGGCCGGTTGGGAGATCGGGGAAGACCAGGGTCGAGGCATGGGTTAGAGAGGCCGTCAAGCGGTGGTCACTGTCGGCAGAGAGGGTGGTGAGGGTGGCATGGGTGGTTGCGGGGAGCACCTGGGGATTAGGTAGAAGTGTGGAGGGAGGAATGGAGATGGTGAGGGAGGCGGCGGCCAACTGGGCAAGCCAGAGGACTGTGAGTAGCAAGGAGGCCATGGTAGGCAGCACAATTGCGCTCGCAGCGATCGCAGACAGAGCAAAATCCGACGACCGGTGTGGAATGACAGGAGGATCAGACCTAAAATGATACAAGAGGAGAGAGAGCTTGGGTGGTCTGGAATGGGACCACGAATCACGAGTCCTCGATGGGCCCGAGGGGGAGCATGTCTGACCGCCTTTCTTACCGCCTCTAATGTGCCGGGGGAAGAATCAGATCAGGTGAGATCAGGTGAGATCAGGTGAAACCAGATGATGTCCGGTGTTCCAATCAGGTGCTCTGGACTTGGTATGTTATAGACGGTCCCTTTCCGTGGTGGGGAGAAGGAGAGGGTACGGTATAGATGAGGTGGGGTTCAAGTCAATTGCCGGTTCCCTTTTTGCCTTCTTGTCGGATTTTTCTGTCGACAAAAATCGGAGAAAACGAGCGAGTCCCCGAGGCCCTTTCGGCCCCGTCATGGACTCGGTGGACTCGGTGGCCTTGGTGGAGTGCCGGGCGGGTTGGGGAATGCGAAGCAACACGGAGAAACCTACCCACAAATCACGGCGTGATTATTGGCTCGACGAGGGATCTCGATTGCCCTGCAACTCGACCCTTGTCACGGTCGTCTCGGGTCGAGATCGTGGTCGAGTCCGAGTGCCCGAGTGTCGCGACTATTGGAATAGGAAGGAGGGAGGTGAAAGGGGTCGATCTATCATAGTCTGAAGCGTCTGAAGAGCCTGGACAGTCTGCAGAAACGCGATGAGCCTGAAGCGCTGCGAATTAGTCGTCTTGGTCGAGGCTACTGCAGGGCTACGCAAGTCCATCTTCAAGACGGTGCCAGGGTGCCGTTTAGCGTGGCGCCGCTTCTGTTCTGCATCGGCTAAACCACCAGGCGCCTCTAGCGCCGAAAAAAAAAAAAAAAGCCCTGCCTTTAACGGGGATTTTTCTAACGTAAAACTAGACGAAAACCCGGGACTCGTCCGTGGTCGATGGTCTCTAGCTCTGGTAAACTTCAATATCCTCGATATCCTCGATAGCCTGAATATCCTGTCTCCTCTGTCTCCTCTGTAGCCTATCTGTGCTCTCTCTCTCTATAGATCGTCCCTGTCCTTGCTAGTCCGGTCGCGAACTATGAATCAGAAGTGACGGAGAATCCGCGACGGAGTCAGCACAGCCGTTCAGCCTATTCAGTAAACCGTCTTTGCCCGAAGCCTCCACCGTCGCCAGTCGCCCGCCGGTTCTGGTTCTGCGTCTCTGGTTCTGGTTCCCCGCCCCTGACATTCGTCCTCTTACCCTCCTCTCTCCTCCTCCTCCTTTCCCCCCCCCCCCCTCCTCATCCTCCTCTCTATCCTCGCATTCTTGGCGTCGCGGATGCTTGATTTGCGGATTCGCGAGGTTTGAAGGTGTTGAGACCATTCGACGGGGCAGACGAGGAACTCCGGCCTGGCACCACCATTACCACCCCCGCTCCACCCGGGCCAAACCCAGCCCCAGCCAACCGCCTCCGCGGACTTGACCTCGATCTCGATTGAACCCCAATCCCCTCCTCCTGATCCTCCTCTCTTTCTCCCTCTCTCTCTCTCGTCGTCTGCGCGATTTTTTTTTCTCTCCCCTTTAGTTCTCTCAAAAGGATACGATGGAGTCCCAACCGGCCATATCATGGTCGGAACAACTCCACGAGACCACCTTGATCACCGCCCCCAGCGAAGATGAATTCTCCAACTTTCTGGAATTCAACATGCATTTTGCCGACCTCGAAGGGCACGGACCAGCACATTCCCACCTGCAGGACCAGCAACATCCTCTGGGGCCTCCTCCGCCCACTACCACCGCGACCACAGCCCCCGAGTCTGCTCATCCCCAGTATTCGGGCGCAATGGAAGGCCTCGCCATGGATTTCACCGGGCAGGACCCTGTCCCCTCGCAACAGCCGGGGCCCATCCCGTACTCCACCCCCAACATGACCCCGGGCTTCTGCGCCCAGGATGCCTCGCACCAGCCCATGATGGCGCACCAGCAATCACAGCCCGGCCAGTCGCACTACATCCAGAGCCAGGCGATGATTCCACCCACCCCCAACAGCATGGAGTTGCACGGCAATGCGTCCCGGTACCCCCAGCGAATCGATGAGAACTCGGAGATGTACGATCGCTACTCGCGCATCAACGAAGAACAGGTCTGCTCATTCCCCTCCCGCCCCTCCTCTCTTCCCCCCCCTCCCCCGCACAGGGATAGAATCCCGAGTTCCAAAGGGGCGACTCTGCCGCATCTGATACGAATGGACACTGACTTCCCTTTTTTTTTTTCCCTCGCCCAGGCCCTGTATACTCCACTCGTATCTCCTGCCATGACTCCACTGGAGAATCAATTTCGCCTCCCAGAATACACCATCCCCGGAGAATACTTCACCCCTCTCACCTCACCCGCCCTGGAGGCGCAGAATGCCAGCAGCTCCGGCAATGGCTACCCGTATCATTCGCGTCAGGTATCGGATGTGGGCTTCGTGCCCACTAGCGCGGAGATCAACCCACTGTCAGGCATCTCAGCTCCGGGCTCCCCCAGCATCATCCGCAAAAGTCGCCGGCGGCCCTCGGTTGCCTCGTCACGACTGGCGGGGCGCACCAACAAACCTCGTCAATCCCCTCACATCCGGGCTCAAACACAATCCCAGCACAACCGGGGCAAACACGTCGCTCTCAATTCGGAGGAATTCTACAGCAGTCTAACCCAAGAGCTGAACAAGCCCCGTAACCATGATGTGCGGTCTCTCCAGGTCAGCAGTAACGAGGGATCCGGGCAAGATTCGGTCTCCCCAGAGCCCTTACCTGACTCGTTAATGCCGCCGCCAGCCATTCCTCCGCCTCGCAAGTCTCCCGCCATCACTCCGCAAGCCGCCCAGTCGCCGGGCACTGCGGCGACTCCCGCCACTCTCATGCGTATTCAGCGGTCCCAGCATGTCCAAGAAGGATCTCCGTCCTTCACTGATCGGCCCCAGCTCGAATATCATGATGAAGTGATGGAGGATATCTCTCTGCCCGAGGCGGCCGCGCCGGTCGTGCAGCTCCGTCCCAACCTCGCTCGCATCGACACTAGCATGCGGACCGACACGGCAAGCCCCATTATCTCCGCGAATGTGACCCCCTCGCTCGAACCCCGGTCGACCGCCGCGGACCGCACTCCCGGGTCAGTCGCATTCAGCCCGCGCACGGTGGCCATGCCGTCCCCCAGCGGGCCCGTCCCGAAGAGGTCTGACCCTTCGCGATCATCCATCTCTAGTCGGAAACGGCCCAGCTTGAGCTCCACCCAGGCGAGCCCGCAACTGCGGCCGAAGATCAGCCCGAGCATTCAACCGATGATGCGAGGCGGTGACAGTGAGTTTGACATTTTCCCCATGCTGAAAGAATGGGACCCTACCGATCAACATACTAATGTGATTTTTTTTGACTTGATAGATATGTCCCAAGACGCCCTGTACCTTGCCTCCAAGTCCAACTATCAGCACATTCTTGACGGTACTCTTCCGTCTGGTGTTTCATACCCTGAAACCCTGGCTGAGAACTTGAGTTCCAAACGGACCAATCACAAGCTCGCAGAACAAGGTCGTCGGAATCGTATCAATAGCGCCCTGAAAGAGATTGAGTCCCTGATCCCGCCCGAATTCATACAGGCTCGACAGGCCAAAGAAGCGGCGTTAGCAAACAGTGCTAAGCCAGGGGATAAGGAGAAAGAGAAAGAAAAAGAGAAGCCCGCCAACCAGGCCATCAGCAAGGCGAGCGCCGTGGAGATGGCCATCGATTACATCAAAGCCTTGAAGATGACCTTGAATGACACGGCGTCGAAATTGGCGGCCGCAGAAGCTAAGCTGGCGGGCGTCCACCTCGACGACGAGAAATCGACAGAGAAGGCCGAAGTCCCTGGTTTGTCCGAGAAGACCACCAATAACATGACCCTGGGCGCAGGCCATTCCAGTTGACCCTGACGATCGATCATATATTCTGTACTAAAAAAAACGAGCCTGGGGGTGTTTTGGATTTTGGATTGCGCTGCTCTTGTCTTCCCCTCCCTCCACCCCCCAGCACGCGTCGTTTTTCTTTTCTCTCTTATGCGGTGCTCTTCTACTCATTCGTGCAGAGCTTCTCTTGCAAATATGTAATGATTTCCTTTCTCTTTGGGACCGGAACGGGTTTGCTAGCGTTGGTGTTATTGCTTTTTTTCTGGGTGGCCTCTTGCTGTTTTGTCTCCTCACGGATTGTATCTCGATAGACTCTGATATCAATGTAAACGAATCTCTTTCCCCAATCCTTCCCTGTCGTGACTCTGTACCTGAAATGAAACTCGGATATACATACTAGCTTGATTGGACGTTTTGAACGCACGGGGCTCTCTACGCCCCCCGTCCATGACCCACATGAAGTGATTCCAGTTCAGGCAAAAGTACCGCTATGGGTCCCCAAGACAAGCCACGAACCAGAGGGGAAAGGGAGGGGAAGTTCCGAAGCCCTCGGCTTGCATGAAACCGAAGGATAGATGACAGATGGGATATAGATGAGTTACTATTCAGAGCTATGATTCTAAACGAGAAACGCCCACTTTGCTGTGCATTGATGCTCCCAATGACCATCTCAATCCCTTCTGGGATGCGAGCCAAGATGAAGGTGAGTGTCTGAAGTAGGTACTCTTCTACGTTTCCACATTGCTGTGCAGTGTGTGGGTTGTATAGAAGATCTATACCATATGGAACGTGTATCGGATGTGAGACATGGGACGTGGTGCAACTTCGTAGGTAATCCTCCTATACACGATAGCCATATACGTATTAGACTCTATATGCTATACGCCACACACTATGCACTATATACAAATCCATGATCGGGGCCATCTCAAGCCACTAGAAGAACACGAACACGGCAGACGATGCAGCCAATGCCCGACGATCAAATCACCTAAATGACTCGTCAATCACTCGGCTCGTAAAAACAAAACAAATAGCTACGAACTCGCTCGGAATCACGCCATCGACGTCCCCCCTCCTCCAGCACTTTCTGCTCTTTCCCCCTCTTTCTCATTCAACATCATATATTCTCTCTTATACTCCCCGGCCTACTGAGATCTCTAGTTCTGGTACATATTCTCTTGCCTTGTTGGGTCACTTTTTCTGTTTTGTTACAGACTCCCTGTATCGTGTTCGACAAGCTCCGCATATCGGTTCCCCGCATTTTCCACCATGGGCGATCAAAAGAATCTCCACTTTGAAACCCTCCAACTTCACGCTGGGTACGTATTATTCCTGACGCTACCTCCTTGCGCCACCAATGGAATGTGTGAAACGCGTAAAATCACCCAGATCTCACGACTGACAGGCTCGAAGACATGAACCGGATTCAGTAACCAATTCTCGCGCGGTCCCCATCTACGCGACGACATCATACACCTTCAATGACTCCGCCCACGGCGCGAGGCTCTTCGGCCTCAAGGAGTTTGGAAACATCTACAGCCGGATCATGAATCCCACTGTCGATGTCTTCGAGAAGCGCATCGCTGCCCTAGAAGGTGGTGTTGCTGCCGTGGCAGCGGCCTCAGGCCAGTCCGCCCAGTTCATGGCTATCACCGCTCTGGCCCACGCTGGTGATAACATCGTCTCGACCAGCAACCTCTACGGTGGCACCTATAACCAGTTCAAAGTCCTGTTCCCACGGCTGGGCATCACCACAAAATTTGTCAACGGTGATGCCCCGGCTGACATTGCGGCTGCCATCGACGACCGAACCAAAGCCGTCTACGTCGAGACGATTGGCAATCCTCGTTACAACGTACCTGATTTTGAGGCCATTGCCAAGGTGGCCCATGACAAAGGGTTACCTCTTGTGGTAAGTACTCGTGAATCTGACAAGATTTGATATCGCCCGGGGGCGGAAAAAGAAAAAGAAAAAGAAAAAGAAAAAGAAAAACGGGGATCACCATTCAAAAGCTCACCATGTACGTACTTCTATCTAGGTCGACAACACTTTTGGAGCTGGCGGTTATTTCGCACGTCCAATTGACCATGGGGCCGACATCGTCGTGCACAGTGCCACCAAATGGATTGGCGGTCACGGCACCACCATCGGTGGCGTCGTGATTGACAGCGGCAAATTCGACTGGGGGAAGCATGGTGCCCGCTTCCCGCAGTTCGTTGAGCCGTCGGAAGGATACCATGGACTGAAGTTCTGGGAGACCTTTGGCTCCATTGCATACGCGATTCGAGTGCGCGTGGAGATTCTCCGTGACGTCGGTGCGGCGCTGAATCCGTTCGCAGCGCAACAATTGCTCTTAGGCCTGGAGACGCTGAGTCTGCGGTGCGAGCGGCATGCGAGCAATGCGCTTGCGCTGGCTCAATGGTTGCAGAAGAACGAGCACGTCAGTTGGGTCTCATACCCGGGTCTTGAGGACCATCCGTCACATGCGACGGCGAAGAAATACCTGACGCGTGGCTTTGGCGGCGTCCTCTCAGTGGGCATCAAAGGAGGAGCTGCAGCAGGGAGCCAGGTGGTTGATGGCTTCAAGTTGATCTCGAATCTTGCCAAGTATGTTTGTTGTTGCTAATGCGAGAACATTTTTGTTGAGCTGTGCCCACTAACCTTTCTTTTCTTTTCCACCTTTCCCAGTGTTGGCGACTCCAAGACCTTGGCCATTCATCCATGGACTACCACCCATGAGCAACTTACGGACCAGGAACGAGCAGACTCTGGAGTCACGGAGGATGCGATACGGATCTCCGTAGGCACTGAGCATATTGAAGACATTATTGCCGATTTCGAGCAGTCATTCCGCGCCTCTAAAGCTGCTGTACCAGACCGTACAGCTTAGTGAGGTTGATGGGGATGCCATGCGTTTACATCAAATGAGGAAGGCTTTTTGATATACCTATCGATTAGGTCTGGTTTTCTGCGAGACGCAGAGAGCGCAGTGGGGAGGCAGAGGGAGAATCTGTTAAGTGAAAAACGATGAAGATGATGAAGAAAGCAATATATTTGAGCTTATTCCATATTTTGCCGAAGGATAGGAGTTTCTCATCCCATAGGGCTCATAATTGTAGTATATTTCCCATTTCGCCGTACTAAAAGGGTTTACTATTTACCGAAGCCAATCTAATCAGTCTTACACCGTACGATTTGTACAAGGTTATAGCCGCTCCAAAAACCCTCTACAGAGGCGAGTGAGAGCAGCAGGAAAAAACTTATTCAGGGTCAATTGGCCCCAAGTGCTGTATCTGAAATGAATGGGAAAAAAGCCGATCGAATCACCGTTGTAGCAGTGTCTCCGCCCACCCACACCGCTTCCGCGTTGTGGGTGTGCCACACACAGATTCAACACCACACACAGATTCAACATTTTTCCTATTTCCCCTATCTACTACTGCATCCTACTAGTATCTATAAAGAAACCTAGCCCATTCTGACGTGCTTCCTCTGCTCTATCTAATGATGCCTAGGATTCCTGTGTAGGTTCTGGTGGTGGTGATATTCCATACGCTTTCTTCCACTGCTTCCTTACCCGCTTCCGCTCTGCCTCTGCTTCCTTCTCATTTCTTTTAGCAATAGAACGATTTGCATCTCTAATAGAGAGTACCCCTGTTTTGCTAAGCGGCGTTTTAACCTAGCGCTTAGTGATTAGGCGCTGTAGTGGTTGTTGAGCTTCCCTAATCTTGCGAATAGTATCGTTTGCTAGATATAGGTTCTCTATAGCAATCTTGTTATAATAAAATAACCGGTCAAGATTGCGTTGCTGCCTAGGTGTAAGATCTTCTTGTTGATATCTAGCAATCTTCTTTTGATTCTTCTCTAGATCCTGTATAGATCTAGGCGGCGATTTGTCGATACTAGAAGAAGATATAGTAGTTTGTGGTGGCGGCGAAGGTGTTGAATAAAGCGGTAGATCTGGTGCTGTAAGATCTTGATACTCTTAGATAGGAAGGCTATTAATAACCTTTCTACTATCGACTGGATATATCCTACGATCTTTAAACGATTCACGAATAATTCGCTAGCTAAACGCTCTATTCCGAATATCACCGATTATTCGAAGGAACTCGGATCTTCCGATAGGGCTTCCACCCTAAAACGCTTAGTCGTTATTCGCTAAGCGGAAGTATTGCTTATAGCTTAGAAACGGCTTACCGTCTAGCGGCTAGCAAAGATGCGTAGTATATAGTAGGAATCCTATAGGTAGGATATTATTCTCTTCGCAAAGGTGTAGGAATTCGAATATAAGATGCGAACCGTGGCCGTCGAATATTAGGATACGTTTTTTACCCGATTTCGTACGGTCGTATATTGATTCTATAAAGAATCGAAGCTATTGAACTACTATACTATCGGTTATCTAACCGTTTAGCGATGTAGTGATAGTAGTTCTTAGTAGTAGGTCGTCTATTTAATTAAACCAAGATTCTATAAAGACCCCGTTGCCTTTAAAGATGAACCAGGGTTCTATCTGCCACCCGTCGGCAGCTATACACTCGATAGACGTAATATTTTCGCCTTAGTCTAGCTGAGGAAGGTCTACTACCTTCCTACTACTACTAGTAGTAGTAGTAGATATAACGTTTCTAGACCTTCCTTCGCCTAGTTGAAAGCCGCATTCATCAAAGTTATAGACTAAGCGTGGTGGTGTAGTCTTCTTAATCGTTTAGGCTAGTAGATCGTACTAATTCGCTAATGCTGCTAGGTCTTCTACTAGGATTCGCTTTGACTCCTTCGTATACTGCTTAGTAGGCCCTAATTGAAGATGTTTAGGAAGCCTATTAATAAAGCGATACGCCTATATCTTGCTAACCGACGGCTTCCCGACGCGTTAGCATGCACGATTCGCCCACGCTTCTAGTATCCTAGGAGTGATAGGCATATAGCAATCGTTCATATATTGAATCCAGCGAATTAAGGCCTCTTCTTGATAGGCTTCTAGGGCCTGTTTAGCATTGCGTTTAGCTGTATTAGGCCCTGCTCCTTTTTTGATTCGATTATAGAGGGTGTATCGGTTAACACCAAATTCGCGTGCTAAACGCGCTATATTCGGCTTCTCAACGCGTGATGCAGCTAGGCAGGCCTCTGCCATACGAGATTCATCAAATTTAGGCATATTTAGATGGTGGTGTTGGATAGGGAAGCAAAAAATAGGGGAAGTAGGAAATGTTGAATCTGTGTGTGGTGTTGAATCTGTGTGTGGCACACCCACAACGCGGAAGCGGTGTGGGTGGGCGGAGACACTGCTAGTTATATCATTTGAAATTCAGCCATCCTAACAGCCATCCTAACAGCTAACCCAAGCCTGCAGCGCATCGTCTCAGAGTCGAAGACGACCATCTAGTCTCTTATCGTCTCTACTCTACCATGTACAACGACATTGTAATTTATGAGAGCAGGACGAAAAAAAAGCTGAAGGAATGAAAACCATAACCATAGTACATAGTTTCGAGCTCTCCTGCAGCACAGAGCATTGGTCATTACAGCTCCTGAGCCTATGATAACGCAAAGGGAATATGCAAGGGTGGTAGTACGGTACATGAGAAAAGTAGAACGAAGAATGAGGAAATCAAAAAATCAAAAAAAGAAGAAAGAAGAAGAAAAACAAGTTGAAGAAGGAAAAAAGTGGAAATAACAAAAGGCCAGAAAACCTCCCTCCCTCCAAACCAGTGGGCGAAGAAATATGCCAACCCATCAAACGCCAGTAACCTCGCCCTCCGGCACGAGAAGCCCGAGGGACCAGATGCAACAAAGTTTTGAGAAGACAAGGTACGAATGGGCCGAATATGAAAAGCGTCGGCGGAAAAGTCGAGAGAAAACAAAAAAGCGCTTTTCTTTTAGTTACCCTGTCCCGGAGGCGGGGGTTGGGTGGTAGGCATGGCACCGGCTTGGGCACCACCCATCATGAAACCTGGCGGCAGCATGGGCATGCTGGCGAAGTTGAAGCCATAGGCCGGGACAGCAGGGGCGACCGCCGGGTTATTGACAGTCGACATGTCCCGATCGTTGCGGCCCGGGCCTCCTGGGTTGGGCGCGCCACCATAGGCATCACGATCCGGGCGGCCGCGGCCACCTCCAGCACCAGCACCAGCACCAGCACCAGCACCACTGCCAGCGAATCGGTCAGGATTCTGACCACGAGAAGAAACCGGACCACGCTTGCCGCCGGTGTCGGTGGCGATGCGACGACTGATGGCCTTAGACGAGACACCGGCACCGATTTCGATATCGGGCTCCTCGACGACCATACCAGCCTCGATTTCACGGCCACCCGTGCCGCCATATTCGGCAGTGAGCATCCACTTGCAATCCGCCTCAGTGAGACGCTCGATGGGGATCACACTGATGCCGGTCTGATAGTCGCTGCAGTCCCGAGGGCCAAAACCAACACCCCAGCGGGTGCGGAGCTGCATTTCCCCGGAGCGGAAGGATTCCATGCCATCCCGGGCACTCACGGCATCCTGGCGGCTGATCATCTTGATAAAAGCGTGACGCTTATCGATGTTAACAATACAGGTCTGGACAATGCCAAACTTTCCAAAAAGAGAGCGGAGGTGGGCTTCTGAAGAGGTGACACCGCCGACAAAGAGGGTCCGGCTAAGGACTTTGATACTCTTCGCACCGATGGAGTAGTCCCACTCGATGAGTTTGGGGCCGGGCGGGGGGAGGTTGGGGTCTTTGGCCTGAGGAGAGGGCGATCGGCGTCGACGGCCAGGGGGGCTGCGCTGGCGATACTCAGGACCCCGACGGGAGCCACGGGCATCACGGGGGTCTCCACGGCGTCCCGGAGAGTCGCCGTGGTACTCCCCATAGACTGGACTGTCGCGACGGCGGGGGGCGAGGCGGTGCGACGACGGTCCCAGCCCGGAGAACGGGATCGGCGGCGATAGCTACTGCCACCGGGAGGAGAGCGAGGGTATTCACGATCGCGGCCGCGGTCATCACGGTTCTCAGTGTGGTTCCAGCCGCCGGCACCCGGGCCAGGCATGGCGCCAAATCCGGGAATCTGGGGGGCAGCGCCACCCATTGGGTTGGACATGTTGAGCAGCTGCAAGGCGGTGCTCCACTGGTCCTGTGGGATACCCTGCTGAGACAGGAATTGCAGCAGCTGGAGCTGTTGTGAGAGTGCGTTGCCATCCGGCACCGCGGGGGCGGGCTGGGCCATCATGGCCGCCAGGGGGTTCTGCGCCGACGCCATTGGGTTGGGGGTTTGGCTCTGACTCTGAGGCTGGGGCATGACCGGGTTCTGGCCCAGCCCGAGAGCAGCGAAAGGATTCGCCATGGCGCCGGAAGGCGCATATGGGTTGACTGCTGAAGGCGGAAGAGACGGGTCCGAGGAGCCGGGCAGCGAGGCGGATGGGTTCAGCGCGGCCAAAGGGTTTGCAGGGGCAGCTGCGACAGGAGCAGCAGGAGCCGCCGTGTTCTGCTTGGCCATGTCTGCCAGTGCCTTTAGGATACTCGAGGTATCGGGAGCCGCCGCAGAGCCATTTGCGGGCGCTTGCGGCGGCTGCAATTGCGATGAGGCCATGGCGCTCAGAGACGCCAGAGGGTTCAGGCCTGGGGCCGGGGAGCCCTCCGGAGTGGTGGACTGGATATCTACAGAGAGGTTAGAATTCGAATAGAATCGACTGGTTGGGAGGGCGGCGCTTACTTGGGGGCGCGTTTAACTTCTCACGGAACGAAGCAAGCATAGCCGCGGGGAACGTATAGCCGCGCTCCCAGATATCGATGAGCTTCTTGATCTTCTCCTACAGAATTCAAGCATACGTGAGCAATACGGGTCTCCTCCAATCAAACATGAGAACATGACAGTATGGCAGCAAACGAGTTATCCCCCTCTACTCGGATGGATCCAATCATGAAGGCATGAAGGTTTGGCCCCCAACGAGGAACCAGGGTGATCCGGGGCAAACAGGCCCCGCAGAGGAGATCGTCTGAAGGTCTGCGTGTCGGAACAGCTGCAATATCTAAAGCGTACCTTTTGATCTTGTGGTGCATTGTTTATGATGTCGGTCATCAGCACGGGCAACAGCTCCGTTACTCGATTGACCCCGGCCGCGAAGGTTCCATCTGGCGCGGCGCTTCCGGGAGGCTGACCAGCCTTGCGAGCCGCTTCTACCCATTGACGGGTTACAGAGTCTACGACATACAGGACGCCCAGCTTGTGAGTGCCCGGTGCCTTTTTGAAGTGGGTGTAGATCTTTTGGATAAGAACAGATTCATTCTGTGACCAGTTAGCCTCATATCCAATCAGATACAGCAGATCAAAGCGGAAAACCATCAACAACAGCCACTGCTGTTGCTGTCGTAATCTGCTGCTATGACCGAGTGGACGTAACGGAGGGTGGGAGAGGGAGAGGGAGAGAGCAAGAGAGTCGTACCTGAACATTGGCATTGCACAGGGTTGTGATGCCTTGGATCTTGGATCCTGAGACGCCCGGAGGCTTGAGTTTCAGCATGGACTGGAGGAGATCCTCCAGCTCCGCTACGTCCGAGGACATGGTGATGGTGTTGATAAGTGGTGAGAGAGTCTTGTTTTTCCTTCTGGCTGCCACTCTAAAGAAACAACGGAGACCAGATGACTGCGAGAAGACCTGGAGGAAAAAACCCAGCCAGCGAATCCTGGTAGCTACTGCAGGTGATGGTAGGCAAGAGGTAAAAGAGAAACCAGCGGGTGGGAGAGATGGAGAGATGGAGATGGAGAGATGCAGAGGTGAAGTGGAAGGTCAAGGGGTTAGAGGCAAAAACAAAGTTGGGCTGCTAACGACAACTGCTCTTTTCCTTCCCTGTGGACGGTGTACTGCAGATTGTGTACGGTGTACTGCCTCCCGCACTTTGGAGTACTGGGAGGATCCTCAAAAAAAATCTCTTTTTATGGGTTCTTAGCGGACCGTGTCTGTTTTCTTGTTCGTCTACAGCACGAGCGGATTCACTGTCGAAGCCAGAGAACTGCCGCCTACAGCTGGAATACAGCCTAGCGATATAGAGAGCGAAGAGAGGCTGGTTTCACTCGAAGCCCAGCAAGTACGTGTACGAGGGGAGAACAACTTAGTACAGTCGTCACGAGTCGTCCCAGGCGCAGACTCCCAGCGAGGCAACGGATTTACAAAGTACAAGCAATCCGTGGATGAGGCGAGATAAAAACCAAGATGGAAAGGGGAGGATGGCGGATGGCGGATGGCGGATGGCGAGAGTGAAAAGAGGAAGAAAAGGGGAGGTGATGAAAGGATGAAAGGTGCCAACAGGAAAGAACTTTGGCAGGGGTTGGGCGCTAGACTCGATTCAGGCAGAATCACGTGTATCACGTGAAGAGTCAGACGATTGGTCACGTGAATATCGAACAGATAATAAACACGTGATGTGATATCACGTGCTGTTTTAGGCCTGGTTTCGAAGGTGTCGTTGCGGCCGTTGTAGCGGTTCTAGTCTGCCGTCGTCGAGTCGGTTGAGTCGATGGATTCGGTTGATTCGGTTGGTTCCCCCGGCTACAGACTACTGTACTGGAGCGGTTTTTATCCACTCTGGAACACCAAGTGTCCTAGTGGAGCCACCCAAACTGGGACCACAATGTCCATCATCGTAGTCTGTACACTCCGTACTGGAGTCGGTGTGGTGAGTGGAGAATGCTGGGTATCAAAAAAGTGTAAAACCTCGCAGATGTGAGGAATGTATGTACTATATGTAGGGAGTACTCTGTAAACGGCATGTTCAGACTGCCTCGACCTCCCTAAGAGCGGATCCCGAATCGAGACATATCTTTCTCGGCTGGACATGACGCTGGACTCTTCGACTGGGCCCGGAGACTCTTACTCCGGGCAATCAGCCACCTTGTAGTCAACCGAGGCTGACGGAACCCGAATGCTCATTCTGGACAGAACAGACCCGGTTTCATTTCTTTGGCTGACAAGTATTTACACCCGCACACACCACACATTCACGATGCGGTGCGACCACAAATGCATCCCAACCAGTTTTCACCGTGATCTTTTTACAAAATACCTCGCAAAAGCCTCTACCAGAACCATGAAGGACCCAAATGCGAAAACCTGAATAAGAAGGAATTCTTCCATCATGGAGTGCTCAGCTCCGGAGTAGTTCATCACCGGTATCCCAATTTCCTTTGGAGTAAAGCAACTGATCTACTACTCGATCCTATACATCGTGGTAGTAAGCGATCTCCCCTGCTCCTCCCGATTCTGCCCTTTCTGTCCGCCAACCGCTACGAACTCCCCGATTTCGGTGAACCATTTCAGAACGCGTCCGGCTACCAACGGGACAGCCTATCAGCCCCCTTAGTGCATAGGGAAAGGATTGTGCCGTCCGTGGAATATGGGCAGTCAAAATCACAGACCTGAACAAGGCGGGGGAAGGGAAGAAACAAAGCTGAATGGATGCATACGTAGTAGATGGTGTCTACCTCTATACTCTTTCGGGGCGATGGCCCCTCCGATCACGAAATCTACGATGCCGAGGGCCCCAAAAGTTCGGGGATCCGGATGACGGATGGCGGCACGGAAGAATATGGCGACTTGCCGACGTCACTGCCAGGCGCCCACCATCAGGGTTAGCGGGTTAGCGGGTTTGCGGGTTTGCGGGTAGTAAAATACACCAGCACCACGTTCCCTTGAATACCTCCTCTCCTTGGAGTCCTCTGGAGATGAAAGGTGGAGTGATGGCCAGAATAACTACCTTTTTAGTATTGTTTTTCTCTGCTTTCTCTCGTAGGCAAGCTCCTCCTGATCATGATCGAATGGACGGAGCAATAGATGGCTGAGTATGTACAAGGTACTGGGCATAGCACAGCCAATCCTCCACCAAGCAAGGTACTCTGTACATCCGATGTGACAGCACGCTAAGTGTCGTATTAAAGATTGATATGATAAACAAAAACAAAAATGGGGGGGGAGGGGAGAAGGGGCAAATCTCCCCCAAAATCTCTTTTTTTTTCCCGGATTTTTACTGTACGAATTCCCCCAGAGTACGGAAGGGATGCACATACGACTGGCGTGGATCGGGGGCGGATATGCGAGCGGAAGCAGTCGGACGGCCCAGCAACAGGGCGATCAACCGGCAGCCCGACGAAGTACCGCGCGAGGTACCTTTTCGTCCTGCCGTCCTCCCGCGTACTCGGCGGTACCGTTGGGAAAATTACCAGCTGATCCTTCCTCGACGGGCTCCCGAACCGTGACCGTACCGCCGGTATTACCTTACCAGCTGGCAAAAAATCCGAGAAAAATCAGGGAGCTGCCGGATGATTTCTTTTCTCTTTCCCTTCCCCCTCCCCATCTTCTCTCTTCCTTCTTTCTTCCCCTTCCATATCCACAGAATACCCCCTGTGATTCACATACCATGGCCTCTTCTCTTCGGATCGGTACCTCCGCTCTGCGGTCCTCTATCGCAAAGCCCGTCCAGACTGCTGCTCTGAACGGTGCTCGCTGCTACTCCTCCGCAAAGGCCAAGGTATGTGCTCTGCACCCCTGGCTCCAGCTTTGCGAAGCTTCAATTGGCATGCTAACTGGCTCCGACAGTCCCTCAAGGAGACCTTCGCCGACAACCTCCCCGCTGAGATCGAGAAGGTCAAGAAGCTCCGCAAGTATGTTTCCATCCCTGCCCCGAAGTTTCTTGTAGTCGCCGACAACAGCCGCTCATGGTTCAATCTGCAGGGAGTTCGGTAACAAGGTCATTGGTGAGGTCACCCTCGACCAGGCCTACGGTGGTGCCCGTGGCATCAAGTCCCTCGTCTGGGAGGTAAGCTATTCCAGCTCTGGGTCTTTCATTGCGCGCCAACGACGCGAGGCTAATCTTTTTTTTTCTCATAGGGCTCCGTCCTTGACTCCGAGGAGGGTATCCGTTTCCGTGGCCACACCGTATGTCAATGCTTTTCAAGAGTACTGTCCCCTTTCAATAAGACGCGCCACTGACCCATTGTCTTGCACTCATAGATCCCCGACATCCAGAAGCTCCTTCCCAAGGCCCCCGGTGGCCAGGAGCCCCTGCCTGAGGGTCTCTTCTGGCTGCTTCTGACTGGCGAGATCCCCTCCGAGCAGCAGGTCCGCGACCTGTCCGCCGAGTGGGCTGCCCGTTCCGATGTCCCCAAGTTCGTTGAGGAGCTCATCGACCGCTGCCCCAGCACCCTCCACCCCATGGCCCAGTTCTCTCTGGCCGTGACTGCGCTGGAGCACGAGTCCGGTTTCGCCAAGGCCTACGCCAAGGGTATCAACAAGAAGGACTACTGGTCATACACCTTCGAGGACTCGATGGACCTGATTGCCAAGCTGCCCACCATCGCCGCCAAGATCTACCGCAACGTCTTCAAGGATGGTAAGGTCGCCCCTATCCAGAAGGACCAGGATTACTCCTTCAACCTGGCCAACCAGCTGGGCTTCGGCGGCAACAAGGACTTTGTTGAGCTGATGCGTCTGTACCTGACCATCCACTCCGACCACGAGGGTGGCAACGTCAGCGCCCACACCACCCACCTGGTCGGCAGTGCCCTGAGCTCCCCTATGCTCTCCCTGTCCGCTGGTCTCCAGGGTCTGGCCGGTCCCCTCCACGGTCTCGCCAACCAGGAGGTGCTCAACTGGCTCACCGAGATGAAGGCCGCCATCGGCAACGACCTCAGCGACCAGTCTATCAAGGACTACCTCTGGTCCACCCTGAACGCTGGCCGTGTCGTGCCCGGCTACGGTCACGCCGTCCTGCGCAAGACCGACCCCCGCTACGTCTCCCAGCGCGAGTTCGCTCTGCGCATGCTGCCCGATGACCCCATGTTCAAGCTGGTCAGCCAGGTCTATAAGATCGCCCCCGGTGTCCTGACCGAGCACGGCAAGACCAAGAACCCCTACCCCAACGTCGATGCCCACTCTGGTGTTCTGCTCCAGTACTACGGCCTGACTGAGGCCAACTACTACACCGTCCTCTTCGGTGTGTCCCGTGCTCTTGGTGTCCTGCCCCAGCTGATTATCGACCGTGCCCTCGGTATGCCCATTGAGCGCCCCAAGTCGTTCAGCACTGAGGCCTACGCCAAGCTGGTCGGTGCCAAGCTGTAAGGCAATCCACCAAAAACCCATCCCCCCTTTTTATAACAACCGTGCCTCTCTCTCCCTCTCTTTTTAGTGTCTCGTTTGATTTTGGGAAATTTCCGGGATTGAGTGGAAGACGTGTGTATTATTTGTCCTTATTATTTTCGTCGCGCGGATTTGCCCTGTGATTTCTTCATGTTGTATGATAGGACTTGATCGGTTCGAGCGGGCCTTGTAACAGCACTTCCAAAATGAAACCCAGCATGAATTGGTCACGCCCAAATTCTTCGTTTCCTTGTCTATCTGTACTACATCTGTACTTTGTCTCGTAAGATTCGGTACGTCACCAATGTTTTGGGGCAAGAACCTTGATAGAGGATGTGGCGTCGACCAGATCTACGATTGAATACCCCATCTCTCTTGAACTGGAGTATAAGAATGCAGGGTTGAATGCATATGTTCAACCCAACCATAGACAGAGAAGAAGAGAGATATGATCTCAAGCCCTCTCCGACGATCTACTTCGGACTCTTCACTAAGTATAGTTTGGGATGGAGTACTATATCACCCCCGGACAGCTCCTGATGCTGCGCCCGGAGTACTCCCGAGGGCTTCATATCCTGATTGAACCCTTTGATAGTCTCCATAATCTCCATCGTCTCGGGTCATTGCGATCCCGAATGCGCCTCAAAGGAGCTATCGTGTGGGAGGGCCAAGTCTGGCGGCTACTCGTAGAATCGAGCACACGGGAACTGTTGGGGGCGCCGGCGATTGGGTGAGCCTCTCAACCATCCTCACCGACCCACCCTTTCCGAAAAAAAAAATGGACATCTAGAAAAGGGGGGGGGGGGGATGTCAATTGGGAAATCCAAGGGAATCAAAAATGAGCTGGCAGTGCGTGTAGATGGCCGTACTGAATAGTTCCGCGGGACGTCCGGACTCCTCCATACTTCCTCGGTCAACAGAAAATCGCCGAGCATCGTCTCGCAGGGCAATTCAATCGCCGACATACGGACTCGATGTTCCGTGGCCGTTCAGGCTCCCAGGCTCTCAGGCCCCGAGGCGTCGGTATGGGAGGTACCCAGTACCCGATGGTCTGAGCGGAGACCTGGGCCCGGCCAGGTTCCCAGTACGGAGCAACCCAAGCAACCAAGCAGCACCGCCAAATAAACACAGACCAAGCGCTACTTGGTACACCTGAGCATTGCCCCCAGCTGACTGGTTAGTTTGCACACGCCTTATAAGTCAATTGCGCCTCCCTTCCTCCTCTCCTCCTCCTCTCCCCTACTCACAAACGCTACAAGCTTCCATTCTTGTTCCCCCCTCTCTTTTTCTCTTCCCTTCTCAGGCGCCGACGCCCCTTATATCCCTTGGTCAGGGCCCCTTTCAGCATCCTCTACCCCAACGATGTCTACCGCTACTCCGGAGAAGGCCGCTGCGCCAACACTCGAGAAGAAGCCCGTCAAGTTCAGCAACCTGCTGCTGGGCGCTGGTTTGAACATGTTCGAGGTCACCACCTTGGGACAGGTATGAATTTCCTGTCCTTCACTCCCAGGCAGGCTGGCTGGTTGGCTACATGGTCGCCTGGCTGCCGCCAAAAGATAACAACACGCATGATCAAATACAAAATGCTCACCACCACCTCTTTCTTCTAGCCGCTGGAAGTGATCAAGACAACCATGGCCGCGAATCGGGGCGACAGCTTCGCCGGCGCTATGGGTCGGATTTGGGGCCGTGGTGGCATCCTCGGTTGTATGTGACACCTTTCTCTCCCCCAATTTCCTCCGATACACGCAACTTGGCAGGGTGGGGGGGACTACCCCCAGAACGGAGTAGATCTCTCCGCCCCTGTCTTGCTCCTCCCCCAACCACCGAGCATGTGAACACAATCCGGCTAATGCAGGGACGATTTGATTTAGACTATCAAGGACTCATTCCCTGGGCCTGGATTGAGGCCTCCACCAAAGGTGCGGTGCTCCTGTTCGTCGCCTCCGAGGCAGAGTATCAGGCCCGTCGCTTCGGTGCCAATGACTTCGTCGGTGGAATCGCCGGTGGCATGGTCGGCGGTATCGCCCAGGCCTATGCCACCATGGGTTTCTGTACCTGCATGAAGACGGTGGAGATCACCAAGCACAAGATGGCCGCCCAGGGTGTCAAACCCCCTGGCACCTTCACCACCTTCATGGACATTTATCGCAAGGAGGGCATCCGCGGGATCAACCGCGGTGTCAATGCCGTCGCTATCCGTCAGACCACCAACTGGGGTTCTCGCTTCGGTCTGTCGCGTCTGGCCGAGTCGGCGATCCGCAAGGTGACTGGCAAGGACGACTCCCAGAAGCTGTCTCCCTGGGAGAAGATCCTGGCCTCCGGTCTGGGTGGTGGTCTCTCCGCCTGGAACCAACCCATTGAGGTCATCCGTGTGGAGATGCAAAGCAAGACCGAAGACCCCAACCGCCCCAAGAACCTGACCGTCGGCAAGACCTTGAAGTACATCTACGACTCGAACGGCGTCAAGGGTCTCTACCGTGGTGTGGCTCCCCGTATTGGCCTGGGTATCTGGCAGACTGTCTGCATGGTGGCTCTTGGTGACATGTAAGCTTTTCTCTTGAGCCTTTACTCTTCTCCCTTGATATTTCATGCGACGCCTCGGGCTAACCATATTTCCATCAAACAGGGCTAAGGAAGCTGTTGAGAAGCTGACTGGCGAGAAGGTCACCGCGAAGCACTAAAGAGAAGGTTTGAGATACCCTTCTGCTATGCAGCGACTGTCGGAGAAAGGCACCACAAAAGGGGGCGCCATCATTCAACATACACATCCATAATTCATCTGATTCTTCCTCAAAAGGGAGAGCCCCCTGATCGATACCCATTGAATACCATTTGCGATTGTGATTCTCCACGAGCCTATGCTGTCCAAGCCTCGAATTTTCTGTTGTTATCTTTTCTATTTCCTGCTCCCTATCTGTTGTAGTTTACGACTCTTGTCGTCTTGCCGTTTCCTCCATCTGCCCGTCTTTTTTTTCCTTTTTTTGGTTGGTTTCTCATGTCCGGGGGGAAATAGACTTAGACGTATCTGGTTATATCGCCTGGAGCAGAAATGGACCAAATTCCCCCAAATTGACATCCAATTCCTTCTCTTTTCCATCAATAGAACTAGGGCCAATCCAAGGCAGAGCTAGGGGAAAGCAGGAGTATATCCTGAAATCCTGAATCATCCGATTTCGGGGTTTGCGCGCCCATTCGGCTCTTTGACACACTCCCGCTGCGCTAAGAATCCCTCCCATCCCGCGTCACATACAAAGTACAATAATACAGAGGTAACAATTGCAAGCCGCAAAACGAAATACCTTTCGCGACCCGTTTACCCGTAGCGCCAGGTATCAGATGGCCGAGGAAGATGTTTAGTGTAAGTGTAATTCCGCCCGTCCGTCCGGCTGCAGATGCAAGTTGTAGCGTGTTCGGAGGAGACTCCGAAGACGTTCGACCTCGGCTAGACTTTTCGACACGGGGCCGAGTCGCATTATTTGTTGTCTTGTGCTAAGGTCTCGCAGGGCATCGACGTCATATGATTGTTATGCTTTTTAAATTGTTAATCATCCTGTGATTGCTTGCCGTTCCTGGATTCTTGATGGATCTGGCGTGGGAGGGCAAGAACTAGAATTATAGCCAGCGAGATATACCAGGGATTTCTCTCCTCTCAGCCCTCTTTCCTCTTGACGGATGAAGAGAAGCAATGAATGAAGAACACTAGAAGGGCATCGATTGGCTGGCGTGTCAGAACTATCATTACATAGGGGAGGGAAAGAGATCTGATTCGTCTCGAGAGTGCTTTGTAGGATCCGGTCGAGTGCGAGTCTAGCCGCATAATGTTCTTTTATTTCATTTATGTGCTTATTTCACGTTGTTAGCATGTGATAAAATAGAAGTGAACTTGCTGTTTAACCAGGGATATTTTGCAGGAAACTAGGAAGTACGTCTTAACTATCGATTGATATATTGATATCGGGGGACCGAAGGTATAGGCCACTTAAGAGAGAAACGGATATCTACGATGGAAAACAGAGTATATACATATACCACCATTTACCATAAAAAAATTCAATGGGAAACTATAGTTCCCAGACCGATTGAACTCTTACGAACACGGGATCAAATAAGGTACAATTGTATTACAGTCAACTACACCCTGAAACAAAGGAGATATCGGCAAGGAATCTAGGCACAAGTGATCACATCAAATCCAAACGGGGAAACACGCTTTTCCCTCGATCTAGGGTTGTATGGTATACAGAAGGGGTTTAAACCGTCAGGCCAAGGTCCTCGGCGTAGGGGAGCTGGAAGACGTCACCAACGCTGACGAGGGTAGCCTTGCCAGTAAGGAAGGACTTGGCAACCTGAGGGAGGAATTAGATGTTAGCACCGGAATAGCTCCAAAAGAGATGAAAGAAGGAGAGAGGGGGGGGAAGAGAGAGAAACTAGGGAGTTACATACCTCCTTGACCTGTTGCTCAGAGACATTCTCAATGGCCTGAGCGATCTCGCCGATCTGGTAGGGCTTGTTACCGTGGATGAGACCAGAGCCGGTGGCCTCGAGGCCAGTCTCCAGGGTCTGAATAGACTCCAGGGCGCGGAACTTGGCAAGGGCAGTGGCCTTCTTGATCTCCTCGCTGGAAACCTCGCCGGCGGCAGCCTTCTTCAGGGCATCGACGACGTTCTTGGTGGCAGCGCCAACCTGGTCGGCCTGGCCGGAAAGGGTGACGGTGAAGAGACCGGCATCAGAGTAGGCCAGGTTCTGGGTCGAGACATTGAGCTGGGAGAAGCCCTGGGTGGCCTTGGACAGGAGAGAGAAGCCGGGGGTCCACTTGATGGTGGACTGACCTCCCAGCAGAGCAGCCAGGACGGAAGCCTCGGCCTTGTAGCCAGCAGTGCCGAAGGCGCTGGAGCCGGGGAAGGCAATCACGACGGCGTTTCCGGTCTTGGAGGCGATGCGCTGCTCACCACCGAAGTACTTGGAGGCCTCAGTGGGCTGGACCTTGTACTGGCTGGAGGCGGTGCCGGTGGGCAGGTCCTTGAAGAACTGGCCAACCCACTTGGAGACCTCAGCGGAGTTCGGGCCGCTGGCAACGAGAGCCACGTTGGACTTGGCATAGGCGTCCTGAGCGAACTGGGCCAAGGCATCGGCCGAGACGTACTTCTCATAGGGGTTGGTCTGGGAGGGGGTGATGGGAGAACCCAGACCGCGGTGGAAAGCAACGCCGTGGGCGGCATCGAGGGCAACGTTCTCGGGGTTGGCAAAGAGAGCCTGCTGCTTGTACTTGAGGAGTTGGCTGACAAGCTCGCTCAGTTCGTGGTCTAACATCAAATGGGAAAGTATCATGTCAGTAAAATGGAACCTATGCCATTCATTCTTCTTTCCGACCTCAATCCCTTCTAATTATCTATTTGGAAGGTGAAAGGTTCAACTGACCAGCGAACTTGGTTTGACTGGCAACCTCGGCCAACAGCTCTGTGAAGTATGGGAGGTCGTTCGCGAGGAACTTGGCACGCAGAACGACGTTTTCGCGCGAGTGTGTCGACGAGATCTCACCGCCCAGCAGCTCGACCTCACGAGTGATCCGCAGAGCAGACCGCTTGAGAGTAGACTAGAGACAATAGTGTTAGCATAGGAAGCCTCTTGGAGATGACCAATGGTTGGTCCGCGGAGGCCGTCATCGTTCTCACCTTGAAGGCAAACTTCTCGAGGGCATCGGAGAAGCCAGGGAAGGGCTGGTAACGAGAACCAGCCTTGGCCACCAGAGCCAGAGTACCAGTAGCACCAGCAACCTCACGGTTGGCGACCTTCACACCGGCAGCTTCGGAGACATCGTACTGGAAAGTCGGGTTGGCAGCAGAGGCCATGGCCCGACGGCCGGCGGAGAGCGCACGCGGCGCATTTCGGCTGAGGGAGGACCGCGACAGCATTGTGCGCCCTGGACAATTGGAGAAGAGGGGAAAGAAACAGGAACCCAAGAGGGTTTGTGAAGGGAGGGAGGGCAATTGAGGGGAGGGGGATGGAGGGAGGTGAGGGAAGCAGTCGGGATACGAAAAGCTTCAAGATGTCGGGGCGGGTTGATTACTCTGTCGCTGATTGGCTGGAGTGACGAGTCGGACGGAACCGGAATTACTTTTCTACTCATCTCAATATGCGTTTTCTGGAGACTTTTGATACGATGTATAGTGAATGATGATAGCAACCTTATGAGATGTTTCACTCCATTTCCTTTTCTTCATTCCGAGTCTTGATACTTGAGGTGGTTTCGATTGCCGTGTGGCTGTTGCTTTGGGTTGCTCAGCGGTGATTTCGATGTGTATGTCAGCTGATTCATATCACGTGATTGATAAGCAAAAAAGTGCGCCAAGTTCAAGTTGCTGCGACAAGCTGCAGCACGTCCACTTTCTCGGTCTCTATGACTCGCCTGCGGTGACCTTAATTGCCCCTCGTGAGGATCGGAGGCTGGCAGCTCCTCCATGTCCGCCATGATTATTTCCCAGGTTCGTGGCTACCCCGCTTAGCCCCTCTCCAGATGAGCACTGACGCATTGGTTGAAACAGTATGCCGCGGAGCTTTGCACACTCCTCATCGAGGACCAATATGGAGATCTTTTTGCTGTAAGCTATTTCTCAGTCGCTGGATCCAGCTGGTTCCGATGACACAAAACAAACCTCTGGAAAGCTTCATGGCAACCCAAGTTGACAACAGGATTGATGTTTCACAGCGCATCTTTTCAACCTTGCAGCGCTATGAGCGCCTTTCACTATCTCGGCTGAAATTTTATTCTCGTTTGACCGATCGCCAACTACAACATGGCCTCGCGGCCATGATCCAACATCACCTCGTATACCACTTCACTTCCCTCGAAGACGGCAACACCTACTATGAAGCCAACCCGCAAGCCGCATACTACCTCGTACGGTCCGGAAAGATCATTCGTCTGGTCGAAAATCGACTGGGAGAGTATGCAGGCCGAATTATGGAAACGATTCTTTTCCTCGGACATGTCTCGATTAAGCATCTTGAAACTCTTCCGGAGCTTCGAACACTGAAATTCGCCATTCCCAATGGAGTAAAGACCGAAGAAATGGCAGAGGAAAGCGTTATGGATGTGGATGGAGAGGTAGATGGGCCGGTAGATGGGCCGGCCGAGAACCCCGATCAGACGGCTGAGGATAAGCCGGCCCCGCTGCACTCTACTCTCAAAGCTCTCGCATCTCATGGATATATCATGCGGGTTCGAGACGCACATTTTCAGAGCCCCGCAGATAATTTTCTGGAGGCGCGTCGAGCTGTTGCAGCTCGATCTGATGTCAAGAATCTCAAGGGAAAGCGGCATCAAGAAACCTTGGAAACAAAAACGCAAGAGCTCATTGAAGAGCGCACACGAGGCGATCTGTCCGAGGGTTTGATGTTTAACGGTCTCCCCCGAGGCATTAAAAGAAAGCATGAAAACGGCGTCTCTGGATCAGCCCGCACAACGAATGGATTGGGGCAAAATGGAATTAATGGCGATCATGCAGATGATGAGGCAGAAGAAGAAGAGAATGACTGGTCAGAGGATGAAGATGGATTTGATAATGTTCCCATGGAGGTACGTGCCTTTTGCATTTCTTCCTGATTATTCGAATCAGAAAGCAACTCTGACTCTTCACGCAGGCCGGAATGATCGTTCGAGTGAATTATGAAAAGTTAGACGTGGCTCTACGAATGGATCGGTTCATGGCGGTTGCTGCATTAGATGCTCCTGCTGCAACAGCCGAGGTTTACGGCTGTCTTCTGCGTCGGATTGAATATGTTACCAAACGCTGCCGTGATGAAACTGAAATTCCGCGCGAGGGAGAGGAGGGCGAGCAGTTCTCTATTCCAGTCGAGGTTTACAAAATAGTTGACGATGTCGATCCTGGCCTGGACCTTTCCGATTCAATTGGGCCATTGGACCCTGCACAGACAGTCAACCGCCGCGGAAAGCGACCCCTGGAGAATGGGGTAAACGGCAATCACCACGACGATTCCGATGATGACAGCGGTGTCAGTCGTGCCTACGAGGTCAATCAACATCTTAAGCTGCTTGAACAAGCCCCTTACAATCTCGCATCACACGTGGATCTGTCCGACGGTATAAAATGGCGAATTGGATTTCGAGGACTGGCGCGCAAAATGCGTCACCTCGAATTGGAACAAATCATCATGTCACGATACGGTGACGTAGCACTCCGCGTCATCCGCGTGTTACAAGCGAAGGGCAAATTGGACGAGAAGCGTCTGCAGGAGATCAGCTTGCTTCCATTCAAAGACCTGCGGCAGACTCTCGCCAGCATGCAGTCTGGTGGGTTTGTGGATCTCCAGGAAGTTCCCAAAGATGCGCAACGGCAGCCCTCCAAAACCATCTTCCTCTGGTACTATGATCCTGACCGGGTATGCGGCAGCATCTTGGATGACACCTACAAGGCAATGTCACGAACATTGCAGCGCATCAAATTCGAGCGCAACCTGCAAAAAGATTTCCTAGAGAAGACTGAACGGAGCGATGTCAAGGGCAACGAAGACCGATATCTCAGCGAGGGCGAGTTGGAGCAGCTGCGACGCTGGAAAGACCGGGAAGCTGCATTGCTGGGAGTTGTATCTCGCCTGGATGACTTGGTGGCTATCTTCCGTGATTATTGAAGCAAGTGTGCTTCTGTACGAGGGCCTTGCGGAGTGGCCGAATTGCATATGTACCACAAAATCATGAGCAATGAATTTCAATTCAAGAAACTTTTGTAGATATTGACTGCTTATTGTGCTGTGCCAATGATTTTCATTGAAAGTACTCATCCTTGCGTAAGTTTGTTTTGACGCCGATAGCTTGGATTAAATTCTACGGGACATCATGCTATTAAGTACTGCTTTTACTGGTTGGTGCCAGTTCCAGACTCTCGGTCAAATTAGAAGATAATTCAACAATACCAACCCGCAGATTCTTGTGCCGTGTTGTCTCGTTGCATATAAGGTCTCGCAAACTCTTGGCCTTCCCCTTCCGTTCTAGTACTCACCCCTTGCCGCTTTTTGGCCATTGAGTAGAATTGAGCACTTCCCTGATCAACCCAAAGCTGGTCAGTGATTCTTATGTAATCACACTGATCATCCTCTCCGTCACAGAGATATCTTGCCATTAGTATGGAGATGATTAGGTACCTAAGACGTTTTCACAACCTTACCATTACTAGGGCTAAATTTTCTAACAACTTTAACCTATACCGATTCTCTCAAAAAACTCTCAGAGTCGTAATCGTGATTTTTTCACTAGAAGAACTGTAGGCGCAATTTAACAACGTTATCATACGCTCCACCGGGCATGAGCATCTTGTGGAAACCAGCCACTCGGTCACCAATGCAAAACTCGCCTGTGTTCTCGACGTCTTTCGCGACTGCGCTCACATAGCCGGCGACATCATCTCCGCTGTTAACTGCCTTGTTGGTAGCGTACAGATGCTTGAAATCTAAGCTGGTCAGCGAGCAGATTCTCAGCTGGCTGCCGAACGAGTACATACTTTTAGGGTTGCTAGCTGCAACTTCAACTTTGACAAGCATTTCGTCGGGTGCTATGTTGGGGATTGTAGTGTCCCGCACGTATGCGGTGACTTGTGGCAGGGTTGGCTGAACAATGACTTCTTTCATTTTGAAAATGCGCGTAGATTGAAAGACTTTGTTAAAGTGGAACCCAACGGTTATTCTCGTAACAAATAAGATCCAAATACCCTCGCCTGATGATTAATTCATTCTATGGCAATTCGACCAAGGCGATTGCTCGGCAGGTTGACAAATGGCGCGCGCATAGAATGTCGGACGAATATCCTAATTAGAGACGGCAGAATCATGTTGAGTCTTCTGAAACCGCATGAGGAAAGGTTTGCGGTAGCCAGCTCACAATTAGATCTGACAATTTCTCACTGCTTATTATGGAGCTCAGACCGTCACTACGCCACTAGTCTTACTGCCATAAACAACCTAGCGCCGAGCTTGTTAAAGCATGTCTTCACCAGTAAAGATGCGATATTTACAGAGTCTGACTGTGGAGATGCTGTCTCTCCTTTTATCTCACCCTATTTGTCATGGAGAACCCGAACAAAATCGCAGAGTGTAAAAGTCACCTTTATAAGGCACGGTATCCCTCGTAGAAGCGTTCCATTATAGCGTCGTGTATTCTCTCTAGCTTCATATTTGAGTCTCCAAAGATTCTAATAATCTTTCTTTTCTCACAAATGGCGCCTGGAACCCTGAAGCTAGATCTCTCCAAGTACCCTAAGCTCACTCGGGAGCAAGCGGGGCATTTACGCCATTTCTGGAATACCAGTACAAGTCTCGACGGTGAGTGGCCGCACATGGGTACGCAGGAACCAGACCAGGCCTTCCTAGATGCGTTCCGATACCAACTGGCCACGATGGCCTACGGAGCCGGCGTCACGCACTATCACCGTCTACCCGCCATGCGAAGCCTGTTCAAACCTCTTCTCCGTGGCTTGATCCGCAAGATGCTCCGCCGTGAGGTTTGGTCCTACTGGTACCTCACCTCGCAATCCGGCAATCGCTTGGAACCAGGTCTTGAGAAGCTACGGACGCCGTGGGCAGATCCAGTCGTGAAGGAGAATATCATGTATAGCGGACACTTGTTATTAATGACGAGCCTGTATGCGATGCTCTTTGATGACGACGAGTTCGAGAAGCAAGACAGTCTGAGGTTTGAATGGGATCCACTGTTTTGGGGAATGGGGCCAGAGTTCTTCTCATACGACAACAGCTCCCTTCAGGAGGCGATCTTGAAAGAGATGGAGAGAAATGGATGGGCTGGGGTGTGCTGCGAGCCGAATCTGATTTTTGTGGTTTGCAATCAATTTCCTGTACGCTTGCTGGACGATTCTTTGTGATGAGGCAAGCTAATATTTTTGATAGATAATCGCGATGCGGTATAATGACGTGCGCCACGGGACTAGTGTAGTCGAGGGTGTGCTTGAGAAGTACTGGAATGCGATTCAGAAAAAGCAGATGATTTCATCCGACGGGCTATTTGTCGACTGGCTGTTCCTAAAGCAGGGGAACACGAAGCAAGCCGGTGGCATTGGGTTTACTGCTTGGTGAGTGTTCGATGAAGATAAATGAAGATAAATTTAATCAATGCTGACCGTCATGTACTTCAGGGCAAACGCATTTATGAATACGTGGAACTCTATGTTTATACGACGTAGCTACGACAAACAAGCTCTCGGCTTTATCACCAAGGTTGACGGCAAAATCGAGCTACAGCACCCTAAAATCGGCACGATCATCCGCCATCTCGTCCAGACAGAAGATGTTGACCCAAACGCAGCAGCTACCGTCCAACGTGCCCGTGAAAAATACCTCGAAGACCCCTCATCTAGATCTCAATATACGCAACCGCACTTCGGATATGTCATCAAGTGGCTCTCTGAGCTCGGGAAAGCAGCAGAGACTGAAGCCCTTCTCAACTACGCGGATAGCCACTTTTCGCCGAGCTGGGATAAGGGTGGCTTGTACTATCCACGTCAAGACCAAATCACCAACGAGCTTGGCGAATGGAGGTTTGTTGATCCTTTTACTGGGAACTCGGCAATCGGGTATGCGAGGCTTAATCTAGAGGATGGACAAAAGAAAATGTGGGAAAAGCCATGGACTCGGGAGCTTCTAGCTGCGCGACCCTGGGTTGATGGACTGGACTATTGTCAGGGAGTGGACTGCTTGCGTGGCTGGTGGGCGGATGAGGAGCAGGCGATGATTATCACACTTAGATCATGGGATGGTGCTGAACACAGCCTCAATTTCTCGATTCAAGGTCTCTTCAAGGGCCATTGGGGACTGTACGAATATGGTGTCTTGTTGAGTGACCGTCGGATTTTAGAGAGAGGTGAGCTCATTGAAGTTTCAACAACTGTTCGTCCAGGGCAGGAGATTGATATTGTAGTACTCAAGCTGGCGTGACGGGGATTATGTGTCATGCCAATTGAAACTTCCTCGAGCTAGAATGATGGAATGTATCTTCAACATATGTCAGGATGGTTATCAGTCAATAAAGTAGTTTTTCTTGCTGGACTCGCTCGGAATAGGAACGCTGTGAAGATAATCTATTCACCACGTGTGGTACTGGAGATCTGAATTGGTTCAAAAATCCTGACAGCGGGCACGGCATTGCTTATCGCTGCGGATCCTATGAGCATTCATCATTCTAACAGAAACATAAAGCATACAATCTCGCTGTAGATAATTTTGAACGTAATCAAATAAACTGTGCGCAAATTATGCTTCCTAGTCGGGCCTACGAACGTTATAATGAAATGTAGCCAGTCCCAATACTTCCGACACGTTTATCCCTCGTGGAATGATGACAAGACGGAGAAATTTAGTGGAGTCCGAAAAAGTGAATTGATCGGCTATTTAAGGCAACGGAAGTATTCATAGAAGCAAGTGTCAATGTCATGCATGACGGAAGGTTGAAAGAGCAGTGTTGCGTTGGATTTCCGGCACGGCTCCTCTGACTCATGATTCATACATGCGCACACTTTTGGATGGGTGGTTGGGGGGACTCATGCTCTTACGTATGTCATAAAACTTGGGTATATGAAAACTGTGTTAGCAAGCGCAAAGAAGGCATTGACTAATATGTATTGAGAGAGCTAGGCTTACTGAGGGAAATCAACGTAGAGCTCTCGATGAACCAATCAGAGAACGCTATAAGCTCTCGTTCCATTTTCGTCAACAGAAAAAGTAGAGTGTTTTGCTAATTTGAGTCATATCTTAGCCCGTAACTTTGACTCTCCTTTCAGGAATGCTTTCATTCCCCCTGGACTTTTCCAAATTTTGCTTAAGACGGCATCCCTTCCTTCAGCAGTAGCATTGATGGGTATCTGCCTTGTCCAGCTCATCAATCGCTCATATATATTACCATCTTTGCAAGCCAAGACACTGCAAAGGCTAGCATCGGTAAAGTCCCAGGCATCTGTCAAAGATATCACATCTGGCAAAAGAGCCGCCAACATGTCATCAATGTGCACGCGCATTCCGTCCAATTGGGGCAAAGATAATGTCCCATCCTCAGTGAAGGAAGCCGCATTGAAGTGTGACGATGAATTCATGATAGTTGTGAGCGCAAATAGAGAGAAAAGCCCAGAGAGAACACGTGAAAGACTGGGTTCAGCTGTTGAAATCATGTAGGTGTACTCATTGTAATAGCGTAGCACAAGATACTCTACAAAAGCACGCCCAGCCGACAATATCGCCATCATACCTTTGTTCCAAGCATCGGCTGGCTGTGACACTTGCTTGTTCCTTTCGAATTGGCGATATGCAGTAGCGAGGACCCGTTTTGATCGATGTAGAAAAATAGACAGGAGGGTCGATGAATCTTTCAGTTGATCCCCTTCAGCTTCTCTAAAGCTCACATCGATCACTTCACCAGAAAGATACTCTTCAATGCCATTCAGAAAATCTTTCATCTCTGGATCTACTATTCCGCCTGTGTCAAATGCCTGAAGCTGCTTGAAAAGATATTTTCCTAGCTGCTGCCATAACACATAGTTCTCGCCTTCAAATGTGAGCGAAGCGGATACTGCGCAGAGTATTTCTGGCAGACCGGAAAGAGCAACATAGCCATGGCCTCCACACATCTGCCGTGCTTCCTCAACTCCAGCACAGGCCACAGCAGAGGTCCATGCCTTAAGACCACTGACTAATGCATGAGTAAAGGGCAATCGTGTGGAGGTATCATGCACGATGCGTTCGTCCTGGTGCAGAGAGAGGTAAATTTGGTCGAATTTTTTTGACGTAAAAAGGAGGGCGTACGCCTGGGAGATCAGGGTGAGAAGACGATAATGTTGAGACTTGTACTCCAAGATTGCCTTTTCTTCTGGGCCCTCATCAGCAAGAATGCCGTGGCCTTGCTCACGTACAACGGAATAGCGAGCGGCGATTGTGACGGACTGTGCAAGAGCGAAACTGACGCATCTCAGAACCACACCTCGATGATATAACATAGTAGAATATGTTTTCTTCAAAAGCCCTGTGGTATGGATTTGTGCCTGAGTAAACGTCCCCTCCCGGGTCACCTGAGCGTGCGCACTCAGCAGGCTGCTTCGTGGAATTCGTACGTTGTCGAATCTTGCGTACCCGTTGCATGTCCCGTTATAAGACATTTTCATTCCCTGGTCACCCAATTCAACTCCATGGAGTGGTGCGTAATCTTCCAGCGATCGAATTTGCACCACAAACATATGGATTCCATGGTCGATAGCTGGCTGTCCCATCACCAGTCTTGCCACGACGATGGCATGGGAGCAGCTCAGACCCAGTCCCCCTGGCCAGTACTTTGCGGAGGTAATAGTAGGTGAATGTAAGATGAACTCGTCAGTCTCATGGTCGAATGTAGCTGTGGTCTCTATGCCTCGCACAAAGGTACCGTGGCCTATTTCCGTCTGCGCATATGCCCCGTTGACTTTTGCTGCATCGATAAGTGGTAACCAGTATTTTTGCTGTTCAGATGTGCCCTGCAGCTCGATGGCTTTGCGAAACATGAGAAAGTTGAGGCCCAGAGGCGAAGAGTTAGCCATCTGATAGCGTTCCGTAAGCCAGAGGAAATGCCGATGGTTGTGATCAACCATATCATCGGCAACCGCTTTAGCACGTCGGAGCCCCTCAAGATACAGGCCCTCGCGATCAAGGCCTTCATAGACGCGCGGAAGTTTCATGGTGTCTAGCAAATCGAGACGATGTTCCACGCGCGCAAAGGCTGCTCTTCTGGATCTGACTTCTTCTTCACTTGGCAAGATTAGACCATATAGATAATTGTTTGGCTTGTTTGAATTACCTATCGTAAATGGCAACGGTCATTTTATCCACATCAAAGGTAGCCAGTTGTCTGGCCTGCTCCATCAAGGTAGTCTGTCTGTTTTGAGCTGCCATTGTCAAAGAATACAAGTGTGATCATTCAAAACTCAAAGAGAAGCTAGAATAACCCCTTCGTAATTGCACAGTTGGTGGGATGTCCTGCGCTCTCAAGTACTTTCTGGAAGAAAAGCCTTGGTATCGCGCTAGAGACGATAGTTTAAGCGGGCTGGCCCTCTTAATATCCAGAGTTAGCCTTAAATAGATCGTCTTGAGCCTGTATTTTTCAATTTTCAAGACTAATAACAAGTAAGCCCTTGGTATCACTAGGAATTAGTCTATTGTCGCTGCGTCGCAAATGCTTACGGAGATCCGGTGCTCAAAACGCTTAAAATCCACATTGTTCCCACCATCAGGCTCTCGACCATCTAGGTTAATCGCTATGTATCAAGAGTTCTCTTATTAGCGCTTCATTGAGATATTAATTCCAAATGTGAAAGATTACTAACTAGTGAACTGGGGCAAGACAATACCTGTCTGCGAAGCAGGTCCAGCCTCTAGGGGATAGTATAAGTGCTAGGGAGGAGACATAGGAAGATAAAGAATAAAAGTTGTCTGAGTATCTCCCTCTGCGAGCGGGGTAGTGTTATATATATCAATTCTGAGCCATCCTGCAGAAAGCCAACTTTCCCATCACACTATTTAACATAATTCGCTAGATCATCGGCTAATCTTACATCACCCACCACACACGTGGACTAACCTAGTTAGGAAGTATTATTTCTTAGCTCAGCTATGGAATTAAATCCAATCATCGAAATTAGAGACATGCTCATTAGTGAGAGATTTCTGCATGCTTGTGGTAGTCAAATGTGACCTCGGATTATCTCAAGGGGAGTCAATGAGTCATTATGAAGATCTAAACCTGATGCTATTGCAGTGACATAGGACGCAACGGTGCATTTTAAAACATCTGAAAAAACCGAATTCCTATTCCCTGATGTTTTGAGTCCTACTGGCCGATACGAACTGATTCGTGGGATCGCACATCCTACACTAATTCCTTGTTTATGGATGCTCGGCCAGAGCTGTTTTTCGGTCACAGGTCAAAGCAGACCGTTTTCGTCGTGATGATCCGGATGCTGGCTCCTGGCTCAATTTTGCCATATTACCTGATATCAAAGTTTCAAGTTTCTTTGATAAGGCCTTGTCATCGACAGTCGTAATTGACAGTGATTCACACTACTGCTCCACACCTCTAAAGTGTGGCGACCTCTAGCACGGAATTTCTTAATCCTGGGATCCAGGGTACGACTCAGCTCTGATATCCACTTGAGCGCTTTGTCCCAGGTGTCAAAAGGGTAGTTTGAATCAGCAATTGTGCTGCGGTCAGTGATTTTGATATCCCTAATGGCTCCGGAAGGGTATATACCGGTGCTGATTGGAACTCTGTCCGCCCATGGTCTATGGGCCCCGCATACCATTAATAGTATAAACGACCTGAATAGATTCAACAGCCGAATCTGGAAGCTGTTCATAAGCTCTTCAGAAGATGCACCACTCCCATCAAATGGTGTTCACTTATATGTCGATGTAGGATACGGTAGCCACCTCGATCCCACTTTTCATCGGACTTTGCACTTTTTATTATGCACTGTCCCACTGACATTAATTCTCGTCATATTGGTTTTTGCCGTACGATAAGATTCTCTTCTATATATTACACTCGCTCGCTCTTATTTTTCATACGGTAAATAGAAGATGACGCAATCTTTATTTAAACGGAGAACCTTTCATGCTGTTTTCAATTGGAGATGCTCAGTCTCTGGTACAAAGATTGACGCGCTAGTTGTCACGGAAAGAATAACCCTACCGATCATAGTAATTTGGAAAAAGCTTGAGATATACTCATGGACATACGTGATTAGACACCACGCGTCAGGGGTGACTGATTGATCACTGAGTCTGAACCCGTGCTGATATTTACTCACTAAGCCTGAGCCCGAGGAACCCACTTATAAAAGCGGCAGCGGCCAAATATGCTTTGGTCTATATAGGTGCATATAAAACCCTAATCCTGGAAAAAGAAAAGGTGCAGATGTTGTACACAGTCATCTACTATATCGAGTTTGAGCACATAATCTCTTCCATTGACTTAGGGTGCCCCAATGCCGAGCCAAATCCATTTCTCGCATTCGTGCTGGATCCATCTAATTGCTATAGATGGCATTAGAAGCATCCTGTTATGTGTATTGGCCCAGGGCCACACTTTGCTTGGGATATCCAGAATAAGAGGAATCAGATCATTCTACCCGAGAACGAGATGCCTGGGTTTGCACCATACTAGAATAGCCATTAACCTCAGCTCAGCGTCAATGTTGTCGTCGACCTTACGTTTCGCTCATACACCCCGATATACTACATGTGTGAGATTCGTGGAAGGGAGAAATCTGCCCCCTCATCGCAATGTCCACCCAGGTAAATTTGATTATTCTTATTATCTGAATCGCTACTGAGCCATTCGAGAAGAATAAGCAGGCTCGACCAGGGAAACTGATAAGTTAAGACTCTCGGTTAGATCGGCCATCGCGGCCCCACTCGGTTCGGCCTAAGATAGAGCGTTATGCCTTTTCCCGATCGCTCAAGCATTTTTATCCCCCAATTTATGTTGCAGGTTTGTTTGGTTCAGGACAATAGAGTCCCACCGCCAATCCGAAATCACATCGTCGACCCCAAAGCCTTAGCGCGCGTCTTCTCGTCTCTCTTTTTTCTCCCACGCTCGTCTCCTCCACCTCCTTTCTTATACCGAGCAGCCTCGGCCCCCCTCTCGTTAATTTGCGGTTGTTGATTCCCACCCTCTTGCTGTACTGAGTTTTATCTATCTGCAAAATATCAGCCTGGTGCTTCGTTTTCTCTTCTCTCAACTGTATTAGGGGGAATGAATGAAGAAATTTATTGATTTTCTCGCTATCAAAACCAGCCTGTACCTTAGGAGGTCTCTACTTTTCGGAGAAACGAAATGCCTGAGACCAAGCCTGAACACTCGACCACGGTCTTTTCGACCCGAATTTCTTACTGGCGTCTATTGACTGATCATGGTGTCCTCACCCAGGAGGTGCTGGACTACGAGTATGCTGGGTCAGGCACTGAGGAGGACCCTTACGCCGTGGCTTGGATCCCCAACGATGCGCGCAACCCGCAACTCTTTAGCGGCGCCCGAAAAGTCTCGATCACTCTCACAGCGGCCTTCGCCAGTCTGATTGTGTCGCTGGCATCCTCGGCCTATAGCGGCAGCTTGAGTGAAATCATTGCTGACTTCCAAGTTAGCACCCCCGTCGCAACACTCGGCCTCTCCCTCTATGTACTGGGATTCGCCATCGGCCCCTTATGCTGGGCTCCCGTGGGTGAAGTCTATGGTCGCCAGATCTCCTTTTTCATCAGCCTGCTCTCGATGGCGGCATTTCTGGCGGGCTGTGCGGGAGCTCGGAATATCTGGACGCTCTGCATTCTGCGTTTTTTGGCCGGGTCTTTTGGCTCGGCGCCGTTGACCAACGGCGGCGGCACCATCTCGGATATCTTCAGTGCGAAGCAGCGGGGGCTCGGCCTTAGTCTCTACGCCGCTGCTCCCTTTCTGGGTCCGTCCTTGGGTCCGATCATTGGGGGGTTTCTAGGCATGAAGGCTGGCTGGAGATGGGTTGAGGGTCTGTTGGCCGCCACAGCAGGATTCGTCTGGATCCTCTCAACTGTGCTGACTCCAGAAACCTATGCGCCGGTGCTTCTCCGCAAGCGGGCTTTAGCCCTTTCGCGTGTAACGGGGAAATTCTACCGGAGTAAGATCGACATGGAAAAAGGCCCGGTCTCGGCGAGCGAACTCTTGAAAAAGACCTTATCTCGGCCCTGGGTCCTGCTTTTCAAAGAGCCGATTGTTCTGCTCTCTGCAATTTACGTGGCACTGGTATACGGTACCCTTTATATGTTCTTTGCAGCCTTCCCAATTGTGTTTGAAGATATCCGGGGGTGGAACCCCGGTGTGGGAGGCCTGTCCTTCTTGGGAATCATGGTCGGGATGATCATCGGCATCATCTACACTCTCCCAGCCAACCTGCACTATATTAAAGTCCAAGGCGAACATGGAGGCTACGCGCCCCCCGAAACACGGCTGCTGATGTGCATGCCGGGGGCATTGGCCATCCCGATCAGCCAATTCTGGTTTGCCTGGACGAATTACTCGTCCATCCACTGGATTGTGTGCATCATCGGGACGGCGCCCTTTGGCTTCGGGGTGATTCTCATCTATCTGGGGTGCATGAACTATCTGATCGATTCGTACACGCTCTATGCGGCATCCGTCCTGGCGGCGAATGCGGTGCTGCGCTCCATCTTCGGCGCGGTGCTGCCCATCGTCTCTACCTGGATGTACGACGGCGTGGGGATTCACTGGGCACCGTCGATCCCGGCCTTTACATCGCTCTTGTTCATGCCGTTTCCTTTCTTCTTTTATAAATATGGGGCGCAGATCCGTGCCCGGTGCAAGTATGCCGCAGAGTCGCATCGACACATGCAGAAGCTCGTAGAGAATACTGCGCAGGAGCGAAAGGAGCGAGCGTCCACAACCATGCCCAGCAACCCTGTGGGCATCTCTCCACTGGAAATTGAGCGGGTCTCGACGGTACAGTCCGTGTAAGAGCGTGATGACCTCCAGATTGAAGATCCGCGGACGAGACCATGCGGGCATGCACATAGAAACCGTATAGACTTCATTTGAAAATTAGCCAAAGAATGTTGATTGAATATTGATAAGCCAATAACGAAGGCCCCATGGCTATAGAAGAGCAATCCTTCTCATGATTGAAATTTATTTTAGAAGACTAATTCAATGGCTCGTAGGAACTATTGACCAACTGCCTCTCTGCTTCAAGAGGGTGTGTGGCGTCACATGATCTCACCGCCATCGGTTATCAACCGGCATATCTGAACTTGCTGTTCGCAATTTTTAAGAATTAGCAATGCAGGACGCTCCGGGGGCGGCTATGTGCCATGTGGCAGAGCACTCGTTGCCCAGGCGAACTAGGTCTGGCTGTCTGACATGTCGGCATCGCAAGAAGAAATGCGACGAAACGCGCCCAACCTGTACAGGCTGTCATCGGAACAATCTAGATTGCCTGTGGGAATCTCGTGCTTCGCTCTCAATTCCCAGGTCGCGTCGCCGGTACTCACGTCTGGCGGAGAAGATGGTTCCAGGTCAAGCGTTTGAAATGATGAGCGTATTCTCCATTGTCAAGCCGGATATTCCTTCGCGCTTGCTCGGTCATTTCCTTCACGCAAGCCCAAGATGGTTGTCGACCAGAACCGGATCACTCCGAACCGACTATCTAGAATGGCTCTATCCAGCTATATCGGGGAGCTCCCTTGTACTAAAGTGTATTTACACAATAGCTGCCGCGGATCTGGTCAAATATCACCGTCACGACTTGGAATTACAACATGCTGCCAAGGAATACTATGGACAGACCTTGTCCGAGCTTCGAAATACAGTAGAAAGCGAGATGTTCTCTCCCTCGCTGGGTATGCCTCTTACTGGTACCAACTTTAATTATGCTTGCCCCTGGTCTCGATTACTGGTACTAATTCGTGCGTTAGATTACAATCCGCTTGCCGTAGTGCTGTTATGTTTGCATGAGGTACTGTCGTTTGAGCTTGCTAATATCTTGCTAGAGCTTCCATTGCTAACTATGGCTCTTCTTTTCAGACTCAAAACTTTTCCGCAAGCGAGAGAATACTCCCACATCTCAATGCTGCGGTCATTTTACTGCAAAATCGCCTTTCCTACGGATGTGCGGACACAAAGCTACGTGGCTTTTTGTTCGAGATTTTCTGTTACTTCTTTTCCTTGGCCGCATTCTCCCTTGGATCCAAATTGTCTCTTTTTCAGGCTTGCCCAATCTTTAATTCGCCGTCCGTGATCTGGCACATTCAACGTGGCCACATCATGGGGACTTCTCAACACATGTTCCTCACAATCTACCGCATCTCTATACTCACCCAGGACCTGGCCTCTCACATCTCCAAAAAGGTACGGAAGGCAAAGAGTGAACTCATATTGATCGAACGAAGCCTAGACTCGTTTCAAGGAAACTCGAACGTCGACAAAAGCAAGGACTCTGGTGTTATCCATGATGCCATAACATCGGAAATGTACCGATTGGCATGCCTGATCCATGTAAAGAGACTACTTGCCCCAGATATGCCTGATGAAGACGCCACTATTCAACTCCTAGTGGCGAATTTTATAGAACAATTGCAACAACTCCCTTCGGATTCGCCGGCTCACAACATTCTGAGCTGGCCACTAGTGGTAGCAGGATACTCTTCAACTATCAAAGCTCACCAAAAAATTATCTCCTGGAGACTGTGTCAAATTCACCAGGAGTGGCAGTCAGATATTTTCTCCCTGAGTGCGACCTTCCTGCAGGCGACATGGAGAAAAGAGAGGGGTATGAAGTGTGCTCGCTCTGAGTTGACGACCGTCGAGCGTTCGACCAAAAATTATGCCTCTATCTGGCGAAATCTACCTGTTATTTTAGCTTAAGACTATAATGAAACAATGTAATGCAGCTTCATCCGTTCATCAGAGCTTAGAATGCAATCCCGAGATTCGACAGGACCGGAATACTCAATCTGAAGATAGTGAATTACGATGAATGGCGACGATGATGATGGTATAATTGATGAGGTGCCTTCAATATATCGTCTCGAAGCGACTTACTCTTGAGAAAGAGGCAGGGAAGTGTGGGCTGGTGGAATCAAAGCGTATCGTTTTGTAAAAACATTTGCACTATTCCATTTTGGGCTTTTAATAGCCGCGCTTCTCTGAAGCTTATGAATCTCCCCGAAAAGGCCCCGAGAGTGAATTGTATTGGCTACTGCAGCTGAAGCTACACGTAAATGGCCTAGACGCTAGCTTGAAAGCCGCTAATTGTATCGCTTCCAAAGCAGCGAGTGCAGAATGCGTGTTCACAATCTAATTACGGACAAGATTCCTGTGGGGCCAAGGTGAGCGAGAGCTCCCTTAAATCCGAAAACCAAAAGCCGTGAGTGAATAAGTTGTTTACTCGGCCTATAAATATTCAAACAAAGCGCATTCATATGAAATGTCAAGACGGTTTGAATTGTTCGAACAATCTTACTTCAACATCAATTTATTCTCTCTTTAACAGTGGTTATGTTTCAACGCCATAATGCTATCCGATATCGATCAAAAAGATAATTTGGCCCGCATGAAACGGGGTGATCTGTACTATGCTTTCTCTCCTGAGCTTATTGCTGCACGCAAAAGATGCGGAGCTATCGTTGGCAAGCTAAATCGTGCTGGGGAACTATCCCGGCGAGAACTAGCTCAGTACTGGAAAGAGTACGTCATAAATATCAAGTGACCACAATGAGCGGCACATTCAGATCATTTTTAAGACAGAAATACTAAGTTATGAGTGTTGAAGAATCACCAATGATCCACGACCTTTACCGGCTGCAGGCAGCACAGATGAAGAGGAAGATGCAAATCTTCGTGATTACCCGTGGATTGAACGACCTATCAATATCGACTACGGGACTAACATACGTGTTGGAAGCGGCGTATTTATCAATTTCAACTGCACTTTTATTGATACATGCATTGTGTCTATTGGAGCTCGCACTCTAGTTGGCCCCAATGTGTGTTTCTTCAGTGGCACCCATCCTTTGGACCCAGATCTTCGCAATGGAACCAATGGACCAGAGCTAGGTCGTCCAATCAACGTGGGTGAGGATTGCTGGATTGCTGGAAATGTCATCGTCTTGCCCGGAGTAACTATTGGCGACGGATGTACTATCGGCGCTGGAAGCGTGGTCACAAAGGTATTTGTTTTCATTCACACTGAACTATCGCTGAAAAGATGTCTCATGAGTTCTAACCTGGCGTCATGCTACTACACATAGGATGTTCCAGCCTGCCATGTCGCAGCCGGCAACCCGGCCAGAATCATTCGCAAAATTGAGCGCAGTAGCAGCTCAAAATCCGTTTCAAGCTAGCAATATATTGCTGAAACTTATGTTCATGGGATCCAAGCAACATTCACTACTACAGGTTTGCTACTCTATTTAGATACTCCAGGCTCGCACCCGTCTAACGCTGTATGGAGCTATAGCGTCAATCAAGCCAATCAGAGATATTTCCCTAATCCGAGGAGCCCCTCTTCTTTTCGAGTGATCGGCTTGCTGTGATAAAGGAAAATGGAAGATCTATTGTCAAATTCATCTAAATAAACTGTACCCTCAATGTGCTATTTTGACGCTCCGCTATACCCTTATTGCGCCTGAGTTTTGCCCATTATGCTTGGGAGATGAAGGGAAAGAACCGGATAGGAGGTTTCAGGAATGGCTGATCAAGCCAACAGTTCTCAATCACATTGACAATCATTTGACGCCTTGAAAGCTTCCACTACATTCATCTGTCCTCATCCATGTTGCCAGGAGAAGGATTGTAATGACACTATGGGTCTTCGTGGCCATTTCTTCGATGCGCATTCTATTGAAAAGCCTCTTTCCAATTGGATCAAACGAAAGAGAAGTAGCAGGAGCCGGAACTCGAGCTTCATACCGATGTTTCTTAGCTGTTTACCCGCAGATATTCAAAAAGATTCCGAAGGAGAAGAAAATTATAGTCTGCCAATCTTTGCAGAAACAAGCAAATTTGACGTGGAAGAACTTATAGAGGAACTCACGCATTTCAATGATAATTAAATACGGTGTGAGGGGGAAGAAGGGGGGGGGACGTGTGGCCAACACGAGCGCATTATTCAATGAGTATCTGATTCAACTGGTATTTCCATACTTGAAGCCATACTCTACCAGCAATGTTAAAAGACGTGTTCATGTTATTTCCTTCTGCAGATAGAGATCTCCAGTCCTGGCCAGCTAAGCAGATGTTGATCTGTACCGACGTAAAAATAAAACGTGGAATTGGCATCTGCAGACCTATCTCAACCCATGAAAATGTCACATGGCATGATGGGCTTTACAGCTTCCACAGAAACTCTCCATGACGTGCAGCTCTCTGTTCCGATATCATAGTGGATTAGTTTTCACTGGATAGGAAAGTTTGCGGAACCACCAGGTTCGGAGACAAGTACTTATTTCAGCGTACCAGTGACTTGTAAATAGTCGAGCGGCAGATTATCGACAGGACCGCTGATACCGTATGCGGGACTCCAATTTTCCGAGAAACGAATCCTGCCAGCGAAAACACCTTGAATGTCTCCCTAGCGCACGGGGATGATGGAACAGATGAGCAATTAGGTACCGTCCTTAGATAAGAGGAAGGTAAATGCAGACTTGTCTCCTAGGCTGCTCTGAAAAGGAATGTGAAGCAGCCAAATATCCATGTGGTTAGATGGGACTTTCCAACTCATAACAATAGGTGTTATTCAACGTGCTATAATAGGCCAGCAAATATGAGTAATAAGCCAAGGCTTGGGAGACTTGATTCAACCAGTTGATCTAACTTGCGTCCTCTTTCATTTCGAAGGACGTCATACGCATTGGAGGACGTGAAAGTTTCAGCCAAAGTTCATTATCCGAATCGTCATCATCACTATGCAAGAGATCAGTATCCGCGCTGCCATCGTAGATTCCGTTGTATTCCCACCAGTCTTCTTTAATCTTCTGCGCAGTTTCAGTTGACAGCCACATGTATTTCTCCACAACTCCCGCTTGAACCGGCAGGCCCCCATAGATACCAGGAGAGTCTCATTCGCCTCTGGAATGCATCCCCCAAGGGACAATCATATCAGTAAATTTGATGGAAGAATGTGCCGGGGTATCTCTGGGCTCCAAATCAGGCTGTAAACTTGCTTCCACGGTGGTATCGTAAGGGTTGAACTCTGAGATTTCGTTGCTTCCAATGGAACGCTCCTTGACAAATTCCTCTAGGTATTTGAGGTAGAACGGGTTTCTGCTCTGTTTAGCAGCCTCGAAGAAGGACTCGCGGGGAGGAGGCTTCAGCGACCAGAAAAGAAATTCGTAGTCACAAAGTATGGCGGTGATCGCAATTTGGTGTCTCATGGACGGGACGGACATTTGCGAGTCAGCTCATTACAAGTGTTCGCATGAGGCCTTACTGACCACCAGATAAGCCAAGGTAGGCAGTCAGAGTCATCGTCAATGCCTGAGATATCATTGTTCATAATCTTGCGAGCGTTGATCGCGGTGCGAATCTCGCGACACTCGCGCTCATTGCCTTAGCTGAGCAATTTACCCGGGATAATGATTCGCCTAGGGTTGTTTTCTAGCTGATATGCCCACCATCTAGCGAAAGTTGTGTGATGATACATTCCACGAAGAATACAATTGTATTCAGATTCCTTTCTGAGTCTACGTGGGTGCATCAATCGAGAGTATCTATCCACATTACCCTCCACGCAGCTACTTGCGTAAGAAGGCGTTTCTCAACCGGAAGATCATATGGAAGAGGCATCCACAATTGCCCAGAGTCTCCTGGGCCGAGTGTAGAATTGTGTTCCTTTAAGCGGATATTTTGCAACCCGATAAATCCATCCTCCTCGGTGTCAATATCATCTGCAGTCGTGTCTGGCAAGTTTTTAGGAGGGAAAGCACGCTGTTCCAAAGCCCGCCGAGGCTTCATATTGCCATTCAGAAACGCAGGTATTTGTGGGCTTTCAAGATTAACAGATCGAGTGAAATCATCCATAACAACGTATCTTTGAGGGGCTGACATAATTATTTTGAAGATGTCGGCGTCTTCGCTAAGATCGCGGGCTTCTTCAGCAATAGATACGTCCGGCAGAAGATCTAATTCTTTATAAAGATCCGTAAACCAAGCAGCAGCACATGCACGGCCGACTTGATAGCGCATCGATGGATATCAAAGGGCAACCTCACGGTATGTTTCTTCCGATGCAGGTTCTGGATACCAGATGCAGTATGGCTGAGTGGTAGGGTCTTGCATCTCAGGAATAATATCACTCATTATCAGACGAGCATCGCGGGCGCGCGCAAATTGGTGAGCATGGCTATCGTCGCCAGAGCATAGCTCGATAATTGCCGGGCTTGTGGCAAATTGGAGTGAATCACGAATCCCACGAATGACTGCTCTACGATGCCAAAAAGAGCTTAAATCGGATGGGACCCTTTCTCCCTTTATTGCTGCGATGCATTGGTTGAGGTCGTACTCAGCCGGTTGTTTCCTGCTTATGTCTGATTTTTTGGATTTGCCATAACTATTGACTGGTAGGTCCGTGGAAGAAATGAGAGCTTTCCCCTGTAGCCTGGGTAGCTGCCATGAAGAGAATAGCGCAGGGACGTGAGGCTAGCAAATACCGGGGGTTGAAAGAAAGAGTGGAGAAGGCAGATTCCGAAGGCAGATTCCCAAAAGGTGGAACGTACTGTGCTGACTATGCTCAAGCGAGAATTTATAGGCTAGGCCAATAGCAAGATTATTGTAGTATTAGGGCGCTAAACTAGCAAAGGCAGAACTATCCGCATCTAGTAATTCACAGGTCCGCCGTTTACATCTAGAATATAGACCTGTGAAAACGACGCCGAAAATGACAACCACTGGCGCCAGAAACGGCCGCCTTTCCACCCGTAACTTTAGGACGGGCGAGCTGCTCCTTGACCCCCGGTCTGTTCTGCCTTTATTCTGCACCCATCTATGACCGTTAGTCACCCTTCTGTAGACGCTCAACTTCAACGATTCTTCCCCCCGTTTTTCCACGGGTGACCAAAACGACGCTGAAAATGGCTCCCCTCTGCATTCAAACCCGACGCCCCTCCGTTTCGCCCAGCCTTGCCGGGCGCCTATAAGATGCAGCGTTCGCCCTCTCTTCCGGAGTCTTTCAACACTCCTACATCACAATAGTAAGTAGGTATATATTCTGCCACCTAGCAGAACATCACTACTAAGTCTGATTTTAGGAGATTTTAAAGTATTATGATATACGCTATAATAATCTAATAGAAAAAAGAAAAGTTATTTAATATTTAAGAATCAGGAAGGAGTCCTCTATTACCTGATGTAGTTTTTATTTGATGAAGTTAATTTTTAAAGGGAGGGTTTTAGTTATATGTTGCTCCATAGAAACTCTGGAATGGAAAGTCATTCGACAGTGGCAGCTTTAAAAATTCAAACCTCTGCGGATGTTCTCCACTGTTGTCCTCGGAGATATATGATCCACAGGATGCAAGAACAAGCTATCCAGGAGCTGCTGATGATGGTACCCAGCCAACCAAACCCTACGGAATCGATAGCTGGATTGATCGCAGCAGCAACCCCAGCACCTGGAAGGGATCTGAAAATCGCCATGGCAGCTCTCACAGTCGCCGGTCTATACGACTTGAGATCAACAATCAACGCGGCGATGACGTTGGTTGCCCCTGTGGTCGCGTTCCCCAAGAAGAAAAGGAGGACGAGGGGACACGAGATGTGAACGTCACTCACCACAGCCCAACTATAGGCTACTGTCAAAGCGCATGCCAGATATACTACAGGCAAAGCAATATCCAACCGAATTCGTTCAAGTGGTAACCTTTCAAGGTCCTCCTTGATTTGTTGATTGGGATTTATATCCATCCCAGCTTTCTGCCCAAGACGTCTGAAATTCCAATCCGCGAGAGACCCCACGCTCCAACGGGCTGCAATAGCTCCAGTTGCCCAAGGAATGTAGCACAGGCCGATGTGCAGGGAGTTGAGATGATATTTGCTGCCCAGAACCAACGGTAGGCTGATCTCAACCACGATCTGCCCCCAAGAAATTAGGGACCAGAAAAAAATGAGAAATCCCACCTCCTTGCTTAGAAGAACTTTGAAACAATCAGTTGCTTTTGGTGGCTTGGAAAAGACCGTCAGGCTGTCATAGTCAGGAGGACTTTTGGACCGGCGGTAGATGATAGGCCTATTCCACGAGGGAGGTGATATGCTGCCATCGCCAACTACTGCTCGACAAGTTTCCGGGAGGTACGTGGCGAGTAAGACGAAAACCACCACTGAGAAAATGACAAGGAACCAGAAGACACTTCGCCATCCCAAAGTTTTGCTGAGGATTCCTCCGATTATGGGACCCGTAGATGTGCCAACCGTGCTACCCACAGTGACATATGCCATGTACTTTCCACGTTCGGCTCGAGCGACAATGTCAACTACCAGAGCGAATGTCGGGATAAATACTCCAGCGCTTCCTACACTCTGCAGGCACCGAAGCAGTATAAGCGCTACATAGCTTCGCTGGAGAGCCAGGCCGATGGTCGCCAAAATGAAAATCAACATGCAGACGAGCAATATGGGCCGTCTACCCTTCTGATCTGAGATACTGCCCGTAAATAAGGGAGCTATTCCTTGCATCAGCTAGAGCAGATTCAAAGTTACTTGTGATCTCCTTAAATTGAGTTTGCTCACAGAGCTTACCATGTAAGATGTTATTGTCAGATACATCTTGGACGGCGCAATATCCAGGTCTTTGGATATTGGATATAGGGCTGGATAGTAGGCAGTGCTGGCAAAAAGCGCGCTTGTGTTGACTGACGCCACAATCAAGATGGTGGCTATCTTGGCTCGCTCTGACAAGACCGTATATGGCTTGTGTGGGACTCCATTGACGGGTCCCTGGACGCCACCGCGATTGGGCGGTAATATTTCATTTTCGACATTCGCGATCGAGGACTCTTTTCGATCGCTTGCGGAGGGATCCATCACGATTTAATATCAACTTTGATTGAAATTAACGAAATTTACACTGCCTCTGACCCTGCGAGTCTTTGAGCACACTCTGAAAATGCTCCCGGGTACCTGCTTGAACGTGAAACCCCAAGCCAGGCAGTGTATTTTCTTCCCATGGAATATCTGCAGAGTATACAGATAGTGCGCAGTGGGAAGGGTGTCGCTTGCATCCAAGGTTTATAGGAGAATGGAAGCTCAAGTGCTTGGAATGTGCAGCGGAAGTCTATCATTCGCTCCTTGCGCTGCCGATCAACAAAGCCACCACACTATATCCACAGCTGAGCATGGTCAAGGTTGCAATAGTACGTGCCCCTATATGCATAAGGTACGGAGCAGATCAATTAATCCAAATCCACCTTGAGCCGCCTTGTTAAGGGGTACATTCAGAGGTAAACCTTTCAAATGCGCGGTCCTTGAGCTAATCATCCTAAGGCGAAGATGCGTACGCTTTGGTAGTCTCAAATGTGTATCTCACATACCGAATCGTGATAACCGTGGAATGCATATATGTTACGTACATACAATATGGTCGATCAAGAAGTGACTGAAAGAATGTAATTGCGGTGGCTGCAATGAGAGAGGTCTGCGCTTCTGAGATTGCGGTGGAAAAGAAGCCACCTGTCAACTTGCGCATTAATCAATACTAGCATTGTGGATGGTCCCGGACCGCTCATGTGTACCGTGGTGTCAACCTGCAGAAAGCAGATCTGTAAAATTGAGAAACGCGGATCAGAGGTAAAGTTGAGGCTGATGAAAAATTTCCTGGAACGATAATTGGCATGCACGGAACCCTTGAACGTCCAATAGATACCGTAGATTGATCTTTTTGTGGAACGTATTGGCATCGGAATTTTCACAAGCAGACCAGAAGGTAAGACAGCATGATGCAAGTTTGTGATCGGGCCGTCCCTAGCATCCATGAGAGGTGATCAATCATCAATGCGACGTCAGACTTAGCATGCTCGCCCTCTTTCTATTTAAAGGTCAGAAACCTCGGGGTTAGAGAGGAGTGCAAGCCTGTGCTGCATGATTCAATCCCTTTACTCCGCAGAACCTTAGGACCACTCCGCTATCTTGCACACGAATACAGTCTTTGCCGCCGAAATGACAGTGAGCACTCTCCGGGTGTATCTTCCCAATGACCCCCTTCTGGTCAGGCTCCTTGAGGCTGCTCACCGAGCGTCAGTTTCGAAAAAGGTCATCCTGGACAAGCTCGGATTCGAGAAGACGTATTCCGATTTGCTTGGTGATATTGTGCAGACGAGAGACGCACTGTCCCTGTCGCTTCCACCATGGGTGCCGTCCGAAGTGGGACCTACACCTGAGAAAGACGTGCACGTTGGGATCATTTCACAGAGCGCTTATGAATTTCTGGTTGCTTTCTTCGCCGTGCGAGCCGCTGGAGGGGTGTGTGTTCCGCTAGGTGATGAGCTGATTTCAACTTTTCTGCCGAGTACCCTCTTCTCTGACTGATTGTGCTACAGGCTCAGGGGTTTTGCCTGAAGAAGGTCATTACTTACTTCAAAAGGCAAAAGTGAGCACCATGCTAGTCGGCAAACACTTGGAGCAATCCAGCGAACAGATTGCCGCCTATATCAGAAAGCAACCCGAATCCTTACCTCTCCGGCTCCTGCCCATCTCCTCAAACGCAAGGGGTATTCCCAGTTCCCAGCTAGTCGTTGACAATTCTATTTCGGTGAATCCAGCTGGCCCAGGAATGATTATGTTCACATCGGGCACCACTGGTCGCCCCAAAGGAGTGATCCTGCCGAGGGTCCTATTTAGTGAAGTGAAGGGCTCGGGAAATGATCAAGTTGCACTAAACCATCGTCCTTGCCACTGGATCGGAGGAGCTCGGACCTCAGTGGATGCCATTTTGACTGGGAAGACTCTCGTGAATATTGGAGAGAAGAGGGCAGAATCTCGAGCGCAGGCCGTTATAGAGGTTCTCCAAGAATACCGCATCACAGATGCGGTTTTCACACCAGCCTTGCTCCGTTGGATGAAACAAATCATGTTAAAGGGAGGAAACCCGACACCTGCTCATATCAGAGCGGAGCGTGGCAACCCTTTCAGGCATTTATCTTCCATAAAATGCGCCGCGGGTATCTGTGAGCCCTCGACAATATCCTTTTTGACTTCATTAACCGGGCTACGCTTTGAGACCATCTATGGAGCGACAGAGCTTGGGGGACTGATCACTGTAGGCCATTCTGAAGTAAAGGTACTTTCTCACCTTTGTACTTCAATCAGCACTAGATGCGTTAACAACATGTGTCCTAGGGATCGATTGGGAAACCACTGCCGGACATTGACATCAAGCTGTCTGAAGGCGATCGGGGTGAGATACGAGTCAAGAGCGCGAGGATGTTCATAGGGTAAGTCCTCACCGACAGCTCCAGGCTATGGACTACTGTAGATGGTAGCCAAAGTGTTAACCTGTCACCACCCTGATTAGATACATCGGCGATAAGGCGGCCACGAAAGCAGTATTTGATGAGCATGGCTACTACAAAACCAACGACTTGGCTGAATACAGAAATGGCGAATACATCTTTTGTGGAAGGGAAAACACTGATTGTGAGTCTTCTCCAAACCGACGATCTTTGGGAGCAGTCGAGACTGACGTTAGCGTGATATAGTTGTGTTATTCCGAAACTATGGGTTTTCGAGTATGCTTGTGGAGAACAGTATCTTGGATCTGGACTACATTGCAGAAGCCTGCGTAGTAGCCGTACCAGACCACGCCTCACGCCAGCTTTGCGGCGTTGTTGCTCGAATGACACCCGATGTCGTGGCAGCTGGTCGGCAGATTGACTTGAGTAAAATTCGAACCGATCTGTCAAACAGGAACGTCCCACTTTATATGCTTCCTGTTGTCCTGAAAACCTTGAGTGAAGGCGAGCCATTGCCGAGAAATGTGTCGGCAAAACCAATGAAACGCGATATTCTCGCACGATACTTTGGCTCAGTTGGCGGCATCCCGCCCACCTCCCTCCCCACCGGCGTGGAACGGTTTGACTTGCCAAAAACTGGAAACTCCTGTATACAACCCTGGGATTGGTGTGGTATGCAATCTGCATCTGTATAGAACCAATCGCAGATAAAATTAGGATACTCAAAGGTTACATAGAATTCAAATGTCGGTTCTGTATACTATGTAGCGCTGGGGCTTGCATAGAGTATAAGAATTACTTATATATCAGAACTGTTCTTTATCTCTCTAGATCTTCTAGAAAGCTATATTAAATATAGGCTTTTTAATAAGAGATAGGAAATAATTTAAAATTAAAATATAATATAACTTAGTATTTCCTAACGTAGTAACCAAACTAGATCTATATAGATAGATCATTATTAATTCCTTACTGAAAAGTTTCTAAAATATCATATATTAGATATGAATATCCAAGATACTAATATAGGAATAATCTTATAAACGAAGTTCTATAATCAATATATAGTAACTAGGTGTTACGGAACATGCAGCCTCAGATAACCAAGGGGCCATGACAGCCAATCGTTATCACCGACCTCAGATCACGTGCAGTTGGGTATAGTACGGGATCCCCGCATGGGACCCGGAGGAACCATTCCAACCATGGAGCCGAAAAGAGCCTCCCGCTAACTAGAGTCACAACGAATACTTCTTTACTTGGTCTCTACTTCCCGGTCTGACGGCAAGCGACACGTGCCGACCCGTCCGTTCGAAGAGAAGGACCTGTCCTGCGACAGGAACGGAAGGAACTGGATATATGCGGGTTTAGTCCCCGTGGGACTATAGCTTCGGCCTTGTTTGTATCAGAATAAGCTTAGTGTTGACTTGAATCCAATGGTTGTTTTCGCACTTGAGAATTTTTATCCTTGTCTCGAGCGAAATTTGCAACATTATTTGAAGTGCTTTGTGATTCTAACACTTTTCTATGTTAACCTCCGCATAGATCGCTGGACGGTGGTTGATTAGCCTATGTTATAGGGTAATACATTTGTTTGCAATATATTAATAATAACTTATATAATATTCTCTTTGTATTATTATCTTCTAATAGGAGGATTAGTCGCTACCTTGCTAGCAAATCGCTATAACGGACAATGCCTAAGTCGGAATCCTGACCGTGTTTTGTATTTTTATCCTTGATCACGCTCTTAACTTTATCTAGCGCGGACACGGTATCTCTGACCGCCGATATTAGGGTATAGTGAGGTTAAAGCAAAGGGTTGTCTACTAGAGCCTTGAGGAGAACTTGTATATAAGGAGTTGCTTTATAATGAGATTCCTCGTAGTAAGGGGAGACCTCCCCTTCGATATAAGGATATAGGCGATCCGGATCGTTTCCGAAGTTAAAAGCGTTGTTTTTATCTACTTTTCTAGATTTTGCCTCTACGTTATCCCTAAGAAATCCAAGTTCTTCCTAAGGTGTTTGTTATAAGTACTCTGTTGCGCGAATAACTTACTTACTTTGAAATGCTTTAGTCGCTTCGTCTCTCTCGACTGGGTCCGGGAACCTGTCTAAATAGATAGCTGCTTGGATTTACCTGAAATTCAAGATTATATCTTAGGGTAGAGCTTTTTTAATAGCCTCTTCAATTTTTCTAGCATTATTCGGTAGGCTTAGGATTGCTTCTATTATCTTAGGCTTTTCCGTAGGTATTATTTCCCTCGACGACTTTTCCTTATTATCCGACTTATCCGACTCAACAGATAGTAGTAGAGGATATAAAGATTAGTCCTCGGGATCGCAGTCCTGCGCCTAGCTGCTGTTTGATAGTCCTAGCATTTTTCCAATTTTTTCCGAATTTAATTTATTTCTGAAGTTAGCTAGTGAATTCCAGGAGGGACGAGGTCTACAATGGGTAGCAAGCCTTGCATAATCCTGGCAGTCTCTGGCAGTATTAGCAGTTTTGAGCAGGGATGATAGGAAAGAGCACCGGGGGAATTAAGTTTCCCTGCAGAATATATCAAAAATGCCGAGGAGATAATTACATATATCAATCTCTACCGCTCAGTTTACTTCCACGGCTACCAAGGGCTCTACTAGGTATCTCATTATCGTTCTTTTAGCCACAAATCCACCCTATTTAGTACAGTAATTCATTCCGTCCTTTGTCCAACAAAAGTACATGTACAAAAGCGGTCACTTTCCAAATGTCAAAGGTGATCTAGACACATGAGCTTAGGCTGCGGCAAATTCGCATCCGCAAATTGCGGATTGCGGATCTAGGTATTGGATCCTCATCCGCACTAGCTTAATTCTCGCTTAATTATCTCTTTAGAGACTATTTTCTCAGTCTTCCGCAGCTTACAAACCATTGTTCCGCATTGAAAGAAAAGCATGTTTTGGCTCCTCCCTTCTTGCTTGTTAGTATCCTTCACTATCTTGGTAGGAAATCTTGAAAATTCTATCATAGTCAGAAAGAGACAGTAGTCATGCTCTTATTTTATGAGTCTTTTCAAAATTCTTAAAGTATGTGGTTGGCAAGAGGTCTTTTTGTCCAAATATGCCATAATTGTGTAAGTTACAACGCAAATACTCACATATCTTCTTTTCCAGGCACGCTATCATCAGACTCTGGATCCATTATCGATTTGATTCGTCGGATTATTCTGGCAGGATTTCCGGCAACGAAATGGAAAGGTGGAACATCCTAGTTGAGGTTGTGAGTCCCATAAATCTCTCCAATGAGGGGAGTGCAAACATATACCTTGGTAACGACTGAACAAGCGCCCACTGTGCTCCCACGTCCAACTCGCACCCCACCTAGGATTGAAACACTCGCGCTGATCCAAACATCATCCTCGATATGGATTTCTCGCCCTGATTCTGGTCCTTTGAGTCCACGACGCTCTGCTGGATCCATAGGATGAAGAGCACCATATAGGCTCACATTGGGCCCAAAAAGCACATTCTCACCTATGGTGATTAGGCATGTATCAAGAACGACGAGATTGAAGTTGAGGAAAGTTCCTTTTCCCACTTTGAAATTCAGGCCATGATCAACAGAAATTGGGCCGTCGACATATGGATCTGTATCATCAAACAGAGCTTCGTCTTTCTTGGGGCTTGCTGCCTCTGCCGGGAGTAACCGAGTATCTCCAATGATGCTAAATGATCAGCAGCCAGTATCTGAAAAGCAACGGCTGTAGAAGTCTGAACAATCACTCACTTTCTCCATAGTCTGACCTTCTCACGGCGCGAAGCATATGCTGCTGTGTTGAATTCTTCACATGCTCTTTTGCAGCGTAATCGATTCTTTTGTAGTATATCGTCTCCCGCATGATACCATTCACCGCGAAGCATCTTTTCCCATTCAGGCGAGGATGTCATGTTGTTTGTTACTACGAGGTCTTGTAGCGTCCAAATACCGTTGACGACTTAGGAGACTCAAATTAAGGTATTTGCGAGCAAGCATGAGCTAGGCGACAAGAAGACCAATTTATTACCGCGAGAATAAATAGTAGCAAGGCCTAGGCTTTTAATAACTTATCCCGGAGTATCTTCGGAGTAATAAAATACATTTACCCCAGTCTCTCTTGCCTTTACCCCACTGAACATTGTCATATCGTCGCTATAATTCTGTTGACCTGTATCACTTTTCTCCACAACTGTATGTAGGTATTAGATAGAGACTCCTAACTGTATGAATTACATGGCTTTCTCATACGACAGAAATACATAGCCACAGGGCGACAAAATATGTTCATGACAATATGAGCTCACATTCTGAATGAATGAATAACAGTTCCAACCAGACGTTGATACAAACTATTTGGAAATGACATTTTCGATTTTTTCTCAGTCTCATCAGAGGTTTATCAAGTATATGTCCAGATGCCGTCTAGAGAGTAAGAAGTGCGAATTGTGATATATGGAGACCAGGCATTCGAAGGTCAAGGAAGTAATAGAGGCAGGATGAGTAGTGCTGTTTCCCAGCTGTAAGTGCTTGCACGAGTTTAGATTATTGGTCTGATCAGGTCCTCTTATCCTCCTCCCAGGACGCTCATGACTCTCCCATGAGCTATTTGGGCATATATGCATGGCATCGTAGACATCACGTTCTCACCTCATTCTACTTAAGGTGATAAGGATAAAAAAGTTTAAATAAGTAGAATAGCTTTAGCTATTTTGTAAATAGACGTATAAGAGCATATAAATTTTCACAGATAGATCTATAAAGTGACCAGTCAAAACGAAGGGAAATCTGGAAGCAAATTAGTAAATAAACTTTATCATATTTATTCCTTGCAGACCTCCAAAAGCTGGCCAATCTGTCAGGGGAGAATGCTTCTGGGAATATCAAGTTTTGAGGCAAGGCAAATTGTTCAATCTAACAATATCCAGTACAGACATACTACTCAAAAGGGAAGATTGTCAAATCAGAGGCAAGTGAATAACGCCAACGCTAGTTCTTTATTGGTAGAATAGGAGATATCGACTAAAATTAAACCTTTTTACAGGGATAGAGCTAGCGGGTCACTGTTTATTGAGCCAGCTTTCTCAGGTCACTCCTCTCTTACTATGACCAGTGTGGGGAGTAACTCCAAGTGAAGAAGCTTAGTAAGCAGTCAGGGATGATATTCCAGTTGTCCGGCTCAGGAGAAGGATCTGTTGGATCAGTTATAACATGATTACTGACAAACTCAGACCGTCCAGGCCTATGCTTTATTCCTACTCAGAGACCAGTCGAATGGAAAAGGGGTGGAAAGAGTTGGCGGACCATGATGAGATCTGGTGTGAGCACCAATGAAAGCACCACCGCAGCCACGACGTCATTGCTAGCCTAGTTTTCGTGGCTTTCCAGCCAGGGTCCAGGAACGGCGAAAAGACAATAGTGAAAATCAAGTCGGACGGAGAATCTATGGGTAGGGCAAACGAACAAAAAGGTAGATTTGTAGATTTGAACCTACTACTCGTCTTCAATAACTAGCTACATTCCTTGTATGTCACCACTCCTGCTACTTCCCCTCCGACTCTCCCTGTTTCTGTGGCCAAACACGCCTGCGGAGGAGCCCGACGATCGGCTGGGTACATCATGCCCAGGTTTCACCTGCGCGAGTTAGGCAACACCAGAACAAGCCGACCCGGCTTCTGCACCAGTCGTGGCTGTGTCGCATTCCTCCCGTGAAACGATGCAGAGATGCGAAGCAGGCTTCCCCTACTCCGGATAGGCAGCAGAGAAAAGTTATTGCACGATCGCAGGATCTATAAAGGCCGGTCGCCAGGGACCTTGTCCGGAGTCACCTGAAATCTCGGGATTTTATTCACGTCACCGGACTCCTAGAAAAAGGTAACCAAGCACAAAAGAGCTTAGACTGCTCTCACCATCCCATACAAGGAAGAGTGAACCCCGCCCTCAGCCCTATTGAATCCGCTGTTGCCAAGATGTCACCGATGACGCTGGCGCGACGACGGTGGCTTTTATGATTCTTTCATCCTATATTTCTTAGTCTTCTGTCTTGGATTCCTATATCTTTTTGATGTTTCTTTGCCTTGTTTACACAAACACATTGCGCTTTGAGTGTCGACTTTGGGCCACTATTGTCTGCCTCCTATATAACTATTGTCTTCTACATTTTTCCAGTGATCTCCCCCCAGCTCTCTCCAGCTAACTCGATCACGCTTGCCACTAGCACCCGCATTCTCTGTGCCTGCACTTTTGTCCGGTCGCCCTCTACCACAGCATCGCACAGTCGCATCCTTTCCACCTTTTTCAACCAGATCTTCTCAACCCTATCAGGATGGGCAACATTCCATGGATCTACCCGGTCCGCATCGTGCAGGTCCTGTTCGGCGTGATCGTCGTCGCCCTGACTGCATATGGTTTGTCCTTGTCCTCCTCCTCCTCCTCCTCCTCCTCCTCCTCCTCCTCCTCCTCCTCCTCCTTCTTCTATGAGGGGGTCCTGGATTTGATCTCTGAACTAATCACCTCCTCCGATCTAGTGATCAGTGCGCTATATGACTGGTGGAGCTTCTCCGATACCGTGAACTATCTGCTCTTCCTCGGGTGCTGGACAGCTTTTGTGGCGACCCCATATCTGGCCGCGGCCCCAATCTACTTCCCCGCCTGGCGCATCGGTTTGTGATGCCGGCCGTGGAAGTCATCACCATGATCTTCTGGTTTGCCGGTTTTATTGCGATCGGGGCGGAGTTGCCCGCCCCGGCCTGGTGCACTGCTAGCACTTGCCGGGCGCTACAAGCCGTGACGGTCTTCGGTGCCTTTGAATGGTAAGTAGAACCTCATATAGATGTCCTGTTTTGTCTTAATGGTCTTGATTGTTGCTGGTGGTCGAAACTAACTGACGGTTGATCTTGATAGGGTCCTCTTTGCCGTGACCACCTACTTTGCCCTCGTCGACGTGGTGCAGCATCGCCGCAGTGGAGAGAGTGCGCAGAAGACCCAGCACAATGCCCATCTCGGGGTGTAAAAGGGTGTAAAAAGGGAAATGGAGGAGTCTGCACCCTATTGGTAAGGGAGGAGGGTTTCCAATGGTCGTTCTCGTGGGAGGATGTAATGAAAAGGAATGAGTGAGGGGAAGATCATATCCTTTACGACTTTGTGATTTTTTTGGTTCTGATACCCTTTCCTGCTTGTGTTCTTTTTTTTGGCTTGTTGAGTATTCTGTGAACATCCAATTGACCGTCTTCTCATGACTTATGACTTAAAACCTGTTATTCTAGTTGTAGCAGCAGCAGCAGCAGTAGTTGTTGTTGTAGTTGTTCTAGATGAGCCACTCTACCATTGTAGATAGCTCTATGTAGTTCTCATTCTCTCCAATCATGCTGATCCACCGGGTCGCCTAGAGTGGAAACGGGGCCGAACATGGTTCCGTCACGGTCGGGCGTCCTCAGCCGTCAAGGCTATAGACATTGTCCTTTATCCCAAGAAGGATCCTTGCAGAATCCCCTTTCTTGATCAACCCAAATTCTTGTCATTTCCATCTTTTTTTCCCCTATCCTCACGAGCGACCTGGAACAAGCTTCCTAAAGAAAGGTTGCCACGATGGGCGGGTGGCGTCGCCCGTTGATGCAGAGTCACATCGGGCCCCGTTTAGTGTCGCTAGTGCAGCTGCACGCGATGCGCCCCCGGACCGGGCAGTCTGGAGCGGGATTTCTTGATATGTACTCCGTCCTTAGGGATGGGGAATTCGATCGACTAATACGATCGACTAATATCGACTCCGATACGAAGGCCATAATCGAGGGGACGATAGAGCACACAATGCTACCATGATAAGCAGCGGCGACGCGCCATCTCGGGCCCTTCCCGTCGCCATCATTGGCTCATTGGCTGACAGCGTTGCCACTCTCGAAGAGTTTTCCCGGTCCTGATCTCCACAGGGAAGAGCAAGAAGAGAGCAGAGCAGCAGAGTGAGGAGGAGGAATAATCCAGAGAATGGTTGGCTGGTCGAAAGGCTGGTACGGGACTGGAGGCAGAATTTTCGTTGGCCGGAAACGTACAAAACGCTCGCCAGCCCTAACTTCCCCAAGATCGTCCCCCTCGTGGCCGTTTCGTTTCCCGGTGTATATTGGCCGATCCAGCACAACTAGTGACCTAGTCAACGACTCGTTTACGCCTTACAGAGTAATAATTATCTAGTAAGTTATCTAGCAATAAACTCGGCCAACTCACGTTGACGTTGGGACGAACTGACCCACCTCCACCGCGCAGGGAAAAAAAAAAAAAAAGAAAAGAAAAGAAAAAGAAAAAAAAGAGACCGAGAAAAGCCCTCGGGAAAGCAGAGCGGGCAACGACTGAGTGCCCGCAAGTGGAGAAGCCTCCTACTCTTTTCTCCTCCGAGCCTGCACCTCTTCTCTTCTTCAAGCTCTCATCCCCTACCGTCCTGGTCCCCTCGCAACCCTTCCCCTCCGCCCACGGCAAGACAGTGCTGCCTCCTCCCATGGCCTCAGACAAGTTCAATCTGCCGCCTGGGACCGAGAAGGGAAAGATGGAGTCAGAGGGCCCGATCATGCAGGCGCAGCCCATTCACCCAGTCGACAACTATGATGTCGACTACGAAAAGCACGGCGCTGGCCGCGAGTCCAACCCGCTGCCCGATCTCAAGCGCAACCTCAAGAGCCGACACTTGCAGATGATCGCCATTGGTGAGTTATCTCTGCCCATCCTCATCGCGCAATGGCCTCAATCGCATGGATCATACATGCTCCCAATCCCCTAAGTCATGCTTTTTGACTCACAATGGCGCACAGGTGGTACCATCGGCACAGGTCTGTTCATCGGTAGTGGCAAGGCCGTCGCCCACGCCGGCCCCGTCGGCGCCCTCATCGCATATATCTTCGTCGGCACCATCGTTTACTCGGTCATGACGTCTTTGGGCGAAATCGCGACCTACATCCCCATTCCCGGTGCCTTCACCTCGTACGCCGCGCGTTTGATCGACCCCAGCCTGGGATTTGCCATGGGCTGGATCTATTGGTTCTCGTGGGCGTCCACGTTTGCGCTGGAACTCACGGCCACCGGGATGATCATTCAGTTCTGGGACAGCTCGATCCCCATCGCTATCTTCATCGCTATTTTCTGGGTCATGATCATCATCTTTAACATGATGCCCGTCGGGTTTTATGGCGAAATGGAGTTCTGGTTCTCGACGATCAAGGTGCTTACCGTCATCGGCTTTATGATCTTCGCCATCTGTATGGATGCCGGCGTGGGCAAGGAGGGGTATCTCGGTTTCCGATACTGGGTGCACCCGGGCCCCTTTGTACCCTATCTGGTGGAAAACAACGACTCGCTGGCAAAGTTTGTTGGCTTCTGGTCCGTCCTGATCCAGGCCGGCTTTGCCTACCAAGGCACAGAACTAGTCGGTATCGCCGCCGGCGAGACTGAGAACCCCCGCAAGACCGTTCCTGCGGCGATCCGCAAGACCTTCTATCGTATCGTTTTCTTCTTCGTCCTAACCATTTTCTTTATCGGCATTGTGGTCCCATCGAACGATGACCGCTTGCTGGCGAGTGAGGGCAGCGGTTCCGACGCGAACAACGGAAATGCCTCGCCCTTCGTGATCGCAGCCCGTCGTGCCGGAGTCAACGTGCTTCCCTCGATTATCAATGCCGTCCTTCTGACCGTGGTGCTTTCAGCGGCCAACTCGAACGTCTATAGTGGCAGTCGTATCGTGGTCGGCCTGGCCCAGGAAGGATTCGCGCCCCGGATCTTTAAGCGGACCACTAAGGGCGGTGTGCCGTACCTGGCAGTCGGGTTCACCGCGCTGTTCGGCCTGCTCGGTTTCCTGAACGTATCCAACGCCGGCTCGACCGTGTTCAACTGGTTGATGCAGATTTCTGGTGTGGCCGGATTCATCACCTGGTGCTCGCTGAACGCATGCCATCTTGCGTTCCAGCGCGCGCTCAAAGCCCGCAATATCTCCCGTGATGTGCTGCCGTACAAGGCGATGTGGCAGCCGTGGTTCTCGTGGTACGGCCTGTTCTTCAACATTCTGATCATTTTGACCCAGGGCTTCGACTGCTTCATCGGGGGCTTTGACGTGCAGAACTTCTTCATCTACTATCTGAGTCTGATCTTGTTTGTGGTGCTTTATATCGGGCACAAGGTCATTTTCCGCCCCGCGTTCGTGAAGCCGCTCGAGGCCGATCTCGACACGGGCCGAACCACCGCCGACAATGAGATCTGGGAGACGAACGAGCCGACCACTTGGTACGGTAAGCTGTGGCAGGCGATTGCCGGTTGAGGCTTCATGAAGAAAAAGAACATCTCGGGTGGAAGATGTTGTGGAGTCCTCATTGGTTCGACTTTTATACATATTTGATACATGTACACTCCCCCTATATATGTCCCTGTCTTATAGTGTTTATATATTGGATTCGCCGTGGTTTATGGTGGCAGGCATTGGGCAAGGCGTTTTTTTGGGAGGCGATCATGTATACTCTTCTCTTCTTTGCATATCATCATTCGCATTTTCTTCAGAGCCATTTTGCCGGATTTCGGGTTTCAAATGAGGACCAGCCTAACCCCGCAAGGACTATATCCAGACTGTAGTTATCTCAGGACCGCATGGAAGCTTTTCCGAGTCCTATAATTTTGGCCTCGTACAAGAGCATGAAATGTGACCGCATGACTGATCGTCCTACGGTCGTCATTTTCCATGTGAAGCCGGGGTGGGCATGTGGAACTCGGATGACATCCAGAACCACCGCCGGAATGGGCCTGTCCCTGCTTCCCCACTAGCGCGGTACCTCCCATATTGCGGGTACTGCCTTACTAACCCCAAGTACCGCGCAGGGAGCCGAGGTAGTTTCCCTTGCTGTGGATCTGCACGAGCGCCCATGAAGGACAATCGACCGAAAGTGTCGGTCTCTCCGGATTTCTTCTTTCTTTACTCCAGACCCTCCGCTCCCTCCTCCCCCGTCCCCCGTCCCCCCCTTCTTTTCTCCACACTACTCTCCTTGTCTCGCTTTTGTCTGGGAGGATCTTGTCCGTCTCTTGGATCTGCTGTTTCTGCCGGCGTCGTGATTTTGCCCTGATCTCTCCGCGGTATGCCTCTATTTCAGCCTGGCTGGCACCTCTCGCCACCAGAAACCTCGACGCTGACGCTCTCATGCTAGTCTTCTCTAGACAAATCCATCATGTTTTTCTCACAGCCCGCCCACCTCGCTAAGGCGGAGGAGCTTAGGACTCCTCCGTCAAAAGGCACGCCGTACTCGGTGGCCATTCCCGGGACTGAACAGACTGGCCGCAGCCGGATCTACCGGGCATGGAATGCGCAGAAAGAACTGCTGAAGACCTTGGATCCCCAGGTAAATGACACAGGATGCCTTTCGGTACATGATGGCAGGAAAAACCATGGGTGCTAACACAAAGTTTCCCTTTTGTCCAGGTTGTCACCGCGCACGACATGTTCGAGTCCACCGCCAACCGCCAACCCAAGAACCACTGCCTCGGCTGGCGCCCCTTCAACTCGGCCACCAAGACCTTTGACCAATACCAGTGGCTCACATACGAGACTGTTCAGAAGCGGCGGGCGGCTTTTGGTGCCGGTCTGGTAGAGCTGCACCACAAGCACAACTGCCACCGACCCGGCCAGTACGGTATTGGCCTTTGGTGCCAGAACCGCCCCGAGTGGCAGATTACCGGTAGGGCTTTCTTTTTTTTTTTTCTTCCTCTTGTTCTTCTTTTCTTTGCTTTTTCTTCTTCTTTTTTTTTTGTTTGACATCTTTCAAGTGGTGCTGAAACTAACCTCTTGCTAGACCTGGCCTGTATGTCGCAAGGTCTCTACTCGGTGTCCATCTACGATGTCCTGGCTCCGGACGCCACCGAGTACATCATCAACCATGCGGAGTTGAACTGCGTTGTCACATCTCTCCCGCACATCCCTACTCTTCTCAAGCTCAAGCCGGCGATGCCGAACCTCAAGATGATTATCAGCCTGGATCCCCTTGATGCTGGTGAACAAGAAGGCCACTCAAAGCGCGCTTTGCTGGAGTCTATCGCTGCGGGCCAGGATGTTGCAATCTATACTATTGATCAGGTCGAGGCCCTGGGAGTGGCCTCCAAGCGTGGATATCAAGCCCCCTCTCCATCTGATATCGTCACTATTAACTACACTTCCGGCACCACCGGCCCTCCCAAGGGTGTGGTTCTGACCCATGAGAACGCCGTGGCAGCCACCTCCGCCGGTCTGATCACCATTGGCCAGGCCCGCGGGGATACGATGTGTTCTTACCTGCCTCTAGCGCACATCTATGCCCGTCTGTCAGAGCACACTGCCTTTTACGGTGGTGCCCGCATCGGTTACTTCCACGGCAACATCGTGGAGCTGGTCGATGATCTGAAGATGCTGAAGCCCACTGGTTTCATGTCCGTCCCCCGCCTCTACAGCCGCTTTGGTACTGCCGTGCGTGCTGCCACCGTTGAAGCTCCCGGTTTCAAGGGAGCCATGTCCCGACACATTGTAGCAGCCAAGACTGCCAACATGAAAAACCCCGATCCCTCCCAGGCCACCATCCGGCACGCCCTGTATGACCGGATCTGGGCCAAGAAGGTAGCCGCGGCTTTGGGTCTGGACCGTACTCGCTACATGGTCTCAGGCTCGGCCCCTCTGGATCCTACCTTGCACAACTTCCTGCGCGTTGCCACCGGTACCGATGTTCTCCAGGGCTATGGTCTGACCGAGTCTTATGCCTGCGGTACTGCCCAGTCCTCTCAGGACCTTACGGCCGGCAACTGCGGCGGCCTGGCCCCCTGCACGGAGGCTTGCCTGGCGTCTCTGCCGGATATGGAATACTCCGTCGATGACAAGCCGTACCCGCGGGGTGAGCTGCTCCTGCGTGGCAGCAACATGTTCCGCGAGTACTTCAAGAACCCGGAAGAAACCTCCAAGGCGATGACCGAAGATGGCTGGTTCCGCACCGGCGACGTGTGCCAGATCGACGAGATGGGCCGCTTCATTATCATCGACCGCCGCAAGAACGTGCTCAAGCTGGCCCAGGGCGAATACATCTCCCCCGAGCGCCTGGAGGGTTTGATTATGTCCGAACTCGGCTACCTGGCCCAGGGATACGTGCATGGCGACAGCCTACAGACCTTCCTGGTCGGAATTTTCGGCGTCACGCCGGATCTGTTCGCGCCGTTCGCCAGCAAGGTTCTCGGCCGCAGCATTGCCGCTACCGACCTTGAGGCCATCAAGGCGGTTTTGAACGACGACAAAATCCGCCGGGCGGTATTGCGGGATCTGGAGCGCGTGGCCAAGAAGCACAAGCTGGCCGGCTACGAGCGCGTACGCAACTGCTCCCTGAAGCTGGAGCCGTTCACTGTGGAGAACAACTTGCTGACGCCGACGTAAGTATTGTTTATCTTCCATCTTCTCTCTATCTGCAACACATTTACTAACATGTTCTCCCTTCTAGTCTTAAGCTGAAGCGCCCTCCTACGGTCAAGCTATACCGCCAACTCTTGGACCAGCTATATGCCCAGGCTGTGGAGGAAGAGTCCGCGCCCCGGGCCAAGCTGTAGGAGACCTCTCGTTTTTTCCTCCTCCATTCTTCCATGTTACATTTTTATTTGTCTTCTTTTGTTTCCCGGGGCTTTGCATCTCGAGACACTGTACATAGATGTCTGCATTGGGCCTTGCCGAGCCATGCATTGTAGTATACTGAACCAAAGCTCTTGAAGATTTTCTTCGTTCCATTTCCTAGACTTGACGGAGAATGAGGAATTTTTATGTAGTCTAGGATCATGATCATCGGCTCAACAATTCCCCATTTCCCAACCCGTCATCAAATCAACCCGCACATCGCCAGAACAACAGCGTCTGTTCCTTGCTCAGAGTTGACATCTCCTGTGTAGCCAAGGTTTCCGTGCCCCACGCGAGCCATTGCAACTGGCGATTGTCCCGGACGATGGGCACTATCCGGATAGAAGACGTGTGATTCAATCACAGAATCTTCATCTGTCGTGTACCATGCATCCGAGGGAGCGACGTTTTGTAGGAACAAGGCCTTCTGGCTGTAACTTGTTGGTAGCTTTTGAGCCAACTCGTCCCCAGTTGCTGCTCGATTGACCACCACGGTTGTTCGATTATAGGCGCCAGGTTCCCAAGATAATCCCGCCTTGGCAACTAGAGGTTGGATCTTGTTCGGTTGGACAAAAGACGAGAACTGGCCCATCAGCAAAGCTGTACAGCCTTCGCGTACGCAGCGGAGGACCGCGTCCCAGACGAGTGCGTTCTCCTTGAGAGTCAATGCTTCGTCTGTGATGAGGATGGCCGACGGCCGACTTTCAAGTACTTGGATAGCTAATACCGGGTCCTTCACCAGCTGAACCGTTGCCTTCGATCTCAGTTGAGCCAATAGTCTGCCACATGATTCTTCGAACACATCTTGGTAGTGTAGAGAGATTATAAGGACCCGTGGGGAGGAGTTGTCATTGTCGGTAGGCATGCCTGCTTTGAGACGAAGATTCTTGACGGTAATTGAGGAGGAGATTAATCGGGTTTCAAGCTGTGGGGCAGGTGTTCGAGTTGGTTGAGTGGAGATGTGAGATCTTGCAGGGGATCGGTCAACCCTGAGTTGCCAGGCACTCCCCGCTTATTCTCAGGCAGGAACGCGTCACCCAGTAGAGTAGACAAAGCTCGCAGAATGTCATCCAAGTGACCTCCATCAACCATGACCTCGAGTGCCAGTCAGTCTCATCTCCTTGAGAAGAACCCCGAAATGCGCCTCAAATAAAAGAGTGCAGTCAACCAGACAACCCATTATCCTAGCAGTCCGCCTGATTTTAAATTTCGTAAACTCCCAGAGCTTCAAGGCTTCGGTATCCTTTATCACTAAGACTATGATCGTCGTCTCCTCGATGATACGACTTGCTGCTGCAATGGTTTCTGGTGCCTCCAGAGTTGTGTCCTCTTCCCTCCCAAGGCATTCATCACGGAGTAAAATTAAGTTCCTTCGGTTATCCAATATATCACTTATATTACTCCTATTTGGGCATTATCTCCTCTTATCCAGTGTCTTAAGTCGGTGGGTATTGGGAGGTAGGCATGATGGAACACACAATTTTCACCTCTTGGGGACCATTGGGGGCTCACCAGCTCCTAGAAGCTATATATCAGCGCAAGGTTAATTACAGTCAAGTATATGTCGGAGGCTCTAGGTCCCGAACCCAGAGTCATTTAGGATGATTAGGCTCACTAGGTTTTTGGATGATCGGGATCCTCCGGCTGGATAACATCCTAGGTGTGTGTCCTAATCAGGGGTAACCAGATTCCCTAGACCTTGAAAGCTAGGGTCTAATGAGTTCTGTCGAGCACGGAGCAGGCTCTTTGTTATTAAATGTTTGCATCCGAGAAAACAACCAATAATTGGGAACTGGGCTGCCGACGTGTTACTTGCTGTTTGGAGGATCGCATGTATCTACCCCTGTCATAGCAAATAGCAAATAGCAAACAAACCCCGCGTTCATCAGACTACAAATCCCCCTCCTCATCAACTTACTTGCCCATTTTATTTTTCAAACATTACTTTTCCCATCAGGTTACTGGTCACTTGTATTTCTAACCGTTTGAGACATTAAACCACCCTCTACCACATTTCCCCCTCCCTCGGGATCGAAATGGATTTCCACGATGTTTCCAAGGTTCCGCGGTACGCCCAGTTACTCAAGAAATACAAGCAAAATCTCAAACATGATCTTCGCCTCAGGGGCCAGCACCTAGGGCCAAGAAAGTCGAGAGATGAAATCTTATTGCAGTTGGAGCTTCGACGAATGGTGGATGAGGATTGTCCGGAAATCATGTCAACTTCTTTCTACTTTCTACCACCGGCTTACACTCCATGTACTCTCCCTTTTAAGGAAATGAGCAAAATCAAGATTCGAGATCTTAGCCTTGAAACTCACCACCGGGGTCAGTATCTATTGCTGAGGACAATCACTCCGACATACGAAATGACCGCCGTGACGGCAATTGTGGAAGATGAAGATGACGAGGTCCTCACGTTAGAACTCTACAATCAGAAAAATAAGCTATCTAGCGCGCTGAACCTTCCTGAGGGAACAATTCTGATTGTGAAGGAGCCCTACTTGAGATTGTTGACTGAAAATGACTATGGACTTCGAGTTGACCACCTGTCGGATATCAGGTTCTTGCCAGAATTTGACAATCTCGTCCCGTTATGGTGGAGAGATTCAATCGATTCGGCTACTGTATCCGCCACTTCATGGAAAGAAAAAGGGAACGAATATTTTAATGACAATGTCTATCGCCTGGCAATTGAATGGTAAGATTGAGACTGTGAGTCTTCGTCAGCAGACTGAGGTTGATTATAATCCCAGTTATTCAAAAGCGCTGGAATCCACGCCCTCGCCAGAGCTAGCGATCACAACATTACTCAATCGTGCTCTTGTATATCTCAAAACCCATCAGTTTGATGCAGCTCTTCTTGATGCAAACACAGCCCTGTCGAAGTCCAATTTGTCTGAAAAGGCCCTTTTCCGCAAAGCTCAAGCGCTTTATTATCTTGGAAGATTTCAAGAGTCTTGCGAAACGCATCAGATTCTTCAAGGAAAGTACCCGGAAAACTCCATGGCTCGACATGAGTTCAAACGGGCGGCCGCAAGACTTGCAGAGCAAGATAGTGGCAAATATGAATTCGGGAGAATGGCACTTGAAGCAAAAAAGCGACAGCCCCCATATCTCGAACGTGGCACTTATATTGGTCCCGTGACTGTGAGACCAACTCGGTCTCATGGAAAAGGTCTGTTCACGAAAGAGGCAGTGAAGGCGGGCGATCTTCTACTCTGCGAGAAGGCTTTTGCTTATGCCTTTCATGATGCTCATGAAATGAATGAGCCGAGCTTGGTGCTTAACGCTGACACGAACAGAGTTACACTTGGCACACATGCGAAACTTGTCGAAATGATTGCGCATAAGATTCACAGAAATCCTTCTTTGTTTGCTACATTCTTTGATCTCTACCACGGCACATATGAGCCGGTTTCTGTCCAAGAAGTGGATGGCCTACCTATCATAGACACGTGTGTATATCTTTTTGGGCGTGGGGATTAAGAGACTGACATTCTATAGCTTTCTCGCCGAACGAATAATTTCACTCAATGGTTTCGGATGCCCTCGACTCAGTCACAATATTCACATAGATGTTTCAGGCGACGCTCACGCTGCTGAAAAAGCAAACGGCTTCTACTCCTGTGGGGTCTGGTGCATGGCATCACACATCAACCATTCATGCTTCAGTACTGCCTATCGCTCGTTCATTGGAGATATGATGATTGTTCGAGCAACGAGAGATCTTCCACCAAATACTGAAATTACCTTCTGGTACAAATCACCCCTGAAGAGGAAATCATTCATGGCCCCGATAGACCTACGGCAATGGGGGTTCAAGTGTGATTGCATAATCTGTCAGAATGTCAGGAATACAGACAAGGATGTGTTGACAACTAGAAAAAGATTACGAAAAAGACTCATGGTCGATCTGCAGGAATTTCACAAAGCCAAGAGGAAGGATTTGGGGAAGATAGAGGATATGATAGCAAGAATTACGGATACCTATCCTCAACCAGCATCTGAAGTTCCTCGTCTTGCCCTCTGGTCACCATACCTGAGCCTTGCTGCACTCAGCCGCGGATCATATCAACCCGAATTAAGCATCAAATTCGGGTTGAAGGCTCTGGAGTCCATTGGATATGTGATTGATGGCGGAGGTTTCCCTCGTGCCTCGGGAAGGAAACTGGTCGTTCGGCGATGGGGATTGGTGAGTGATGGGGTTGTTAGATGCTGGATGGTTCTTCGCAGTGCGTACCATGAGGTGGACCCTACAATTGCAGCTCAGGCCGAGGAATTTGCCAGGATCTCCTACAAAATCGCCGTCGGAGAAGATGAAACATTCGATCTAACATACCGCAAACTGTCGTCGCGAACCGATGAATTACCGGTAGCTACAGAATAGTACAGCCGTCTATAGAGCTACGATGAGTAATAGATTGACGTGGTTTTCAGTGGCCAAGAAAGAAAAAGAACAGAAAAAAAAAAAAAAAAACTAGTAAAAAGTAGGAAAAGGGATAAACGACGGTAATATACATACATATATATATAAATAAATAAATACGTAGTGTAGATAGATATTAGTGCCTTACACCGCCCCCCCAACCCTTCCGGGTTGTGGGTGCGCCACGTATGAATTACCACCCACACATGAAATACCATTTTTTCCCTACCACCCTATTTTTGCTTCCCTACCCAACACCACCATCTAAATATGCCTAAATTTGATGAATCACGTATGGCAGAAGCCTGCCTAGCAGCTTCACGAGAGGAGAAGCCGAATTTCGCGCGTTTAGCACGCGAATTTGGCGTGCCTAGGCGTACGCTTTCGAATCGAATCAAAAAAGGAGCAAGGCCTAAGACAGCTATATGCAATGCTAAATACGCCCTCGAATCCTATCAAGAAGAAGCTCTTATTCGCTGGATTCAATATATGAACGATTGCTATATGCCTATCACTCCTAGGATACTAGAAGCGTGGGCAAATCGTGCATGCCAACGCGTCGGGAAGCCGCTAGTTAGCAAGATGTGGGCGTACCGCTTTATTAATAGGCTTCCTAAACATCTTCAATTAGGGCCTACTAAGCAGTATACGAAGGAGTCAAAGCGAATTCTAGCAGAGGATCCAGCAGTATTACAACATTGGTACGATCTACTAGCCCAAACTATCAAGAAGACTACGCCTGCACGTCTAGTCTATAACTTTGATGAATGCGGCTTTCAACCAGGCGAAGGAAGGTCTAGAAACGTCATATCTACTACTACTACTACTACTACTACTACTACTACTACTACTACTACTACTACTACTACTACTAGTAGTAGGAAGATAGTAGACCTTCCTCAGCCAGACCAAGGCGAAAATATCACGTCTATCGAGTGTATAGCTGCCGACGGGTGGCAGATGGAACCCTGGTTCATCTTTAAAGGCAACGGGGTCTTTATAGAATCTTGGTTTAATCGAACAGACGACCTACCACCAAGAACTACTATCACTACATCGCCAAACGGTTGGATAACCGATAGTATAGCAGTTCAATGGCTTCGATTCTTTATAGAATCAACATGCGACCGTACGAAATCGGGTGAAAAACGTATCCTAATATTCGACGGCCACGGTTCGCATCTTACATTCGAATTCCTACACCTTTGCGAAGAGAACAATATCCTACCTATAGGATTCCTACCACATACTACGCATCTTTGCCAGCCGCTAGACGGTAAGCCGTTTCTAAGCTATAAGCAACACTTCCGCTTAGCGAATAACGACCACGCGTTTTGGGGTGGAAGCCCTATCGGAAGATCCGAGTTCCTTCGAATAATCGGTGATATTCGGAATAGAGCGTTTAGCCAGCGAATTATTCGTGAATCGTTTAAAGATCGTGGGATATATCCAGTCGATAGTAGAAAGGTTATTAATAGCCTTCCTATCCAAGATTACCTAGATCTTATAGCGCTAGATCTACAACCGCTTCATTCAATACTTTATACAACACCTTCACCACCACCTATATCTTCTTCTAGTATCGACCAATCGCCGCCTAGATCTATACAGGATCTAGAGAAGAATCAAAAGAAGATTGCTAGATATCAACAAGAAGATCTTACACCTAGGCAGCAACGTAATCTTGACCGGTTATTTCATTATAACAAGATTGCTATAGAGAATCTGAATCTAGCGAACGATACTATTCGCAAGATTAGGGAAGCTCAACAACCACTACAGCGCCCAATCACTAAGCGCCAGGTTAAAACGCCGCTTAGCAAAACAGGGGTACTCTCTATTAGAGATGCAAATCGTTCTATTGCTAAAAGAAATAAGAAGGAAGCAGAGGCAGAGCGGAAGCGGGTAAGGAAGCAGTGGAAGAAAGCGTATGGAACATCACCACCACCAGATCCTACACAGGAATCCCAGGCATCATTAGATAGAGCAGAGGAAGCACGTCAGGAAGGTAATATTTTCTTTATAGATACTAGTAGTATGCAGTAGTAGATAGGGGAAATATGAAAAAATGGTATTTCATGTGTGGGTGGTAATTCATACGTGGCGCACCCACAACCCGGAAGGGTTGGGGGGGCGGTGTAAGGCACTAATAGCAGAAGGGACAAAAACAATTGGTTGGATACGGCAAAAAGAAATGCAAAATGACAAGAGTGGGATTCGAACCCACGCCCCGAAATCGAGATCAGGAAATTATGCTAAGGTATGACCTTAACCTGACGCCTTGGACCAACTCGGCCATCTTGCCTGTGCGATGTTTAGCAGCACTCAAGCTGGCCTTATCATCCACTTGGCCGGATTACAGAGTGAGATGTGCATTTTGCCGACAGGGAGAGGTCGGTGTCGCTCCAGGGCGTCGGGTTTTTGTGTTTTTTTTTTTTTTTTTAAAAAAAACAATTATAGCGTTATTATAAGTGTGAGGCACTTTGATGCGCAATAAGTATAATTTTCTACTGGTAGTTTAATGTTTATTATATGGAAGGGAGAGGTAGGTAACCGAGGAATCTTACTGGATAATATATATAACCGAAGAAGAAGTAGTCAAATCCAGAAAAGAGCACATCATAAATTCAACAGATACCAAACCTGCATAAAGGGGACACAGAACACAAGACAACCAAACAAATAATACATGCCCAAGCTAGATGAAAGATAGACTACCAGGACAGAATTAATACGTTTCTCATAGGCGGTTAAATTATCTAGTGTTCCAGGGCGGATAAACACGACCCAGTGACGAGACGAGAGCTGGGTATTAGATTCCACAAGAAGCAACACAGATAGAATAAGAAATATATTTCACCACCAGAATCATTGTAGCAACCAAGCGAAAAAAAAAGCCTATAAATGAAGATGAAGCAAGAGCTAAAAAAGGCAAAAAGAGAAATGACAAGAGTGGGATTCGAACCCACGCCCCGAAATCGAGACACGGAATTGTGGATCAGGTAAGCCTGAACCGTGCGCCATAGACCAACTCGGCCATCTTGCCAATTGATGATATGGGGGCGGAAATCTGAGCCCATAAGGGTAAACAGAAAAGCATACAGCTTTCATAGCTCTGTCGCGTTGGCTTCAGTGTTGGCATCAAAACATGCCCAACAGGGCAAGAGATACCTCATAGAACTCTCTCTCTTCATATCCCGCGCAAAGACTCGGTCTTTTCGTCTCTCTGGAAAAGCTGGCAGACGAAACACGGACATCGACGGATTACGGCTTCCGTGGTCTACAACTGCCCATGCCAAATTGGGCCACTCCGTGCTTATCTCCGATAATGCTCAGCCTGTCAATCATATTGTTCTCCGCGAGGATCGCAGACAGTGTTCCTCCTAATGACACTACTCTCTTCCTCCGTCCCCACCTTCATCCTACCCGATGGAGTCCAAAATTCAAAGGAAGTCTGGGGCCCATCATGCCATGCCCGATGATCCTGGTCATTACGTGAGGAGATCCCGCGACCTTCCCAATCTCCCGCATCATCATTCCTCGCCCCGCATCCTCCGCCCCGCCAACACTGCCTTCCGCAGCTCGCATGCCTCCCATCCAGCACGCAGTGTTTCTCCCGATGAACCTCAAAATTCTAGCCAGAGCATGTACGGTGTACAGAGTCTAGCCGAGACGTTGTCTCGGTCGGAGCCTTCTGAAAGCTCGCGTTCCACGGTCCCCTCCGGCAGCCAGCACTGGCGGTGCCCAACGCAGGAGCTCGAGGACACAAAGAAGGAGACCCTCGACTCCCCATGTCGGTCACGGCGCAAACCATTCGAGTTCAATACTCGCGACTCATCTCGCCGGCCACCAGCTGCCGATACGCCTTCCCAACCCCTGACCCCGTTCTTAAACCATGATTCCCCGTCCTCGCTGCCGAGCAGCCCCAAATCCATCTCCAACCACTCCCTTCGCCCGCTGGACGATATATCCATCACAGATGAAATCGGCAGTCAGGTCCTCGGATCGGGCGACGAGGACGAGAGACCCCGACCATCTCCGCGCCTGGGGCTAGCCGGGGCCTCGCAGCTGATTATGCCTAGTATTAAAATGCCGAGTCGACGACCATTTACAGAGCGGGGCCAGGCGATGGGTCGTTTTAAACTGCTGGTGGCAGGGGCTCCAGGTGTGTGGTACCCAGCATCCACACAGACTGAAAGTACCGTCCGATCGCTAATAATGCTCCTCAAACAGGTTCGGGCAAAACATCCTTGATCAAATCCATCGTCCAGACATGCAAGGACATCGTGCATGTGGATTCCCTGGATGCCCTTCCCCCATTCACCTCACTCGAGCGGCGCCGGCTGTCACGTCCCCACTCTGGGTCTGTCTCCACTCGCGGGGTGCCGGCCGCGATCACCGAAATCTACGCTAGCACAAAACCGTATCCTGCGTGGTGGTCCGATTTGGAGGATTCCCGCGTGTTGCGACGTCGGAAGAGCATCGGGGATATCATACTGGAGCGGAACCTGTGCTTCGTAGATACCCCTGCAGTCTCCTTGAGTCGTGCGGGCCAAACCGACCTTGTAGTGCAATATATGCGGCAGCAGCTCCAGCGTGCCGTGACCGCTCTGGCTGGTTCCGATGTGGATTTCCAGAACTTGCTGGCTGGAAATGGTGGATCTCAGGTGGATGCGATTTTATATTTGATATCTGATGGTATGTGCTTTACTAGCCTATAACTCCTCCATAATGCGCCAGCGCTTTCAACACTGACGGCAATTTTGACAGATACTTTGCCAACGGACGTGGATTGCATTCGGAAACTTTGTGAATTGAGTAACGTTATTCCGGTCGTGGCTAAAGCAGATACTCTGTCTCCAGCCGAAATTAACTCCCTCAAAGACCGATTTCTCCAGCAATCCCAGGACATTGGGATCAAGCCCTTTCTGTTCGGCAACTCGCCTCTGGAAGGTCTTGATATTTTGCACCCCCAGCCACCATACACTGTTTCGTCCGCGAAGACCGCGGATATGGAAGTCATGGATGCCAGCACTCTGATGAGTCCTGACTATGAGCAGCCATTAGTACATTCCGAACTGGACGTTCTAGTTGAGAAACTATTTGACCGGGATAATCTTGCTTGGATGCGTCATTCTGCTGCAAAGAAGCTGGCCCAACGACGCGCTGATTTCCCTCGAGTGCCACCCACAACTGCTCCGCTCCCCAATGCGCTATCAAATAATCAGAATATGGGCGGCAGCGGAGGGCTATGCGTGGACTCAGAGACTTCCATGAGCTCCTCTTCTCTCTCTTCTCTTGGCAAACCCGCGCCCAGCTATGCCATGGCACGCATCACCGACTATACGCGATGCGAGGAGCGTATGGCCCAGGTCCGACTGGCCCAATGGGCAGTTGACCTTCAGCAAAGCCTCCAGAATGAGCGTGAACGATATGCAGCGCTGGCCCGAGGAGACCGGGCTATCTGGCTGACGGAGCGGCTGAACGAGTGCGTCGTCGATGGCTCGCTCGTGCCAATCTCTCAGACACCGGGATTCTGTGGCCTTCATACCTCCGCCGGCGAGCCGGCACCCAACAACCTTAAAGTCATGCGGACCCGCCCCAGCTCTTCGAAGAGCGGGTACCGGGTCCCCAATGTCAGTCCCCAGGATCCGCTCGGCGTAGTTGGGTGGATTGATGACATTGGACGGCGCGGCTGGGCCCTCGTCCAGATTGTGGGCAGCGTCGGGATTGTGGGTGGGCTGGCGATTTGGCTCTCGCGGACATGGGGACTGCCCACCCGCAGCCTCTCCGAATTACACCTGGACTCGTGGTATGGCAGCGTGGAGCCGTGATCACCGGAACCGTCTTTTCTATGAATTGCTGCTGAAGATTACAGCCAATGAAACAGGATGGTGACGAACTGTTTCAGCATTTTCTACATTGTTCCAGATCGGCCGCAGAACACCGGGCTGGGTGTCCTTTTTCTTTCCCTGGATGGCGTTGCTCCTCTCCACGGAGGTATGGCGTTGGGAGTGTTTACGTTTAACCATATTGCTTGTCTCTTTTTTTCCCCTTGGAACTGGCCCTGCTAGACAAAGGTAGCCAGACGAAGCCAACCAATGTAACACAAAACAAAGGCTTAATTAAACACTTCAATTAAAACCTTTTGATTTTCCATTGAGCCCGGTGACTCTCTATCTCCTCTTCCAAACCGACCCGGGGAATTCCCGCCAGTCTCGTACACATATATATCATCCTATCATCATAATATATCATTTCATAACCAGGTACCCCACTCTCTACCACCAAAAACTCGAGAAGTAGAGAAGTAGAGAATGAGAGAGCAAACACCTCCACGCCCTATCCACAATCCTCAGCCTCCGCTTAGTTCGGCACCTGCGGAACCAATTCCTCAAAGCGTCTCAGATCCATCTCCTTCTCCAGGAGCGGGATGACATAGGGATCGAAGGTCTTCCAGTAGGGATTGTTGAGGTGGTACTCCTGCGAGGACTCCTGCAGGTAGCGCTCGACGATAGTGAAGTCCTGCGGGTCGTGGACGGACTGCATCACGAACCAGGAGAGGGTCTCCTTGTCCTGGGAGTAGACAGCAGAGGCCTCGAGGAGCTTGGCGTGCAGTTTGGAGATGGACTCTTGGTCGGGCTTTGCGCGGAGGTCTGGAGAAAGACGAATGGGGATTGGAAGTTAGTTTGGGGAGATTTGTCTGGTAGTCTGGTGTTTATGGATTTGCGGGGAGAGAGAAAGAGAAAGAGAGAAAGAGAGAAAGAGAGAAGAGAAGGGAAAGGGCGGGGTGAAAGTATGAATGGAAAGCTGCAGGAGGAGTTAGATACACATACGGACGACGATTGTGTAGACCATGGTGAAAGGAGGGAGCGTCTATGTAGACTCTGGTCTGATCAGAAGGAGGTTTTGCAAAGTCAAGGTTATAAAAAAGGAAGCGTAAGCTCTGTAATTTCCCGCTCTCCCTAAATGGCGGGGCAGGTTTATATCGCATACGCCCTGGAACCTTCGCTCGGTGAAGAAGCGGTGGAGCAGCGCCGCAAAGCCCCCGAGGCTGGTCCCGAGATGATGCCGACAGTGCGATTTGTGGATCTTATGCGATCTGCGGATCTGGACCGGGGGGAGGGCTCGTCATGCTGTTTGAACGAGTGCGCTCGATCATGATGGGACGGAGATTTCTTTATATTGTGCTTCTGCTTCTTTCTAGGAATTGCGTAAAAATAGATCATCGAAAAGGAGAAGAGGGAGTACTCTGTTCTACGAGTAAAATACCGTATTACCAAATCTCAAGGAATATTGATATTCCGGCTCTAGAGTATATCTATACCAGTGTGCCTTGGGATTAGGGTCTGAGATATATTCGAAGAGTAGAAGTAGAAAGTAAAGGTCATCTTTAATTTAAAAGACAAGTCAAAAATAGTTTAAGAAAAAACATCAAGGGTCGTAATCCCGTTTCCCATTTCCCGTAAGAACTTTGTTTCACAAGCAAAGAAGGTTCAAAAAACAAAAACACCCAGAAAGAAAGCTAACTAGAAGTGGCGCACACGTTTAGTCGACCTCCTCCATGGCGCTCTCGCCGGTGGCCTCGGCCGGGGCAGCAGCCTCGGTGGCGACCTCATCGGCGGTCTCGACATCCTCATCGATGTTCAGACCCAGAGAGACGAGCTTGTGGATGCGCTCAGCGAAGCTGGCGGGCTCCTCGATGGTGAAGCCAGAGACCAGCAGGGAGGTCTCAAAGAGCAGCTGGGTGATGGACTTGACGGTGCGGTCGCCCTCGCCGTCGGTCTCAACCTTCTTCTTCAGCTCCTTGACGATCGAAGACTTGGGGGAGATCTCGAAGGTCTTCTTGGAGGACATGTAGGAGGACATGGAGGTGTCACGGAGGGCCTGAGCCTTCATGATACGCTCCATGTTGGCAGACCAACCGAACTGGCCGGTACGGATGGCGCAAGGAGCACCCATCAGCTTGTGGGAGACGACGACCTTCTCGACCTTGTCGCCGAGGATGTTCTTGAGGGCCTTGGCCAGATCCTCGTACTCCTTCTCCTCCTTCTCGCGCTCGGCCTTCTCCTCCTCGGTCTCCTCGAGCTCGAAGTCCTTGGTGATGTCGACCAGCTTCTTGCCATCGAACTCCTTCAGCTGAGTGAAGGCGTACTCATCAATGGGGTCAACCAGGAACAGAACCTCGAAGTTCTTCTGCTTAAGGGTGTCCAGGAAGGGAGACTTAGCGACGGCCTTGATGGACTCGCCGGTGATGTAGTAGACGTTCTTCTGGTGCTCGGGCATGCGAGTGACGTAGTCGGTGAGGGAGGTGGCCTCGTCACCGGACTTGGTAGACTGGTAGCGCAGGAGCTTGGCCAGGGTGGGGCGGTTCTGGGCATCCTCGTGGATACCGAGCTTGATGTTCTTGCTGAAGGCGGAGTAGAACTTGTCGAACTGCTCACGGTCCTCGGCGATCTCGGTGAAGAGCTCGAGGGTCTTCTTGACGATGTTCTTCTTGATGACCTTCATGATCTTGTTCTGCTGCAGGGTCTCACGAGACAGGTTGAGGGGCAGGTCCTCGGAGTCGACGACACCCTTGACGAAGCTGAGCCACTCGGGGATGAGGTCGGTGGCATCGTCGGTGATAAAGACGCGGCGGACGTAGAGCTTGATGTTGTTCTTGGTCTTCTTGGTCTCGAACAGGTCGAAGGGAGCGCGCTTGGGGACGAAGAGAATGGCGCGGAACTCAAGCTGACCCTCGACGGAGAAGTGCTTGACAGCCAGGTGGTCCTCCCAGTCGTTGGAGAGCGACTTGTAGAAGGAGGCATACTCCTCCTGGGTGATGTCGGTGGGGTTGCGGGTCCAGATGGGCTTGGTCTTGTTGAGCTCCTCCTCCTCGATCTTGGACTCCTTAATGGTCTTGGTCTTCTTCTTCTTCTCCTGCTCCTCATCCTCATCGACCTCCTCGACCTTGGGCTTCTTCTCCTCGTCCTCCTCCTTGGTCTCCTCCTCAGCCTCCTCATCGGGGACCTCCTTCTCGGTCTCCTTCAGGACATGGAGGTAGATGGGGTAGGAGATGAACTCGGAGTGCTTGCGGACGACCTCCTTGATGCGGGCCTCGTTGAGGTAGTCGGTCTGCTCATCCTTCAGGTGGAGGATGATCTTGGAACCGCGGCCGAGCTGCTCGCCCTCGGTGTCCTGGGTGAGAGTGAAGGTGCCACCGGCGGCGGACTCCCAGATGTACTGCTCATCATCGTTGTGCTTGGAGATGAAGGTGACCTTGTCGGCAACCAGGTAGGCGGAGTAGAAACCAACACCGAATTGACCGATCATGGAGATGTCAGCGCCAGCGGACAGAGCCTCCATGAACTGCTTGGTGCCGGAGCGGGCAATGGTTCCCAGGTTGTTGATCAAGTCCTATAAAGGCATCGAATATTAGCTATTTGGGGACTCACTTCATTGGATTCTTTTTTCATTTTTTCATAAAAAAAAAGATCGGTTGTTGTTCTTCACTTACAGCCTTGGTCATACCAATACCGGTATCCCGGATGGTCAGGGTCTTGTTCTCCTTGTCGGGGATGATGTCGATGCGGAGATCCTTGCAAGAGTCGAGCTTGGAGGGGTCCGAGAGGGACTCATAGCGGATCTTGTCCAGAGCATCGGAGGCGTTGGAGATCAGCTCACGCAGGAAGATCTCCTTGTTGGAGTAGACGGTGTTAATGATCAGCGAGAGCAGCTGAGAGATCTCAGCCTGGAACTCGAAGGTCTCGGGCATGGTGGCGGTGTTTTATTCTGTTCACACAGAGGCAAGGGGCGAGCACGTTAGTGATGACTGAGTCGTTGAGGAAGAGGGTGCAAGATGAATTAGGTGAAGACGAGGTGAGTCCGCCAGTGGAGCCTCAAGTCCTCTTGAGACGAAGTGGAAAGTGAGGTGGAGGGGGTTGAGGGGGAGGAAGAAGATGAAAGATAGGAAGATGGGGAGATGGGAAGATGGGAAGATGGGAAGGGGAGGAAGAGAGGAACGTACAGGTTTATGAGGGAGGAGGAGAAGGGCAACTGCTGGAGACAACGCAGTATGGAGAAAGAGAGGTGAAGAGGAGGAGAAAGGGAAGCTTTTTGTGGTTCCCAAAAATTTCGAATTTGGGCGGGCGGGTTTCTACGGCGATCCAGCAACTTCCACCGTCGTTTAGGCAACTTGAGGGGGGGCGCGTTTGGGGGTTTGGGGGCTCTTCTAGAGCTTTCGGCCCACCTGGAATCGGCGATCGACTACGCACTCTAACTGGCGTCAATTATGGTTCAATTGTTGAATTCGGTCTTCTAGTGCTCGATTTTCTCGCCAGGATTCCGTCCAGAGAACCTTTTGCGAGAAACACAATCGTTGGATTTGCCCCTCACCGCTGCCCGCACGAGTGGCGCCTTAAAATACAGGAACAAAGGCACCACACAGGCACAAATCAGGCACAAACAGGCATAAACCAGGCATAAACCAGGCATCAACAAGGCATCCAGCTCTAGAACCTTCGTCGCGACGGAACCAGCACGACGGCGGGGGACACGAAAAGGGGAGAGACAGTGGACCGAGAGGGGCAAAAGGCAGGATTGTACCACCTATGTGAAACAAGCTCCGGTTGAATACCGCCTCCTCTTCCGTGTCCTGTTGTCAGAGCCCCGACAGCGGGGGCCATTGGAGCCGATAATGCCATACAACTCCCAGAGCAGGAACACCGAGCAGGACGAAGGGAGGGAGCTCATCCGAAAAGAGAGCACAGAATAGGAGAACAGTAAAGACGAATGAGGACGATGAAAAGTATAAGGAGGAGCAGGGACAGGAGTGATACCTCAAACCCCATAGCTTGCTATGCTAGATAAAATATGCGATATAGATCGGACTCTCGAAGAGCCCGTGGAAAAAGTCCACATAAGAGCGAGAGAAGGTAAAACAAACACGTATAAGGCAAACGACTCGTGGAACCAGAGCGGGACATGACAGCCAAACCCGGGTCAAGGCAAAGCAGAGAGCGCGCCAGACCGCGCAAAGGAGATCAAAGTTCCAGATAAAACACAAAGTGCCCAGTGAGGGAAGGGAAAGAAGACACAACTTTTCCAGCCAACCCGGACCCAACCGCTAATATGATGCAGTGTGACGGAAAAAAAAGTTCGGGGAGATAGTCACATAACACATGTCATTAGGAAAGAGACAGACAAAAAAAATAGAAAACCAAAAAGGACAAGAGGAAAGACATCAAAAGAAGATCAGGGAGTAATACAGATTCTGGAAAAGATATCATCCAGGAGGGAAAGGGGGGATAGGTATCGTGGTTGGGGATGGAAGCGTGAAAACCATAAGGCATCTCCAGTAGCTAAGCGTAAGAAGCTTAAGCAGCCGGGGCCTGGTTGCGGCTCTTGACGGGGCCTCCGTTGCCACCACGACCGCGAGGCGCGAAACCACCACGGCCCTGGAAGCCACCACGACCCTGGCTACCACCACGGTCACCGCGGCCACGACCCGCACCACGACCAGGGCCGTTGTTCACATTAGGACCCCGGGGGCGGCGCTCCTCCACAACGATCTGCTCCTCACCGACCTGGTGGGGGTTGGCTGCAACAGCGGCCGTGTAGCCGGCCGGGTCGGCAAACTCAACAAAAGCACAGTTCTTCTGGCGGTTGACGTCGAAGTACTTCAGCTTGCCGTAGCGGGCCAGGGCCTGCTTGAGCTGGGCAGCGTCCACCTTCTCGGTCACATTCTTGATGTAGCCTAGCACCACCTGCTCCTCACCAGCACGAGACTGAGTCTTCTTGTTGTCAGCCCCAGCAGTCTGCCAGCCAGCGCTGTCAGTCGGGGTAGTGTCCTTCTCCGCAGCCGGAGCAGGAGTAGTAGCGGGCTGAGAAGCAGGAGCCGGAGCAGCAGCAGCAGCAGCAGCAGGGGCGGCCGCGGCCGGGGCGTTAGCCTTGGGGGCAGCAGCCGGAGCCGCAGTGGTGGCAGCGGCCTTGGCACCAATCTTGGAGGCGATGTTGGCCCAGGTCTTGGGCACGGCCGGGGTAGGAGCAGCCGGAGCGACGTCCTTCTCGGCGGGGGTCTCCTTCTGCTCCGGAGCTGGAGAGGGTTCCGGGGTCAGGGGCTGCTCATTCTTCACCAGCTCAGCCTCCACAACGGGAACGGGAGCTTCAATGACCTCCTCCAGGGCGGGGGTGCCGTTGGTCTGGGGGGGAATGGTCTCCTCGGTCGCCTGCTCGACCTCGCCGTTGGTCTCCTCGAGCTTCTCGTCCAACTGAGTAGCAGCGGCCTCATCAGTGAGCTGGGCATCAACGGCAAGCACAGCCTCAGGGGCAGCAGGGAGCTCGGTGGCCTCGGCCGCGGCGTCCTCGCCAATCACCTCCTCCTCATCCGCCAGGTAACGGAAGATATCGTTGAGGACATAATAGCCATTAGGCTGCTCGGCCAGGACGAAGGTCTGAATGAACTTGCGAGAAGGCTCGGATTTGTTGGAGATCTCACCAATGACCGACACCAGGATGTTGTCAAAGGAGGCCTGGGAGTCGACGTTAAGGACACGGACCTTGCAATCCTGGAATTCAAGAGCCTTGATCTTGTCATTAATGGCCTGCAAGAGGAAAAGAGAGAGACACCGGTTAGCATGAGCTACGACAAATATATCAAAAGTGTTCTGGTGGGCCATGGGGATTTCAACTCACCTTGGTACCAATGGCGACAGGAACCGATTCGGCCTCGGTGCCGAAGACGAGCTGGGAACGCTTCGAATAGAAGAGGTGCAGCTTGTCTGGGTTGCGGCTCATGGTGGTATAGAACTGCTCGACGAAGAACCAGCCCACCTCGTCCTTAGTGATTTCATTCTTCTGCTGCTCCGTGGTGGGGGTGGCGGTCGTGGGAGTAGAGGACTGGGCGGGCTGGAAGTTGGCCGCGGTGTTCATGGTCGCATGGGCCGGGTTGAAAGATTCGGGGAATCCATGCTGGGCCGGGTAGTTGCCGTTCATCGGAGCCTGGGTCATGTCGGCCATTATGGAGGGAGTTTTGATAATCGGGTCCGAAGGGAAGAGACGGAATCAAAATTAAAGTAGCCGAGGCGATGTGGGAATGATCGATGATATTCCAAAGAACAAAAGCTAAAAGAGCTTATAACGAAGAGCTTGAGCTGTAAAAAAAGATCTAATCAAATCTGGGTCTTCCCGCTTGCTTCACTGTTCGATTTGATTAGTTCTCTAGTCTTCCACGTCTCTCCACCATGAGCCGGGAATCCGGGCGGGTACTGGGGCACTCACAATGCGAAATGGACCAAGCACCAATGCAATCAATTGAAGGGCACAAAAGGAAGGGAAGAAAAGAAGTGAAGAAGACAAGGGGAAAAATGACCACTCTCGGGGACGGCAGAGGGCGTGGGAGTGAGAAGTATAGCTGAGGTGTGCGAGGCCACGGAAAAATGACTCTTGTGCGGGATCGATCACAAAGGCGGAAAAAAGGGGATAGCAGCGAGGAGCGAGACTGGCGGATGAAAGAGGCGGTGGTCGACTATAAAACCGGGATGACGAGGCGGGGGAGGGGGGAAGAGACACAAATGAAGCTGTGGAGGAAATTCGCCTTCGAGGAAAAAGCGACTTCCTTTCGATGTCGACTCCGTGCGGGTTTCGCGTGGGCTTGGCATACAATTCACCGCCCGGCAGAACTAGGGGAACCAGCTTCATAGTTTCAGGTTGGGCGAAGTGGGCATTTGCAAGAGTCGAGAAAAGATAGAAGATACCTTTCAGCGGTTCAATGTGAGATGAGCTGGGTAAAGTTCATGGATCGTGATCGTCTAGTTGCTTAGTCGCGATGGTGATCAAGCGAAATAGGGGAGTATCAATACCATCCTCCCCACCATGTTGACTACCATCGGCGCTTTCAGGAAAGAGATCAGATCATCGATTTTGGGGGATATCTAATGTAAGATGGCACTCGCAATAAATTGCAGAATATGGAGAAGAGAAAGATTGGATCGAATCAGGGTGAATCCGATCATATCGAGTTCGGGCAGGATATAACAGATTAGGAATGGAGAATAATAACAGGCAAGGTCATGCGAAACTCATCAGGTCAAAAAACGCCGCAGGAAGGAACATGAAGAAAAAGGAGAGGGTATGATGTATGTTATAGAACGTGAGAGTGCTTGAGAAGTCGGAAAGCATAAAAAAAGAAGCGATCGTAAGACATCCACACCATGGATTATCGCAACAGGGTATGATGGACCACATGGCGGCGCTTGAACCGCGATCAGCCTTCGGCTTGGTAGCGGTTACGAAGAGGTGGCCTCGGCGGCCGCCTTCTCATCGAGAGGCTTTCGCATGACCGCATCCTGACCGGTCATTCTGCGACCCAAAGCTCGCTCGACCTTGGCCCCGAGTGCTAACTTATTGAGGTTATCGGTCTTCTCTGCCGTGGGGACAAAGCGCTGGGCCTGCAAGGGTTTGTTCTCAAGGCGTTCCAGCCCATCTCCGAGATGATGGATGTCGGCGACTCTGGGATCTCCGCTGGGAAGGCTGCCGATGGTGCGCTCCGAGTTTGCAAGGGAGGGGCTGCCACTGAGAGTGGAGAATCGCTTGGAGTTTCGGTTCTAGAGAAATTCCGTCAGCATTCGGGTTTTTTGATATCCAATATCTTCACTGGCGGGGACAGAGGAGAAAGGAGAGGGGTTGGGGGGTAGGGGGTTGGGGGGGGGAGGGGGAGGAGCGCGCAGGACCTACCGAGCTGGACATGATAGGCCGCTCAGAGTCGAGAGAAGGATGGCGAGCCATTTCGATCGCAAAGAGACAGAAGCACAATCTTTTAAGGGTTTGACAGGCTTAGCAATTCTGGATTGGCACTTGAAGGTCCTGTTTGCAGCCGAATGGGCAGGTTAGCAAGGATCGTCGGCCGAACGGGCAGTAAACCCGCATTCTCGGGACGGGGCACAACCTACCACGAGGGTCGGCGGTAGGGGGATTTGGATGAAAGATAGCGTAGACGGGTGGATCGACCGAGAAAAAAAGTTGAAACGTTGAAAAGGGGACGAAAGTTGCGGAACTGAAACAGCAGCTGCAGCCACGGAAAAGAGGGGTCTTTTGAGTTGCTGAGAAGACGACTCAGGAGACTAGCAAAACGGCGAAAAGTGGGTCGCGGCGGCGGTGGGGAATGGGAAAGGAGGTCGGATAGATGGAGAGAGAGAAAAGAAGGGCGGGAGACGAAGAAGCGGAAGAACAGGAGAGGATCTGCGCGGTTGATCCTGATTGGGGAGGAGGAAATATTCCTGCTGGACTAGGAGAGGGAGCAAGTTGGATAAATGGAAGAGAGTTGGGGAAAGTTGGAAGTGGCAACTGAAGTCAGACTACAGTAGATGTAGTTGTTGGTCTGAACCGAAAAGGTGCATTCATCTTCAAGGTGAGGCGCGAGCCTCTGAATCTGCCAATGGGTTGAGTACGGCCATTCGCATCGCCCCCAAAAATTCAACTATCCAACTGTGCAATGATGCAATCAGGCAATGGTGTAAAGTCCGGTGTGCTTGTTTGATCAAATGTCCAACAAGATACAGTCATCCATCATTCTGTCTTGCTTGTCTCCAAATTCCAATTAAATCGAATTATGACGCTGTTTTCAGGACGGTGGAACTCTCGGCCACGTGGTGCAAATTGACCGGGATATTCTTATTCTTAGTCTTATTCTTATTTCGTCGATGTTCTGGTTGTACCAGAAAGGATCACCCGAGTATGGTGCTAGTAATAGTAGGCCTCCGAGACTCTGGATTCCATGTCTCCTACTAGAGGCAACGAAATACTGTATCACGAATATCATACGTATCACACATAGTTATCACATACGCAACAATGAACAAAGATCATATAAAATACCATGATACTACCTTTCATAACATTAGGCTTGTGCTATTTTCTCACTCCCTTTTGACGTGGAGATGATCCCCGAAAGGGGTATGATGGACATCTAAAACCCTCTCAAGAACTAGAACACAGATATAAACCCAAGCAAGTGGGGGCGGTTATAATTTGAAGCAAGCAATGGATTCTCCGTGCTCTCCCCCTCTCCCAGCAACAAAAAATTGGTAAATATTTGGTAGGACCATATAAAGTATGGTGTATGCATAAAATAACCTCTCAATTTCTGTGATATTCCCCCAGGCGGATCTGCCTTTCTTTCGGCATTTCCTGTATTCTGTCACCGTCAATGCGAGGGGAGCACATACAGTTTCTACATGAGTAGACTCTGTGCTGCAGCCTCGCAGCCATTTAACTGCTTCTAGACCGAGAAGCCGATCCAAATATGAGAAAGCCATTGCCCTCACATCCCATTGATTAAGCTGGGCTACTCGACTCAGCCATGGCTCATAAGCCAGCATTCAGACCCACAACGCGATCAACCCGCCCCCAAAGTGTTACTATCCAGACCTTATAGAAATCGGCTGCTGAGAAAGCGAAAGTCCAGGATATGGAGAACTACTATGTCGGATCTTCGGAACTTGGCATCTTCGGAACTAGGCATCTTCGATCGCTTGGAGCCAGGGCCAGAATGCTGCTGCTCGCTGATACAGACAAAGGGCTTACTACGTTGCGGTCAATTGCAAAATTAAGAAACAGAACCCTTTTGATGAGTTTGTCAAAGCCGGTCTAACATCAAAGACGTCGATGGTCGCACTCCTGCAGCGCTTTGATGGAAATGCGGATCAGAAATTGTTTGAAATATAAACAGGATATATAGTTTCTTGAGCAAATTGGAGAAAGAAGAGGAGCTTGGATGTAATTAAAACATAATCCATATGAATTATAGGGATCTTTGATATCGATAAAAACATGGTTGAGGACTGAGTCTCCACCTTGCCCAGTCGCACTGTGATCGCAGCCACGAAATATCGAGTTGACTATAGTGTGTGTACAGAAAAGAGGGTGAAATTTAGTCTCATAGGATACAGGCACAGAATTCCTAAAAGTTAAGTCAATTTGGAAATCTCTTTTCTCATATATCAAGCTTGAATGCGCACCACTGCGGGGATACATCCTCCACTCCTCCAGAGTCTTGGCATCCGACCCGAAAAAAAGCTATCAAATCACAGACCTGCCACACCACCTCATTTCTTCCACTCGCTGTCTCAGATAACACAATCAAACTCGTCTGACCAAGTTATCCAAAATTTACAGAGCTCTTCGGAACGCAGCCTGGAACGCCGCAGCTGTTCGATCAATCTGAAGGGAATCCGAACCATCCACTCTTGTTTGAAGAATCCAAACCACGGGTGAACGTCACACTACACCGTGCCCCCATTATGCCAAAACCCAAGTCTCTCCTCAAGGATTTCAAGCCAAAGAAGAAGGCCACCAAGCAAGTAGGTATCTCGGTCCATCTCCAATCAGCGATTTAACCTCCTACCCCGCCATTCCATACCCCTCTATACTGATTTTCATTAACGTGAACCCGTAGGTCCCAGTGACGGCAGATGATTTCTTGGCCGGTAAGATAGCCATCTTGATGCACAAAAAACAATATCGTGACCGAGAAGCACCAAAACTGATGCAAGTCTCCCAGAGGGAGTCGAATTGGAAGAAGCCGGCGAGAAATGGCGCGCCGGGGACGCCGCCAAGTCGATGCGCTTCTTCATGCGTGCCATTGCCAACTACGACGAGGGACTACAGAGGCACCCTGAAGCCTTTGATTTGGCGTACAACAAGTAAGTATATCACCCCGTTTCTCCTCCAAACCCGAAATGAAAATGGGGGAAAAACGAAAAGACACGAACAAACGTTGGGATTGCAATTGTGTCTATTAAGCCACTACAACGGAATAAACACTCTCGCGAGACACACATCTATTTTTACTCAAACTAAAATCGTCGCCTAGGGCCCGAGTCCAATATGAAATCACACAGCACCCCAAGCTCGCTGCGCAGCTACCAGCACCGCAGGCAGAACTCCTGCAGATTGCGTTGCAGTCGCACCGGGATGCGCTGCGGCTTGAGCAAGACAACGCGGATGTGCTGTTCAACAGCGGCCAAGTACTGAATAGTCTGGCGGAGGCTATCTCCAATGCTAAGCACCCGGACGAAGAGCAACTGATGCAGGCTAGCACATACCTGCAAGAAGCAGTGGAGCTGTTCCAACGGTGCCTTGTACTGCAGGAGATGAAGTATACGGAAATGCAGGAACAGATCGAGCAGATGGAGGCGGCCGGCGTGGAGAGCCAAATCCCGGAGCCGGTGGTACAACAGCCAGTGCAGGCTCCGGCCACGGAGGCAGACAAGGCGGACGAGCCGCAAGAGCAGTGGGCGGCGATCGTGGAGCCAGTGACAAAGAATACGTTGGTTGATTCGGCCGTGGCGCAGCTAGACACCTTGACAACGCTATGTAATCTGTTGACGTTCAACCCCGGCGGCGGAGGCGTGGGCTGGGTGCAAGAGTATTCGTCGGGGCTGGTGCAGACGCGTCTGCCCGCCTATGTGGAAGGCTCTGAGAGACAGTATGAGGCGGGTCTGGCGCGGGCCAGATTTGTCTGTGCGATGCATGAGGTGTTGTATCGGGGTGGTCACACTGACGTCCAGACGTACAAGGAGGAGGTTGGACAGGCGTTTGGGCCGGAATTGGACGTCTCGGCGGACCCTGAAGGGCTGTGCCACAAGGCGGAGGCATTGACTTCCTTGAATGGGGCTCTCGCCGACGTGCCTCCGCTAGAGGACCCCGAAGCATTCAAAACAGCCTTGTCGGTGCGCTGGCAATCGTTGTCGACCGCATTGGATGCGTTGACGGCGGCGTCTAAGATACCAAATGCTGACAACCTGCCTAAAATCCACCTTGCCCGGGGAGATGTCGAAATGCATCGATGGCGACTGGGGAGAGCACCTTGGGATCATGCCATGGCGCAGCAACACGGCGCTGTTCTGATTCGAAACGCCCAGACATACTACCGAGGAGCGGCCGCCCTCGCCCGTCGGGATGGAGCAGTGGAGGAAGAGCGTGATGGATCTTTCAAGGAGGCCATTGCGGCTGCGGTGGAGGGCCAAAAGACGAAGCTGGATCAGCTCAAAGAGGCCTCTCTTGAGCAACTAATGGCCGTGGCCCAGGAGATGGTAGAGGACGGAATGGTACAAGGCACAGATATGAGTGCCTTGATCTCATGAATCGATGAGACAAGGGGAGAAAAAAGCGAAGAACAATCAACCTATAATGACCGTTTAGATGTCCATTCGAGTGTTGACTTCCCTATCCATTTGAGCCGCCTTCTGGCGGATATGATGCTCTTTGCTGAACTGAGAGGCTGCCGTAGCGGCCCCCTCAATATCCGTAACGACAGTTTCTAGATGAGACAGGAGCTTCTCGATCTCCAATCGCTGCGCTTGTACTGTTTGTGCTAGTTCTGCGTTCTGGGTATGGGTAGCCTGGAGCCTGTCGTTCAGTGTCGTCTGCGCCTCTTGGAGATAAGGTGTCAGGTGGGCTTTATAGAGATCTTCTGCGCCGAGGGTATGTGGGCTATACGATATCAGAGTCAGTATGCGTGCGAACCCAGAAACCTTTCGCAAGAGGGGGAGTGTGCTTCCCAAACATACGCATTCTCAGGTGGTGGTGCATCTCCATTCTCCCCGCGGCTCTCCCGCCTCGCCCTTGCCTCACTAATAAACTGGTCCAAATCATTTAAATGCTTCACAGCCTCCCGCTCCTCAATAATCTCCTCGAACTCCGCCTTGGCGCTTTCCTCCAGCTTCGCATTCAATTGTCGCCAGACGCTCTCAAGACTGGCGGGGACATGGCGCGCAGGCGTAGGGAAGCAGCTCGAAAAATTTGAGTAAGAGTTTGCGCGGAGCGTGCGCGCCAGGGCTTGATCGAAGACCTGGTGTAACCGCGATGCACGAAGTCCAGGCGGAGGGGAAGCCGATGTTGTCGGCGGTTGCTGAGGCGGACGTGAATTAGATTCAGCCATGGCACAGAATAAAAATCCGATTGCTTTTAATCCAGATCAATAATAGTTTGCTGCGGATGGGAGTTTTTGGACTTGTTGTTATGTTTAGGAATTTGGACCTCGAGTATCGGAGACCGCAGTCGCACCGCGACGCGCTAGTCACGTGCACCACAGCAGTCTCCACCTCCTTAACGGCTGGAACCACAGAGTATACGAAATACGATGTGGAAGATACCAATCACAAAAATGGAACTAAGATATCGACTAACTCGAATGATTGTTGATACAAATCAATAATTATTAGATTTGGGGGGTTTTTCCCTATTTGCGATCTAGCTTGTAGTTTGAAGAGTTGTAGGCCTAGAAAGCTCAAGAAACAGTTTTGTAAATATATGAGCCCATTCAGAATCGAACAAAAGCATCAAGACATGTTAGATGATAGAAATTTTACCCTGTCTTTACTCAAATTAGAAATTATTGAATTATTTCAAAGACAGAAAGGAGAAAGTGCAATTCCTTTTGGCCCTAATTGATCCACACGCCAAACAATCATATCTTTTGCAACCGTTGAGTGCGCCGTTGAAAATTTCCCCAAAGCGTTTTGAAAGCCGGCCATGATATTGACACATAAATTAGACTATTCCAAAACCCTTGTAGTGGGAGGACAAAACTGGAAGTATAGTTGAGTCCGAAAGAAAAGTCGTCGGGGCGGGCGAGAGCATATACTCGATTGGCTGTGGAGGGCACCTATATCGCAGTACGTTAGCTTCCATGCTCAATCAAAATTGGTGATCTCATGGTAACAGAGCGTACCCATGTCACTAGAAGAGCGATGAAAAACAGCATTGCATATTTTGTATAAGCCCAGGTAGCCGAATTCGCTTCTGTGGCTGTTGCACGGCGCTGGGAATAGGACTCCACCGCCTCGGATCGGATGGGCTTGAGAGGACTTGCTATCTGTTGGGCCTGTGATCCGGGGTGTGAATTGGAGCCCTGGACATGAGCAGATACGTCGTCCTCGGAATTCTGGAGACTGGTGATGGGGTCCACTAGGCCGCCCTCGATGGTGATTGAATACGGGGAAAAGCTACGGGAAGGGACATCACTGGTCGACAAAGACCTGCGTTCGGGGGAAGAATAAGCTATCTCGCTGGTCACCTGGATGCCGGTGAGCTTGACTAGAGGAGAATCCATGTGGCCGTCAGTATCGAGGGACTCTATTCCGCCGAGATTCCGTAGTTGGCGTCGTTTTTGGTAGATGACTGATCCGGCACGCAGGTAGATGGCAAAGGTCAATGAGATCACAAACCACACGGGTCCATAGAAGACCGCAATCCGGAGGAAATCCCAGGGAAGAGAAACCCAACACCAAAGCTACCACTAGAATTAGGATGATGGTCAATGGACTGAGCAGAAAGAAGGGAACTTGCAATTGCAGAGCCGTATACCCGGCCTCGGGCCTGGGTTTGAATGAAGAAGTAAATAAAAGCTGGAATGAACGGAAGACCGTAGCAAAAGAGGACATATTTCCACTCCAGTTGACGTAGCTGCTCGGAGTTATATTTGTGAAAGAATGTCAAATAGACGTTGCAGGCCATCGCAAAGGTCCACAGAGCATCTGCGGGCATGAACCTGGTTACAGTCAGGAAGAGGATGGGAGTTGGACAGTTGTGCTCCAGGTCTCCGACTCACCATTGGATCAAGAATGCTTGAAACTGACACAGAGAGCTCCCAACGCCAGCATGAATTCCCGATTGCGAGACTAGAGTAGCTATATTGGCCATGATATTGCCCCAAGAAGCATAGAAGACGAGGCGATTGATAGGTTTCCGGAATGAGCGTGACCCAATGAACGTGGCAACGATGACAAATGTACCAATTAAGGATATAGTTGAGCAGACACGCTCTGTGACAGATATCGCAGCCAGCTGTCTCTCTGAGGGTGCCATTGTGATATGACCCGTTGGCAGCTGCTATCGTGGGGGCTTTCTGCGAGCACCATCAGGCTCGATAAGCATATCTTCTCCGCGCAATCGGTATGCGTCCAGACCGAAATTCCTACTGTGCACAGAGCTGAATCGACACAGGGAAACAATTTAGATGATATGCTGGAGGTGGATCCCACTGGAAGGTCGTGATAGATCCGAAAGGGCTCGCGTCACCGCGTCTGTTGATATTGCACAGTAATCTCAACAGATATATGCATGTCTAAAGTAATCGTAACAGGAAGCCCGTGGGACAAGCCCGGTTAGTGTGCCGTCGTGTGAACTATAGGTCCATAGCAGGGAAGATACCCGTCGATATCGAGACACTTGCGGGACCTATTGAACAAGAGTCGGGCGTTCGGGCTTGGAGAGTCTCAGGAGAGGAGAAGGGAAACAGGTCACCCCCTGTCAGCTCGGCGCCCACAATCTCTTTTTAATAATGACTCCACGACTAGACTAAACCAGGGTCCTGTTGCGGGAAACATGAGCCTGCGCAGGTTCCAGAACGCTAGCGACATCAAGACAACCTGGGCGGGGCTCACAGGATGATTTCGGCAGTCAGCTGCTGCTGACACCGGGCCTCTGGACCAAGCAGAAAGGAACACGGAGAGACATTCAAAAGACGACACCGTCAGGCCCCTGAGAGCATGGATCATGAATTGCACCAATTGTCGGGTGGGAATCATCCGGCCCCGCATGAGCGAGAGCTCGAAGCAGTACATCTGGGGGAAAATCCGGAGCCAGAAAAGTTGATCGCAGCAGGTCCGAACGTCCGGGTTCGGAATGTGTAGGAAGATCCCTCTCTGGAATCAACTCTGGGATGCTGGCTTCACAACCGAAAGGACCGCAAAAGACCCTGTGTGCGACCTCCCCTAATCCAGTTGCTCCATCGTATTCAGCTTCGGAGTCGAGAGCATACGGGTTGACACCAGGACTCGGGAGGCCCTGTTCGGGATTTTTGCGCCTGGTTCGAATTGAAACCAGATAGAGCCAAGAGCGACGAACACACATAGCTCTCAAGTCCGAGTCTGCCTCTTACATCGAGAAGAGTCGACAAGCATCTTGAAACACGGCATGAAAAGGCCCACATGTAGATCCTCGGCAATGCACCCCACGGTTCATTGTCCTTTCTTAGAAGGGCTTCTGGTCCGTGTGCCGTTCTGGGTTGGCGAGTAGTCTCGACGTGGACTGTTTCAACCCCCGGATGAGTGCACGGACAGCAGCATTGTCCCGGAAGCGCTAGTCCAGGGTGACGTCTATGATGACAGGGGAAAGTGGTACAGGGCAAGCATCCGAGGGGGAGGGGGGGGGAGGAGGAAGTGGAGCGAGGTTAATGGAAGTATATTACAACCCCCCACCAGATTTTCAAGACACTAGAAATAGGGAACACAAAACTACTGAAAGAGAAAATCGAAGACCAAAATCAAGTCTGCTCGAAAAATATCGAAACACTGAAAGCAACACAGTAAACCTCACTGCGGCTTAGCAGCAGATGACTCCATTTATCTTATCTCATAACCTCAAACAATGTGCAGATCCTATGGACGAACCGAAAGGACAACGTAAGGTAAAAGGAAAAATAAGAAAAACAAAAAAGAAAAAAAAATAAAAGCTCCCACGATCGGGTTATTAACGCCGTATCCGCCCTTTTCTTGATAGTCTAAATCGAGCTTGTCGTCTCTCGTCATGTGCTGGCATACTGGGTGAGATTGGGTGGAAATCCTCAATACGCCGGCTGAGGGGGGACCATGCCCCCATAGGCGCCAGCCATTTGCTGTTGTTGCTGCTGCTGTAGTTGGGCCTGGACTTGGGCGAGATCGTGGAACCACGGATGTTGCAGAGCATCGTTGGCGCTGATGCGCATCTCGGGGCGCAGTTGGAGCATCCGATTCAAGAGATCCAAGCCCAATGGGTCAATCTGGGGTAGCAAAACACCCAAGTCTTGCGTCGCATAGACGTGGAAGGTAGGCTTGTACTCCGGCAGTTGCGAGATACCTGGCCAGGAGCGCTCGGAGGGTGTCCCCATCAAGCGGAAGATCTTCAGGAGCTGATCTTCATTGGTGGTGCCGGGGAAGAGCGGACGGCCCGTATACATCTCCGCCATGATGCAGCCGGCTGACCAGATATCAATGCTGGTGTTGTAGGTGCGACTGCCGAGCAAGACGTCGGGAGCGCGGTACCACAGCGTGACGACCTCATTGGAGAAGGTGTTGACCGGGATGCCGAAGGCCCGAGCCAATCCAAAGTCACCGAGCTTCAACTGGCCCTTCTTGTTGATCAGCAGGTTCTGCGGCTTCAGGTCTCGGTGCAAGACCCGGTTATCGTGGCAGAAGGCGATGCCCTTGAGCAGCTGGTGCATGAACGACTTGATGGTGGCCGGGTCGAGCTGGCCGCGATCGCCGCGAGTGTCCATATATCTCTTCAAATCCCGGTCCATGAACTCGAACACCAGCATGAGCTTGTTTTCCGTGTGGATCACATCGTAGAGAGACACGATACTCTCATGCTTCAACTCCTTCATCAACGAGATCTCCCGGATGGCGGTGGACGGGGTACCTTCTTCGGAGTCTAGGTGAATCTCCTTCAGGGCGACCATCTCGCCCGTCTGGCGATTGCGTCCCTTGAACACCTACGGCCATTATTTTAATCAGCGGTGAGCGGGGGGAGAGCGGGGAAGTCTCGATCTTAGGGCAGAGAAGAGCGTCACCAGAGGGTGTGCGCCGGACAAGGAGAAAAAAGGGTTAAGGGGATTCAAAGCGGGTTCTCCAAAGGGGAAAAGTCGGATCGTACAGTAGCATAAGTGCCTTCGCCGAGCTGTGCAAGAGAACAGGGCCAGTTAGTTTTCGAACGATGCAAGAAGCCGACGGAGGAAAGGGGAGCAGGGGAGGGGGAGGACAACCTTTTCTAGCTGCTGGAAAGAACTGGGTTGCTGAGCCTTATCCATTATGCGTGGGCGTAACTGCGCCGGTCTTGGAGGATGAAAGAGAAACGAACCGGGCGCGACAAGAGGCTTGGGAGCTGTCGAATCCCTGAGACGCTCCATGCTGATGAAGGAGGAGCCCCGCGCGTGAAGTGGGCCGCTCGTCTCTTCCCGCTTACATACGACGTTCCCAGCAGCCGGAGGAAAACGACCTTCTTGAGCATTGAAGAGAAGACAAAGATATTTTGCAGTTTCGTTCCCTGAATCCGTCTGATCACTCCTCTTACAGGACTGTAGAAGCTAGCTTAATGTAGCGGAAGTACTATGTAAAGTAGCATCAACTCTTTACGTGGAACGACAATCTACGAGTACTTTCCACACCCACTGTATTTGCTGAGAGAGAGGGAGGTGACTATGACTGTAACAATGTTTTTGATGATGAGAATAAGGATGTTTCTATAGTCAATGGTCCAAGTCAATTGCGCATTTGCTAGTGGGTGTCACGGTTCTATACCCAACCCTATGGATCGCTCCTTGTTCGCTAGTTATATAATCTCGTATAATCTGGTCTAATCTCACCTAGTCGCTTTGGTTTCTCATTTTCTTTCGTTTATTCATTTATTTTTTCAAATGAAAAAGATTTAAAGCTGGTTCAATGGAAGATCTGATACGACAGGAGGTAGGATCGCCTGCGCGGGATGACTGCAGCGGACATGGCTTACAGGGTCCGAGCCCAGATTCCCAAAAAGCAGCGCCTCATTGCGAACACCTCCAACGTTGATGATGCCGATGGGCATGCCTCGCCGGTGAGCTCGTTCAACCAGCCGCCAAGCCGAGTAGGTGGCCAGGCTACTGCCTAGCACCAGTAACCGCCCTGCATCGTCGATGGCTTCTTCGGCCGCCGTCTTGACAGCCGGGTCGATATTCTCCCCAAACATGATCACGGCGGGTTTCAAGATTCCCGCCGTCGAGGTTGGGAGCCAGGCGCCATCGTACTCGACCTCGACATGGCCCCTCGTCCCATCTTTCAACGTCGGCGGGTGTTCTAAGCAGGTTGGGCACGACGGATATCGGAACGTCGAATACGGTGCTTCCGCGAGGTCTACGTCGCCATCCGGGTTCAATTTCAAGCCCTTCCGCCGTTGTTCCTCGGGATTATCCGTGTCAAGCGCGCCCTGCGCAACCATACGGGCCAGAAACTCGGCCCATGCTGGATTGAGTCGCTCCAAGGACTGCTGAAACTCCGTTCGGGGAACCTGGTTGTGACAACTGGTACAGACCGCAGATCGCAGGTACCCGTGCAGCTCGAGGGTGTTCAGCTCAGGATGGGCCAGGGAGTGGAAGGAGTCAACGTTCTGCGTCACCACCGAGCTCAAGTAACCCTTGGCGCCCAGGTCTCTGATGGCCCAGTGTGTCGAGTTCGGCCGCGCTTTCACAAGCCCCGGCCATCCGACGAAGCTGCGCGCCCAATACCGCTGGCGCGACTCATGGCGAGAGATGAATTCGTGGAAGTAGATGGGACGGTAAGATTTATTCCGTCGATAGGTGCCTTGCTCCCCGCGATAGTCCGACAAGCCCGAAGCCACGGAGATCCCTGCGCCAGTGAGTAGAACGGTCTGGGCATGTCTCCCCACGTCGACCCCTCGAAGATTGAGGGACGGTGGCGCCGTCAAGAACGCGCGCACGGCGTCGATCGCCCCCGCAAATGTTCTGGCGGACGCCGGGACTATAATGGCCGGCGGTAATGGGCCGGTGAAGGGGATGCGAATCGCAGGCGTCGTCATTGAACACGCATCATCAAGGAGTCGGATTTGCTTGGCAGGGAAACAAGAGCGTGGAAGCTCCGGTTCGGCTTGCGTGAGAGTCTTGGCCGGGCGGGTCACGGACCCGGCTTACGTTTCGAGAAGTCGGCCGTTGAAGACGCCGCAGCGCAAAACGACCAGGTTCCTGAAGAAGAAAAGAAGGAAAACAAGGGCACTAAAAAAAAAAAAGCAAATCTCCGGAAGTGAAGACCCACTTGGAAGGCTGAGGCCCCAGCCAAAGCATGAATAACGCCTGGCCGCAGATTGGCAGACGAAGGCTCGCGCACATCAGCGCATCTGGAATCCCGAGTGCCGGATTACATGATCGGACTTGAATGACATGATGAGCTCCCCTCTGTAAATCGTACTTCCTTTCCCAATTCTTCAGGACTTGCCAATCCGCCCCCAAGGTTCTGTTGGAACCATGGGCACACAGCCCCCGAGAGAACACCCTGTCCACTCCCTTCGCCCGTGCTCGCGTGCCTCGAACTAGTTAAAACAGGGCCGTGATGCCGCTGACGCAGCCCCTGTGGTGCAGGCTTCGTCCCTCCCTCCACTCCTACTCCAGGGTCTCCAGTCTCCGTGGATCTGCGCAGCGGCGTGTCTTGACCTCCTTGCCTATATTAACTGCCTGTCCGTCCTCTCTCGCGCATGTCCGCCCTTCCTTAGGCGCTTCCCCTACTCCACTCACCATGGCCCAAACCAGAGACCATTCCGGTCACAGCCACGGCCACGGTCACCACCACCACCACCACCATCACGACAATGTTTACCTGACCTCGACCAACAAGAACGATGCTGGCGTGCGCATTACCCGTATCGGCCTCGTCGCCAACCTGGCCATGGCCATCGGCAAATTCATCGGCGGCTATGTTTTCCATTCCCAGGCCCTCATCGCCGACGCCTACCACGCGCTGACCGACCTCGTCTCCGATTTCCTGACACTGGGCACCGTTGCATGGTCCTTGAAGCCTCCAAGCGAGCGATTCCCGAATGGGTACGGAAAGGTCGAGAGCATCGGCGCGCTCGGGGTTAGCGGGCTGTTGCTCTGTGGCGGCGTGTTCATGGGTCTAAATGCGGGACAGGTCCTGATGGCTCAATTCTACCCCGACGTGGCTGAAACACTAGCACACTCCGGGGTGCTGGGGCATGGGCATGGTCACTCGCATAGCCATGGTATTGATGTGATGGGCCCCAGCATCCACGCGGCCTGGCTGGCCGCAGGCTCAATTGTCATCAAGGAATGGCTCTACCATGCAAGTAAGTGTGCTCCTTCCCTTGCTGGCATGTGACGCTTGCATCAAGGCTGTTTTGTCCATTGTTTCATTCAAATAGAGCCAAGAGCAAAAGCTAACTAGGATACGCAGCTATGAAAGTGGCTGAGGAGCGAAAGTCCTCTGTCCTTGCTTCCAACGCCATTCACCACCGCATTGATTCATTGACAAGCATCGTGGCTTTGTTTACGATTGGTGGAAGCTATGTCTTTCAAGACGCCACCTGGCTGGATCCGGTTGGTGGACTCCTGATCTCCCTGATGGTCATCAAGGCAGGATGGGGCAATACCATCACCTCCCTCCTGGAACTGGCGGATACCACCGTCGACGACGAGATCAAGACCTCGGTCCAGAACGCTGCCACAAAGGCCTTGAAGGCCCTGGAAGATGGCGAGCAAGTTGTCATCCGCGATGTCCAGGGTATGAAGTCGGGACAGAACTATTTGATGGACATTGAACTGGCTGTGCCTGGCGCATGGGCCATCAACCGGTCCCGGGTTGTAGAGGAGGCAGTTCGCAAAACAGTCGGCGCCAAGGTCCGGGGCGTGAAGCGGATCAAAGTCCGCTTTATTCCTATCGAGCAGCAGGAGCTCACTTTCTCTGAGGAGTTCGTGGCACAAGACACTGGCGCAAGCCCCGAGCCCAATGAGCAGGAAATCAATGGAACCGCAACAGGGTCTCACGACCACGTTGATGACGCTACCCGAAAGAGGAGATAGATTGAGAAATGGAGGATGGCACCCCATGGATTGTTGACAATATTTGAAAGTCCAAAAAAAAAGAATTCTTCTGTTGGACTGTGTAGCTTTTGGCGCTGCTATGATACCCCCCCTCCCCGGCAGCATGGGCAACTTCAGCAAGAGGCATCTATACTACTGTATAAAGACCTACGCATCGAATTAGAAATATACAGCAGAAGAGCAAATGGAACCTTGAATTTCATCATTAGGACCGGATCATTATGTAAATTAATTCAATTTCCGCCTCGAGTGCGGGTCCACCCATCCATTCCTGCGCCACATATCAAGATGCCATATCTTCCAAATTCTCCTCCATTGACACGTCGAGGCACCTTTCGCGACCAGCAAGTCCATAGCTGGTCTATGTTTCGGCGGCCGGGTACTATAGAACTTGGGCTGTGGCCATCGAGCCCATGCATAGGCCGTCCATCCGTCATGATCCTCCATCTCGAGGTCAATACCTGCCGTATTCCACCAAGATATCAACCGCCCGTGTCCGACCAAGTGAGGCGGCATGCATCAAAGCTGTGCGGCCTTCGAAATCACAAGCGTTGATGTCGGCCCCACACTTAATCAGATACTCAACTTTCTCGGCATCTCCATTCTGCGCGGCGACCGTCAGGGGGGAAAGCCATCACGGTCCCGTAGGCTGAACTGGCTCGTGCCTGTCTTATGCTGAATTGCCTGCAGCAGATGCAGGTCACCGGAGAGACCACATTCATGCAGCAATAACCGCCCTTTCTCGTTCTGTATCCCGTAATCGACGGAGCTTTGTTCTAAGAACAGAAGACAGATGTCGAGGTGCTCACCGACCACAGCATAGAAGAAAGGAGTTTGCTGGTTGCGATCCTTCTGAGTCAGGAAATGAGGAAACTCGTCAAGTAGGATCCGACATCCGGCAAGATAGCCCTGTTGCGCCATAATATGAAGCGCGTTCTTCCCTGTGGCGTCACGGACCTCGAGATTGTATCGCGTCCGCTTTCCCAGCAGGTATGAGAGCTCTTCGGAAGAGAAGGCCTTATCCATGAGGACGAGCATTATTGGTACTCCACCCTCATAAAACCCAAACTCCGTAGCTTGACTGCACATGCAGTCAAGGTTGACCCGTTCATCATCGAGAAGCATGTTGCGAATAGTCTTCACGGGCCTTTTGGCTGCATGGGCCAGCGGGGTCTTCCCATCGTACATTGCATTCAAGTCGATGTCAAACGACATGCAGACCTGCGCTGCCTCGACTTGATTCTGATTGATAGCTAGGACGAGCGCATCGCCCACGGCCTCGGTGTTCATGCTAGGGTGGCTGAGCAGTAACCTCATAGCCTCGAAATCGTTGGCCTTGACTGCCCATTGCAGCGGCGTATGACCGGACTCAGTATCTCTCGTAAAGAGGTCGATACCGTCTACGGCTAATAAAATCTTGATCGTCGACAAATGCCGGTATCTGGTCGCCAGGCTGAGCGGCGTGTTCTCGGCAACCGGTTCGGGACGGTTCACGTCCAGCCGGCATTCCAGCGCTCTTCGAAGCAGGTCATCATTGCCCTGAGAGGCAGCAATCAATAGAATAATATCCCTACTCCGCCAGAGCAGATAATGCCGGAGTGAGACAGAGGCGTTACGATAGGCTCGAGCGAGGTGGGCGATATCGCGCCGTCTGGGTAGATAGTCCGCGATACAGAGCAGGAGGTCGTGGGGCAGGTCTGACAACTTCATGACGGGCACTTAGACGAACATGATCGTTGTATCAGGTATGTGCGTTTGGGGACAAAATGTGCCCCGAGTGTTGGTTGGTTATCGTTGGGACGTTGTTGGCATTGGCGCGGCTGAAAGCAGATGCGGGGGATCCTTGCAACAAGCCAAAGGGGCGAAACAGGCCAAGGCAGCAGCGCCTACGGATCTTTGTTGTGTATGACTGATTAAATCTGGCCATACATATACAAGGAGGTGGCGTCTTTGGGGGTGATGAATCTTGTTGGCAAGGAGCTTGTGAGAAGAAGTTTTGGATGAGACATAAGAGGAAGGCGACGAAGTATATCCCGTCTGGCCGCAAAAGTTTGCACCGACGATCCTCGACCGTTTTTATATTTTCCTGCCTGCAAATTGATCGCAACATATATTTATATACTCTAATCATAAGCTATGTAAATCATGGTTCTTGTTAACTGCCTTCTGCTCAAGGCTTACATGTCTTCCTTTTCTGGATAGATTCGAAGCCGGTGGAGAGCAAGGTTGTCCTATTGCATAAACACCTAATGTGTTTCTGAACTCTATAGACATAATATCACGGTAGATAGGTCGCATATGATGATCGTAACACATAAAAACATTATCATGAAGCTGAACTCATAACCCAAATAGTCAGAAATAGATGCTGCATCGACACAATCCAAATCATACGACTGCCAGAACCACGATGAGAGAAAAGTTGGGTATCTCCCACGAGAGACAGTATTCTATAGAGCCCCTCACTAACGATTCTGCAATTGGTTCCCGTGGAAAATTGCTGAAACCTCGAAATTATATGCAGGTCGTATCCTGCTCCATGATACTCGATGAAAGTCCACCCGGCGCCCACGCTAGCATTACGCTCGACCAGTCCATTTCAACACGGAGCAGGATCTTCTCAAACAACAGCAGTGATACTCGAGCACCCATACTCGAGAACATACTGCATTAGGCTTCTTGGGCAAGACCCTCTTCTTGAAGTCTTTGTGGAGGCCCATATCTTTCAATATGCGGCGCAGGGTTTCGCGTGAGCATTTATAATCGACCACCTCAAGCAGATCGCGATAGAGCGCACCTGGATGTTGTTGGAGGTGATCGCGTATGCGATTTCGCTCTGCTTCGGATAAGATTGGAGGGCGTCCACTGCGCTCTAATGTCTTGTTTTCTCGACCGCGGATGGCCTCGCGTTTGCAGGTTGATATGATTGTGGATCGAGGGATGCTCGGGAAATGCTTGGCAATCTCGTTAAAAGACATCTTGGCATCATTGCGCAGACTACATATTCGTGACCGGGTAGACGGTGTTAGTTCTTTGCGTTTGCCCATGGTGACGAACTACAGCAGCAGCTCTCAAAGGAGGGACAACGCAATGATCGTATAACCGTTGTCACGTGGATGGATGGATGCGTTGTTTTGGCGGGGCGGTCAAGCGCAGCGGTCAGAGAGATGTGCACATTACCTTTTTTCGATCTTTTCGTCGATTACTTCTATGTATGCTTCTTCAGAGAGACGAAACACCTGTTTGTCTTGATTTTATTATGGTTAATAGCATCATAAGGATGACTTGTGAGCTTGCCTTGTCCCAAATTTAGGTTTTAAAGCTCGTCGAAACCAGGCAATCGAAGTATTTTGTAGACATACGAATACTCGTAAACATGGTATTTCATGATATTTCTAGAACAACATCTCGTGAACGTATAGTTATAACCCTTTCTTGTCTGTCATTTGAATTTGGAGGAGACTAGGTAGGATGAAATAACTAGAATTTTCTAGTACTATAGAACTATACTGCCGCAAGTGCAGACAATAATACCCGAGCTGCAACGCCCAGGAATCAGTTATCGGCTATAGTCCTTATCGTGTAGAAAATGCCGGAGGATAAAGGATAAATCGGTTCAGTGGAAAGCTCAAAGTATAAAAAAACGAACGGACATCAAAGCGCCAGGTGGGGCATCGATTCTACCGAGAAAATTAGCAGAAACATGTATTTACCCGGAGTTCTAGACGAGCCGCTAATGCATGGAAAATCCTCTTGGAGGTCTTCGGTGGCTCTAAAGGCCCTCATGTTCACACAAAATTAGATTTTTTTTTTTAAAGATCACGCGGAAGCTGCAGGACGCATGGCCGGCCTCGTTACGGGCGGTTTCTTTCTTTCTGCCCTCGGTGACCCAAAGCAATCGTGGGGATCGACTCCAGAAAGGGAAGAATGGAGCTGGGCCAAGGACCGGGACCGGGAGTGGGCCAGCGGGGGACAGTTGCCCTTCTTTTACATCATTGCGGACTCATCTGCTCCTCCCATCAGTGCCCCCCGGAATCTCACTCTTCCCCCCGCCAACATCCCAACATTTCGCTTCTGTTTGTGGCCCAGGATAATTTCAGGATCCTTACGAAGTTCCCCCTGGCTCTTAGTTCCTCGATTTATGGTCGGCTGACCTGAGAACCTGATTGGATCCGGCGCCTTGATTATACATTTAATACCCTCGCGACTTTGCGCCGGTGTTGCTCCAAATACCACCCGACGATGGCTTCACAAAGTCCCCTCTATATCGGATTCGATCTATCGACCCAGCAACTCAAGGGCTTGGTGGTCAATTCCGAGCTGAAGGTCGAATACATTGCCAAGTTTGACTTCGATGCGGACTCGACCGGCTTCCCGATCAAAAAGGGCGTCTTAACCAACGAGGCCGAACATGAGGTCTTCGCCCCGGTCGCCCTGTGGCTGCAGGCCCTGGATACCGTGCTGGATAGCTTGCGCAAACAAGGACTAGATTTCAGCCGAGTGAAGGGCATCAGTGGCGCCGGCCAGCAGCATGGAAGTGTCTACTGGAGCTATGATGCGGAGACGCTACTCAGCAAGCTCGACCCGAAGAAGTCACTGGAGGAACAGCTCCCAGGCGCCTTTTCCCACCCCTACAGTCCCAATTGGCAGGATTCCAGCACCCAAAAAGAGTGTGACGAGTTCGATGAGGTTCTCGGGGGCCCCGAGCAATTGGCGGAGGCAACCGGAAGCAAAGCACACCACGTGAGTAGCTTGAGCTGAGCGAACCCAGATGGGGTCTCCCCTTTCGAAGACGGTTGAACTGACTCCATGACTAGCGCTTCACAGGCCCTCAAATTCTTCGGTTCACCCGGAAACATCCCGAGGTGTACCAGAAGACAGCCAGGATCTCGCTGGTCTCTTCCTTCATTGCATCCCTCTTCCTGGGCCATGTGGCCCCTTTCGACATTTCGGACGTCTGTGGGATGAACTTATGGAACATCAAGAAGGGTGCTTACGACGACCAAATTCTCCGGCTATGCGCGGGAAAGTTTGGCATCGAGGATCTGAAGACGAAGCTGGGCGAGGTGCCGGAGGATGGAGGCCTGCACCTGGGATCAGTCCACCCATATTATAGAGAGCGCTACGGCTTCAGTGAAGCATGTACGATCATTCCAGCCACTGGTGACAACCCCGCGACCATCCTCGCGCTCCCCCTCCTCCCTTCAGATGCCATGGTGTCGCTTGGTACCTCCACTACCTTCCTCATGTCGACTCCCAGCTATCAACCCGACCCTGCCACCCACTTTTTTAACCACCCGACCACCGCGGGTTTGTATATGTTCATGCTGTGCTACAAAAATGGAGGGTTAGCTCGCGAGCACGTCCGCGATGCCATTAATGAAAGTCTCAAGGACAGCCCGAGCCAGCCCTGGGCCAATTTTGATGAGATTGCTTTGAGCACTCCCCCCTTGGGCCAGCAGAACCCGACCGACCCCATGAAGATGGGACTGTTCTTCCCCCGCCCCGAGATTGTGCCGAACCTGCGCTCAGGTCAGTGGCGGTTCAACTACGACCCGACTAGCGGTAATCTCAAGGAGACCACCGAGGGTTGGGTCCGACCTCAAGATGAGGCCCGTTCCATCATCGAGAGCCAGATGCTCTCTCTCCGGTTACGGTCCCGAGGCCTGACCACGAGCCCGGGCAATGGGCTCCCAGCCCAGCCCCGACGAGTGTACCTGGTGGGCGGTGGGTCTAAAAACAAGGCGATCGCTCAGATCGCGGGTGAGATCCTTGGCGGAGCTGAGGGCGTGTACAAGCTTGATATTGGCGACAATGCATGTGCGTTAGGTGCTGCATACAAGGCCGTGTGGGGCATTGAGCGTCAGGAGGGCCAGACGTTTGAAGATCTGGTCGGCCAGCGATGGCATGAAGAAGATTTCATTGAAAGAATTGCGGACGGCTATCAAAAAGGCGTGTTTGAGCAGTATGGCCAGGCTGTGGAAGGCTTCGAGAAGATGGAACAACAGATTCTGCGCCAAGTGGCCTTGGCCAACGGTAATTGACACGCCAATGGGAAATCAGAGAGCGTGGACAATCGAAATATAGCGCCATGTTTTGGTGAAAATCTCTGAATACATATACTGTTTTCGCAGGAACACGGCCAGTAGCCACCCTCGCAAGTGGAAGCAGGATGAAGAACTGTAGAAGGGCAATACGTTTTTACTTGCCCGAATATGACAGTCACAGATGGAAACAGTATAGTCTAAGATCTCTCATTAATAACAGTTTATCCAGTTACAGTTATGATTTACAATTTGTTATTCATTATTTACTATTGACGGTTTATCTCGAGTGGACTGACGTAGTGAACAATACCCGATTAGGAAGTGTCCAGTGCATTGCCAACATCGTCAGGCAGCGACACAATCACGCCGCCCCTTGCCCTATTGGGATCCTCCTCAAGAAATTCGAATTCCAAGAAAACGCTCTTTCATTCCTTCCGCCTCTCCTTCTTTCACTCTTCTCTTCAATTTCTCTTGCTTAACGGACTCCCGGGCGGGCAAGCGAGGGCGGAGCCCAGGCACGGAAATCCGATTACGATACCATGGAAGTTCTCCTCCACTGAAAAACAATTTTGAAACCCAACACAACCAACCACCCCTTCGTGTCGCCCCCTTCTCCCCCTTTCCACGCTTCGAAAAGGGAGTCCGGCTGGTCGAAGATGGAAGAACAGGTGAGCCTGCGCTGGTTAACTGGAAGTTTTTAGCTGCCACTATGAAATTTCCTTGAACCCCTCCCCCCACTACTGCCCACCGCACCCTCCAAATCCTCCCCCTCAAAGCCTCAAAGAGCCCCAGCCCCTCCCCTCCGCGGGGTCGTTGACGACCAGCATTGACGATTTCCCACGCCTTACAGGTAGCAAATGCCATTGAGATCGCCTGGAATCCGTCCTCCGACCATGCCTTGAAGTCGCAAGCCTTCGACTATCTCAACCAACTCCGCTCCGATCCCTCCGGATGGCAGGTCTGCCTCAATCTCTTCACCAAAACCCCCCAACAGCCCGAGATCGTACGTCATGCGAGCTTGGAGATCGTCAATAGCGCCGCCCAGGCCGGTCTGATCGATATTTCCTCTCTGGGAGTGGTGCGGGATGGATTGCTAGCCTACCTCCGTCAGGTCTACGGTCCGGATGGCGCTGCCACGCCCGATGTCCCGTACATCCAAAACAAAATCGCCCAGACCGTAACGTTCCTGTTCTCAGCTCTCTACGCGAATGGATGGGAGACTTGCTTCGATGACCTCCTCAGCCTGACCTACAAGTCCTCCTCCAGCACCACTCGTGACAACCCGCTCGGCATCGTATTCTACCTGCGCGTGGTGAACTCGATCCATGAGGAAATTGGTGATGTGCTGGTCTCACGCTCGCGCGGCGAGCAGGACAAGGCAAACTCCTTGAAGGATCTCATTCGTGAACGAGACATGCAGAAGATCGCGAGCTCGTGGCAAGAAATCTTGTCGGCGTGGCGGGATGGCGATGACACAGTGGTGGAGATGTGCTTGAAGGCCGTCGGCAGCTGGGTCAGTTGGATCGATATAGGTCTGGTCGTGAACCAAACCATGCTCGACCTTCTCTTCCAGCAGCTTGGACGGGCGGAAAAACAGGAATTGCGCGAAGGAGAACAACGAGTTCGTGATGCTGCAGTGGATGTTTTCACTGAGATCATCGGCAAGAAGATGAAGCCTGCGGACAAGATTGAAATGATCATCTTCCTTAACCTCGATACGATTGTCACTCAGCTTTCGAACAGCCCGCCTCTGCGGGAAAACCGATTCACCTTCAAGTACGATACCGATCTGGCAGAGACTGTTGCCAAGCTCGTCAATATCACTGTGATGGATATTGTGCGAGTTTTGGAGACCGATTCAGGCCCCGTGAAGGACAAGGCAAACGATTTGCTGCAGGTTTTCCTGCCGCACATCTTGCGGTTCTTCTCGGATGAATATGACGAGGTCTGCTCGACCGTCATTCCCTGTGTCAATGACACACTCACCTACATCCGAAAGCTGTCCAAGGCAGAGCCTGCTTTCGAGGAGCGAAACAAGGCTATCCTTCTCCCGCTTCTCAAGGCTATCATCGCAAAAATGCGGTACGACGAGACCTCCAACTGGGGTGACGAGGACGAGCAAACCGACGAGGCAGAGTTCCAAGAGCTGCGTAAGAGACTGGGTGTCCTTCAACAAATTATCGCGTCGGCGGATGAGCAGCTCTATATCGATGCCATCTCGGAGGTGGTGGGTACAACATTCGAGAACCTGCGTGCTTCCGGTGGTCAAATTGACTGGCGTGACTTGGATTTGGCTCTGCATGAGATGTTCCTTTTCGGTGATCTGGCTGTCAAGGGTGGTGGTCTTTACCAGAAGGGTGGCACCCCCACCGGTCCTCCTGCGGTCCGTCTCATTGAGATGATGCTCCGAATGGTGGAGTCCGATATCCGATCTTTCACCCATCCGGCCACCCAGCTCCAGTATATGGAGATTTGTGTGCGCTATAGCTCCTTTTTCAACACCCACTCCCATCTCGTCCCTGGTGTTCTGGAGAGCTTCCTTCAGCTTGTTCATCACCCAGTTCGCAAAGTCAAGACCCGTTCGTGGTATCTCTTCCAACGGCTAGTGAAGCAACTGCGTGGATACATCGGCAACGTGGCCCAGACTGTCGTTGAAGCGCTGGGTGACCTGCTGATCATCCAAGCAGAGCTGCCTTCCGAAGGTGAGGATGGTGATGAGATGTCTTCCGAGGATCACGAGGGTTCTGCCGATGCCGTATTCAATAGCCAGCTCTATCTCTTCGAGGCCGTCGGGATCATCTGCTCAACGACCGGAGTCCCCGTCGACAAGCAGGTCTTTTATGCCCAGTCAGTCTTGAACCCCATTTTTGCTGACATGGAGCGCAACCTTGCTGCCGCCAAGAGCAACGACGAGCGAGCTATGTTGCAAATCCACCACGACATAATGGCCCTAGGCACTCTTGCCCGAGGCTTCTCGGACTGGATGCCGGGCACTTCGACCACGGCTCACCTGCCTGCTGCAGAGGTTTCAGAGGCTTTCTGCCAAGTGGCCGAGGCTACCTTAGTTGCGCTTGAATCTCTTAAGTCGTCTTTCAACATCCGGACTGCCGCTCGATTTGCCTTTTCCCGACTCATTGGTGTTTTGGGCGCCAGAATTTTGCCCCAGCTCCCTCGCTGGATTGATGGCCTCTTGACCCAGACCTCCTCGCGTGATGAGATGGCCCTTTTCCTGCGTCTTTTGGATCAGGTTATTTTCGGATTCAAGACTGAAATCTATAGCATTCTCGACACTCTCTTGACTCCGTTCTTGCAGCGGGTATTCGCCGGGATTGCGGAACCCACCACGGGGACTGACGACGAGATTCAACTCGCGGAACTCAAACGTGAATACTTGAACTTCCTTCTGGCGGTATTGAACAATGATCTCGGGGCCGTGATCATCAGTGAGAGTAAGTTTGCTGTCTTATCGTCTTAACATTTTCAGATTCCAATACTCATATCCGATTAGGAAACCAACCCCTCTTCGAAACCGTCATCACCACCATCGAACACTTCGCCAAGGATGTCGAGGACTTTACTACTGCTAAGATGGCTTTCTCTGTGTTGTCCCGGATGGGTGGCTCCTGGGGTGGACCAGATATCGCCCCCGGTGCTACCAACGGCGCTGCTGCTACTCAGACTGCACTTCCTGGCTTTGGAAGTTTCATGATTACCCGATTCTCGCCTCTTTGCTGGGCGCTCCCTACTACTCCGTCCTTCAACTCGAAAGATGCGCAGGCCAAGCAAGTCCTCGCCGAAGCCGGCGGGCTACAGCGTACAATCTACCTCAAGACTGGCATCGAATATGCCGACTACCTACGGAACCGCGAACTGCCTGGCATGGGCATGGGCGGTGACCTCATTGAAGAGTTCCTGACGGCCCTGAGCCAGCTGGACGTGAAGGGGTTCCGGCAATTTTTCCCTGTAAGATCATTCTTTTCTTACTCTTCCCCTTTTCTACCTTCGAAATCCATTTCCAACGCATACTGACGTGAATATAGTCCTTCATCCAGCGATTGAGCGCATGAATATCTCTCCCGCCCTTTCCCCCAACGATCTTTTCTCTCTTCCTCTCTCTATTCTCCTTCTCTTCTGCTTTTTAGATTCCCCCATGCTATATCATATTTCTGTTTTGATGAGAACGAGAACGAGGTGATGTCTGTCCTCGCGCCGATCGGACCTGAGATGTGATGATTTCTGCCAGCTGCCCGACCCGCGAAAAGCTCATGCGATCTATATTCATTTGTGTCCCTCCTCTCATGGATACCATTTGTGCCAGACATGTTCCCAGCCAAAAAAGAACAATTCAAAAAACAAACCAATTGGGATCAAAGAAAAAGAAAACCTTGACGAAGCTCTAAAACAAAATGTTTAGACTCATCGTCAACTTCCAAGTACATAGCATTGTTTTTCCCTTCCCCATCGTATCCTCTTCTTCCACCACTCACTCCTGTATGGTGCATCCGCATCGCATCATGGGCGTTTCTTTCTTCGATGTTTCTTCTTCTTATTCCGAGCAATGGATACTCCAGAAAAGTGACTCTTGCATCGGGCGGAAGTAGTGAAGCAAGGTTGGTTGTTGACAGAGACAGGACTAGTTGAATCACGAATGAAACGGACTTTCTCTACAGGAAAAACCAGTTGAGTCTCTCATAAGACGTAAAGCATAAGACATAAAACATCAATTCATTTCCAGATACAGAAGACACAGGCAATCTCCCCCGAAGTCTATTCCGCCAAAATATTAAGTTTACCTTTTTTTTCACTCCCCTCGCCCTCCTATTGGAGATCAAATCACAGACTTGACGGGTGTCTGGAGCCCACTTGTAGCAAAAAAAAATCACGCAGATCAGAATCCAGTCCCATGCAGCCAATCAAATTCTGCGATCCTCATCTATACATCCGCAAAAAGAAAAAAGGGATAAGACGAACGTATTGGGAGCGATGAGAACAGGCTAGAAGAAGAAACTAAGAGAAAAGGTGGTGACACACTAGTTCTTGAACAGGGCCTTGGCTGCGTGCTCGATGTGGTCGTCGGCGAAAGAGGCCATGGTGTAATACGAGTGGTCATAGTCGGGCTGGTAGCGGATCTTGACACCGGAGTGCCCGCCTGCAGTGGCAGCAGCCTGGAAGTTCTCGGGGAGAAGCTGGCCCTGTTTGTAGAAGTTGTCTCCGGTACCCTATAGAAGAATTCAATGAGAATGCGCTCTGGAGTTCTGTGGTAGATCGCTCCGGAAGAGAAGAAATCAGGCGGGAAGGAAATAGTTTTATACATACCACGTCAATGAGAATATCGAGGGGTTCACCACCCCACTTCTTGATCAACTCCGTAGCATCGTGCTCCTTCCACTTCTCCTGTTGGTCGTCGCCGAAGTAGCCTTTGAACGCCTTCTGGCCCCAGGGGCAGTTGATCGGGTTGGTGATAGGCGCGAAGGCGGAGACAGACTTGTACTTGCCGGGATTGCGAAGGAACTGTTGTAAAGCTGGAATTAGATGACTGGATGTTCGTGCATTTCTCGGGGACCGCTATGTTCATGTATAAACCAGAAATTCGATTTCTTACCAGAGTGAGAGCGCCGTGGCCACCCATGCTGTGACCAGTGATGCTGACGTTGCTGGCATTCAACTGAGGGAATGCACTGAAGACAACTTGTGGGAGCTCCTCAGTAATGTAGCTGTACATGTTGTAGCCGGCGTTGTAGGGGGCCTTGGTTGCATCGACATAGAAGCCCGCGCCGCTTCCGAAATCATAAGCATCGTTCTCACCCTCGATGTTGAGGCCGCCTTTGAAACTGTATCAGCCAGCATCCCAATCAGGAGATCAAACTCAAGGATAGGTTTTGCGGCAATTATGCTAGCCAGCTAGGAAAAAGATAGGTAAAGAAACAAAAAGGAAGATAAACATACGAGGGCTGGTATCGGGGTAGAGAACGGCAATGCCCTTTTTGCTGGCGCCGTGCTGGAAGAAGCCCTTCTCGGAGCAGTTCTCAGCCGTGCAGGTCAAGCCCGACAGGTAAATCAGCACTGGGATCGTGCCCTTCTTCGTCTCCTCGACGCCGCCCGGGGGCAGGTAGAGATTGAAGGACATCTCGCACCGGGTGGTGGTGGCATTGTGGCTCAGCTTGAGCAGCTTGCCGCCGAAGGACGCAATGCGGGCTTTTTCCGTAACTCCAGACATGATAATCAGATTGACTTTAAGATTCAAGCTTCAAGGAGGCGGGGATCGGAGGAGGAGAATATAAATAGGCGGGCAGTTTTGCGTGGCGGGGTTTTCCTGTCCCGCATGAGGGGAAAGCTCCACCGCGTCCCGGATAACATTGCCGCTTTCAGAGAGCTGGATAAGTAGATGACACGAGATAGTCTATAAGATCAGCGAGCCATCTCGGGGAGAGATTGATTCAACAGGCCTGCAATGGGCAATTGCGGGATTCTCTCACGGTGCTGAGACGTCGTAGAAAAGAGCACCAAGCACTGCAACGGCAGTATATAAGGAGTGCTGAAGAGGAGTCGTGGAGCCAAGAGGAGAGTGAGTTGGTATGATACCTTAACCATGTCTTCATGTATCTTCATATACCTTCATGTATCTTCCTATATTCCTACTCTGTTCGTCTTCCTTCTTCTGTAGTGTAGTATCATCAGGCTTGGAAGATGATGCTTGCAGGGTGCAATCACTTGAAGACTACATATTGTTCTTTTTGTCAACTCAACCTAAGAATCGTTTTTTATGTTGCAAAAAATAGAACGAATATTAGGGGTTATCATGATTCGCAAGCACAATGCTAAATAAGAGCCCCGTGGGGTATGTAACCATTCAGAAATAAGAAACAATTGCGAATGCCCGAAGAGAGAAACGCCCTGTCTATGCAATACAGAAAACCACAGTGGGAAATAAAACTAGATAAAATGAGTCCAAGGAATAGATCAAAACCATCCATCAATCCAAAAACACCGGAACGCCATAAACAACGGGCGCAGCCCCATTCAAATACTTCAACACACAGGATCCGCGCGCACTGGCAACTGCGGTATCCAGGCCAACCTCGCCTACACGCGAGCTCGACTTCTCCTTTCGCAGCAGACCCCAGGTGTCAAATGTGGACGTCGCAAAGCGATCGATGTCTTTGTCAGTGACATCCCACAGAGTCGCGACCAGAGCAGGACTGCCTGCGTGGAGATAATTCATGGGCGTGCCATACGGCTCATATTCCCCCGCCTCGGTCAAAGTGCCACTGCTGCAGCCCATGAGAAAAGATACAGCGCAACTGGTGAGGCGCTTGATAGTGCGACCCCGGATGTATTGTGCACCACTGCCGTGGCCAAAATACAAGAACAGGTCCTTCGTCTCCAACGAAGTTCGGAATTCGTCTTCGGATGGTTCTCGGTTCACCAGGCCAGTCCAAGAGCCCAGGCGCGAGAGATCCCCTTCGAAGGTAGTTTGAGTGGTACGAAGATCGCCAGTTGGATTGAGTAGATATGCACCAGAGGTGCGGCGCACAACCGCACCAGACCGGCCGTTGCGGAACTGGAGCACGCGTTCACGGAGACATTCTAGAGACGGAACGCGACATACGGGGAATCCCTGTAGACAAGGGAGCGACTCCCACGGGAACAGATGCAAAGCTTTGTCAAGCACCAGAATGGTATGACTCGGCGGGCGCGAGGCAAGTTCCTCGCGAGCAGCATCGTGATAGCCGCGCAGCGCATCAAGGGTATCGACAACCATCATGTCAAAGTCGATCTCATCGTACGCATTGCGTTCGCCTTGGAACTGCAGAATATCAACGACGAAGTAAAGCAAATCCATCAGGATGTCTTCAGGCTCTTCTTGTTGCTCCAGCTCCCGCAGCCCGATAAACAGTTCCACCACATTCTGGTGGAGCGTGAGCCGACGCGAAGAAGAAGCTTTTCCACCTTTCTGTCGAGAGGGCAGGTGTTTGTCGAGGATGCCCTGGAATACAGACGAAAACCGAGCCAGGGCAGTGCTATCACGCGAGACCGGAGAGAAAATGCCGCGGAAGCCGCCAAACCAAAGATTCTCAATATTTTGAAGCAGGCTTTCCATGCGACTGTCCAGAACCTCTCGGTTCTTCCACCATTCCCTCTTGGATTTCTTGTCTGTCTGAGCCTTGGCGGCATGGGCACTCTCATTTGAGAGCTTGATCAGCTCCTGCATTTCTTCCTTTCCGTCCTCGAATGTAAATTGATCCTCTTCATCATCATCCGAGTTCCCTCGTCGAAGAGGAAGCCGAAGAAGAAACGGAGAGCGGTTCTTCTGCAGTCGCGAGACAATGAATTCGGTGCGATCAGCACTCAGGGACAGAGAAAGGACATTCCAATTCTGTGGCAGAATGTCAACGTAGTTTTGACTGAAATTGAGGCAAATTTCTTTATTCATCTCAATAGTTGCTGGCGGAGACGCTGGCCAAAGCAGTGGATCTGCAAAGTCGGCCAGTTGCCGATCGAAATCAATAGCCATGCGTTCCCGGGTGAAAGCGCCGACGCGTCCAATTTCTAAGAACGAAGCTTTGTTAGGTATCGGGGTACTCGATAGATGGTCGGTCGTAAGTTAAACATACCATTCATGTTCGCAGGCAATTGCGCCCAGGTGGCTGGGTCACCGGGGGTAGTAGCATGCGATAGCATGGAAATTCGACTCATCAGGCGAGATGCAGCATGGCTTTCGAGAGTCGAGCCAAGAATGGTGGCATCGGCAAAGACACCGCTAAGACACTCACTGGCCTTAGAGAGCATAATTGAGAAATCTTCGCTTGCTTTCTGGGCTTTGACGCGGGCGGTCTTAGCTGGAGCCCGTGTCTTCCTTGTTGTAGGTTTCGCGGGCTGATGGACGGGTTCTTCTCCGCCCTTCATGGGTGACTCAAGGGATGGAAGGGAGATTGTAGATTCGGGTAAAACACAGTAAACAGCATGGCTAGCGAACTTCCGAATGGCATCTGCCAAAAGATGCTCGCTCTCCCCAATCTCTAATGAAACTTTGCTCTCTCGAGCCGTAGCAAATTGTCGAGCATCAGCAAGAGTACGAGCAGAGCGTTCAAAATCACATAACGAACGCAGACAGTCTGCCTGTTGGCGAAGAACATCGCCCTTAAGCCGCAGAAGCGAATTGGACTGAATATCAGACAGTGGAATCTTGGGGGTTGCAGCCTTTTTGGTTATTCTAGGGGCAGCAGAGCTAGTGGCACGAGTGTGCCGGCGGGCGGTTGTAGCCGTAGTCGTAGATGGAGTTCGTCGACTGCTACGTAATTGCAGTTTCTCCATCTTTTCCTCGATGGCAACAATTTTGGGTGCTTCGGAAATAATCATTGAATCTGAAGAGGTCACTGCCGTGATTGCCTTATCTGCCTCTTGGAGCAATCGAAGAGCTTGTTCATGACGGCCCTGAACCCGATAAAGAGAAGACAGGGCCATATGGAGGGAAGCAATATCAATACTTGTCTGGATATGCGCAGATGATTCCGAAGCAGCTAGAAGAAGCTCTTCTCCTTCAGAGACGTGGCCACCCAAGATCTGGTAACAGCCAAGCTGGGTTTGTGCTGCAACAAGGCGAAAATTGACATCAAGAGTTTTGTCAATCTTCAGCGCTTGTTCTCCATAGTAAACAGCATCTTGGAAAAGACCATGATGAGCAGACAATGTAGCAAGGTTCAACAGGCAGTTATGATGCGAGCCGAGATGTGGCCAAAAGGGCGCGCCTTGGACATGATCAGCAGAAAAATCCGACGAGGAGCCGTTCTGAGACAGGTCAAGTTTAGCTACACCCTCAGCGACAGCTTCTACATCGGAAGGCGCTCCAGCAGCCAATGCTGCCTTGTCTTGTTTTCTATGGGCTAATTTCTCAACTTTGGCCCAGATCCGGCAATTGAGCCTGACAGATAGCTTGGCGAAGTAGAGTGCCTGATTCATGGATCCTTGAGCAGTTGACAACCGAGACTGAACGAAGGCGGCATCTGCGACGAGCCGTTCCCATGAGATTTTCGACAGGACCGTCAAGCTGCTAAGCTCGTCCGACTTTTGGACCTTATCATATAGTGCCCTGGCCGTGGAAAGCACGGAGGCAGCTTTGTCAATCTCTCCAGTTTCAATAAGATATTCGACACGAGCGATGTTGTAAGAAATATTCGCTTGTGAAGAGACATTGTGTTGGGCGAGATATTGCTCGCCGCGGGAGAGTAGCTCGCTCGCCTGCTGACAGTGACCTAGCCGACAGTGCTGGAAGACCAGGCGAGCGAGGATGAGAATTGCATCGGAAATATCATTGCTTTGCCGCAGCTCTGCTGCATGAAGAATGAGCTCCAGTGAATTGAGCTGGGCTTTCCAGAGTCCATGAATCTCCGTATAGTCGACCAAGGCCTTCAATTGAAGGATCCAGTAATCTGGATCGGAAATCCGGAGAACCAGAGACTTCCAATCCACGCACTGACGAAGAATTGAACTCCAAGAAGCTAGTGTGGAGTCTATTTGACCGACATCTATTTTGCCCTGGTGAAAACCAAGAATAATGCGCAAGGAGTTGGTGATGTGTGCTGCAAAAGAAGCCAAGTCTGTGTCCTGGTTAATCTCGACTTCACAATTTAAAGCCTCATTCCCTTCCATCATAAGTCTCTGAGTCAGGTCAGTGTCTAGGGCCTTGGGATGCTCCAGGGCAAATCTGAGGGCTGACAGGACCACTCGGCCATGGCGAATAGGGTACAGCTCAGGCGAATAGATATCGAGAATGGTGGCTACGAGGGGGCTGATAAATGACTGAAAATCATCTTGACTTGAGCAATATCCATGAAGATCACAGAGAAGCCCCATCTGCCACTCAAGAAGTGTACCCCGTTTCTCAGGCTCCAATTCTGTGTCATCGTAGATTGAGGACGATTTGGAGCCCTTCCCTCGCAACTTCATTTTCAGGAAAGCTGTGAGCACACGGCCAAGCATAAAGCCGGGGCTCTGAGCATCTTGATCGCTCGAGTTGGGAATGCATCCAAGGTTGCGTTCGGCAATTAGATCGAGAGTACCGCAGTCAATGTACTCTGCGATCGACTGCCGGAAAGACTTTTCTGAGTCGGTATACATATTGCCCTCTAGATACAGTTGAGCCGTTCTCTCAAACTTGAGGGCAGCAAAAGCGGTGGTCCGGTGAGAGGGGGCGCAGCCGGACAGAAGCTGAGTTGACTGCTTGAGAAGGGGAAGGAGATCGCGATAACCCTGTCCGACCTCTTTCTCCTTGATATACCGAGACCAAAAAAGGTTGGAGAGTTTCACAAGCCCTGAGCCGATGCTTTCTGCCATAGATTCATCTGAGTCCTCATCCGCGGGTTGGAGGCTCATAAGAAGGCGATGAGAATCTGTCAAAATTGGAAGCATGTCGTCCCACGGTGGCCGGTGAGACATGATAGAGAGTTTTCCAACAGCGATAGCAGAGTCAACACCGGCAAAAATAATGTTCTTCGACATGGAGATGCGATTATTGAAAATTTCGAGTTCCTTAGGGTCGCTATCCTCCCCTGGTCTTCGTCCAACGTAGCGTCTAAGAAACCTCAGAAAGGCCTGTAGGTATTCTCGAACTTGAGACGCAACCCCATTCTTCTCTTCATCATCTTTAAATGTCTTAGCTATTGCCTTACCAAACCATGAAAGAGATAGTTTCTTCAACCTTGCAGACTCCACCAGAAGTTCATCTAGATCAGTCGCATTGCCCCGAAGTTGTAAGCCTAGAGCGGCGGCAGCCTCATCCATTGATTTGAGAGCTCCATCAAGGAACTTCTTTGAACTTTTCAGAGCTTGAAAATGGACAGACGCGATCTTGCATCTAACAGTCGCGAGACACAGACTTTGGGAAGTTGACAGAGGAGGGATCGCTTTGGCAAACATTTTCAACGACTCGTCAAAACAGCCAGCATCCAAAGCAAGCTGCCCAAGAACAGTCATGATCTTGGCAGCCGTATTCATATCCTTAGAATCCAGGGATGTCTTCTTGAGCTCCGCCGCGGCCGATTGAACTCGGGTAATCGTTTTCCAGACACCGGCAAACTCAGCCTTCTCAATTCCTTGGCTGCGATGAGAAAAGCCGCCTAGGTAGCGGAGAAGGGGGTCGAAAATTTCCCTGCTCTCATCACAAATATGCCCAGATATCTTCCACCCCAAGCACCGGATCTCTAGCGACAAAAGCTGCAGGTTCAGAGCGGTAATCGGTTTCAGCAAGTCTGTGTTGGTCAATTCATCGTCAGAGACCGACTTCACAGAGCCCAGCGATAACACGGTATTAGAGAGCAGCTGTAATTGAAGAGCAGCCTTGTCATTTGTGAGGCTACCGGCTTTCAGGGCGGCAGAAATAACTTGAGCAGGGCTGCTCGGGTCGGACAGTTGTAACATGGGGTAGAGCTTTTGGATGGTAGAAGGCCGCTTCTCGGAGGCAAAGAGGCGCATTGCGTTTGCGTGGAATGAGACCAGGAGGCCATATAGAGATTGCGCGTTCGCGATATTCGAAAAGGTAAGTAGATCAGACATCCGTTCTTTGCCTGTGTCGTCATCCACGGTTTCTTTGGCATCTGTCGTCTTCTTTCTCTTTCTTTGCGCATCCAGATGCTGCTGTATTCTTCGCTTAAGAGACCGAAGTTCTCTGCACGCCATCTCGTTCAATCCCAAGGAAATTAATTTCCCAACTAATACGCACACCCCCTGTTCGAGCTGCATATTCGGGAACTCGCCCGTTGTCTGGTCGGTTTTAAGAGATCGTAAAGTTGCCAGGGCTAGCCTCGCACATTCGGCCGCAGAATAAACACCCTTGTCCACAATTGTGCCATTGGTCTTCTCCGACTTCATTGACACATTATCGGCGGGGGTAGTTTGGCGTTTAGTCATAGAGAGTTTCGATGCGTCTGTGAGGGTCTTCAGGGTAACGTTGAATACTTCTGTCGCGAGCACCAATTTCTCCTGGGGTGATAAGGAAGGGCCCTCCTGGTTGGTGATTGTGTGTAACGCGACATCAGCCGTAGTTCGCGTCTTAGTCGCTCGGGAGGTCTTGGTTCGACTCGTAGTGGCTGGTGTATCCTTTGTCGACTTTGTATTCCTCCTCGCGGGCTTCCCGGGTGCTTTCGACGATCCGCGCAGCAGTGTTTGGAGGGACAACACCGTGGCGTCGGAGCATGTTGTTGTTGACCGGACGGCGATTTTCACGGTCTCGGTGATCGAGCTCGGAGGAAGGACGGTAACCGCCATGGCGTTGATGTTAGCGGTGCAGCAAAACTGCGGTCATCGATTAACGCCGAATTGAAGCTTTGCAAGCTGATATCACCGGCCAGGCCCGTGGGACGCCAAACGGGCCTTGTTGTCGTAGCAACATTATACACTATACCTGATTAGGTAATTTGCCTTATTGCCTGAGGCACGAAGATCCTCACTTTTGTCGTCCATTGGGACTTGGTGACAGCATCAGAATCAACAATCCCACGATCATGTCGCTGCCACTCCGAGTAAGGCCCTTGGGCCTCGCGTGGAAGTCATTTCCTCGCTCTTCCCCCACCACAATTGGCCGCCAGTGCCGAGTACCCAGTTCACGATCCTACGCGACCTCCGACCGGCTTCCGAAGATTGCAGACACCTCAGTATGGACAGCGATGATCCCTCGATTTATTCGACAAGGCAAGTCGCGCAAGCCAGGCGAGAAGAAAGAATGGAACCCAGCTACTTTCTACATTGTCATGTTCACCCTCATCGGGTCACAAGCCATTCGCATGCTCACATTGAAGAATGGCTATGCATCGTACAGCCGGTCTGCGGATGCGAAGATCGAGCTCTTGAAGGAGGTGATTGAACGGGTCAAGAAGGGTGAAAAGGTGGATGTGGAGAAGTTGCTCGGAACTGGCGATGAGGCACAGGAGAAAGAGTGGGAAGAGGGTGAGTAATTCTGACACCGAGTGATGCGATCTGGTTTCTGACCTTTGCTTCGTTCTCAAGTCCTGAAACAGATTGAGCAAGAAGATGCTTTATGGAATAAGCAAAAACAGGCTGAACAGGAGCAGAAACAACCGACGCCAAAACTCGAGGAGAAGGAAACAGTCGCCTCGACTGCAACTAGTACTGATGACGAGGCGGCGAAGAAGGCACAGAAGACCCGCAAAATGAACTTCTTCTAAAGTTGAAATATGATGGCTGCGATGCCGTCTATTACATCTGGACCACACTAAATATGTGGGTTGTTGGACTAGGATAACATCCTACAGTCGGTGTCACTTCTATTCTACCACAAGCGCTCTTCTCCCCAGAGCGATTCTGTACTATATCTGCACCTCAAAGTCTTACTTTGTGTCGGATTTTGATACCCAATTACCGACATGCCGCTCTATCGGCATTCCATCCCTATGTACATGTATATACACCGGATTCAAAACTCGAGAAAGTTACCTATCCCAAGAATTGTTGAACCTACAAAACCATAGTACGATGTGACGAAAGAAAGTTCCCGGTCATACGAGCCAGCAGATTCAAATCAAGTCTTTGAACAGGAAAATCCAATTCTATCTTCTCTAGATCTAGGTACTATACAGAACTCAAGCCACTTCCACAGTAGAAGACTTGGTGCCGTACACGACAATCCGAGTCGAACAAAGACCAACACAGCCGCAGTCGGGATCAAGCGATTGCTCGGACCCCAAATCATGTCCAGGGTCCGTTGTATATAAGGATCGCATGTCCTTTCTTTCCAAATCTATCCAATGTTGGTACAATGCATACCAACGATCTCACACAAAATGCGAGATCAATCATGCAGGGGTGTTTTTTTCACCCTCTTCCAGTCAATGAAACCCCAGCCTAATCTTTGCACAGAAACAAAAGGAGAAAAGATGACCAAGATGTAGGAATCCCAAAAAGAAAAGAAATGTTGGGGGGTAAATAAATGAGAAACTCGACAAGAGATCAGATGCTAAATGGAAGCAAAACACACGCAAAGGCCAAGGCAGGGACCACAAACATGAGACTCATCGCTATGTAATCAAAGACAAATCACTGCTTGGAGCCCTGCAGGATCTTGGGCCAGTGCTCCGGAAGAGGGACCTGCACTCGGCCAATGTTCTGGTCCAGGTCCAGGATGAGCTTCAGGGCGTTCCTTGACCGGAGGTAGGGGAGGGGCGCTTTGGCACCCTGCAGACCAACACCGGGTTCCACCTGGCCGGTTGGCGTGACATCCTCGTGTGAGCCGGGCATAGGAAGCATCTTCTGCAGGACTTCATATGCCGCGAGGGTGAAACCAAACTGCGGGGAAGAACGCAGAATACGGGCTGGGCCACCCTTGAAGAAGGCCTTCAGACCCTCTTCCTTCCACACGGTGGTGGCACAGTGGCGCAAGCCAGTGTACTTGGTGTCGCCCTTGCGGGCCTCAACCTGCAGACGGGTCTTGATCACGTCGCAAGGAGTAGTCAGGTAGGCAGCAGGCATACCGGCAATCGCACCCGCGGTCAAAAGCTGGACGACTCCGAGCTTGTGAGTGGGTGATTCACCAAAGAGGTCAGTCTTCAGGTGAGCGTATGTGGGGAAGTAGATGGCCGAGAAGGGCACTAAAGCTCGTGTTAGTTGGAACATCCCAATTAGGAAGAGAGGAAGAACACCATAGCACTTACCATCACGAAGCAGACAGGCGCTAGCGCCTTTGTACAGGCCCATAAGACCCAGATTCTTGACAATCCAAAGTGCTGATCGGCGAGGAGCACCCTCAACATTCTTAGCAATCTCACCCTGAACCTGCAGGCGAATCTTGACGATCTCAAGCGGGTTGGTGAAGACCTACAAGACGTTTAATATAACCGGTCATCAAGAGCTCAAAGAAAAGGCGAGCTGGAAACTTACCACTTGACAAGCTCCTGCAGTTCCACCAGCCAGAATCTCAGCAGAAGTCCGGATTTTCTTGGTGTCCTTGTCAGTGAAGTAGCCACGGACGAGGTCGTTGACTGTGAGCTTGATGGCCTTCTCAGGGGCAACACCAATCAGCTGGGGAATGACACCGGAGTACAGCCCAGTGAAACCTTCATTCCGAATGACCTTGCGGGCACAGTCAATGGAGTTGTTGTAGAGACGCTCACCAGGGCGGGTGGACCGCTGGTTCTGCATACGGGTCTTGACCAGATCGATCGGGTACACCATAAAGGCACCGAACGCACCAGCGATACTTCCCAGAGCAAAGTGGTGCGCCGACTCCAACAGGCCATGCAGGAAAGTCTTGGTTTTGCCTGCGGCCTCTGCTGCGGCCTGGCCCGCAACCGCAACGGGGATGCGCCATGAAGCATCAATGACCTTGGCAAAGTCCTTCTGCGACAGGCGGCCCGAGGGGGCATCGAGACCGGCGAAATGGAACAGAATATCGGCCTCCATGGGAGTAAAGAGGGAGAAGCGGGTGACACGAGCGGCCTCGTTCAAGAAGTCAGAGCGAGTGATCTTGCCATCGCTGCTCTTGTTGGTGGCCTCACGGACGATCAGGTCGATGATATCCATCTCACGCATGACGTTTTGGAAAGCCCGGACGGTGGCATAGGAGATCTTTTTGCTGGTGGAAATGTTGCAGAGGGTGGGCAAGTTCTCGAGCAGGTGGTCGGACAGCTTGTGCTTGGAGGTCTCCAGGATGATGCGCTGAAAATCCTCCGGCTCAATATAGCCATCGCCGTCCTTGTCGAAGATGTGGAAGGCCTGGCGAATGCGCTCGCCCTGCAAACCGCGCAGCATCTGGGAGAATTGCGGGTAGGTCATGTCGTGGCGCGACTTGGTGCGGCCGCCGTACAGAGAAGCCCATTCTGAGTTCCAGTCGAAGGGAATGCTGTCGGCACTCTTGTTCAGGTTACAGAGGCCCTGCACGGTATCGAACTTGACCGTGCCGGTTCCATCGAAATCGAAGAGGCGGAACGCGATCTCGTACTCGGCATCGGGCTTCGTAAGGAGGTTCTCGAAGGTGGCCCAGTCAGCCAGGCTCAGTTTGCCGGTTCTCCGTCGGTCTGCCACTCGAAAGAGAATTCCGTATTGTTCGCGCTTGATCTTGTGCTATAGGGGGACACGAGGACGAAATCAGCCAGGTCCTTTCTCTTGCGTTCTTTGCTTCGCTCTCGCGCTCTCTCTTATTCTGCTCTCGGATTTGCGGGCCTCAAGACTTCAGGGACAAGGGGCTGACTTACATAGTCCTCCTGCTTGGGGGCAACAGCATTGATAAAGTCGTCCTCGCTCATGTAGGGTTCACCATTCTCGTCCTTCTGCGCATGGCGGAGGAAATTGGACCGAGCCTGGTGCGACAGCTGCGGCACCTCGGTGCTGCCGACCAAGCTTTCCTTCACAGTTTCCTTGACGCTTGACATTGTGCCACAAAGCAATGGAATCGGGAACGAGTCAACGACAGGGAAGAACCCAAAAGCGAAAATCCACCACACAACAAACTGGGGGAAGGGGAGGGGGGAAAGAAGATCGAGAGTGGAGAACGGGGACAGGTTGAGTCAAAAAGGAATGAACCCGCTGAAATTCACGATAATAAAGCCCGACCGTATCCAGGGATTCCGACCAAAAATAACACTCCTTTTTTGTCTGATTCTGACTCTTGAATTCGACCTTTTGGCTACGAATGGTTTGATCTTTTCAAAAAAAATTCTCTTATTCCTCCGAGCGCGAATCAGGGCTGACGGTGGCCACTCGAGGCATGAGTTTTTCACCGCCCAGTACCTGGGGAGGCACCTGAGTATACCGGACAAATTGAGTATCTCAGGAAGAACCAGGGATCCGGCGCATTCGGGACACCATACATGAATATTCCACCCTGCCGATACGTGAGCAACATGGTTTATGGTTAATACTCGGAGTGGCGCTTTGGGGTTATTGTGCCTCGTTTGCTACTTGGAACACTCGTCGTCCTCCCAACTCTTCCAAGCCGGGCCTTTCGGATGCGATGTAATTACCCGGTGAGATCGGGCTTGGGGCCGAATCAGCGTCTCCGCACTGTATTGCCCTCCCCTCTCCCCTATGTCCGCGAAGAAGGTCCCTTTCTCTCCGTCATCCACAGCCTAGAGCCAGCTATATAGAATTGGTACGCTATGTTCGTGATCAATCTTAATTTTCCTCTACTATCAAGTGGCGCCCGAGGAGGGATTTTACGGAACGTGTCCTGTTGCCACCACGAGCCATCAATCAGGGAGAGGCCGATCCAACCAATGGCCGAGCCGAGTCGGGTGCCTGGAATGTCGTAAGCGGCGAAGGCGACTCGGAATTGATTCGAGAAGGTATCGAAGGCCGCAAATGGATCGGGTATTAAGGTCGTGGACCAAAGAGGCCCAAAGTACGTAGGAAATAATCCTGTCTTGCAGGAGTCCCGTCAACATGCTCAGATGACCTGCAAAACGGGCAGCCTCCAAGGGGTGAAACCGGGTAGTTCACATGCGTCCCGACCGAGCCAAGTCCAATAGAGCCAAATAAAGGCAGAAAAAAAACAGCAAAATAAGCAAAAGTATCGGGTGCCGCCGTGTTCGGTGCGGAGCAAAAAGCGGGTCTTTGGAGAAGGCGGAAAGTTGGAGATGCAAAAGGCGGGCGACACGATTCTTTGCGACGATTGGCGTCTCCGCAGCCGGTCTCGGTCCAACTCCGCTCCCGTGACTCGCGCGCTCTCCGCACTCCTCACCGGGCGCCCCGTCGGTCACGAAAGAGTATAGAGGCACACGGTCAATCCACACAAGATTTTTCGGAGATCAATTCATGGTCCAAGGTCCACGATTAGATACTCTTGAAATAATTGCCGGGCGGGATGGACCAAGATATTTCTATTTTGCCTTGTCCTTTCAAAATATATGCCTTCCTCGTGACACGTTCTGATCTATATTTCTCCCCGTCGCGACGCTTAAACTTGCCTATTGGAGTCGGTCCCGTCAAAAGTGTCCCCTGCGACGGCCTTCTCCGATCTTCATAGGAGGATGAAGAAAAGCACCAGGTCATATATCTGTGTGCACGATAATGTAACTGCGGGATTTTATAATACCTCCGTGAAAGCGATTATTGAACTGCATTATAGCGCCCCCTTAGGCCACGACCCCGGGATGTCGGACTACTTGCCTTTTGTTTCTCACCGGTTTCCTCTCCGGGCATCTACTAGATACCTCCTTATGCCGAGGCTTCTCCAACTAAGCATTCAGTATTCACACACAACACCCGCTCGGATGGCGACAACGCCAATATTCTCCTGATTTGAGGCCATCTGCGATCCGCACGACGGCCGCATCGAGCAGAATTTGATAAGCGATCGTTTGACAGATCACAGTTTCCGGCGACAGCGCATCAGATGGAACGTAATACGAAAGCGAATTGCCAAAGAGATGACATCAATGATCAGTGGAGTAGTGAGCTGGGTCGCCTGGAAGACCACCTTATTGCTCGCGGATTGGGCTTGTAGACACTGCTCTGTTGCCCTGGTGGATTGTCCAGCTCACCTGTACTCAAGTCTCGCTCTTGAAATATGACTTCGCTCTAACGGGCCACTTGTGTCATTGGTCCTGTCTGGCCTGGGATGAGGTAGACAACATATAAATATTTCGATGAATCGAAGTCTCTAAAATCGCAGAGGCAAGACACACCCAAGAACTGAATAGTCAATACCATATCCCTGGCAAAATGAGACACCGTATCTGGGTGTCGAGCGCGAAGCAGCGTTCAATCTCGACCGAATTGAACAAATCTGTGTTCTTCTTCATCGTCGGGCCCATTCTGCTCATCCAGATCGTCGTCTTTGCTGTTATGGTGTATACCTAGCCCCATCAATACCTCAAGGCTGTCAGTGATTTATGCAAGCCACAAGACCAGTGAAATATAACGACGATGGCTATGGCCGATGGTCAGCTGCCCGTATACGGATGTATGAGAATCTAGGGTGGTCGATAATAAACAACAGACTAACGCCCATCACCCGTGTTTCTATTTCATGTGTTTTTTTAACATGTATAACATAATGACAACCCAGGATTTGCCAAAATCAAGTGTAACAGAAATTCACCCTTTGAGCAAAGCTATCAGCACCTTAATAGATCCGGATGAAAACTGCCAGGAGTGGAAAGCGGGTAGGGAGGAAATTTCTTTCCTTTTAGACCAAGCTGGATGGTCCTCGTCAACTAGTACTCCTGAGAAGAATGGGTCACTAGTTTAACAGTGTCTAGCCATGAGTTGAACTGTGGCACTCCTCAGTGACCCGTTCGATGATCGTGTTACATTTTCAACACTGGGTCTGGGGGATATCCCAACGCTGTCGCGTGTTTCAATAAGAAAGTATTAAGACACAAAGCCAATTCACTCAGGAGGAACCCACACAGCTAACAGGCTCGAGGAACATTTTGATTTTCTAGTGAATCGAGTTTGCGAGTATTTCAAGTACCAGGTACAGAAGGTTGAAGCTGTCAACAGGTGAAAACACATTGTGAAACAAGGACATCCCGCTTCTGGGTGAGAGCCACCGTTTTGCTGGCCAACGTAACGAAATGAGGAGAAGAAATTCATCTTCAGTAATTGTATACATCTGCTGTTATCGAGTTATAGCTGTATGGTCGTATTTCTTGCTCTGCCATGGGAGAGATACTAAGTATTCTTTTGCAGAGACCAAACTAGCGGTCAAACCACAGTGAAAGAGGCTTGCAGTATCTCTGCCACACATAATCCGTACTTGGTAGTCTGTATTCTCATTCACATTTCCTGCATCACATCATTAGGAGTGGTGATTGCGCGGGTTGAGTCACAGTACTGCAGACAACACCCCGCTGCCCGCTCGCTACTCAAGTTTCCACTAAATTTCACGATGGGGTTTCTTTCTGTATAGTTTGTAAGCAGCTAGTGAGGGCAGAAGGGCAAATACAGCATCCGTGCAACAGTGAAGGGTCTCTATTCCATGGTCCCTGCCTCCCTTTCAGGGCCCAGGATACGCGGGCATTGAGGCCTGTCCCAAGTCTGTGGACAGTCAAGAACCACGGTATGGCGCTCTCTAGGTGTGCTTTTGGCTGCACGATATGCCGGGACATCACATTAAAGCCCAAGTTCAACAGAGAATGGGGAGGATCCAGGAACTCGACTGGCTAGAGAGTGTCAACCTTGCTGAGGACTAGCGTGTGATGAGAATGCCAACGATGCAGCAAATCATGTCGTGGTGCGTCGGGATGCAGCCTGAGGGCGCCAGGACGCCGGCCAATGGTTGGTCGATTGGGGAGGGGGAAAGGGCCCCGATTGCCGTCTCGGGAACAGTGCATAGCGCTGCCCTCAGCGCTGGCCACCCCGCGGTATATAGCCGCCCTGCCCTGCCCTCTTTGCGACTCTCCTGGTTTCATCGTTGAGTTTGATTTTGTTTTGAGTTTCATTTTTGTGACTTCTCCTTCCCTCATCGTTTTGGCCGGTCCAGACGATTTGTTTTGAACCTTTTATCTCGAGTTTTACATATCTTTCGCATAGTTTCATACTTCTTAGGCGCCTTTGTTGACCAAAGCTGCTCTTTGAGATATACGTTATATAAAAACCCTATCTATCTTGTTCTCCCCCAGTTCAATTGTCCATTCCATCATTTTCAAAATGATCCGTTCCGCTGTCCGACCCTCGCTGTCCTTGAACACGGCTGCTGCCCAAAACTCTAGCTCGCGAGCCTCGCTTTCGCTCCGATCCCCCGCCGGCTCGCGCACGCCCATCTCGCCTGTGAACCCAGCTGCCAAGCGATTCAGCACCTTACAGGTACCAAATTACGCCTACGCCAACTCTTGTTCGTCTAAGAGCATTCTCAAGAAGCATGCGTCTGCTCCAGGAGCCCGAGAGAAGCGCATCACCTTTCAAGGCAGCCCGACTGTCCACTGTGTTACGCCAATCGAGAACCCGGACGAGTACTACGGCAAGCACGTTAAGATGAGCCGAGATGAGCGACGCTGGACTGCTCGTCAGTGAGCGCCCTCGCAAAAGATGCTCCAGAGCAACGACAAACGCTCGCCTCAACAGTGGCAAGCCCTGCGGTCCTAGCTCGGTTGAGGCTACTGGCTTATGGCTAGCCGCTAAACAGGCAAATTCCTTCAAGTGGTATGCATCTGTGAAATCCAGCAGATGAGCCAGAAGAGTAGCCTCGTCGCCCGCAATGGGTGTGCCAAAAGCCTCGCATCAAACGCCTCGGGGTCCGCGCCGACCGAGCAGATGCAGGCCTGATGCCGCTGTGTCTGCCTCTCTCGGGATCTATGCATTATTCAGACATCTCGAATTGCGATTTTGTGCACTTTCAGGTCATGTCAAATGTGTTTTTGGAGTGTCTTGCAAGATGATTATTTTCACGACGATGATGGGCCTCCGATTTATGAACCGCAACATACCAGTATAAATAGTTGAATCAATCCAGTCATTACCTCCATATTCTTACATTCTAGCAAATAATGTCGTAAGGTCAAGGCTTTGGTGCAGGGCAAACTGTATTTTGATGTGGCTGGCTGTATGGGGAGGAGTTGGAAGAGAAAGTGCAGTATAACATGGTATATAGATGGGAGAAGCAAGTCCCGGCGACGAGTTTCTTTAGAAGATGACAAGCTAGTAAACAGTTTTCCTCGAAGCGCACGGCGCATACATGTTCCAAGGTTTTCTTTCATGGCTTGCCAGAGCCTCTTTTCAAGGGTTTCTCTTCTCATTTTCTCATGGACTGTTAACTATTGAATGTTAGGGCACCTTTCCAGGGCTTGCTTGGTCCGTGCATATCCGATCCTCCGATCATTTCTGCCGGCGCGTCCAGATCAATAAATCGCCTTCAAGCTCACCAATGTTCTTGTCAAGAGCTCCACTTGCGACGTTACGCAGGTCAACTGCGAGCATATCGCACAATATTTGCGGGAGGAGATGCAATCTCCTCACGCTAGCGATTGAAACATCATGGTGGGTTTCGCCCAAATATGACTGGGGGATATGTGCTGTTACTGACCCAGCTACCCCGAATAGTGACGATACATCAGTCGCAATCGTCGAGAAACGAAGAGAGTCTTCGGCCGAAGCCAAAGCCAGTGTGCACTTCCTCGAAAATATCACGTGCGATTCAAGAGAGCACCGCGGCATTCACCCGATTCTTGCCCTCGAATCCCACCAAGAGAACCTCACGAAACTTGTTGACAAGGCCCTCAAGAATCTGCCGCCTGTGCAGAATGGATCGGGGTCAATTACGCTGGCAGATGGCTCCCTGCGCCGCCGACCAGACTTCATCTCCGCTACGAGAGGTCCTGGCATGCGCTCCAACTTGTCAGTCGGTTTAGATACTGGGAAAGCTCTTTCTGTCGCCTGGCAGGTTCCGATGGTTGGAGTTCATCACATGCAGGCCCACCTATTGACTCCTCGACTAGTATCATGTCTAGGAGAAGGCGATGCTACTACTATATCGAAACCTATCTCGCCTCAATTTCCCTTTCTATCTATCCTTGTCTCGGGTGGCCATTCGATCCTGGTCCACTCGAAATCCCTCACAGGTCATAAAATCATGGCCTCAAGCGATGATATCGCTATGGGAGAAGCTCTGGACAAGTCTGCGCGAGAGATTCTCCCTCCGAATGTGCTTCAGGAGGCAAAGAGCACGATGTATGGCAAAAACCTGGAGCAGTTCGTCTTTCCCAACGGCAAGGCAGATTTTGCTACTTACCAACCTCCTCTGACTCGGGGAGAGGAGGTGATTAAGCGCAAAAGTGCATGGGGCTGGAGCGTGACTACCCCATTCGCAAATACTCGCACGTTACAGCTCAGCTTCTCATCTGTCTCGAGTATGGTCAGCAAAATCGTCAACGACAAGGGTGGATGCCTCTCCGATGAAGAGAGGGTGGATCTGGGCCGAGAAGCAATGCGCGTCTGCTTCGAACATCTCGCATCGCGGACTATTATTGCGCTTGAAGCGCTTCGCCTCAGACATCGCGACGACGAGGAGATCCAGACTTTGGTTGTGAGCGGCGGTGTCGCGGCCAATAAATTTCTCATGCATGTCCTCCGCTCTTTCCTAGATGTCCGTGGGTTTGAGCATATTAAGATTGTTGCTCCCCCGCCGTATCTTTGTACCGACAATGCGGCCATGATCGGGTGGGCGGGAATCGAGATGTTTGAGGCTGGATGGAGGACGGATCTGAGCTGTCGTGCTCTTCGCAAATGGACCCTCGATCCTCAAGCTGATGATGGTGGAATCTTGGGACCTGTCGGATGGTTTCAGGCCTAAGCAGTTCCTCAAGATTATTCTGTATACTAAGACCATGTATATTAGCGATACCCCCCTATGTACATATTTATATAATCAAAAGTTACGGCATTCCACTCTTGAAACCTGAATCCACTCAGATCAGTTGAGAAGCCCTACTCTTCTTTTTGGTAAAGACATTAGACTACTTTTTATGACACAGCTACATATGTAGCAAGACTCAGGCCCAGATCAATGAAATAGAAAGACGCCAATGCAAATGTAACAGCCTCAAAGCCGTCAGCTACCCTCCCGTACCGAACCTTCCATCCCATCCATGAAGCCTCCATTGTAGGGTATCGATGCGCCGTTCTAACCGTGCAAATGAACTCAATCCAGAATCGGTAGACTGTGCAATACAGGGGGTGCAAATAAAAACGAAAACAAATTCAGCAATACCATACATAAGTATGGTCAGCCACCGACGGGAGGGCCGTCTCGTTGCCGCGCGGCAACCTGCTTGCGAAGCTCAATAAAGAAGTCCTTTCCATTGGCCATTGTGTTTGCTGCAAAAATCAGTATCTTTATTTTACTACATGTATCCGGAGTATGAGTGCACGCTGAACTAAGTACATACCCTTCGCGCCCCATGGTCCTCGTTGGTTGTTCGCATCTTTTCCCGTCGGCTTATAGAAGAGTGGTTTCGGTTCTGTGGAATTGGCATATTAGACAATGTATTGCATCGCGCTGAATCAAAGGATTATCGATATACCTCTAGGATCTAGACAATCGCAAAGGAAGTGATATTAGCTTTGATCTCCGGTTGACCATCTTTACCACACTCGTACCTCTCTTCAGAACGTTCTTAGCCTCGGTGGCGTTAAAGCCGCAAACAGGGACATGCTGGTCTTGCGATGGGCTCGAAGACGCCCAGGAAGCATTTCCACCTCGGGAACCTCCCTGTCCACCAGCATTCCTGCCATTGCCAGAGTTGCGCTGCGATGACTGGCGATTGGGCCCGCGCCATCTACTGTGGCCAAGATTAGCGAGGAGTCAAGGAAGAGGGAGAAGCTCACAAGAACTCAGCCCATACCTTTCCTCGCTGTTGCCACTCATGTTGATTGTCAATAGCGCAGTCCTGGTGCAGAATTGTTAACGAGGGAGCGAGTTCGTCGTTCCAGGAGTATGCGGGGAAGCTGTCCTTGTCCGAGCAGGTCGACCCGGATCGACACCTGAGGCGCAAACAGACGTCTCCGCCTTTGCCAGATAACAAACACTTGGGGAGTTGCCTCACAGAAACTCCAGCCTTCACTAGACGAGGCGCCTCTTTTTGGATTTTGCTCTGCTGCGTTTTTTGGCCTCCAGTCTCATTCTCATTTCTCTGTTTATATCCAATACGCCTCATTCTTCAGGGTCTTGCCACCCCTGAGCGCGACCGGACGTGTCGGTTGCCAACCTCCCAAACGCTGAATATTGATCAGCGCCCGCAGCTCCCCCAAGCTTGATGTGAAGCATGGCACCCATGTCCAAACACTCCCATTCAGAACGGCGGTCAAGATCCCAACCCAAATCATCCCTCAAATCCTCGCACAGCGCAATAGATTCTCCCGAAGGCCCGCCAATGAAGAAGCGCAAGTACGTTCCTGGAGGTCCCGGAGGAGGAGGAAGATTCATCGAGGTCGAAGTCTCTCACGATACCACACCGAAAAAGAAAATGAGCACTCCTCGCCGTCCTTCCTCAAGTGCGCGTAGTCGCCCCGTGCGCGAGAGTGAAGAAGCAACCTTTGCCCCTCCACCACCACCCCCTGTGCCGACAACACCACCTTCCGCTCGTCCCAGGCGCGACAAGCGAGAAAACCGAGGTCGTTTCACATCATCAACAGCCGCAGCTTTGGCGCTACAACAAGGAGACGGATACAAGCCGCGCGAGGAACGGGGTTGGGAGGAGTTCCATCCAGATTTGGACATCGATGGCAAGCTGGCAGTCTTCACAGCCGAGGAGGTGGACACAGTTGACACTGCTGGCGCGTTGACCGTGGATACAGTCTCTCCCCTTATCCAAGATGGGTTGAGAACGCCTTCCCTGTATTCTTCCGACGTGGCCTCGCCGGTTCCCTTCAAGCGCAAGCCTGGACGACCTCCACGTCGGCCGGAGGCGATACTGAATGCTTTGCTTGCACAACAAGGGCCTAAGGTGATACCGCCACCAGGTCCAAACCCCCGGGAGAAGCTGACGCTTCCAAAACCATCATTCCGATTGAAAGACCCATTTACCTTCTACGAAAAGAAGGGAGTTGGCCAGCAGAACTATGTCGATCGGACAATGGCCAGTGTTGGATACCAAGAAAGTGATCTGTTCCTTCGCCATGACCGACGCTTCATCCGGATGACTGAGGGCGCTCAAGAGGACGATATGGATGTGATTCAGCCCGTTGCGACGGACGGGGATATCAATGCAACCACCGGGCGAGTAGAATATGATATGGACGAGCAAGATGAGAAATGGCTGGATGATCTCAACTCCAAGCGCCGACAGGATCAGCTTGAGCCTATAAAACCGGCCATTTTTGAAATCACCATGACCAAGATCGAGAAGGAGTGGCATGCTCTTGAGAAGCGGATCCCGAAACCTAACCCTAAGCCACCCCAGACTCAAAGACCGCGGTCTAGCTCTGCGGCCGCGGTGAATGGCGAAACAGTTGGCCCTGGAGAAGATCAAGATAGCAAGTGTGCTATCTGCGATGATGGCGATTGTGAAAACTCCAATGCGATTGTCTTCTGCGACGGGTGCGACCTGGCGGTTCACCAGGAGTGCTATGGTGTTCCTTTTATCCCAGAAGGTCAATGGTTATGCCGCAAGTGCCAGCTCCTTGGTCGAGGCACAACAAACTGCATCTTTTGTCCCAACACCGAGGGCGCATTCAAACAAACCACTTCTTCCAAATGGGCCCATTTACTTTGCTCAATTTGGATCCCAGAAGTTTCGATTGGTAATCCGTCTTTGATGGAGCCGGTCACCGATGTGGAAAAAGTGCCTCGCGGTCGTTGGAAACTGATTTGTTATATCTGCAAGCAAAGGATGGGGGCATCAATTCAATGCAGTAACAAGAATTGCTTTGTTGCATTCCATGTGTCGTGCGCCCGCCGAGCTCAGCTTTATCTGAAGATGAAGATTGGCCACGGGCTCATGGATTCGCATCTTCTCAAAGCCTTCTGTGATAAACATGTTCCCCCTGACTGGCGACTGGAGCATGGCACGGATGCCGCCACTGCTGATGCGATCGAATACTACCGGAATACCATGCAGGGTAGACGGTGGGGCGATAGTCAGGCGGCGGCGCTCTCCCTGGGGCCTTCACACGCCGAAGAAGGCGAGGAGGAGCGTACCCATACCCCTCGTATAACTCTAACAGTTGGTGGAAATAAGCGAAAGCGAACGCAAAGGACAATTTGGAAATTGCCATCTGGTGCGCCCGTCATTCCACAGGTAGTTTTGAACTCGGTCGTCGCAGCACTTGGAAGATTTACTGTCCGCGGCCGCAAGCAATATGCGGAGGAAGCATGCAAGTACTGGACGCTCAAGCGGGAGGCACGACGTGGAGCCGCCCTCTTGAAGCGGCTGCAGCTGCAGCTGGAAACCTTCTCTTCCATGGAGATGACACGACGGGACTACGTGGCGATGGGCGTGACTGGTCACAAACGCCTCCAGCGCCGCATCGAGTTCGGCGAACGGCTCTACAAGGACCTCGACCGACTACGCATGCTGTGCGATGAGGTGAAAAAGCGGGAGAAGGAGAAGCTGAAAGATGCCGAGATGCTCCGCAGCATCGTTGATCTTGTCTACTTCCCCATTTTCCCATTACTCTGGCCAATATTTGAGAAGGCTCAAGTGTAAGATTCCTTGTTCCTCGATTCTGGCGGACTAAGCTAACCTCGATTCAGACTGGATAGTAAAGCTGCTTTCGCGCCGGGGATGCTATCAATCCGCAAGCGACTTGAAGAACGTTTCTACCCGTCGGTTGCATCCTTCTCTGCTGACCTGGCCAGCCTGTTCACATCGGAGATTGGGGTCGCCCCTGCCGGTGACACTGCGGCGCTTCAGGAACAGATTAGCGGACGGGCCCCAGAGCTCAGTCTTGAACAGCGTGAAAAACGAAAGCTGGCCAAGCGAATCATCAAAGCTATCCAGCCTGCATTGGAAGATGCAATTCGCAAGGAGAGCGAACTGAACCGCAAGCCATTTGAGAAGGAACTAAGAGATCTGGATGTAATCCTCGACCAGAGCGTCATGTCTCGTCGCGACTCTATCGAGTTTGAAGGAGATGTCGAGCTTGACGCCGGTCCCCCCGAGCCCAAAGCCGAGCCCATGGAGGGGGTGGAAACAACCTATGACGTTAGCGAGGTTCACGCTGAGTCCCAGTCTGTTAAAGGAACGGAAAATCAGTCAGTGGTCGTTCCTGAAGAGGGTTTCGATGAGGAAACAGCCCCTGTCGATGAGATCAATCCGAATATCAACACGGCCTATCGACGACACCCCACCCCCATCCTCAGCGAAGAGGACCAGCAATTACCTCTAGCACAGGGTGGTATCCAGTGGTATATGCAGTCTTTCGACCCCATTGGGACTACCATCCATGAGGAGCGCTGGACGGGACGGGATGTAATGCGCGGCATGAGTGAAGAGCTGAGCGAATTGGACGAGGACGAACTGAAGGACCTGGTGGCTGATGAACAGGACCAAGATCCTGCCCATGCGTTGGCGAATGGGAACAACGCGCAGAATGGGAACCGCCGGACTCGTCGCGGACGCTTCAAGTAATTGTCTTTCTCTTCTCTTCACAGATGATTCTTTTTTAATGAGCTAGCACCAGGCGCAGGCAGGCGTTTTCGAGGGTTGTTCTTGGATTCTGTAGGATATGGTATAGTTTAATCAGAGGCAAGAATGCCAGTTTTTTCCAATTCTCTGAGCTCTCCAAATGATAGTAGATCGACGAACATGATCATGTCTAGAAGGCTAGACGCGTGTATGCCATGTATTCCATCAATATATACCCGTCGAGGGGTGCACAATACCTGTAGACGTGCACCGATGCCGTACCTTTGGTAGGTGAACCCGCCCAGAAAGTACCTGCTGGGACATGCGGTGGGTGTATGTCGCATGTTTGTGCTGCACGCCTTGGCGCCTTGCTTTGTTGCTGTCTTACACACTCATTCCCTGCCCAATCTTCTTTTTCCACATCCTACAACCTTTGTTCCGTTTGTCCTCTTCTTTTAATTATTTTCGAATAAAACATTCTGAGTTTGCTCGGGTCTTTTTCCTTTGCTCTGATCTCGTGTGTTTGTGGCCCTCCATTGCACTCGGGTGTGTTGTTCCCTTCCGGAGCCTAGCGCCCGCTTCTTATCAGCTCTGATTTCTCTTCCTTCCTCCTTCCTCCTCCCATCCATCTTTTGCCTCCAATCATCATGGCTGATTACGACAACGACAACGGCCGCTACGCCGGTAAGTTTGGTCCTTTCTGCTTTCCGTGCTCCTTCTGATTCGATGATCTGGTGGTCGTGTAGATGAACCCCGGTATGACCGCGACCGCAGCGCCTCGCCTCGCGATGAGCCTCGCGGCGGCGACCGTGCTCGCAGCCGCTCCCCCAACGGCCGGTCTGAGGAAAGGTATGTATCAACCATCAATCCATCAATCGACTCGAGCTTGCGATCTGACGAGGTCGTCAGACCTTCTGCCATCCGCAAGCCCCTGGACGACGATGAGGAGGGCGCCCTCAACAGCGGCTCCAACCTGTTCGTCACTGGCATCCACCCACGTCTGACCGAGTCCGACATCTCGCGTCTCTTTGAAAAATACGGTGATGTTGACAACTGCTCCATCATGCTGGACCCCCACACCAAGGAGTCCCGTGGCTTCGGTTTCGTCAACATGAGCACTGCCGAGCAGGCCGACGCGGCCAAGGAGGGTCTCCAGGGTGAGGTCATCGAAGGCCGCACTCTCAGCATCGAGAAGGCCCGTCGTAGCCGTCCCCGTACCCCTACCCCTGGCAAATATTTCGGTCCCCCCAAGCGTGGTAAGTGGCTTCGTTCTATCCTGTAGCGGCTCTTTTGGATTTCTCACTGATGATTCCAATTCGCAGATGGCGGCCGTGGCCCACCCCGTCGTGGAGATCGCTATGATGACCGCCGTGGCCCTACTGGCGGCGGCGGTAACTGGCGCCGTCGTGATGATGACTACTACCGCTACGGCCGTTACGACTCCTACAACGAGCGCCGCGACTACGGCCGCGACTATGGCCGTGGTGGTGACTACCGTCGGGACTACGGTGGCCGTGATTACCGCCGCGACTCCCGTGACGACTATGGTGGTTACCGTGGTGGCGGCAGCGCTGGTGGTCCCGACCGTTATAGCGACCGCTACAGCCGCGACGACCGCGGTGGCCGCGAGGATCGCCGCGCTGGTGCCAGCGGTGGTGGCGATGAGTCTCGTGGTGGTGGTGCCAGCGGTGGCAACGGCAGCTACTATGACCGCGACGCCAACCCTCCCAGCTACGAAGCGGCCCCTCCCCGTGAGCCTCGTGAGCCGTACTCCGGCCAAGGCGGCCGTTCTTATGAGGGCCGTGGTGAAGAGCGCTACGGCAGCAGGTAATGTATTCCCCCTTTGCACACGAAAAGAGAGCATCGGTCGTTGATGTCTCTCTTTTCTCATGGCTGAATGTACCCTTGCCCAAATCCCTCGAGCCCTTTTACTTTTCCAACCCCCTTTCCCCTCCGTCATTTTTTTTCCCTTTCTCAGATTGTTTTAATGCGGGATTTGAGCGACGGGCTCCGGGCGTCGTTGTCTTTTTGTGTCCTTTTTTTTGCTTTTCTTTTCCACGTCACGTTTCAAACGATCATTCGGAGCGCCATCGGCCTGCTGCGACCGACTCGGCAACAAAATCGGTCATTCTTGTCGTCACCTCGGTCGCAAAAATGATGTGTCTTTTTTCTGTCTGTTCGCGACGCAACTCGGGAATCTCTAGCGGCAAGGAAGAAAACAATTATCGCTGTAATTCGGTTGTCTCTTGGGTCAGCACCTTCGGTCAAAACTGTTCGCCTTATGCACAACACACTCTCCAGTAACGGCTCGGTTGTATTCGACAAAGTTCTCTAAAATGTCGCCCTATTCATCCTTCATCTTTTCATCACCTGTTCGCCCTCTTCTGTTTCGCCAAGGCCGTCGTCTTCGCGCTTGTAGTATCGCCCGTGTTAATTCTACAGGCGAATCTCCCCTCCCTTTCCCTTCGTTCTCTCTCACTTAATATCCGATAATCTTCCGGGGTATTATACTTCTTAGGAATTTCTTGAAAGGTAAGATGTTTTTGCGAGAGCTGACCTGGTCAGCATTACAAACTGCAACATCACCTCCCCTCGAATTTTTGGATCTCTTTTCATTCTTGGCCGTCGAAGTACACGCACAAATTTCACTCTTTCCATGAGCTGGCCCAGCAAGCCAAGTCACCAACACAGGGCTCCCTACTTACTCTTCTTAGGAGCTGTGACCTACCGAGATGGGCTGAACCTTGATGGACCGTTATTGGGAGACTATTACTTTTATCTCCACTCAGCTACGTTTCGGCCTGTTTTTCTCTTCCTTCCTTTCTTCTGGATGGCGACTTTGACTGTGTACAAAAGCATGTTATATTGAGCTGCTGGGACACCTACTGCGACACCTCGTAACGTTCTAAATAGAATCCCGACTGTGGGCAAGGTCCACTTGTACAACAGTTGATAACGTATAGCTAAGTTAAATATCTGAAATTGAGGCAAAAATGCCGGTTCCATTGCATCTTTGCATTTTCCGTCGGCCATGGAATCGGCGGACTATATCTGTTTGTCTTGGCTGTCTATGGATTATTGCTCCGGAATTCTGAATAGACCAGCCCATTCGACAGTGTCTATTCAGTCTTCTGCTTTAATTGTCTTCTCTTTTAACCAAATCTTACTGCAGTCCGCTTGTTGACTTGGATAACCCACGGAGAGGTAAAAAAAAGCGCCAAAATTCATCGAGAGTGCGAGGCGATAAAAGAAATTCTGTATCCAATATCCATAGAAATTGTTGTACGGGGCCTTGAGCAAGTAAAGAGCCTTCGATCATAGGAATGCACGCTTCGTTCTACATTCCTACTGTCGGATATATACAGGGCAATAAAAGCACATTTCACGGTAATTTCTGGCAAATTGACAGATATTATAGGGCCTGAGATCGTAACAAAACTAAAGGCGGATCAAGAACAACATCCCAGCGAGTACTCTGCTGAATCGAGGGCCATTGCTTCATAGATCAGGTTATGCTATCACGTTCAAAGGTGCAGCAAAAGAGCAGTATGATACACCATCTGGTCTGCCAGAGCACAGATGGCTCGCTTAAGGAAACACCGGTAGACAAACCAGGCAGTTCCTGGGACAAATAATAGGGGGTATCACACAAGAAGGATTGTGTAGCTCGGGTCTCTGGCGAAAGGCCCCGAAATCTGCGGCAGCTTATTTGAAGTCCTGGCCGAGACCGCGTAGACCGATTCTTACCAGAGAAAACGAAGCAACACTTCATAGCGCCTGTAGACGCTGTGGGGGAGGGAGGGGGTAATAACCAAATCCTGCCTTCATTGTCTGAGCCCTTCTATTCCGACTCTTTCTTCACTTCACCCTCCATTTCGTTACTCTTCTGGATCAAGAACTCTCCCAGCACTCGTAGAGGATTGGCGGGCCTAGAAAACAAAGTCTGTTAGAGGGCTTCATCCATAAGAGCATATGGATGGTGTTGCCACTCACTGGTCTCGCGCAACAGACTTCATCCCTTCAAGCAGATATGGAACGATCTTGTCGTTGAGATATACCCGCGCTGGGGCACCTCCCGGGCGGACCTGAGTGGCAGAAGCACTGGAAAGGTCTGCCATCGGGGTATTTGTGCCACCGTTGGCATCGGCCATTGTGGTACTTGGTTTCGGAAGCGAAGCAGCGGAGTCAACGGGCGGAGGAGCTGGCGGAGCTGCGAGCGCAGGTGGTTCCGCGGCAGAAGAAGCGGACGGTGGCTGGATAGAAGCGAACAGAGGGAATCAGGAGGAAATTCGGTAAGGCTCAATTGGGACCAGAACGTTCAAGGAAGTCCCAGAGAGATAGGGCGGCTTTGGGTCTCCGGATCAAGGTTGCGCAAAGCGGAGCTGTGGAGCTGCCAGAAGCTCCTTCCCGCCGCGAGGGTGTATGGAGGGGAGGGCCGGTCTTACCGGTGCGTCAGCCATGTTACAGCAGGTGAAACTCAAGTAGGCGGGCCGAGGATTCTGACGGATGAGGTACACCCTCTCTTCATTTGCTTGCCCATCGCGACTCCTTGTAGCCTATCTCGCCAGGCGCGACCCCAAGTCACATGTCACAGAGACTGCAAACATGCCAAACCTTCCGATTAGGCAGTATTGAGCACGTGATCTCGTGTTTCTCGCGAGTGATGAACACGCGAGGGCGACAGGACGGCGTGGAGAGCCGGAGTTGCGAAATCTCGAGACGACCCATGGCCGCATCCTAGCATGTCACTCCTGCACTACTGGGAAACACAGCGCTCTGCAAAACGTCGGAAGACATCTGGTCAAGATTCGGATGTCGACTGCAAGGCGAGCGAGAAGCAGCCGTCAAGCCCAAGTCCCTCTACAGGAGTCGGGGATACGCCTGTGGCCGAGGAGCCGGAGGCACACATCCTCAGCAGTCAAACCGAGTTGGAAACATCCCTGCCAGTAATTGAGACGAATGAGGATGCCATCCGGAAGTATGAATCGTTTCAGGCAGAGCAAGATGTCGAGTCTGAGCCTGGACTGCACGTAAGACTGCGGGATGGTGTCTGGCAAAAGGGCAAGAGTTCCATCTATGTGGATGCATTCAATCTGGCACTAGAGACGGTGTTAGATGAGGAGTCACATCTTTTTGACCAGACTGAACTGGAGGTGTTCAATCAATGGAAGGAGATGCCCTACGAGTCGCAATACCTGTATGTCGTCTGATAGTCCTGCATTGCGACTTGACAAGCTAACGTTTGACCCTTCATAGATATGTACGGCTGTTTCTTCGCAAAACCTCCGCTTGGCATCGCACCAGTCGATTAGGTTATTACTCCGATATCTCAGATTTGTCGGCAGTGGCTGCAGATCTCCAACGAGACCGCGTGCTGGCAAAAATTGAAGAAAAAAGGAGCATCCAAGTGAATTGGGGGCTGCTGGCACCTTCAGATTTGCTGATGGTTTCCAGGAGATCACCACGCTAGAAGAAGCCTCGTCTCTCCTGTTGCTCGATGAATTGAAGGGATTTGCCAAAGAAGCCAAAGTCCAAGGCAAGAACAAGAAAGAACTGCTGGCAGCCCTGTGCGAGGCCAGTCAAAGCCAAATGGGGCTTGGATTCCAGGAGCAAAAACATGCCAATAAAGCTACTAGCAGAGAGAGCCATGTCCTAGAGAAGATTTTGGATCACACAGGCGAATGCATACGTCTCTCGCCGTTCCCTCGGGCTCTCTTCGAGCGTGTGCATTTGGTCTTCTATCGATCGACAGAGTGGACGGAAAAGTCGCTGACCACCATTATTCTAGCTAAGATATCGCGAAGAAACTTCCCACAGTACATAGTCTGTCGATCTAATTCTATTTTCCCCTCCAGAGCCGCGCTCTTGGAGTTTGAAGCCGCGATACGGACGCAGTTCGATATCGACAATATTCTCGAGTTTAATGGTCCTCCAACCACGGAATCATTGCAAGAAATCATTGATCTGGCGGACAAATATTATCCTCGATGGCAACGGCTGGTGGGGGAAGAGCAACAAAAAGAGAAAACCTTATATGAGATCGGCGAAGGCGCTTATCTTCGTCGCTTTTCGCCTGCCTGGGTGTACACGAGGATTATCCACAAGAGTCTTCAGCCACTAGGTCGATTTAAGGAGCATAAACGAGAACATGATCTTCTGTGCGAGCTCCTCGCCCAGCGAATGTTTCATGCTTCCCGCCGTGGCGCTTGGTATCAAAGAAAGGCTCTGCTGGAAGAACACTATATGTGGGCGTTGATGCCGTCTGAAGGTCGTAGCGAAGACAAGCAGCGCAAATTCTGGAAACGAGTGGCACTGCGAACGTGCGAAGAAGGGCTGGAAGATCCTCTCTGCCACCTGATTTACCATTATGATCTTCAGAAACGAGTTGTCAAGCTTGAGAAGGCGCTCAAAGTGGTCAAAAGAGAGCAGCATGATTTTGGGCATGTTATGCTGACCAAACCGGCCGAGCGAACCATTGAAGGAATCCGAATTGAACGTGATGAGGATCCCAAGAAAGGCAAGGCCACGATCTGGATTGATGAAAGGGAGGGTGGTGAATGTCGTGTTGAAAGCATGTGTCTGAGTTGGTATCGTGACCATGGCTGGAAGGGATATCATTCGGAAGGTGGCATTGTGCGAACGCTCGTGAGTACCGACTGGATCAACGGGTTCAAATGCAGGTTCTAACATCCTTGAACAGTTTGGCCTCCTATTCTATGATATCCTGTTCACCTATGTTCCAAATGTCTTCCAGACTCCGTTCCAAACCTGTCCCTTGGACCTACATACTGACGTATTCTACCTATCTCGGGCATCGGAAATCAATCATCGACTGGTGGAGATTACGAACGGCGATGCTGAGCGCATCATCCGCGAGATCCATAGCCGTGAATCAGCTGCACAACCTTGTGCCATTGGCATCGACTGGTCCTTTGAGCCAGACGATCTCATTGAGATTGTGCAATGCTTTCGTGGCGAGGCTCTTGCAACCATCTGCAAGGTCATGGCCCAGGAATATCAGCAACGAGGTGGAGGTATCCCTGACTTGTTTCTCTGGAATTCAGAAAAGCAGACCGTCATGTTTGCCGAGGTCAAGTCCGAGAACGATCGCCTTAGTGATACCCAGCGACTATGGATTCATATCCTACTTGGAGCTGGAGTCCATGTTGAGCTATGCAATGCAGTCGCGAGGGAGGTAAGGGCGGATTGAAGTCACGACATCGGAGTTATTTGTAAATCTGTACATGGCTATGGTCTCCTTGGTTGATCATGTTAATGAGTAAAGAATCTGTACTCCATGAATTGTCTGTATAATCGAAAATTGGCTTGAAGCAAAACTGTCAATTACGCTACGAAAGCTTATTCAAGCAATTTTGTAAGAATTGAAACATGGGTATAACTCGTAATAGTTCTTTTTTTAATGGGCATATCTACCACAGATGAAAGAAGACCCGAACACATTGTGTCGGTAAAAGGGTTTCCTTTACATCTCCATCCCAATCGCCAAATAACCACGCCTTTGCTTATGCGACAAGGGTGGAGGCGGTGGCGCTCTCGTAGCGCCAGGTGGGGGGCAGGACACCGACGGTCTTGTAGTAGCGAGACAGACGGTGGATGCGGGACTCGATCAGAATCAGGCGGAACTTGGAGTCCTTGTCCTTGCGGTTGCGCTCGAGGTGCTTGCGGACAGCGACGGCCTATTAAAATACATGTTAGCCAAGAATGGCAGTGGAAGGCCAAGGGATGAAGGTGAAAATTTTCACAGCACATACCTTCTTGATCAGGAAGTAGAGGTCCTCGGGAAGCTCGGGAGCGAGGCCTGTAAGTCCAAAAATCTCTCTGTCAGTTCATGTGGACCAAGCAGAGGCTTAGATGCTGGTGCATTTCTGCAACCAGTTTTGTGTGTTCGGAGAAGATCAAGTTTTCGCGCTGAGAAATCCACCCCGGAATAGAGATTCGGTGTACGGATTATTTCCCACGCAGCGGCACTCTTTCTTCATCCGATTGAAGGGATCAGGGGATTGGCGATTGGAGTCGTACCGTTGGACTTCAGGATACGGAGGATCTTGTTACCTATGCACACAAAAATCATTAGCGCTCAATTTCTCCGACCAACCCAACTTCATGTTTTTTCTTAGGAGAATGAATCATACCGGTCACGATCTTGACCTGGGCAACACCGTGGGAGTCACGGAGGACAACACCGATCTGGGAGGGGGTGGCACCCTTCTTGGCCAGCTTGCAGATGTGGTCGACAACCTGGTCGGGAGTGGTCTTGAGCCAGGCGGGAGCGGCGCGAGAGTAGGGGAGCGCAGAGGACGAAATGCCCTTGCCCTTGGAGTGAAGACGACCCATTTTTGCTGAAGATGTCCGGCGACGGGATGCTGGTCGGAGTTGTCGAGGTGGATGGGAAAATTCGAGGTGGAGATGGTTGGTCGGCGACGGGTGGAAAGACTGTGTGGGTCACGTGGCCTTCGCTTATTTTTCCGGCAAGATTTTCTTCGCGCCGGAGCCACTCTTTCCAACCTCCTTGATAAACACAACAAGACAAAGAATTTTGCCTTTTGGTACCCTGCCTGCATTCATGTTTGTTCGGCAGGCGTCTCAATGCCAATCTTCATCGTCAAGTACGATCTTTCTCGACTAGCGCAGTTTTGGGCAGATTGCCACTTATTCCGGTCAGTTTAACACCTCCCTATGTCACCACTCGCACGATATGATGAAAAAACACTTTATTACTTTTTTCTGGTACCTCTTATGTCAGAGGGCGTGTCTTCGGATACGTCTTCGATGATCTAAATGGACTTCTGATCCCTTCATTTCCACTGCTATATGAATTCATTCATATTGAGAAGCCGTCGTACTGACTGTATTCTAGGCCGGTTCAATATATTGCTATATGGATTTGCATGCATAAGATAGAATGTAAATAGAATCCCAATGAACAAATCATTTGCTCTTTGCAATGCCATTTTTGATCTTATCCTTATCTATCTGTAAATACACATGTTTGCTCTTTACTATACATATACAGTTTAATGCTCCTAATAGAGTGATTTGTAGGCCAACTTTGGAGTCTCTCAACGACGTAGTCGTTTGGACGCTCTCCTTGTCTCTGTCGTTTGCGAGGCATGCATAATGCCATCGGGGGACTCTTTCCGTTTCTTCCCCCTGGATTTCTTTGTCTCAAGGGCAGCCTTGTCATCTTCGACTTTGATCTTGACATCCTGGGATTTGGTCAATACCGCCGCCGTTGTGACCTCAGTCTTGATTTGAAGGCCCGAGTCTTCTTCTTTCACAGATACATCAACTTTTTTTGTTGCCGCAAGCCGATCAGCAAAGGATCGCAGGTCTGCTGTAAAGAGGACACTGTGAGCCCAGCCTGCTTCCTGGCCCCAAAGCTTGCGGAAGTGATTGCCAACAGCATCGTAAGTTGCCTTTGTCAAGGATTTATGAGAGCCTTTGCCAAAACGGTAATCTCTTTGCGCGATTTGCCATACTGCTCCCTATTAGACTAGCACCGTGTGGTGATATGATATGGGAGGGCTTACCATGAGTATCAACTGGCACAGACTCACCCCAGCCGAGACCCATCAGACAGACACAATCTGCTACCTTGGGTCCGACTCCCTGCAGTTCAAGCAGACTCTCATGCGCTTCACGATATCCTTGTCGCCCTTCTGGTTTCATTTCATCACCGATTCTGGGTTCTACACCAAATGCCGGGGACTCGGGATTGGAAAGACCATCAAGCCATCCATTCTTCCGCTCCTCTGAAATCATGACGGCTGTCCGATAGATATACCGGGCTCGGTATCCAAATCCCAAGCTGCGAAGGTTGCTTTCCACATCCTTACCAGCCAAGGCCTCCGGAGTAGGAAAATCATGGTATGAGCGCTCTCCAATTTTCCCAACAAATGGGCCATAATTGATGCACAATTTTTCTACCATCTGGGATATCCGAGAAATATTATTGTTGCTGCTGCAGATGAATGAAACCAACGCCTCCCAGGCATCTTGGCGCAGTATCCGGATCCCAGTGAACTGAGAAGCCTTCTTCTTGAAATTGGGGTCTTGTGCAGACCATTGGGTATAAAGACCAGTGAGATTGGTTGATAGAGCAAGATAGTGTTTTATGATTTGTAGGAGGCGATCATCTGAAAGGCTTTGGATGTGCGCCTTGCCCTTGCTCAAATCGAACTCGGTATTAGATTCTGCGCGTGAAGGCACTTCTGAGGTTGGAGGAGTTGGAAGGAGCACAGAAGGTGATGATTGATAGGATCGATAATAGAGGTAGCTGGAATCTTGTTTAAGAGACAAAAGATGCCCATAAAGCACACATCGCCATTCTTCACTTTCAGGGATATTTTGCCATCTACAAGGAGTGAGCACAGGTCGTAACAAAAAATTGGTGCGACTCACCTAAAAGACTGACCACATCGCAGCGTTGTATTGATGCACAGTTCATTCAAGCTCAGAGGTAGCTTACGCCATTCTGAAAAGGCACCAGCCATGTTTGTTGTAATGTTGTCAATTGAGTTGCGATCGAAAGATCCAAATGATATTCCGATAAGCAGATTCTGCCAGTGATTCCAAATTTGGTAGGCGGTATGGCTATTACCGCTCCCTGCAGGAGCTTCCAGTTTTCCCCTTCGCTGAGGTACCAGCGAGAGAAGTTAGTCACTCCCCAAGCCCAACATGAACGGTGACACATATTCCTCCAGAGGTAAGCCATCAAAGGTTCCCTTGAAGCTCTGATTCTAATGATTTCAGACTCTGGACGTTCGCGTGATCACTACGTAAGTACCAACTTTGCAGTTCCGTATGGCTGCGACTAACTTATTTCAGCGCGACGAGCGACGTGATCGCGATCGGGGTGAGAGGGGTGGCGATCGACCTGAAAGAGGAGAGCGACGCCGGTCTCGCTCACCTCACTACGGCTCACGGGGCTCGCGCCGCGAACAGGAGCCCAATTCCTACTCCTCGAGCCGAGATTACCGCGCTCGCGAGCGTGAGGATCGCTACTCCAGTCGTCGGGACGACCGCGAATGGGACCGAGACCGTGGAGATCGTGGAGACCGGGGTGAGCGTGCTGGAGGGGAGCGTGCTGGAGGGGAGCGCGCTGGAGGGGAGCGCGCTGGAGGGGACCGTGGTGATCGCCGTCGCCGAGACTTTGATGACAGACCACGACGGGACCTCTTCGACGAGAGACCTCGACGTGGCGGCCGCGATGATCGTCGGGAACGCGACAACGAGCGTGCTGCAGGTGGTGGCGATAGAAGAGATCGAGCCAAGCGGAGCGCTTCTCCCCCGCGGAAGAAGGAGCCTACCCCAGATTTGACCGATGTTCCGTCGGTATTGGAACGCAAGCGTCGCCTCACACAATGGGACATTAAGCCTCCGGGATACGAGAATGTGACTGCTGAGCAGGCCAAGCTTTCGGGCATGTTTCCTCTGCCGGGAGCTCCCCGCCAGCAGCCAATGGATCCCAGCCGTCTGCAGGCTTTCATGAACCAGCCTGCTGGCTCGACTGAGAACACTGCCCTCAAGCCATCCAACTCTCGTCAATCAAAGCGTCTCTTTGCATACAACGTTCCCCCGGGCGCGACTGGGGATAATATTATGTCATTCTTCAATCTCCAGCTGAATGGCCTCAATGTCATTCACAGCGTCGACCCCTGCATTTCCGCCCAGCTTTCTGAAGACCAGACGTTTGCCCTTTTGGAATTCAAGTCACCAAATGATGCGACGGTTGCCCTGGCTTTTGACGGTATCACCATGGCAGATAGTGGGGACAAGGGACTGGAGATCCGACGACCTAAGGATTACATTGTTCCCAACGGAAGCGCTGATCAGGAGTACCAGGAAGGCGTGCTCCTAAACGAGGTGCCGGATTCACCGAACAAGATTTGCGTCTCCAACATTCCAGCTTATATTCCGGAGGAGCCTGTGACAATGCTGCTCAAGTCCTTCGGCGAACTAAAATCGTTTGTTTTGGTCAAGGATGCATCGACCGAGGAGTCCCGGGTAAGCTTGTTTCTGACATCGTTTTTATTCTGATTATCACTAACTCATAAAAAGGGTATCGCCTTCTGCGAGTATGCTGATCCCAACGCCACGCCCATCGCCGTCGAAGGCCTCAATGGTATGGAATTGGGTGATCGCCACCTTAAGGTATCCCGTGCCAGTATTGGAACTACCCAAGCTGCTGGTCTGGACATGGGTGTCAATGCCATGTCGATGTTCGCCAAAACTACCTCTCAGGATATGGAGGCTGGTCGTGTGTTGCAGCTTCTGAACATGGTGACCGTGGATGAGCTACTTGATAACGATGACTACGAGGAGATTTGTGAGGATGTGTCCGAGGAATGCGCCAAGTTTGGACAGGTCCTGAGCTTGAAGATTCCTCGCCCCTCCAGCAGCAGCCGTCAGTCGCCTGGTGTCGGCAAGATCTACGTCAAATTCATCGATGAGCAGTCCGCCACTAGTGCTCTCAAAGCGCTCGCCGGCCGCAAATTCTCGGACCGCACTGTTGTGGTCTCCTACTTCGGAGAGGAGAACTTTGACGTGGATGCTTGGTAAAGCCAATGACCTTTGATTTTCTTACTGGTTTCTTTCTATTATTCCTCTTTTCTTTCAGCAGAAGGAGTCCAATTGTACCATAGCAACTAGGGCCATATTTACCTGGTCATGATGGCTTTCTTTTTTCAAAAATTGCCTTGAAATGTAATGCCTCGGCGTTCCTTGGTTATAGTGACATCCTCTTCACCGTTATTAAACAACCGGCTTGTACTTAAACAACCAGATATCGTAGCCAAACAGCAACAGACTTTCGAAGCAACGAGGACAGTGCGGTATCCCAAACACTACATGTCAATGTGAGCAAGTCCCATGCTGAGCGTATTGAAGAGGGAAACCCCATGTAAATGACTATCACTAATCAGTACTAAACCTGAGTGAGATTGTCAATCCCTGATTAAGGACCATTCGCTACAAAATGTTTCATCAAACCTAAAAAGCGTAGCATGATGAGGCATGCGATTTCTTTCGTGAATTCTTAGGACTGGGCTTTCATTTAAGCCGAAACCTGAGCAGAAATTGACTTTGAAAGTAATCAACATTCCCTCTGGAGAGTATCTGTACATCTATATGGACTTAATTTTAAATACAATAACTTATTTTTGAGCTAGAATGCGGCTCGCGGCCGCCTCAGCAATAACCATGATGGTGGCCTGGATGTTACCGGTTGGGAGGTCAGGGTGAATGCTGCCGTCCACAACGTACTATGGTAGGTGGGTAAGTATTTGCCGTTGATTGCTGATACAATATATTGAAACTCACCAGGTTATCCATTCCGTACACCTTGGTGTTGGTGTCAACGACAGAGGTACCGTTGTTGCGGCCATCGTCAATACCCATCTTAGCAGAGCTGGCGTAGTGGTCACCGGTAGTCAAAGAGGCAATGACAGCGGAGGTATTGAGGTTAGTTATCAATTCAAACCCGTCATCAGAGCGAATATTCTCAAGGAAGCCTTGAACAAAGTTGCGGGCGGCGAGACGGTCATCGGCAGTCTGCAGGTATGGCGACTTCTCGATAACAGTGTTTTGCTTCGAGTCCAGGCCCAGAATACCAGAAGAAGTAAGACCGTGAGTCATGTAGGCCGTAATCTCAAGGACGGAATCCGCCTGGGGTGCACATGAACCCTGGTAGTAGCGAGTCTTGCCATGGAGCTCTTCCGAAGTGAAAAAGATCGCACGGTGCTTACCCTGGGTCAACAGTCCATCCTTATGTCTGTAGAGACTAATATCGGTCGTATCGCTTCCGTCAAGGATGCTGTCGTAGTCAGGGATGCCGTAATCACCGGGAGTCTTAGCATAAATCTTAAAGATAGGGTGATCCATTAGACCAACGCCTACAGGAAGGTTGATCCACTCCTGCTCTGGCGGGACATTGATGCCGCTCTTCTTGGCCGTCTCAATCTGCTTCTTGGGGCCAATTCCAGAGTTGAAAAGCAGACGGGGAGTAGAAAGAGCTCCAGCAGCGAGGACAACACGACCGTTAGGGGCAAGAGTAATGATCTCAGTCTTTCCAGTGGCTGTTTCGACCTCGACGCCAGTGACTTGGCTGCCAGAACGGACAACACGGAGCACCTTGGTTCCCAGACGCAGCGAGAATTTGTTGCTCTTCTGAGCTTCGGGTAGGTAGGTCCGGACGGGACCCGCACGCTTCTGGTCCTTGATGTTCCAAGATGGGTGGCTGTAGACCTTGTGCTTCTCGTTAGGCTGGGCAATCATATCGACGGCCTTCCAGCCAAGCTTGCTGAACAAGCCCTGAAGCGCAGTGTAGAGACCCTGGTCGTAACGCTTTCCATCGGCCGATGGCAAAACAGTACCCGGGTTACGCTCATACAGCCGGTCTGCAGCAGGCTTGAGGTCCTTCCACTTCCACCCCTCTGGCCAGTTCGTGTTATCATCAAAGTCGTGCTCGGGAGGGTGCACGAAAACCATATAGTTGACTGTCACTCCACCACCCAGCACACAGGCAGCATAACCGGCTGTGTCGGTACACATATATTCATCCCAGACGTCAAGGGAGCCGACGTCGGCTGACAATCCAGGAAGGTCAATGGAAGTCAAGTTGTCATCCCAAACGAGGGTTTCATTGGCCCCGGTAGCAACGGTTGGGCCAGTGCCTCTTTCCAAAAGCAGGACCTTCTTGCCAGCCTCGATAAACCGCTCGGCGGTGATGATGCCGGCAGGTCCGCCACCGACAACTATGTAGTCGTAGTGTCCATTCTTGAAGCTGGTGGCTGCGGCAAGACCGCTAACTGCCGCGATGAGGGCTGTCTGGCAGCCTGCTCGAAGGAACCGCATTCTGTCTGGAGATGCAAAAAAGTGGACAAATGGGGTCTAGAGTCTCGAAGGTTGTCTAGACCTCCGGATGCCGAGCATATTTAAGAATCTATTGCTGTCCAGGATATAGAGTGGCCTGTCTCAGGGAGTGGCTCGCCCGGGACCATGTTTTCAGATTGTGTCATGTCTTCTCCAGTCTAGTGCTCACCTTCCTTGTCAGGTTAGGGCCAGAGCTCTATAGTTCAAGATCTGCTTACAGGAGCATTGGAAATCTTCGCGCGACCCGCACTGATGGGCAGAGTCGAATGGGCCCCACTCTGAAGATGAGTCTACCCTCAGTAAGCAAGCCTTGAAACAAATGAACACTCCGGAAAACGTCCGTAATGCTGACGAAGAATGGACACTTCCGAAAACCCAGTAAAAACGACTGTCGCTTGGATCCAAAATCTACTTCTCCACCGTTGGGCCTTAGAATGTCGGTGCCGACGTCTCACCGGCTTCCCGAGCGGGTGAAATAGGGATTCTAATTCGCTTGGCCGTTCCGACAGACTTCTCTGCAGACCGTTGGATGTATTCCCAATCAGATTAATAGAGTGAAGATCGCTCCCGGAAATAGAAACGATCGCCGCTACTGTCGTTTAGTTCGATTCCCACTGGCCACGTTATCTGATTGAGATCATCAGAAGCGGCTGGCCTGGCTGGATGTTCGTTTACCCGACTGATCCTCGGACGGGCTGGCTTGATATATTCGATAGTCTTTTGACTAAAAGTTTGATGATGTAAAGCCCTAACGAGGGACGAGAGATAACTTGAATCACAATTCCCCAATGACATATTCGAGTAGATGCCGCTTGTTGTTTTGAATTCCCTGAAAGTCCTCTCCAATTGAACAAGCATTCTCCTTTTCAAATCAGTCTTCAGCATAGTCTCTTGGAGAAGTAATCGTATTTCCATCTTCAGGCAACTGAAGGAGCACATTGACCGTCTTTTTTACCACACGGACTTATGTGATAGGAGGGCGAGAAATTCAATTGGCCAGCTTTCGATATTACTAAAGACAAGGCCAGTCTAGAAGGATATGGTTGGAAATTAATTAGAGAGGTTTCAGAGTGCAACAGATAAATGAAGGAAGGAAGAAGTATCTTGAATATGCGTGAGTGAAGATGAGCGATGACCAATCGTATCCAGTTAGTTCCATGCAAGGTGGTGAATGTGTCAGGCAATCGACGGTGTGTATAAGAAGACAAATATTAATCGATATGTACAATGTAATAAAACAAATCAGCCTTGCTCTATCATGAAGATTTTTGCATCTGTAGAAAAAAAAAATTTCACATCAATCAGTTCCAACGAGGGGATGGAAGCAAAAGAAAAATAAATGTGTGGGGCGAACCGGGATTGAACCGGTGACCTCAGCATCTTCAGTGCTGCGCTCTCCCAACTGAGCTATCACCCCCTCGATAACAATTGCCCTAGAATTGTCAATATCAGGTTAAAGGATCAAACATAAGATCTATCCTAGCTCCCAATGTAGCAAAAAATGGATCGATAAATTTCTTTGGTGCAGCGGTGTATCAGAAGGGCTTCTGTATGGTATGAGATTTTGCTCATTCAGTGACTTCAGCGTCTTTGGTATATACTCTATTATTAAGTTGAGATAGATTCGGTTTAGAGGAGGATGTTATGGATAAAGTAGCGACAGAACAATTCAGTATAAACCGATAGGTAATTTGTCGCAATAGTGTAGACTGAAGATACGAAGATCATTAGATCCTCTCTAGTTTGCCTGTTGTCCACTCTTTTCTTATTGTATATTATTAAAAAGAAAATAGCCTCGTGTGACGTTCTCGAATATAAGAAGATGTGTAAAGTGCAATCTTTCATATGAAAGGAAAGAAAACCAACTATAGTTGGTTATTCTGTGGGTTTCACGAATCTTGAAAGATACGGATGAAAATGTTACTGTCGCAAGTGCAGAGTCCTATATCTAAATAAAAAATCACTTCACATGTAAGGGGTGATAGCTCAGTTGGGAGAGCGCAGCACTGAAGATGCTGAGGTCACCGGTTCAATCCCGGTTCGCCCCATCAAAATTTATCTTTTTTTCACTCTCTCGCAAGGAGAAGAAGAAGCATGATCCAACTTAGTCTTTCTTTATACCGTGATTGGCTCCTTCATTTTTACTATTGATTTTTTTGTACCGTTTTTTTCTACATTGTCTATTGATATTCAAGCCAGGATTCGGTTCAATTTTCTTTCTATATCTTGGGCCCTTAAAGACACGATTGCTCTGGCATATTTCTCTGAGTAAACTTTTGATTGTAGTGATCATGGTGTTTGGCATGAGGATCATAGTAGCCATGATTTGATTAGCCTGTCGGAAATAAATGATGATAACTATGCTTGTAGCCCACCTAATTCATAGGCATGTTGAATTAAATCCATTTGCGCGAATCTGACATCTCTAAATGTTGAATTTGTCCTCACTGAAGTCTGGCGCTTGAGTCTTGGAAGCGGCCCAACCTCTAGTAATTGATCAAGTCTCAGCGAGCTTACAGAGCTTTCATGAGTTTTCCGGATACATGTGATAGGGCATAAGAACTTTCTGCTCTATGGTCCAGCGCGGCGATATTTGTTGTCTGCAGCTCAAACAATATTTTAGGGCTTCATTTATTTTTTATCTCGGTTGGGATAATTTAGGCCTTGGCCCGGTACAGCGCGAGACTGTACAACTGTTTTTAAAACATGTGACTCAAATACCTTCTAGCTGCATATGTCGAATAACTTTGGCCTTTGGCGTGAAATTGCTATACGCTCCTGCCAATCATTTTGACTTCCTATTCGGAGGCCGAGGTGGGATATTGGATTAATTCAGCGGACATATTTTACAACTTTTTTAGTGATGGTAAGCCAGTTGCGGGTGAACTGTCTTATAGCCCCGCATGTGGGCCAGAATATGATACATTGGCCCATGCCCGCCAACCCTTATTTGATACAAAGTTAGTACCGGCCCAGCATGCCTTATATACGTAGGTCGGCTCATTCATAATGAAGGCCCCTGGAGGTAAGAGCACCACCAGATCCGTGTCAAAATGGACATGTTTATTGGAACTGGTGCCAGGGCCTGTGTGCTTGAAAGGAGGGCAAGGGGACTTGCTTTACCTTTCTGGTGCTAGATATCCAGGTAGGAGCCTCACAGCCAGCTCATGTCTACTTGTGAGTCGCGCCATTTATGGACATGGCCCCAATGGATGTGGACGGCAGGTGGGATATGGGGAAACCTTCTATTAAACTCTGAGGTCGAGTGCACGATATTTCCATGTGAGTGACGATAGCAACCTAGAGGACATTTGATGATAGTTGATCTAGTATCCTTGCCCTCCACCCTCTAGAACCGTTTTCATGCACTGTGTAGTCCACTGCCTTCTCTGTCCTGGGATTCCTCGAGTTCTAGACATTTCTCTCTATCACCATAAAACTTCTGATACTGGCATATCCTGTCACGTAGGGGTGTTCAGGGGTGAACTTGAGCAGCGTCCCGGTTTTTGCTCGCTCTCATATTTTCTGCCGCCGACATCTACAACCCGAGCGTTGAAATATATATATCTTCAAGTCTTAAATTATTTGATCGTTTAGTCCCAATTTCCCAGATAACTACCCATGAGAGAGAATATGCCCTCATGTAGAGAATAATATTATGTTTTCAAACATCCATGAGTTTTGGCAGTGCAATATGAAGCTTAAATTCATAAACCCATGTGCCAGGTAAAAAACGGGTATTATATTCTACTGAGATATGAAAATAAGTTTGTATAACGTCATCAAGTGGGGTGATAGCTCAGTTGGGAGAGCGCAGCACTGAAGATGCTGAGGTCACCGGTTCAATCCCGGTTCGCCCCATCAAAAACACTTTATTTTTGCCTATCTCCATCAAAAATCCTTACTTATTATATAGTTTTTGTCAAAACTCATTCATGCCCACCAAAGAAAGAGCAAAACGGGTCCATGTTTAACAACCCAGGTGTAGGCAATGGAAAAATGCTCCGCTGCGAAGATTCAAGGTAGGATTTTCCACTTCTAATTTCGCAAAGGGGTTTTTCATCTTCTTAAGCCCCTTTAAGCTTCATCGCTTCGCCGTTTATTATCGACACATCATTATCCACAATCGGCGGAGAAAAGTCATGCCTATGTACTCGGAGCACTCTGCGAATGGAATCCAATTCCACCAGCAGAGCGTCCATTATACACTGGAGATATAGCAACTTCAAGACAATCTCGTTTCTTCACATATGTCGGTTGAAGAAAATAGCCGGATATATTATCGGTGGCGTCGTGGTCACATCAGCAGCCACCGCACTATAGAAGCTAATTCAGAACAATTCTCACATAGCGAAAACAGCTTCCCTAGTACTAGGAGGCGGATCCCTACCATTAAAATCATCCCAAAAATGCCCGTAGCTCAAATATCAGTTGGCGATTCACAACAGTGCAAATGCTGCACGGGTTGAAGGTTTGTTGTATTACTCTGTGCCAAGGAAATTCCACGATCTGAAGTATTAAAAAGTCCGCAACAGGCTCTATATATTGCGACTCTGCCTCTACACAGAATCAGTCACCTAAAATATGAACTGAAGTTGTTCATCAAGGCGCCATTGAATGCATATGCATGCCATCGAGTGCCTGGCACAGGGTTTGCGATGTAACGAGGAGAATCAGATCAGCCATCATCAGTGCCCGCAAAAGAATTGCACTGTAAGAATTGCAATTTTGCCATGAAGTTAAGATCAGAATTGGAAAAAACCTCTGGCGTCAAGCGGTCCACAAAATGTTGATCACTAGGCTTGTTTAGTGTATTGGTGATACTCTAGAGAAGGAACAGCTTGGGTTCCATTTAAAACATATGCATGGTAGGATTTAGGTTTCTTGAGAGAAAGGATTATAATGTCAAGATTGGGGGCTATTTAACATCTACTGGGGTGATAGCTCAGTTGGGAGAGCGCAGCACTGAAGATGCTGAGGTCACCGGTTCAATCCCGGTTCGCCCCACTCGAATTTCTTTTTTCCCCCATTGTTATTCAACTTCGTATCCCCAGGTGTGAAGGGGAATGAATGGAAGATGAACATGGGCGGACACATGTTTTTGTTTTTGTACGTTCGTCTCAATTAAGGTAAGGTTACTATGTTGCACTCAATATTATTCACCTTGGCTATGTTTACTCCCGATGGAAATATCTACCGATCTTTCCTCTGATAATTCTCAATACAGAACGAAATCAATGCCATAAAAGACGCAATACAAGCTCGAAGTTACTTTCGCCATCCTGAATCTTGTCCCAAGACCTCAACTAGCTTCAACGATTCTACGGCCTCATCCTGAGTTCTCTGGCCAAGTAGTTACCGATCTACCTTTTTCGAAACGGCCTGTCACTTAAGACAAGCTCAGTGTCATGTAGTACGAGAACCATAGGGATTATGTATTGGATCAAGCTATCAAAAGCAACGGATGATCACCGCGCATATTTTGACCAGCCGTGTTTGACTTGACTATTTAAAAGAGATATGGCTTTTTTAAATCTTGAACTGATCCGTGCTAATTCCGGAGGCTACTGGCATGATCGAGAAGGGTTAGGGAACCTAAATCAGATATTTTGTGGTTACTTATTTTGACCTCTGTTACTATTAGCAGCGTCCACAACGATAGTGGAAAGAGATGATGGGAGAGTTTGCTAAAAATATCAAGCGCCAGGCCAACAACATGCTGGCCCGAGGCCATAAATCCAAGCCTGGAGTATCAGGTATCGAGCCTAGACTGCTGCTTTGCAAAACATACAACCTGGTTGGCCGTTCAGAAACTGAACTCAAGTTTGTTGGTTGACATTCGCGCTAATTTGGTATTGCTACACACCACGCGGTTCTTCCCACCAATTTCCAAGAAGTTTTCATCCCAGTGGTGTCTAGTTGTCCAGAGTGATCTATTATGGATATCTCAGACAGTTCAACCTCCAGGGTTGGGTACCATGAGGTGTTTATGAGCTAAACGCAAAAATTACCACCTGCAGGCAATAAGTTATGTGTCAGCGTGGTAGATGCTACAACTGGTAAGGCTTTATTGACCGGTTATCCGCTAGAATATCCGCAAAACTACAAGGGGGATCCAGGAAATCGATTCAGAGCAAGTTTATTTTATTAAAATTGCCGAGGAGCATAATATCCCCATGATATGCATACACTAGGTCCTTCCGGCCGGCACGGCGCTGTATACGACTATGGAGCTGTGCAATGAGAGGCTAAGCGGGACTATGACATGTGTGGCCAGAATAATAAAGCTCAAGGCTGCTATAAAAACTGCCTACGTTGGAATTAGGGGGCCAGGGATTCTTGTCGCGATAATAACTGGACAAGAAATGCTAGAGAACAACGGCGTCATGGTCGTGTACCCTGTTGATCACTGGCATGAAAGAATTATAGGGATTTCACTGGCAGGGTACTGAAGACCGAGGTTAAGCTAGAAAAGGAGCAAAAAGAGGCTGGAATAATGATAGAAGTTGGCTGCTACGATTTTCCCGGCTGTTGTGCTCGCTTCTCGGAAGACCGTCAAGTTGGGGCCAAATCTGAGGCTCGGCAGGGCACGGTTAACCGCCTCCTACATCTCACTTGAGCACTCTACGCCAGCGCTCGAGTCCGACTATCTCCAACCAGGGGTAGGCCGATCGAACTTGACATAATTACTCAATAGAAAATGAACGACAACGGCGCAGATACCCATGCATTCGAGAATGCGGATTCTCAGATCGACCCAGCCGTTCTTAAAGGTAAGCTACAAGTCTTTGGTGGCCTTTAGGATCATTCATACTGAATGGCTGCCTACCCAGAGTTGCCGAAAGGATGCAAGGTCACATCTACCAGGAAGCATGGTGTCAGCTTCTGGGGGCAAACCGGTCGCATAGATGTTTCGCTTTGGGATGGTAGTCCGCAATCCTTCTTCATCAAGACTCTTGTGAATAAATCAGGCCTAGATATGGTCAAGGGCGAATTTCAGTCAATAAGCGCAATACAAGATGTCTTGCCAGGAAGTGTTCCAAGGCCCATGGCCTGTGGTACCTATATTACTACACCAGACACCCACTTTTTCCTCTGCGAGTTTCGAGAAATGACAAACGATTTACCCGACCCTCACAAATTTGCCGCTCTCCTGTCAACGCTGCATCAAAACAGCGTGTCTCCCACCGGCAAATTTGGGTTTCACATCACCACGTACGCAGGAAATTTACCCCAGTTTGTGACATGGGAAGATAGCTGGGAGGCATTTTTCGCCAAAACCATGAGGCAGGCGCTTGACTTGGAAATGAAAAGCAAAGGGCCTAATGAAGAGCTCGATATCCTATCCCATGCTTTGTTTGAAAAAGTTATTCCAAGGCTTCTAAGGCCACTCGAGAGTGACGGCAGAAAAGTGAAGCCTTCGCTTGTACACGGAGACCTTTGGCACGCAAATGCGGGGACTGATATCACTAATGGTCAGCCTCTTGTCTTTGATGCATGTTGTTTCTTTGCACATAACGAATGTATGTTCGTTCCTCTATGAAACACTCCTTTCTATCCATGCTAATCAGCTCGATACCCAAGATGAATTTGGTCAGTGGCGACCGGCCTGTAATAAGTTTGGGGATGAGTATGTTGCTGCCTATAATAGATTCGTGCCCATTTCACCACCAGAAGAGGATTTTGAAGGCCGTCTAGATCTCTATAGATTGTGAGTCATTCTAGCTGCTTCGTCCTGACCTGCATAGCTTATATCATATTAGGAGGTTTGACACACATGTATCGGCACTTTTTGTCGATGACCAGAAGCTCCGCACACAGTAAGTCATGCCTCAATATAACCTCTGTTCTCTATCAGAATAACTCATTGCCTTGAAAGGGTCCTCGACGTTATGAGAGATTTAGTGCAGAGATATGGCTAGTGGGACTATGATGGAAATGGTGCTTTATATCAAATCTCGTATTTTCCGAACAGTGCAAAAGGTTTCCGCCAATATCCGCGTTATTTTCAACATCAGTACATGATGGTTTTGTCATCGGCAGTTCCTTGGAGGATGACGTCAAGCGGGTAAATGCGAAGGTGTTTTCTTTTTCTTGAATCCATGATATAGTCATCTATTATACTATCTATACCGGATAATGTCTGGCAACTTTTAGCGCAAGTCCAAAGTAGTTTCTTGCGGCTCTTGTAGACATTTGGAAATGTGAAACGAACGAAGGAAAAGGGAGGATATTGACACGAGTTAGGCGCCTATGGCTTTGTGGGGGCCGAAACGTAGCCCCATCGGCGTTGGGCATGAAGGCAATAATGATAGGCCATGGGGGACTCAAACGAAAGTGGCTTTTGGCTCAGAAGTCAATCTTATGAATAAATATCATGGGACTCAAGTGATCGGACGGAACTTGAAATATCATTACCTTTGACTTCAGTGATTCAATCTTCAATATGATCAATATGGTATAGAAGTCCGTTTGTATGCGATGGGACAATGAGGATCGGCGAGTCGTATTTTTTTTTTGCGACCGAGGCGACCAATAAATAGTTTCTACCTTCAGCCTCCGCAAATCCAGTCCAATCATCTGTTCATCATCTAGGTGCTTGAATACCTGGAGTCGCGTTGGCGGCATTGGACTTGGCGGCGTTTTAGGTCAGCCCAGGGGGTGGCACACAAACTCCTTTACTGGATACCCATCTCCCAACTGTTTCCGCACTTACGTGCCTGCATCAGGGGGAGAAGAACACTTTGACGGTATCGCGTTCCCTCGAATTAATGATATTCCCATGGCATTCACAGGAGCAAGGGATTTGCTATGCTCATCATGCAAAAATATCCCTCCACTGTCGAATATTTCCTTGGCTCCCGAAATCATGTGGCCTAGTTTCCAGGCATTCAAGACCTTGGCTTTGAACGGATGTCCCTTCTGTCAATATCTCTACAAGGCTAGCGGAGGCGAGTGGGATAGAATAGAGGTGGAACGGCAATTTAACCCTGGACCTGCCTTTTCGATAAAATGGAATGGGGTCCCTCATTTGGCTAGCTCTGATGAAACCTTGAGAGAGAAATCCTTGGAGCCAACCGCCGGATTTGGTCAATCAGGTGTGCTTTATTCTATATTTGCTAACCCAGGTAAGATAAATTTACCAGGATCAACGCCAAGTCAGATGGCACAGTGATCAAGGCAGCTCATTCTTCACCTATAGACGAAGAACTCGCTCGAAATATCAAGACTCGAGAGATTCCGCTTGACCCTACCTCAGAAGAAGTCTTCACGCTTATCAAAAGATGGTCCTCTATATGCTCAGAGCGCCATCCATCTTGTAGCACGAATAGGGCTGGGACACTGCCTCAGTTCACAGTGAAGATCGGACGCGGTCAACGAGCACATCGGAAGCCCGACATACTCCCATCCTTACGGCTTGTTGAGAATGATGTAATGCTAGGAACCAGGGAGCCTTACATAGCACTGAGCTATCCATGGGGAGTAAAAAAACAGCCGGTTCAACTCGAGAAGGCCACTCTCGGGTTATTCAAAGATTCAATTGATTACGCCTCTCTTCCAAAGGCCATCCAAGATGTCATTCAAGTGGCTCAAGGCCTAGAAGTGAGATACGTATGGATAGATGTTCTCTGTATCATTCAAGATGATCCTCAGAACAAGAAGGAACAAATTAGAGAGATCAAGCATATTTTCGGCAATTCTTATCTTACTATACAAGCTGGGGCAATTCAATCCGTTCACGATAGCTTCCTGCGGCAGCGAGATCGTCCTCGTCCACCTTTGAGGCTGAAATTCGATGAAAAAAACAGTATATATATCCGTGGCTACACATCTTAATCTACCGCTCATGGGGCAGCTGCGCATAGAGCCTGGATATATGAAGAATCCGTCTTACCAACTTGGATCATTATATATGCAGAACAGCAGCTCATCCTCCGATGCAGGGATGTTACGTGTTATGAAGATGGCCGAAAGATTTCTCAAAGCTCTAGTCAAGGTGGATTTCACTCAATTTTCAACCCTCAGGATTGGAGGGTGGCATTTAAGCGCAGATTGAGGTCCGACACTCCTCCAGATAGACGGTTGGATGCACTATTGAGTTAGTACACTGGTTTGGATATGCATTATACACCACGCCTCTTGACTAGTCCCCACGACCGATTACCGGCTATTTGTGGCATTGTTCTCAAAATCCAGGAACAAATAGGAGGTCGATATATTGCAGGGATCTGGGAGTCTGATTTGCCATGAGTTTAATGTGGGAGACTCAAAACCTACAGAGCCTGAAGAGAGCTCCATCCCTGCCTCCGGGTCTGTTATGGTTTGCCCAGAGACCAGCCAAGTGGTGTGCGCCATCCTGGTCTTGGGCCGCACTAGAGGGGGGACTAGGCACGAATTTATGACGCGATATAACGATAACACAAGCCTGCAGTCGCCTGTATCTTTTCTCTCGATGGAAGAGATCAAGATTGATGCTATGGGAGAGATCCTTAAAAATGGCACAATAAATATCTCAGCTCCTCTCCTGTATGCTTCTTTTGAGCTGCGGACGTTTGATGTGCCAGGGGAAAAACTTCAGTATCAGCCAACAGTGTTCCTTATTCAATCTTTGGTGAAGGAGCGATCTCTAGGGATCAAACAACCGCCAGGCACACTAAGCCAAGATAAGGTGGAGCATCCCATTGCAGTGGGCAAGTTTGATGTCATGGAAGAGCAATAATACACTCGGGTGTTTGGTGTGTTCTTCTTAGCCCGTCGATGGGATTAATGATAGAGCGTGCTGGGGCGGGAGATGAAAGCACGTTTCGTCGATTAGGGTCATTCAAGGTCATTAAAAAATCCTGGCCTGAATCGGTTAACGAGACAAGAACGAATATCTCGCTCATATAGAGCTAAATTCTACTTTATTAGTTGGGTAGTGAATAATGTGTGAGAAGTACCTACTGCCCTCGGTATGCATATGCAACGATGTAGATCAAATTTTGTCCTTTTGAAAAAATAAATGCATTCGTCATAGAGCCAATTCCATAGTGTTACCTAGCGTACAGACTAAGAAATAATTACTTATGAAGCAGACTACTTCCTATTATTTCCAATGGAAGATGGTCGGTATCTAAGTGACTTGGAGGAAGCTCATAAGTCTGTATTTATTCTCGTGTTCTTCATTAAGCGCTAATTATAAATCTATGACCCAACGTGTGATACGCTATGCTGAGCGACTATCTAAAGGAGTTCGAACTTTATGAGTTACAAGTAATGAGGTTTGGTAACTCATGTTGTTCGGGTTTTGGGAACATTCTTGATATGAAGTGTGGAATGAGCTGCAGCTTCGAGCTCAGCCCACTTCTTCCTCTCCTCCGGGCTCAAACGCTCCATACCTCCAGGAAAGAATGTTTCTAGCATGTTCCTACCGCTTTTAGGATACCTTTCTTCCATAAGATACAAGGTTTGCATCACACTTGTCTCACCAAATACGCAATCGAATATGAGAGGTGCCCCAAAAGCAGCTGGGTCACGCCACCGTGCGGCTACAAAAATGTTCTGCAGGATTCCAATACCGCCGACGGCCAGCAGAAACCATGTATTCTCATGAACCCCTGCTGCCGTAATGAGAAGCAAAACCCAGATGATGGCAAGGACGATAACAAAGAGCCTCGTAAAAGCAGACGTGGAAACATCAACATTGATTGGCCCGGTAGCAAGATCCTCGAGATCAAGTCCACGTCCGTCGCCGATGATAATGATGACATGCTGACTGCCACTGCCTCGAGTCAGAATAACCACCTTCTTGGACCTAGTCCGACATGCCCACTTCTCTTTGGCCCATTGCGAAGGATAACCCATGGCAAATGAGAGCACAATCCCGCAGATTGTGATTAAAAGAATGCTCCAGTCCCCGAATAATCCACATGGGATTGCCGCAACACCGAGCTGCAAGAAGACGGTCAAAATGCCGCTTAAATATACCAAGTCATATCCTGGATGCCTGGGTCTTGCATCTCCAGCTTTATAAACGGATACACAGAGGCCCGACTGCGCGGGTCTTCCAACATGCTGGCCCGAACCTGGGCGCTCTCTCTCGGCCTTTTGTCTAAGCTGTTCCCATTTCAGATCCAGCAGCTTGTCGACGCATGCGTCGACATCTTCATGCCTCCAAGATCCAAAGTCACGCACAATACGGCCAATGATCCAGCTGGAATTTTCGCGAATATGTCCCGTTTCCGCGTTGATCACTTTACATGCACAATCAGGAGGCGGCATCAACCTGTTCTCCCCAACAGCCGAGGCAACCGCACTCATAGCATAAGCAACCCATCCTAAAGGGGAAAGTTAGTTAGCAATAACATGTAAACCGGTAGTCAAGCGTCATATTCCCTTGGCTGTCAAGTAGCCATGTCGATGAACCAGATGCATACCAAATGAGAATGCTACAGGGCTCACCCTCGTCCCTGCTAACTGAGCTAGTGCACGATTAACAACATCACCACCGAGGAGAAGAAGCACTGAAAAGATGTCCCCCGGGTTGGCCCACTGCTTGGAAAATTCATCGCTTGCTTGAGCCGCATCAAAGGTGCGGCGGGGGAGAGGAGAAAGAAGCGGTGGAGGCATTGCGCCAAGAGCATGAGATATCCAGTGTCTTCAGAGGGGTTGCAAAAGAAACTGATCAAGCAGATCAAGCAAAAGAGGTTTAACGCGAACTTAAAAATATAACCTTTTCCTCGGTCTATGTCAAAAAAATATAATTCAGCCCCAAGTCACAAATCCCAGAACAGACAGTAAGAATTCACGAGTAGCTACCCCACGTATTACCCTTTCCGCGATAGGCTTAGGTGGCTTGGGTGAGATCAATATGGATTACAGAATAGTGGAGACGGTGCGCTCGTGTGAAAAAACATAGGGAAACCACGAGCGTACCACTTAAGCGTCGTGCGGCTCACGGTAAAAAGGGCTCAAGAGCGTAAACAAGGCAAACAGGTTGGAAAGGGGCAAATACGCGAGCCAACAGAGGATCACGTGCAGGATGCGATTAGTGGTCCGCCATGAGTATCATACGTGGGATATGGCTATAATGGTAGCTGTCAATATAGTAGGAAACTGTATGAGATTTGAACAGGATTTCCGATGTTTCTAGGCTCCTTGCTTCTGAAGCCTATTTAGCTAACATCTGATTCCATTCTTGAAAGTACTCAAGCGTCCGCGAACTGCTCACAATGTGTGCCTTGAAAAGCCAAAAAATGTCGATGCAAAAGAGATATAATTCAAAACGACTCTGGGTATAGCGGGCGGTGCGATGCATATCTATGCAAGGGAATTCGCATGCGAGAGACAGGCCGGATACATAGCTTGGCTGTAGGTGTGACTTCTGGGCTGTTTACACTTCGCAATCTGCATCTAACCTCATGACATCAATCTTATAGGCGTTTTATTTTTTATTTAAGCGAGGAATGATTCTCTCCTAGCAAGGCCTTTATCTTGGGTCATCTTTTAACAAGGTCGAGCTTGAATCGCCGGAAGAGAATCCAGTTCTAAATAACTAGAGTCAGAAATAACTTCAACCAAGTCGTGAGCATCGCCACCGTAAATGAATAACTGACCAATATCCGCAATGGAAGGAGCGTAGAAATCAGTCGTAGAGTTCTCGCCAAAGCTCCTTCCCAAATCTCGGGGCTGACTCGTGATTGCATGAGCTTCGCGACCACAGACGTAGCATATGCTTGTGGCAACATGCCATTCTTATTCCCTTGATACTTGATATTTTCAACCGTTGTTTTGATTGGGAGGTAGACTGACTGCTCTGGAGCGTGTAATCCATGATGTAGGATGTTGCTTTGCACGAACCCAGTCACAATCTCAACCACTTCAATTCCTAGTGGCATCAGCTCCTAGGTTCCAGTCAGATCACAATGCTTTCGACAAGATCATATGTGGTGATTGATCATGTCTTACTAATCGAAGAGTCTTAGAATATTGGCTAAGAGCTGCCTTGGAAGCATTGTACGGCCCTTGCCATACAACCGGTATACTCCGTGTCACACTGCCAATCTGCACGATTCGCGCACGAGATGCCTGACAGAGGAGTGGCGTGAAGATCTGACACAGACGCATGACGGCAAAGACGTTGACTTGGAATAGTTTCACGACCTCATCGATATCCAGGTCCATTGCGGTTGATGCGTAGTGCGTCCCGGCATTATTAACCAAGAAAGTAAGACGGCCGCCTGTGCGCTTCAGTACGGCATCTCTTAACTTGTCAATGCTGTCTGGATTATCGAGGTTGAGGGGAAAGCTTTCAATATTATTGTAGCGGTTCGTTAAATCGCTCAGAGATTCGGTAAGTCGTGCCGTAGCAAGCACTTTCACTCCTTTGGCCGCAAAGGCTATTGCGAGCTCTCTTCCGATCCCGCTGCTACAGCCGGTGATGAGTGCAAATATAGGTTCTTGTGTCATGAGGAGAGAGCGTAATGGATGAAGTTGCAGTTTTGATCAAAACACAGGGAGAGCCGGTTACCAAGAGACATGTACTGACAACTTGAACACCGAGGAGCTCTACAGCTATGTCAAGTAATTGGAGAACAGAAGAACCTATGACAGCAGGAGAAATCATGAAATTCCTCGACAAGTCCCTGGTAGCAAGACCTAGTTACTCAGTAATTGCTGAAAACCATTAACCTCGGTTCAATATCAGTCCGATTCATCAATGGTGATATTTACATCATAGACTCATGGAGAAGGACTAATCAAATCATTAAATTGCTTTTGAGACGAGGAGCCCCTGTTCTAGACATCACTTCTGTTCGGTTCGCGAATAATGACTTGATTGGAATGCTACCTATGGCGTACAATGGCTTGGTCAGCCATTATTTGGTACAATTGATCCGCGGGGGAATCACGACTGGCGTGCGGAAGTTCTTCCGGCAAGTTCTTCCGGCGGTGATTGCCCATGAAAGTCCCACATCCCAGTACCGACGTACGGAAAGGATACCATTACCGAGGCGGTAAATCCTTCCTGCAAGTATTCTAGCCCAGAAAATAAAGCAAGCAAAGAGCTCAAGGGCTCTGGTATGCGTACAAGTAAGGTTTCTGGCAATTCCCTGGACAACGCGCTCTTTAGAGATGTGTCAAAGCAATTACAAAGTATTGATATGAACCAAACATCGATCGATGACAGGCAGGAGATCCATGAAAGTCAAGTTTCTTTTTCCATTTTTGAGAAATTGAGAGCTGGCATTAATCAAGGCTTCGTGATCTTTTCCATAGCAATCGAAAAGATTAGCAAAATTCAGGCAGCGCTTTTATGTTGCTTTGTTATCTCCAAAATCCTTGGGCAGCTCTGGACCCCAAACAGATAACGGCCCAACAGCTTCTTTTCTTGTTGGATTATCTTGATTCACCACATCCCCATCTGCATAATGTTCAATTTTGAACCTGGAACTGTCATACCAATAATCAAAGATTTGACTTCCTAAAATATGCCGCCCAACACCCCATACGCTCGTCCACCCCTTCTTAGCAAGGTAATGGTGGCCCATTAACTGTGTATCAAAATCGGCCACCTCATAAGAAGTATGATGAACATATGTCTCACGAGCCGTTGGCGGAGCACGCTGCAAGAACAACGTATGATGGTCGGTATATTCTGCACCAAGATCCAGATGCATGAACGTCATGACGTCCCTATCCGGGAACTGAGGCAGATATAGGATATCGGAATGAACGAAATTGAAGCTGCCTGTGTAGAATTCCAATTCGGTCTCAAACTCCTTGCATACGTAGCCGTAGTGCCCAAGCTTGTGGACTAAGGCAGGGCCGTCGTGGTATCGCTGAAACTGGCCTCTACGAAGCTTTTCAAAGGGGTAATTGAAGGGTCCATGAGATTCATGTGTTGCTGTTGGTGCCTCTTTCGTGCCGTCTATCTTGAGCTCAGCCTGACCGTGTACCACATGCAGAAAAGTTCCGTTGGGACGAGCAAAGGTGATCATCTCGCCGCCTCCAGGGGCATCATCCAGCGTCTTGCGGATAGCGCCTGGTAGATTCGCGGCCTTGTTGAAATTTTCTTCGTCCTTTACCACGAAGGCAGCGCCCTTGAACTGCGACTTCGATGTAGAGCTCTGCGAGGCGACGTAAATGTAAGGGTCTTTGCCATAACCACGATAGTAGATTGTCTTGCCCTTGCGCTCTGCCTCGATGAACCCGAAATCTTTGGCAAACCTGGCGAATGCTTCTAGATCATGGTGATCAAAGTAGACGTGCGCGATGCGGCTTAGCTGGACCTTTGATGGGTCATTTTGAACAGTCGGGATGCTGAATGGGGGTAGAATCCAGTTTTGCCATTTTTGGGGAAGTAGCGCGAGCACGTCGAGTACCCAAAGGGACATTATTGATGTTCAGGCACGCAGCTTTCAGGCCCCCCAAAAGCCTCAGTGGATATATTTGGTTACAGTAAAACAAGCAGATGAGCGCTAATGACTTTCCTGAAGATATATGTCTCGTAAAATCACCCTGTGATTCTATTTTCTCGGAGTTTATGTAAAGATGATCATGGCCAGACTTTCCGCGAAAAACCTCGGACAGGAAATTCAGAACATGCGGTTTTGGCGAGTCCATTTACGGAGCTCAAGAGTAAAAATGCCTGCTCTGATTGATGTGAAGATTCTCCGCGGAGTAACTTTGCTGACAACTCCGCTAGTGCCCCGGTATTTGCCCGTAATCCCCTCTCCAGAATATGCTTTGTCAGGGCAGGAAACTTCACGGCTTTCTTCATACAATGTCTGAGTGAAAAACCGAAATTTCTATTTCTACCAATCTCTCAAAACTGTGCTGCTTCGAGTCACATCGCCGGGGTACGATGGCAAGATTCAAATATCTATATCGGTTCGAAACGGAGAAAGGCGAAGAGTTCTTTGCGAAAGGTGCCTCGGCTGAGCCCGTCATTGGCGCCTCAGTCAACGCATATCCGACCTTTGAGGACTTGTTGGGTGATAAGAACGTGACACAGGCGACATTAGCAAAGGTATGGACCACATTCCGTTGTTTTGTTTAAGAGAATTGATCTGACTATTGTTCTGTTTCCAACAGCTTCTGCCACCTATCCCCCAAACAAACCTCCCAATTTACTGCGTCGGTCTCAACTACAAAAGCCACGCAAAAGAGGCCAGCGTATGCAATCAAACCACTACAATCATTATGTTCGATCTTTTAATCAAAGTAAAACAGCTTAATGTCCCTTTCAATCCTCCATTATGGACTAAGCCTGCGGCCTCGTTATCAGCGCCGAACGAAAGTATCCCCATCAGTCGCTTTTGCGCCTCACACCTTCCCGACTATGAAGTAAGACCCCAATCACCGCATTGAAATAATAGAGCTAACTATCGACATCGAATTGATAGGGGGAACTAGTGTTCGTTACGGCACGCGACTGTCTAAATGTCGAACCCGAGGACGCCTCGTCATACATCCTCGGATATACGATCGGCAATGATATATCCTGCCGCTTCTTTCAGCTTCCCGAGCAATCAGGAGGCCAGTTCTTCTACGCAAAAGCCTTTGACAAATTTGCACCTATAGGACCGGTTCTTGTGAGTCCGTATATCTTCAACGAGGCCAAAGAAACGGCTAGCCTAGTTACCCGCGTCAATGGAGAAGTGAAGCAAAACACTGCCATCCACACCGACATGATCTTTTCTCCAGAGCAAATTTTAAGTTGGATGAGTCAAAGTAAGCTACTCTTCATTTCTGATAGGTTCTCTTTTTAATCTATGTCCAAATTGCAGGCACCACGGTCCCAGCGTATACGGTAGTGATGACCGGTACCCCGGCGGGTGTGGGTGTGTTTCAGAAACCTCGTCAGCTGCTCAACAACGGAGATGTGGTGGAGATTGAAATTACTGCCTTGGGAAAATTGAAAAACGAAATCGTTTTCAAGGAAGGGCAAGATTCCATATTGTGAGACTTTCCTTCCATTTATCCTACTTGGCGGATTAAATAGCCTTCTAAGTTCGCAGACCTAAATACATTCTTCCAGATGAATGCTGATTCAAGACCTTGTTTCATTGGGCAAATAGAGCACTTGCATGGAAGCTAGTAAAAGCAAAACTTTGGTATAGGTTCAGTCTTTGGTTGGTATAAGCCGCCCTGTTGGATTTGATTACTGGAAGAGCCACTTTCATTTTCAGAATTTCGATATCTCTGTATTAAACTTGAGATCAGGAATTTCCAAGCTAGAGCTAGGTTGATTTCATCTGCTTTTGAAATGAGCATTCCCTTATTTTTCAAGTATTATTCGAGGGTACCTGGTATTCTAGCATCCTGAACGTACTGTAAGATTCGTCTTCGATATCCCCAATACTCTGGGGCCAGTTGATATCTTAGCTATTTGATCCATTTCTGTGCGGCTCCCCTTGTCTCCAAACTCCCAGCGCACTTTTTTTTCCATCGCGCAGAGAGATTTTCATCATCCGCTACACTCTATATTTTCAGCACGGCCCCTGCAAGTCTGTAATGTACCGGGTACATGGCGGTCATCTGATGGGCGATTTCCCCGCAGTCGTACGCGTCGGGTGTTTCAACCACCCAAAAGACTATAACCTCCGCGGAGCAACTATGGCGGCGGCACAGGATAGCCTGCCGGTCTAGGAGATTGCTAGGTCCCACTTTGTTCCTCTCCGTCTTTCGTGACTCATGTCAGGCCATACAGCAATTGTATTTCAGCCTCGGTAGACTTTGCTATCGCCTTGTGACTGTACAAAGCTCTTCATTTATTTATTAGTGGAGAGAAGGGAAAGGGAACTTTATATCGTTCATTGTCCCCGCTTAATCTGCAGAGGAATTAAAATTTTACTTTGGGTAGGGATTAATTCAAAGTGTTGACCGAATGGATACGAATGTTGTTATTGTTGGCGCAGGACCATCAGGTCTGGTCCTGGGGCTTTTTCTCGCCCAGTATCAAGTTAAGGTACGTATATATAATATTACGCTAATATACCCTTCTATTTGGCTTACAGACGGACTTTGACGTAATTCCCTATACATCTAGTCCATTATTCTAGAGAAGGAACACGAGATCACCAGTGATCCGAGGGGTGTGGTGCTCACAGGTGATGCATTGCGATCTCTGTGGAAGCTGGGCTTGGGGAAGCGGATGGCGTGGATAGGACAAGGTAAAATCCATTTCTCTATCTCGGGTCTATCCAGGCCATAATAGGAGACGGAGGTCTGATTATTGTATTTGCAGAGCTTGATAGTCTGGATTTCCATAAGACAACAATCTTAAACAAGCCCTTCTTGACGATCCCTCTCACGTTAGATAATATGGAGCACGCGCTCCCTACTACTATCCTTCAAAGTCAACCTCGACTAGGTAGGTGCCTCTGAGCCTATCTTCCATGAGTGGTTTCAAATTCTAATCGCCGCATATGCAACAAAAGAGGTCGCGCTGCGAGACCAGGTGGCAGCCTCGGAATTCTGTACGCTCAGGTCCTCATGTGAGGTTGTGGAGCACGAGCACAATACAGAGGGTGTCACTGTCCATTACCTAGACCCTGAAGAAAAACTCTATCAAGTTCATGCGCTCTATTTAATTGGAGCAGATGGAAAACGAGGCATTGTTCGTAAATGCTTTCTTGAAAAGTCCGCCGGCATCCGGCAGGAGACTGGAATATTCGAGTACGAGGGCACTTGGATTGCGGCGAACTTAAAGATAACTCTCCCAACGAGGAAATCTCACCCAGAGTTCCCGCTATGGAAATTTGGATACACCGAGGAAGCGGTCTATGATCTATTCTGGCCAGCCAACTGGCACTTTTGCCGACCACCAGGGAAGCCGGTGGCGTGCGGGCGATTTGGCCCACTATCGGAGCGACTATGGCGACATGAATTTGCTGTTCCAGAATGGAACTACAACGATGACGACGAATCGTCAGAAGCGCATAACATATTCTGGGAACACCTCACTCCGATGATCACACGAACCGTGCGTGTCTCAAGGGGAGAAGCGGCCACCGTCACCTTTCCAAGTGACTGCATCCAAGTCCTTCGCTGCCGTCCATTCCGCTTCTCTCACAAAGTTGTCAATCGATGGTACTCTGGGCGCATCGCTCTTATTGGAGATGCTGCCCATGTATTTCCCCCTTTGGTGGCCAGGGTGTTGCCTGTGGGGTTGGGGATGCCGAGGGCCTAGCCTGGAGGTTGGCTATCTTGACGGGATTAGAAAAGTCCAACCGGATCACCACTGCCCTTCGATCGAGTGTTCTACAATCATGGGCTGAGGAGCGACGGTTAGGCGTTAACATTTCTGCGCACTTGACGCTGCAGAATGGAGAGTGGTGCAACAAAGAGCCCAGCTGGTTTGGTGCGCTTCAGATTGCATTACTTAAACTCTTACTCCTTCTGTACCGAGGTGCAAAATTGCCACTAAGCTCAATTGAAGCGGCAGCAAGTGGCTATAATGGCTGTTCACAGGGCGCATTTCTTGCCGATTCTGGGGGCGGAGGCAGGCTAGGCCAAATTTATATGCAAACACGCCTCCCTCAGAGCAATTCGATCATCATTGAACTCTCCGACCAAGCACTTCGACGGGTTCCCACAGTTCTGACATTGCTGGTTATTCATTCTGAGTACCATAAAAGCCAGGATATGGAGCTAGAACAACTCCTTCTGCGATATAGTATCTGCTCAACGATCCTGTCGGTTAAATCCCAGGTACATTTCGATCTCACAGAGAATGGGAATGGTGAATACAGCAGTACCATGCGGCCCATATCCTTCCCAGCGCCGCCTCATCTTCTCACAGGGTGTGTTATTCGCCCAGGATATGACGTCAACCAATTCAAGCGCCGACTAAACAATCACCGAGCGAGATATTTCATCCTTCGTCCAGACAGCATAATTTATGCGACGGCTGAAAGCCTCCAACATCTAAAGCACTGTCTGAAGGCTCTGGAGCACAGCCTTTCCTAAAAGATTTCTCGTATTCCCTTTACCACCGAGCATGATCCTTGACACTATCTTGATAATGCTTTGAAATAGCGGCGGACGAGCAAATGAGAGACGGTTTAAGTGAAAGACTTACTGGGAGGCTTTCCAGGCTAGGAGAGGCAGTTATAGTAGAGCTGGAGCTGGAGCTGGTAGAACTAGGAACATTAGTTGACGATCGAATCAAGGTCTGACTATTAGTGCTAATAGAAAAGATGTTGAGACATTCGTATATTTGTACCTCTATCTCTCAGAGATAAAAGTCATCTGGATGGGACGAATGACGGCTGAAATAAACTCCTAAGCGAGAAAGTTCCGATTGATTAAGACCTAAAATTGTTATTGCGTGGTCTACCCTCGGATGATAATTCCTACAGCTTTCGGGGCTAGATTCGACCCGAGAGAGTTTCCTGCCGTGAGATGACTGAAATCGATAAACGAACATCTTATCACCCATATCTAGTGTCTTCCATTTTGTGGGATTGGTAGAGCCCTCTCTTTGAGGACTGGACATAGAGCAAGTGAAGATGTTGAATTTTCAATCGATTCAAGTGCGAATGACAAAACAGAATCTGGCACAATTTGTGCAGACTGCTTTGGAGGGACTAAAGAAATTTCGGTGATTAATCATTATTGATTAGACATAGACAGGGTGTGGCCGTTCGGGATCGGAAGGTGTATGTATGATTAGAAAAAAACGTATAGATTCAATAATATACTTTTACGATTTATATGCGATAACACTCATATTTGTTATCACTGATGTTGAGGTACCATTTTATCTGTCCTTTATGCATACCATAGCGTGTGCCTATATATGCAAATTCTCTAATATTTCTAATTGCGCCTCGACTTAACCGATCGCCATTCTACCATCAAGCTCCCAATCATAGTTGTACACGCTAGTCCAATGACCATATACCACGTCTGGCACAAGCTTTTGTCAATGGCGACAAGAATGTCTCTACTCTTGTCGGTCGGCACGCTCGTCACGATCTGCGACAGACCGTTGTTCTCGATAATTGCTGCATTTAGGCCTGGAACGAGGCCATTGAGGTTTGTCGATAACTGGTTCACAAATATGACTTGTGCAATTGCGATCGCAACGGCTGGGCCGAAAGATTGCGCAAAAAGCATGACAGATGTGCCAAGTGGTACATCCTCGACCGTTAACACAGTCTGTACAGCGTTCTGTGGTCCTGAGAAGCCGATTCCGTACGCAAGACCGGAAAGCCCGGTGTAGATAATCAAGTCTGCGAAGCTGGTATCTATTTTAAAAGTTGTGACCAAGCCCGCGGCAATGGGCATGATTATTGATGCAAATAGCATAAAGGGTGCGTAGTAGCCAATAGCGCTTGTCCCAAAGCCGTGGATGAGTGCGCCAATAGTGCCCCCGATGATCATAGGGAGCATCATGTAGCCGCTTTTTGCCGGGCTATATCCACGAATAACTTGAAAGTAGGTAGGGAGGTAATACTCCAGCACGTTGCCTGTGCTATTTCCACACATGATGAAAATGCAGCCGGCTATCACGCTGCGACGTTTCATTATACGGAAAGGGGAGAGCCGCGGCATCTCCTCGACGTTTTTGATTATATATGAACGCAGCCACAAGGATGGCAAAGGCAGCAACTGGGCCTAGCACTTGCCCACTGCTCCAAGAATACTTGGTACCGGCCCATGAAAAAGCAAGGAAGAGGCCAGTCAGTGCCGGGATAAAGAGCAAGTTGCTCACAAGATCAAGCTGCAAGATCTTCTGCTTGAGTGTCATGCGTCCAATCTCACTGGGTTTGAGCGGGTCTGAAAAACAGTAAAATGTCAATAAGAGGGTCGCTACGCCCAATGGTGCGTTGAGGTAAAAGCACCATCGCCAGCCAATTGATTGCACAATGGCGCCACCAAGCAGCGGTGCAGATAGCGTAGCGATGCCCTCAACTGCAGCAAGCATGCCGGTGAACATAGGACGTCTACGAAGAGGCGTCGATTGAACCAGAATGGTGAAGCATCCTGAAAGGAGACCCGCCGTGCCCACGCCCGCTACAGCCCTTCCAATGATCAGCATCATTGACGTTGTAGCTGCCCCACATAGTAGTGAGCCTACTATGCAGATCGCATTGGTAAGTAAGAAGACCCTTTTGACCGAGAAGAGCTTGTAGGCCTTGCCGAACAGAAACTGAGAAGAGCATTGGCAGAGTCGGAAGATAGAGGAATACCAGCCGACATCTGCGACAGTATGGAAATAATCCGTAATGCTCGGCACGGCTGTGGCGATAATGTTCATGTCGATGCTAAGCAGGATGAGAATCGCGGTCAGTGTGAGCATGAGGAGCCAGAAATCCATGCCTGTTGGATATTCAAGTTCTTCGCGTAAGCTGTTGTGATCGGACATTCTGTCAGGGGTCACCCGTCGACCTCGAGCACCACTCAGTGCATTGCTGTGTGGATTGTGCGGCGACTCGCAAGTTATATTTTCGTTGGATGCTGCTTCTGGAGTGGAGGTAGCCATCTTTTGAGAAACCCGTCTTGGATCTTAGTATCAATGACAGAGGACATCGTCGGACAAGTCCTGCCTCGGAAGTTTTGCGGGGTAAATGCCTGCCACTAATAGTTGGCCGTTCATTGGCTGCCAGTGTAGCTGCGCTGTGTATGCCCATATGACAACCACCTTAGGTGCATTAGGTTTGTGAGGAAAAGGAAGATATTTTGAAAACGAAAGTCTACAATAGAGAGCCAAGGTTTCACAAGATATCTGATTTTATTGGCTATTCTGAGGCTTTCAACATCGAACAACTTCAGTTCAGTCAGTCGTCTCATACTTCCATCGATAAGAGACATAGAATCGAGATACAGAGAGCAAGAAGAAGAAAAAGAAAATCATGAAAAAGCAAAAAGGCGAATCAATCCTCACGCTCATCCCGACTCAAGCGCGAGGGCGGAGATCCAGGAAAAACAGATCATCACGACCAAAAAAAAAAGAAAAAAGAAAAAAAGTAGCACGCCGTGCAAATAAATCAGCGTGTGAAACAAGATAAATCAAATAGGCCAAATTTGAACAAATCTCTCTCAGCGCAGATATGTACTGCTGGGTTTGGGGAGCGGCAGCCAGAACCTCGGGACGGCCTCGTCAGGGTACTTGAAGTTCTCGTTGAAGAGTTTGCCGAGCTTGTCGACTTCGTCTTTGAATTATTATAACGCACATCAAGCCGAAAAGTCTATTAAATGAGATATACTAAGCTAAACTTAATCAAGATAAATAGGGTAAGGAAAGAATCTTGATTAGGGCACGAATTTAGGATATAAATGAAGGGTATATGAATATAGAGTATTAATCTAGCATTAGAAGAAAATATAAATGAAGATAATATATAAAAAAAATAGGCCTTGCATATAGGGGTTTTTCATTCTAAGCAATCTCTCTCTGACGTGTCAGATAAGCAAGGATTTCTGCTAGAAAATCCAGGCTTCGCTTCTTATCCGCTGTTAGAGAACTACTTGCAGGGTAGCGGTCTGTTGGTCAGGTAAGGAAAGAATGAATATCAACATTGGATCATTATAGAATCAAGAAATAAGTAAGATAGTATAACAATAAAGGGGGATAAAAAAGCAGTACATTTCCTAAATAACGAGGCCGGACTCCTTTACCCAGACTAGTAGGCAGGGAACTCCATTTTGCGCACGTGGCAAATATCATTTGATTATATTCGCGAGAAATGTCCATCTGCAACTGATCTACTCTCTCTAATTAGGCTTTTTCAGCTGGCAGAACATAATCGAGGATTTTCTTTGAGTTCATAAAAATCAAAAGAGGCAAGCATTTTCATCTGGAGAAGCTAAAGGACAGCTCATGCGGACAGGACACAGGCAACTTCACTGTAAGAAAACGTGCTAGGCAAATTCTGCCTCTAAGCCTGTAATGGAGGTATCGATGCTCAGTGGTTATACCTGATGGTCTGCGTCTGAAGAAATTCCCGCGCTAAGTGGAACTTTTAAAGAGGAGAATATATCCTCCCAGGTCTCCACTGACTGCGCTACGGTATCATGATCAGATCCTTGAATTGTCTTGGAGATGAAATCAATCTTCTCAACACCAGGTGCCTGCCAGCACTCTTCGAAATACTTCTGTCCAAGCTTGCCTACCAAAGCGTCTGTTGCAGCAAAGTAGGCGTGAAGGGTAAATCTGTGGGTCGCTAGAGCTCGCGCACATTGCGCATAATCCGAGCAAACCCCCCAGCTCTTACCGCCATCTTTGCGTAGGACTTGCATAGCCTCACTATTGGCCCCAACCGTGTTCTCAGTATGCATAAAACGGATAGCAAGCTGGGCGAGCCTTTTCTGGTCTAGGAGGGGTATACCATATTCATGTTCGACTCGTCGCCAATTATCAGTCAAGAATGAGATGTCCTCAGCCATTCCATGGGTTTCACTCCTACCAGAAGGTGACATGTGACGAATAAGGGCTCCACTAGCTGATAACACCGGGCTAGCTTGAGTCACAAAGAAGCGTGGAATTTTATTCCAGAAGGCGAATGCCTTCGTTGGCACATACTGTGCTATTTGCATAGTTGCCACGCGCGAGTATGCTGGGTCCACCCATGGAGCTAAAATTCGTTGAAAATAAGGATAGGCATAAGGTAAAACGTGTGTAGATGTTCAGGGGTTAGAGGCAATACCTATTACGGCCATGACCGGGTTGATATAATCGCGACAATATGCCCATGTATTAAGCAAGTAGATAGTGCCGGCGCTATGTGAGACAAGGCTCACACGTGGAATCTTGAGATAATCTAAGAAATGTGGCAGCATCTCCGTCCATACGGCAACACGTTGGGCGAGCGGGACATCGGTTGATGCGCCCATCCCCGGTCGGTCAACAACGAGCAGACGTACACCAGCACGTTCTGCTATCGCATGCAATGGGATACCTTGATAGCGTGAAGCGAACATGCCTGGCATGAAAAGTAGAACGGGACCGTCTTCGCACCCAATATCGGCGAAAGTGATGTTGAGTTGGCCATAGGTGGTTTCAAGATTGATGCGACGGTGAAAGCAGCTCTTGGATATGAGCTGGTATGGATCCGACATGGCTATTATATATTGTATATAAGCGAGTTCCTAAGCATCTCTCGCTATCTCTATCTCTGGTGAGCAGTATGTGAACGTTCAGATGTGCTGGAGGTTGGGGCGGACTACGCAACATCAACGCGTTGACGATTTCTATTTTTAACAAGCCACGTGATATATGCTTACCACCCTAGATAGTATTGAGGGGAAAGGGATGGGCAAATTCCAACTGATAGGCTAGCCGGGGGGAAGATATCGAGGACTTAATCAGTGTAGCATTAAGTTACTACTTAGGTGAGTTGAGCGAAATGTTGACATTATATATCTGTGATATCAAGGCACTGAATAGTACGGTCAAGAGGATGATGCCGCCAAGTACAGAGAAGACCCACATATGCCCGTGAGCCTTTATATTACATAAAGCTTGGAAGCACCTGATTGATGTTGGTCGGCGTTGGTCAGTGTTGAGCCGCCCCCGCCCCCCGTGCACTATATCGCTTTATCTCTTTATCATCTTTTTATCATCCAGTCACTTCATCCTACTTCTTTGACCACACATCACACATCTAACACCTTCAAAGTTAGATGATCTCTAGATATTCTAGACCTTGATCATGGAATTTAACGCGCAAACGTCACCGCGCCCGAGCCAAGAAGCCATTGACTTCGCCGTAAGCCTCTACAACGCCATTCATCTTCAATTTCCTGACGCCGTGAGGAATTTCGAGTCCAAATGAACCCCATGGCACGAGGCTTGCCTTGCGCTTCCAGAATCTGCAGAGTATATCTCCGTTTTACTATTATCTAACCCCTACTGCTACCTCTAGCACTATCTCTTTTCCCCACTAGATGATGTATACTAAGTCTGATTGCTAAATGGTCTCTACACATGTACTGAAATAGAAGAGTTCGATCCTGTTCGGATACTTGGTCCGAAGATTACCCAATATGTGGTTTATAAGCTTGCGATAGACACCAACCAGAACTTGCACGCTGTTTTCTTATGTAAGCCTTCGCTCTTGCCATCCCTACTATGCGTATTTCACTAGGGAGTTGCGCACACTAGTGAAATACGTTATTATCTGTCCTAATAATTATAACCCAGGTAACGCGGTAGAGTGTGACGCCAAATACAGAACCAAACGAGATAGACGTCTTAAATCTCTTGAGGAGGTACAACATGAGGCCATTCAGCTCCTTGAGATGAACTACCAGCGAAACAAGATCACCGAACAACGTATTGCAGCGTGGCAAAGGCATCATAAAATGTGGGCCGGGCGAAGTGACCATGAGGTCTTCACGAAATGTGATGAGTAAAGAGATCTAGTTGAAATGGGTCCGAACATTGTTCCGCAGATCATGATTGCATATGAAATACATTATGGTGGCTTTTGGCACTGTATGAGGTCCATAACCGTCGAAAGACGGGCTCGTGGTGCTACCAGAAGGCTGTTTTTTACAATGAATGGGAAAACTACTTCATCGAGCGTGGGTATGATAAGGCCCCTAAATATATCCCAACCGCCTTTGACAAACTTATGTCGGCGCCGTATGACGATAATGAAGGGGTGTCGTACACGCGATCTGATCAATAACAAATTACAGTCAAAATTATCTGATGGTGTTCTCACTTGCTAGAACTGTTATTAACCAGATTGCCGTTGATTCCACGAATAAAAACTTTAAATTGAACATTTAACTTTGTAAGTGCCATAAAGTGCTTAAGAAATACCAGTTTTTGCATCGCCACCCAAGTCTCAAACAAACGACATTCTCCCAGGCTGTCTCAGCTGCGTAATATGATTGGTATTTCTTTACTCCTGCAGACCTTTCCTAGTCCAAAACAGATACTTCTTCATCTTCGTATAGTAGTACCCCTTATCTCGGTCTTCATAGCATATCTACATCTTGGCACGTAGTCAGTGAACCATCTAGTCTATATCTCCATAGTGCTTACACCGACAGAAAGCCTAGTCTATCTCCATGTGGGCATTTATTTATAGTTAGACAAGTATATCTGGCGGTCTGAGAGTACTATACCCTCTTTGCCTCCTCAAGTCTACTAAAATTAGCTGCTTTTCTAATCGAAAGCTTCATTTCTTCGCCACTACGGCTAGTATTCCTCTCTATTAGGTCTTAAATTCTTGAATGTATCTTTTTCAGTAGAGATATGAAGGAGGCATACGTCTAGTGATAATTCATTCAAGAACAACTGTCTATGCCAAAATACCGAGCAACTTCAATTAGACCTGAGCCTCCAACTCCGAGCCAAAGGTCGACAAAACCCTCTTTCTTAGCTCGTGCAATGTCTCCACTATCCCAAGCTTCTTCTAATTCTCTCTCGAGATAGATTGTTTGGAACCCGCAATTTTTAGCTGCCTGCAAGTCCTCAAGATGGGCTGCAACTAGACAACATTCTGAATTCTTTAAGCCGAATCTGCGCGCTGCACCTTGATAGACCTCTGGCGATGGCTTGTAAGCACCGAAGTTCTCTGCACTGATAATGAACTTGAAAGGCAAGGAATTGTGTTTCTGGAGATCTTCGAGAAGTTTTATATTACCGTTGGATAATGTAGACGTCGAAAACTTAGTGCCAAGCAACGAAAGGCCCGGCACACTATCGGAGTATGAGTCAAGTCGATGCCAAGCGAGTGTTAAACTTTCGAGATCTTCCTCAGTGAATAGATCCCGGATAAGGTGCTCGGAGAGAATGCTTTCCAGAGAGATGCGATTGTACTCATCTACTGACACAAACGGTTTAGATGCATCGTAAGTGTCGCTGAAGTTCATATATGACTGATGCCATTCCTCAGCAATTCCTTGCCAGCTCGAAGTTGTCAATCCACAGACACGTGCTCGCACTGCGGAGCTCAGATTTCGATCATGGTCTTGCAGAGCTTGCCCTGCTGTGGCACTCAGTTCGTTCGTGATGCAAAATCTCCATTCCACAATTGTTCCCAAGACATCGAAGAATATCATCGAAGGGAGATCGACTTGTGACATCTTGGTCAAGGCATCTTTAAGAGAAAACAAGCACGTGTGTATGAACTGTAAATTATACTTGAAATCGTAGTCCTTGTCAGTCAATTATACAAAAGCCATGGCCTCAAATGATGATCGTACAATGAGGAACTGCTGCAAAATTTTTAGATGAATATCGAAATGGGATTAGGCTTCTTTAAATATAACGCCCGTAAACATTCACTCTTTTCATAAACCTCGGGATTTTATTGCCTAGGGTTGCATGTGATTGGTAAATGGGAAGTCTCACCAAGGCCCTCGGGTATCACACTTTCAGAATATTAGGTAAGGCGCCGAAACTACTAGTAACCAATAACTATCTTAATTAGCGAGCAGACCACCATACCATTTGTATACTGATGAGGCGTAGTAACGTAGTTTTCTACTACTGGTGCGCGCATAAGTGTGCGAGGAGCAGTTTAGGATATCACTTTACTGCTCATGAGCGCATTTCTGGAATGAGAAGGTAGCTCAAACGCTTCTTGGCTAGGGTAGAATAGAAATTGCATGATCGCTACGCTGTTGCGATAGTAACGTGTGTCTACTACCTCCCTAGGCAGCTGCAGGTCCTGGTTCGTTCGTATGCTGGTCTTCCAATATTAAATCAACAAACGAATCATCGATAACTTCGAGCTCCTCATTACAGGCAGCGATACCAATTCTCAAGACAACCAGGGAGAAACAGATGTTTATTACGCGATAAGATGTTGCGCTCAAGCTGGCCCGTTGGTCGGTGTATGTTGCAATTAATAACTTGCCTATAGACGTGATGGATCCAAAAACGTATATAGGGGCATCCAATTCAACGATGATGATAAGGAAACCCGGCAAAAGATAATTTGGAGGATGTCCTCATACTTCCACGTTCAGCCCTTGGCGACTCAAGTTTCGATACAGGCAGATGGTCGTGAAATTCCAGTGTGACTCTTGCTGATGGCATCGATCAAAAGCAAGTCATCGATAGAATTCCACTCATAGGTTTCATCAACGAATTTGACCAGCCACTGCAGTCTCTGCAAGGACCTGATATTTACCCAACCATGTCAAGTTTTGATAAAATCATCCAGATTGCAGAAAAGGACGATAGAAAAGCGATGCAGAGAGGAGGGTCTGTGTTCTGGCAAGGAGCGGAGCGCAAGGGCCATAAAAGTAAGCACGAGACACCACGCCAAGGTCCTTACTGTAAGATGGCGCAGATGTAGATGTAGTAGACATCTATGAGAATCTAAGGCTTCGAATAACGCAGGTAGTGGCCTTTCACTCCCAGAAATAAGAACCAAGAGGGTAATTTATAAGAACGGTAAGCAAGGATCTGGAAAAGTAAAGGTGCTAAATGCGATTAATATTGGTAACCTCTTCCCTCTAGGTTAAAGCACAAAGTTATTACGATAATTATAGTATTTTATTTTTCAAATAGTATCTTGAAGAAAAAAGGAAGGCGGGAAAGAGATTCAACGCCCTATATAATATCTAAATTTGAGATCTCTGCTGATAAGCTTGCTATTTTTATCAGCAATATTGTTATTATTACAATTATATTTATTATTATTCTTATCATTTTGAACTTGATCGATGTATTAATCGAGGTCTAGGAGGTTGTAAGGATTAGTGTGGGGCCAAATTTTATAACCAGTCACGGTAGCCTCCATCAACACCCGATACTAACGGCGAATCCGATCACGTAGATCGAGACGATAAACGTCTCAAGCTCTGCACTCTCATATTCAAGAGACTTCATCACGTCTTGAACTGCAGGTGCTAGCATGGACGAAGCTAGCGATCTAGTGATGTAGTATCAAGCATCAGTCCCATACATATCGGATCGGCAAGATTGGCCGGACCGGAACGTCTTACTAGCACCGGTGCAATACCAATAAAGTACATACGTGACAAATGATAGGAGTGTAATAAAGACAATGTGGCACCGACGGTACATGGCATTCTAGTTCATAGGATTTGATGGATCTGCGTCATCCTCTTAGAATACTTTGGTTGAATCAGGGACAGTCTCCTGATTTCTGCGGGTGTCATCTCTAGGCTCATCTCCTGACAGAGTAAGTGGTGGCCCATTCTCGTCATCTTTGGCCGAGGCCATGTTTTGAACAAAGGTGGAGTCGTGGGTGGGGTTTGGGGGTTCGGGTGTGGGTAGGTGAATCGCGGTGAAATAATAACTATGGCCAGCTCGATCAATCAAGGCATGAGTATTTCGCAATCAACCCCCTTTAAAGATTGTGGCTAACCAAGGCAGCAGTCAATTACCGATATGACTCTTCGAGATAGGATTGTTCATCGTTCACCAAATTCTCCTAGTGTCTGTATGGTATTCGGGCTAAACTCAGAGGTATCGTAGCTCTCTCAGGCTCAGATTCTGTATTCCTCGTGAGATCGCCCAACAGACCTTTAATCTTCAATCAATTATCCGATGCTGTTGGCGACCTTCAGTACTAGCTAGTATATCAACTTTTCATCCTGTCATACTGCATTAGAGAAGAGGACTGCCCGTAATTTTACCGTATCTTCTTCTTATTAGATTATAGGACGCACTTGTACGAATGGCAAGCGCACAAAACCGGCGGAATTTATAGGATTGTATTAGGTGCCCAGAGACTATTGTCTACATACCATAATGACCATGAATAGCGTGCTCGAATATCTAACAAAATCCAAACAATCAGAGGCTCAACCCTCGCTACACTATCTATTCTATTTCCTTTATAGTATTATCTCGGAACCAACGGCCACAATTACCCTAGGATCTTAGGTTAGACCCAAGGCTACTAGGTCTGCCCAGTCCACTCATGCAAACTGCGCATTAGCTCAACTCGATTACCATTCCGAGTAACCAGTGTGAGTCTTTTGTATCGAATGGACAGGAAAGTGGTGGGTAGAACAGCACACATACACTCAAACGAAGTCTCTGGCGCCTGGTCATGGGTCGGAATTCCCGATGCTGTAGGCGTTGCAACCGGATATTAAGCCAGAGTTGTCATTGTGACTATCAACGTGATACGTGGAAATGAAACTTCGCAGCACTGATTCAAGTATGTCAGTCTGGCTGTGAATACAACGATATGCAGCGAGTTACAGTGCACCCGGGAAATTGCCCGGTTTATCAAAGTCTCGACATTGCGGTGGTAATAGCTTTCTGATCAACCGATGATCGATTTTTGCCTGCATATTCATCGGCTTTCTAGTCCTCATTCATTCCTCGCAAAGTTGAGGTTCCAGGTAGTCGCTTCTTGGGATAGCGAAGCTCTACACTTTGCGGTGGAGCAGAGACTTCCTCATGATATCTTTAAAAACGGCAATATCTCTGAGGAATCGCTCCATTGCTGTAAACTCGCCTAAAAATCATCCAATCCAAGCTCCTGCGATGAAAAAAGTGAGTCACAACTGAGTGCATCAGAAGAGCGAAGGTGATGAATGGTTGAAGCCATGGCTCAAATTGATCATTGGGTCAGCCACAACTTCCGGCAGGAAATAATATCTTGTTATATGTAGAAGTTCGTAAATGCCTTGAACATTACTTGAGTCATAATATTAGCCATACATGTAGACCATGATACAAGAATCAACGTGCTGGATATTTTACACATGATATTGTCTCCAATTTTTTTTGGAGGGTTTCCGAACGTTCCCATCTCAAGAAGCTCAGCAAATATACATGTACAGCGATGGCCGTCTCTATTTCACATGGTCATTCATTCGCTTTTACAATTTCGATGAAGCACTATTGACCTCACCTTCACAAATAATCATAACGCAAGGGTTGCCTCTAAAAGCTCTAGGCAAACAGCAGCGAAATACGTGCGCTCAACGAGCGAGAGCAAGGCCGAACCGGAGCTTCATTCTGCTACACGTGGCAAGGCCCTCAGAAAAACGCTCTCGAATTAAGAAAGAATAGACGAATAAAACCCTGAGCTGATGTCTGGGAGAACACTGCTTACAGCCAGTGAAGATAAAAAGTTGCTACGCAAAATTGATTGGCCATTTATGGCACTTTGCTCTTTGATATTCATATTCAAGCACTTGGACAGTAACAACATGCTTACGCCGAAATGAAGTATTTCATAAAGATACACTGACAAATATGTAGTGATCCAACGCTCAGATTATGAATAAAGGAATGGATCAGAACGTTATGACCCAGCTTGCAATCACATCCAATAAGTACAGCCTCATTACAGTCTGTTACTATGTGAGACATCTGGTTCTTGACACGAGGATCGGCGCTTCTTGCTAAATATGACATTGCTAGATACCTTAAGTCACCCTAGAAGCACTTTCCAAGACCGTTCAAGAGAATTTCAAAGTGGCAATCAAGAATCATGTTTAGTTAGGGTATTGTTCTAATGTGCAATGCTGCTAGTAAGAATAAGGGAAGCCATTATACAACTCGGTTCTACTGGGTCTGGTATATTTCCACATTAATTTATCTAGAGACCAAGAGGGTGGTTCTTGAGAACGGCGATTAAAATTGGTATCCTACACCTACTACAATCAAAGCACAAAATTAATGAGATGATAATGGGTTTTTTGTTTCAAATATCTTCAAGAAAAGTAGAAGGCGAGAAAAAGATCCCACGCCTTGAATAATACCCAAGTTCGTGAGTTCTGATGAATCAATTGCTATATTTGTGTAGGATGTTCTACCTAAATAATTTTCTTTTTTTCGAAATTCATCGATTTGTCAATCGGGTGATAGGAGGTGAAATGAGCATTTTGGACTGAAAGAAGAAAGGAAGTAAAGGAACCTAAATATCGAAGGACCCAAAAGACATTTGTTCGCCCCAACCATGATGTGCCTTGATCTCGTTTATGGAAATTCGGCGGCAAAGTTTATCGAACTACAGCCGAGACGCTCGGCATTCTGCCCGGCACATTTCAGGCAGTCTCCACCCCCGGACATTTCCCCGCATTCGCAATCCTCAGCTCCCGCAAGGGATTTCGTCTCTCCCTACTACTCGATTTCTTGAAATAGGCATTTATGATTGACTCTCTTTGTCATTTTGAGGACGCCCAAGAAGCATGTCATTGGTAAAGCAAGACCGATCAAAGCGAGAACAGTATACTTCTCATGCATGGTTGGTACAATCTGGTCAGTCTCTGGGACTTCCTCGGCAATAACTAATTTTTGAAATTCGGAAATTAAAGCCATGAATGTCACCGAAGAAAAGTCAAGGTAAGTACAGAGCTATTTGCATTTCATATCAGAGTATGACGCTCAATTTACTGAATTGGGATTCAACTAGTGCTCTGGAGGCTCGATCTGTTCCAATTGTGAGAGAAGAGGTATCCAATGTGCTTACGAAGAATATAAACCTCGTGGTCGAAAGCCAAAAAAAAGAGATCATGAGATATTAACGAGGTAGGGCTTAATTATCAGATTACGCAGATTTATCAAGCTCATGAAAGCGTGCTCTAGTGATTTGGTTTCTTCTCAAAAGAACCGGTCGAACAAAAGTCAACAGACAGCATCTCTAAAAGGTCAACTCGCTCAACTGCAGAGAAAAGTTGAGGAGCTTTGCAAGGGCCGCTCTTTGAATGAAGATAGGGAGAGCAAAGCTGAGTCACTTTATCTTACAGACACAGAAGCACGGGCAACATTAACTACAGTGGCATCATCGCCATCGGACGAAGAACATACACCCATAAGCAGTGCCTCATTGCGAGGCAATAGCGCCCATTCACCGCAATACTACTTTGCAATTCTTCAAACTACCGATACTTTCGTTGCTAAATCTACTTCGATAAGCGGCATTGCCAATAGCTCCCAAATCCGTGCTCTACAGCGATTGAGCAATGATAGAGAGTCATCAAGGCCACAAGTAACTTTAGATAAAAGGTCAATTACGATTCAGCTACCAGAGTCGAATGTCTTGTTCGCCCGAATTGAAGCCTTTTTTCAGGAATTTGGCTGCTTCTGGCCATTCTTACATCAGCAAAGGGTTCGTGATTGCTTATTTACTGTTCTGAGCACAGTAAAAAGTGGTCAAAATGACAATGAGATTCTTGTCACGCGTCAAAATTGCAAGATAGTTGCAATTTTATTGAATATTCTGGCATTTGCGGATCTGATGGAAGAAGTATTTGCAAAGGCCGACTATTCACCCGGATCCCAGAGCTATTGCAAAGGCCTCGACTTGATGGAGAATTTTGGGATGCTATATGATAACAGCTTGGAAACTATCATATACCATACTATAGCAGCATCTTTTTTTCTTGCTGCAGAAAAGTTGAATATGGCTCTACAAAGCGCTTCTCAGGGGTTTCATATTGCTCGCTGCCTCGAGTTGAACAATCAAAAGCGCTGGCCCGACAGCTTGAACGAAGATATTGCTTGTCGCCAATCTCTGTGGTGGACATTATACTTCCTTGATAAGCGGATCACCCAGAAAATTGGCATTACCTACTCTCTTCGAGACAACGAATGTGGAGTACCAGAGTTCGTTTCTTCGCGCTCAGAAACTACTCTACCTCCGCACCAAGAAATGCTTCAGAGCATGATTTCTTTCAGTCAACTATGGGTTTATATTTGGGATCACTTCTTTTCTCCTCGTGCCTCTATGAACTCTAACGACTGGGAAGAGTTGGAGTTGACAGATACTAGAATTATGCTGGCCTACCGTCAACTTCCATCAAATCTTCAGTGGGAATCACAGAAAATTTTGGAGTATTTTGATCAAGAAAATGAGACACAAATTCGGCGACGACTGCTGGTTTATCTGGTGAGATAAAAACGTTTTGAAAGAAAACTCTTGCTCATAAACCAATTTCTAACGGTTCACCTTTAGCGATTCTCATTTCTCCGTCTCAGCATTAGACATAACCCTCTACAATCCGACAACCATAATATTCAACGGCGTGAAAACTGTATTTCTCTCTGTAGGTTCATGGTTGAAGCAGTACAAGCATATACGGACACATTCGGTAGTCACAAGCCGAGTGGCTATTTCCTTACATCTGCCTTAGTGGAGAGCCTATACTGGGTTGAAATCGAGTTACGACAGAAAAATCCCGTACTTTTGTATTCGGAGCTTGAGGAGATAAAGGCACTCGCTAGAAGGCTTCTTTACGATCTCTCATTGAGTATCGGCGCTGCCGCAAGGGCCTATGACTCCTTGAGCGATATTCTTGCCAGAGATATCTGGGAAGAGCTTCTACAAGCACCTGAGGTCTTGCCAGACTTTAGCGAGGTTTTCAATGACGTATCCATGGGTATAGAGGAATCCACTCCAGGGTCTGCTTCAGGAACAAGTGTTCCTTTCAATAATTTATATTTGGATCTAAATTGGGAGTGTTGAATGCTGCTATTGCCTTCACCAGAAACCTAGATTTCTCAGAATGAAGAGAATCAAACACCCTTCAAATTCAGATGACCAAATTGATCAAACACAAAGATTGTTCATTCATTAATCCATTCATCTCAAACTATCTTTCGTCTATATACCAGCAAGTCGCTCCTCAAAGTTTAGCAACAATAGCTTCCCTTGGATGTAATGACTGTACAGTGAGTTCCTTTAATTTCTTCTTCAGTAACTTGCCTGTTGCATTCCTTGGTAGTTCTTCAAGGACCACCACACCACCTCGCAATCTCTTATAGCTTGCAACTTTCTCAGATACGAAATCTGTAATCTCCTTTGCAACAATCTCCAAATTTTGAGGATCTGCTTCCTCCAAGGACACAAAGGCTCGGGGAATCTCGGTGTCCTCGCTAGAGCTCCAAACACCAATGACTGCAGCCTCTTTAACATGAGGATGCTGAATGATTATGTTCTCCAGCTCGGAAGGGGCAACTTGAAATCTGATTTCAAAATATTCAGCATATATCATAACTTGGTTCCAATGAGACAAACCCCTTGTATTTAATCATTTCCTTGAGACGATCATAGATGTAGAGGTATCCATTTTCATCGAGGTACCCAAGATCTCCGGTGTGAAGCCATCCATCTTGAGAGATCGTATTCTCTGTCTCTTCCAAGTTATCCTTGTAGCCCCTGCATGATAATAAGCATTGACATGCTCTGTTGACTTGACGAATTAATATCTCACATCATTGCATTTGGTGCCCTACAAAGGATTTCACCAGGTCCGCGCGCCCCAACGTCGTTTCCAGTCGAATCTACAAATCGGATCTCACAATTTGTGATCACGGTACCAGAGGCAGATAGTGGGAGGCCCCGATCGCGCACACCACTCTGAACACAAGGTCCAGATAATTCCGTGCATCCATATGCTAGGCCGTGTCAGAATTGATGGATAGAAAGCCCGAATAGATAGAATCCAATACTCACTCTGACACAGTGCAACGCCAGGAAATGCTTTGCGAAGTTTAGCTGCAGTTTCTTCCTGTGCAAAAGCAATTTAAATAAGCATTCATCCTCCTAGGGTAGTTATTAATGGACATATTTGGAACTGAGGATTCTTACATGTAATGGGGCAGCCGAACAGCTGAAATATTCCAGGTTGGGATATTTATATTCACCGACAATTGGGCTCTCAGCTAGCATTTTAGCCACCGCAGGCACGATTCTCGCCAAGGTGGCCGACCTTTCGGAAAGCAGCCGACAATAAAGTTTGAGGTCAAAACGTGGCATAAGACAGACATAAGCTCCGAGCCAAAGATTCATAGTGAAACACACATATGTAGCATAAACGTGGGATAGAGGAGGAAAAAATATCTCTCTTTGGCTACCCCGCCAATTGGCTGGGTTATCACATCGCAGTTGAAAACACGTAGCGATGAGATTATAGTGTGATAACATGACTGCTTTGGAGGCCCCAGTGGTGCCACTAGAGAGCAATATAGCAGCGCAGCACTTCTTGGGGTTGAAATCATGATCGCGAATTGGATTATGGATTTCAAGCCCATCAGATGAGGAGGAAGTGCTTAATAGAAGCTGTGGCCACCCTGCACTGTTCCCACTTCCAATATTGAAAACTTTCAATCCAGTGAGAGATCTGGCGTACTCGGGTTTCTTCAACGTAACGGACAGTTTTTCGTGAACAGTGTTGTCGACCACCAGAAATTTTGGCTTTACCAGGTTGAGGGCATGAGATATCTCGTCAGGATGGGAGCTATTATTGATAGCGCTCACAACCCCTCCAGCCCACCAAACAGCGTGTGCAGTAAGAATGTAGTCTATGCAGCTAGATGCTGAGATAAGTACAGTGTCACCTGCCTGTAGTAATAGCTCATGGCGCATATTATACGCCGTTTGACGAATTTGACGATGAAATAACATGTATGTCACGGTTCTGCCAGTTATCGCTTCTTCATAAATAATCTTGTCTGAATCAATCTTTCCGATCCCATGTTGCATGAGCTGAGAGATTGACAAGTTATCCGGGATATTTGTCCAGGTTGGAGAATAGTAGATAGACATTGTCGCGGCTAATACGAGTGGAAAGGATATGAATTGAGATATTCTGCCGAAAACAAAATATCAAGCTGTGTGGTTATGAATAGGCAGTATTTGACCCCGCATCTTCAGTCAAGGCCGTAATGGTCAGTTGTGCTAACTCTCGGAATATTGGAGATCAAGATTTCCTCGGAACTTTTTCTCCAGGCCAGGAAAGGGGGGGCATCCTATTAGGTCCCGAACGCGGAATAAAGGAAAGAATAGGCGCTATCAATGTTATTGGAACATTTCCAAAGAAAAAAAAAAAAAAAAAAAGGAGAGCTGAGATTTCCGTTCTCGTAATCATTGCGCAGCCTGCAGCTTCGTTGACTCTGACGCCTTAAGTTGTGACACCTGATTCTAACTGCGGCAATGGAAGTTGGAGATCTACTGTTGGAGATCTACTGAATTTTTACGCTACACAGTTTCAAGTATTTTGAAATGAAAGTAATAGATGTAGTGACACTTTAAATGAATCAATATAATTTATTTACATGAACCTTCCACCAGTGCATTCGATACAAGTTCCTGTGACGTATGAAGATAGAGGACTTGCTAGGAACAGCATGACTCTAGCTGCCTCATCCGCACTTCCAGGTCGAGCCAACGGAATGTCGGACACGTCCCGCCATTTTTTGGCGTTCAGAGGGATACCTGGGCGAATATCCTGCCCACCAATCTTGAGAACCTCTGAATCAGTTGGTGGTCGAGTTATACGAGTGTCAATCCATCCATATGCCACCGCATTGGCACGTACATTGTACCTGCAGGAGAATTTTCATATCAGCAAACCCATTCTGGCCCCTGGCTCTGGAGGAACTTACCGACTCCACTCAGACGCGACGGTTTTTGTAAGCCCAACGATTCCCGCTTTGGCAGTCGCATAATTAATCTGGCCCATGGCTCCGTGTAGACCAGAAGTCGAAGAAACATTGATCACACTCTTTGGCATCTCAAAAAATGAAGGATCCATCCAGTGTGAAGATAGTGCTCGAAGAAGGCGGAAAGGAGTGTAATTATGAATTTTCATCACGATGTCAAACTTCGCGTCTGTCATTTTGTGAATAGCACTATCATGACAGAACCCTAGATAAAAGTTGGTCACTCGTCTCCTTTCATTCTCAAAGCCTTGTATCATACCAGCGTTATTGATAATGCAATTTATCTTTCCCCATTTCTTCAAAACTTCTCTCACTAATTGATCTGGGAAAGACTCATCAACTGCATTACCAGGAAATGGTGCGGCAATCCCTCCGGCATTGCATACTTCGTCAGCAACCTCTTTAGCTTTGGCTGCATCGAGATCGTTAATCGCAACCCTGGCCCCCTTTTGAGCTAGAAGTATAGCTGCCGATCGACCAATACCTGCCGAGTATATGAGTGGCTAGAATTTACAAAAATAGACCATATCACTTACCCTGAGCTGCGCCAGTTATGATAATAACATGCCCGTCAACTCTGGTTGGATCGACGTCTGAGTTGCTTTGGCCAAGGTGGCTTTGTATTTGTGACAAGCGATTGTTGGCCATTGTGATTACACCATGGATTTCAACTAGTTTCAGGATCAAAAGGGTTTGAATAGAAAAGCAGCGTTGGGAATGTATCATATGTCTCTAAATATCTCTTTTGGTGGCTGGATGGAGCCGAGTTCGGAATATTTCTGGGGCTGTAGCCAACAATTTCCCGAAGCTGTTCGCCGACGAATTATAGCACCCCAGATTTAAAGCCGACACACTTGCTGAGGTTCTTGAAATTATTTCTATATTTCACCACTTTGCTTCTAAACACTGGCAGTCACACCTCCCTATCCCTAACACTTGAACTTGTTGAATATCATGGCCTCTGCCCTCACCTCCGAAATTCCAGGTGCCGATCCGGCATGGCACCGTCGCCATGACCACCCGCACTATAAAGAGACTCACTATAAGTTACAGCGATTTGTTCGAGAGTATGTCAGTCGAGAAATTGCACCTAATGTGGAAGAATGGGAAAAACAAGGAGAGGTGCCCGAAGCTGTAAGGAAGCCAGTCTACCTTGAATATTCAACTCTAACAATGTTTAGGCCTTCAAGAGACATGCGTCCTTGGGATTCCTTGCGGCTTCAGCGTTTCCTATTCCGAAAGAATATGTGAAAGGCGTTACTCTCCCAGCTGGTTTGAGCGTTGATGGTGAGTTCCTCCAAGCCCACAGACTGATTATGGCTTAAAATAGTGGCTAATATGGTCCAGAATGGGACGAATTCCACGATGCTATCGTATGGACTTACCTAACTTCCTGTTATTCTATCAAATATCTTTTTGGGAGGAGTCATTGCTGAAGCTAACGCTTCCTCTCAGATCATTGATGAGATGGCCCGATGCGCTTGCCTGGGAACCATTTGGGGGATTAATGGGGGTGCGACCGTTGGAGGGCCACCCATCGATCGCTATGGGTCACCGATCCAGAAAGAAAGGTACCTTGCTCCACTTTTGCGTGGTGAGCAAAGACACTGCCTATGTGTCACAGAGCCTGCGAGTAAGTTGCTCTCTTGACCTACACATCCCTGAAAACCACTTATCAGATGTTCTTTAGCTGGCTCTGATGTCGCAGGGTTGACAACGACTGCAAAGAAGACACCCGATGGGAGGCACTATATTCTCAGCGGAGAAAAGAAATGGGTTACGCAAGGTCGTTGGGCAACCCATGGTTTGGTGGCTGCCAGAACAGGCCCTGCTGGAGCCAAGGGTATTTCTGTGTTCATTGTGCCATTGGACTCAGACAAGGTTTCGAAGAGGAAAATTGATAATTCTGGGGTTAGCTCAAGTGGTATGGTCATTCGAAATCCTGCTTTGATGATAGAATCCAGTGCTCTGACACAATTCTGCCCTGATAGGATCAACATATATGGAGTTCGACGAAATCCTTGTTCCCGCTGAGAACTTGCTGGGTAAAGAGAATCAAGGTTTTGAAATTATCATGTCCAGTAAGTGCTTATATTTCTCACTTATAATGCGCTATGGTGTTTAATAAGGTCTTTTTTTTTCAGCCTTCGCACATGAGCGTCTTTGGGTCGCCATCACCGCCCTTCGACTCGGCCGCGTTGCCTACGAGGACTCATATCGGTATGCCCTGAAGCGAGAGACATTCGGAAAGCCTCTATTTGAGAATCAGGTCGTTCGTCAAAAGTTCTCTCGCATGGAAAACATGCTAGAGCCAACCCAGGCATACATGGAAGAGCTAGTTTACCGATCTGTTCGCTTGTCTTCTCTAGACTTCTCTCCTCTTGCTGCTATGCTCAAAGTCCAGGCAGCGCATAATCTCGAGAAGATATCGAGAGAGACACAGCAGATCTTCGGTGGCCTTGGATACTCACGTCAAGGTCAAGGCCAGAGAGTGGAACAAATCAGCCGTGACGTGCGGGTTTTGGTAGTGAGTGGGGGAAGCGAAGAGATCCTGCTCGATATGATTGCGAAGCAGCAACGAAAGTTGGCACACCTTTAAGATGGGGGACACAATACATGTTAAAACACCAAACTACAATGAGACAGTGCATCGAATTCAGCGACACTTGCATTATGAGTTCTTGTGTGCTTTTTCTAAATTTGTCCTAGCACTATCCATAGGCTCTTCTAGAAGTTGGGTGTCTTTGTTGTCTCAGAGCTCTAGAATTCCAACAATCTTTTCTTTACTCTCATCCATTTTTAGTATGATGATATGTTCCCCTTTTGGGACCATTCAGATGCTCACAGACGACTGTCTCTTGCCTCGTCCCGAAACATGGTTTCACTGGTTACCTAAATCGTAACTTGGTTCCACTCTTCATTCTCATAGATCTGTCGTGGAAAAACCGGAAAAAAATAAGTACTTCTTATCGGTGTTCCATGTGGGTTGCAAACGCAGTCGGATTCATTCGTTGGGGGAGATTTAGCATGATCCACAGCGGCTCAGAGTTGGAAATTAAAGCGCCTGGTCTCCCAGAAACACCATGGTCCTTTGTCAGTCTATTTTAAGTCTACAAAAGATTACGTGAGCCAAGTTTATCTTTTGCTCTTATGTCTAGTGCCTCAATCATAGCTACAGCTGCTAAAGAAGTTGAGCTACGGTCAAGGTCTGGAGCAAGAAAGTCAGCATCACACTAGCTGACAGCAGACAGATCAAACTATGATACCTACAGCTTCGTGGAGAACAGAAGGTTCCTTAGCTCTTCATTCATTGCAATTCCGATATGTCTTAGCATGCGTACTGTTCGGCTATTAAAATTATTGCTACCGCGGAGTCGAAAGTTGTGGGCATCTGTCATGAAGGTATATTAGCTACTAGGCAGCTTGGTTTATTCAACCTCAAAAAAACCGAATAGTTTAGAGGGAAACCCCTGGTCCGTAAATTGAATATTGCACATCGTTTAGCCAATGTTCAGAGCCAAGGAGGTAGCTGAGGCCTTCTCTAATTCCTTTGAAAGTATCAGGGAAGGGGATCCCGATCCTGTATGTACAACGCTTTTCGCCATCTACTTCCATAAGAGGTAATTCCAATTTTTTGTGACTATTTGGCCTGTGACCAAAGCACAATCTCTATCATGTACCAGTAACCGTCAAGGGAAACGCGGGGGGCACAGTGCGGGTTAACAAGAAAGGCAAGACACCCCGACGCCAAGCGGGTTAGCGCCGCTGACTCCTGCCGTATGGTGGAATCGGAGGCCACCCGAAAGCATCACGGTTTGGTCGAACTTCCGATCGACGACCCCTACTTCACTCGCTCTTATGGCCTTGTACGATGCATATCTTTGTCCTGTAGGTCAATCTATGTCTAGAGCGCTGCAAATTCCAAAAAAAATGTCGTCATCATACAAAATATCCCCACTACTTCTTTCTCGCTTTAAACCTGCTCCGCATCCGCCCCCATACTCTCCGGTCCGGCGTTGCGCTTTGCCGCTTTTTGCAGATCGCGTGCATATTTCACTCCAAACCCGCGTTGGAAGACTGTCCGGATATCTTCTAGCGTCATGCCCTTCACGTCAGGATAACAGAATATCACCCCAACCCACCCAAAAAAGCACACCCCCGCGTAGAACCCGAATGCACCCGAGGGTGTCATATTTTGCATCTGCGTCAAGAAGGTAGATGCCACGATGACATTCGAGCCCCAGCAGCTCATGGTCAGCATCATAGTCCCCATGGCCCGGACTTCCATGGCGTAGAACTCGGACGACATCCAAGCAATGTTGCCCGCGCCGACGGAGTATACTGCGACAAACACACCATGCAGGCAAGCACCGCATTTGCGGCCCAGCCATTCTTATTGGAGGTGAGTTCAAGATCATGGTTCAGGGGAACCCAGTGGAAGCAGACTGCAGCAACGGCGAGCGCGGCGGCCATCAACCATAATGTATGAATCAGGATCTGGCGACGACCCACACGATCTACCAGGAACAGATTGAACCAAGTGAAAATGAAATTTGTAGCAGCGATAACGGATCCCACCGCAATTGGCCTATCAAATCCGACGGCAGCAAAGAGGGTTCCGGAGTAATACAAGATAGAGTTAAATCCTCCCAGCTGAGAGATAGCCATCAGGCCGCACGCTGAAAACATAGCGCGGAAATTGGCCGAGACTACATAGAGCTGTTTGATCTGCCACCAGAGCTTTTTTCGGGTGCTTCGAGTCTGGTCGACGTGGATTGTGATATGCTGGACTTTTTGTTGTACCTGCTCGAGAGTACCATCCGGGAAGATCTTCGCAATGACGCTGGCGGCCTCGTCAAGATTGTGGTGATAAACCAATTGGCGGGGGGACTCCGGGCAGAACGGGAGAAGAATGCAGAGAATAATTGCGGGCACGGCACCGATAGTTGCCATGTATCTCCAACCAGCACTCACACTCGCAAAAGCGCCACCAATGCCATAGCTGATGAGTTGGCCAGCGGTGATGGACAGTTTATCCAAGCTAATCATCCGCCCACGGTATTTTGCTGGAGCGACCTCAGCAATATAAAGCTAGCAAACTCAAGGTCAGAGGGTCTGGGATTTTGTAGATAACGAGGACATACCGGGACAATCATCGCGGCGGATCCGACGCCCAGTCCAACCACCAAACGGCCAACTGTCATCGGGGCGAGAGAAAATGATGTACCTTGAATAATCACTCCAATGATAAATAACAGACATCCATTGTAGATGCCCAAATTTCGTCCATATCGGTCGGCACAGAGACCAGCCACCACAGCATCAATCAGAGCACCGCCGGAGGTAATTGAGGTGATGAATTCCTTATTGCTTCCATTCAGACTTTCTCCCAAGTCGGATCCTAGTACGACTAGAATTGAGGAAATGATCCCGGTGTCATATCCAAACAAGAAGCCACCCACGGCCGCGGTGATCGATACCAGCCATGCGTACTTGCTGCACCGGGTAGACTCGATTGTGTCGAGTTCGTCAATAGTCATAGTCTCAACATGTTCAATTGAATCCTTTGGGGCATCTTCCCCATCGAAGGAAGACTTTCGACTATTGTCATTCATAATTGGACTTGACCTGTGCTGTAAGAGAGGACAAGTGCGGGAGCACAACGATAGTGGATGAGAGTCCTACTGTTGTCCGGGGCTCCAGCCACTACGCGAGACCGAGCCCGATGATTTTAAAGACTCCAGCCGATGACGACCATCCCAGAGGACATGCATCATCACGGAGACTCGGGGCGTGTCCGGTACCGGCAATCGTCCGTGAGTGGCCGTCGGATGAACTCTCGACGGGGCCAATCATGAGCCCGGCAAACCCCAGGTTTTGAGCCCCGCACTCTCCGGGGGTGGAGATGCCCGCCGACGCCTGCCTTCATTTCCTTCTTTACCAGCCTCGCCGTCCGTTCTTCATTTCTGTCCGGCACCCTCACATACTCACGGCCTTTCTATCATGAGGCGGACTAAGACAGTCCCCTGGTGAGTGGCCCCACTCGTCACCAAGGCCAGTCAGTGACTGACAAGCCAATCATAAAGCCAGGAATGCCGCAGTAAGTACTCCGCAATGGTCGAGGTTCAGAGTAAGGTGCATCAACTGATATCATAGTAGACCGACATGTCAAATGTGAGTCCCGCAACTGCCAGGGTCTCTTCAAAACATGTTGAATGAACCAGAGAACTCACACCATCTTGTGTACATCAGGTGACGGGCAAAAGCCGAAATGCCATCGCTGTGAACGGACCGGGGCGTCCTGCGTATGGCAACCAATTCCTTCGGAATTTCGTCATGGCTCCAGCGCCAGTGCTCGATATGATTTCGCAGACGATCAGCCCTGGCTACCGATTGGCTACGGTGCGTGCTTCTTTCCTGTTGTTCTCATAGTTTGTTGGCGTTTCGTCCTTCTGTAGTGCAGAACAGAGCGAAGTGCATCGTGACATGCAATATCGGGCTATGGAATTACCGATTAGAGTGTCTAACCCGAGAATGCAGTGGATTTTACATATGTCGACGAAACAGCCGACATAGCCCGACACTATTCGGTGGACTGGGGTCGCAGTCCCTCTTGGTCGCCGCCTTTGGACTCGGAGAGACGCCGAAGGGAGTCCTCCCAGGGCCAGCAAGCTCTCACGGAGCTGCCGATCTTGAGTGATACACTCGGGTCCCATTCTCCTCATTTCTTTGTTTCGCCACGCCGGTCCATGAATAGCAACCACTTCCTGGAATATCCGACATACCCTCTCCAGTCATCCCCGGAGAATGGCACCTCACCGTCCTCTACTCCCTCCAACTTCCCTCACGCCCGCCATGCATCATCAGTATCATTACCAGAGTCCCGAGACTTTTACACACAGATCGATAATGGCTTTCCGAATCTAAATGAACAAGAGGCTTGTTTGATGCGATATTTCGTCGTCCAGCTTGCTCCATGGGCATGTGTCTCTTTGATTGCATACTACTATTAGATTCAATTTCGCTGGTTCGCTAATTATTGACTCAGTTTGATATTTGCGATGGGGAAAGACATTTTGCCTGTACCGTTCCTCTGCGAGCGCGAACATGCCCGCCCTTACTCAACGCCATCTATACTGCATCCGCTCGACACCTCAGCCGCATCAAGAAGTATTATAAAGGCAACCAAATCCACTACGGAGGCAAAGTACTCCCAGACCTAACACCAGAAACTGCAATCCACTATCACAACAAATGTATCGCTCACTTTGTCTCCCTATCGGATCACTCCCGCGAAGCCCGGGATGAGAATCTGCTAGTAGCCGCTGTGATCCTCCGCTTCTATGAAGAAGTCGACCGTCAGTCATTTCCTTACCCACACCACATTGACCCTTACTCAGAATTAGCTGATTTTCTTTTTTCATCTTCCAGTCGGAACCATGGGCGAAGATAACGAAAGTGCCCTCCGTGGAATCCAAATTTTCTTAGATGCGCAAGCAATCTCCGCTGTAGATGGCTGCGGCCTCCGTCACGCCGCATACTGGATCGCCTTAAGACAAGAGATCATAACCGCATTCAGCAAACAGCGTGCCTTCCGCCTTCCCCTTGGTCCTTGCGAGCCGTACCGCTCCTTTGAGCCCGCCGATGATTACGTCTGGGCCGACCGTCTCGTCATCCACTGTGCCGATGTTCTCCAGTACTGCTTCGGGTCAGAAGAGGAGCATGTGCAGGAGAAATACCCTTCTTCCTCCTCTTCCAGCCTCAGCATCATCCATGGCATGTCCACTCCGGCCCAACGCATTGCACGATACGAGGAACTGGTCGCGTTCGAGACACTGTGGGCCAAGCTGGGCCCGGCGAGTTTCAAACCGATCTACAGTCGTGAACCGGACCGGTCGCACGGCGAGGTCTTCCCCGAGCTGTGGTACCTGAACAACTGCCACGTCGCGGGTCTGCAGTATCTAGAGCTCGCCCGGATCCTACTGACGGTATACAATCCCAAGCTCCCGCGATTGGGGCCCGGCCAGCGCCCGGCGATGCGATCGGTGGATCTCCAAGTGCGAGCGATCGTGCTGCGATTGTGTGGAATTGCGCTGTCAAACCAGCACAGTCCACCGGGGTTTGTCACTGCCTTTGTAGCGATTGGAATGTGTGGTGACCGGTTTACGGATGCGATGGAGCAGGAGGCGCTATTGGGCGTGCTAGCAAAGCTGGAAGATGAGCATGCATATCCCACGGTCAGCGCACGGGAGCTATTGAAGGAGGCGTGGGGGTGGGATGGGTAAAAAACGAAGAAATAAGCTGTGGATTGTGTACAATAGTCTTCGTCAAAGCATTCTGTACTTGTTGATTGGGCGATGCATGCCGTGGCGGTCCCGTCCACGTGCACTTTGGGTACACCCAATGTCTCTCCCGATAATCGCGTCAGGTTCAGATATTGTCCATACTGGCTTTTCTAGAAATAGAATACGTTTTCTTGTCTTTTATTTATCCCGGATGTTTATTACACTAGAATATATTCAGTCCTTTTGTCTATTTCGAGGGCTTATCGCGAAAAGTGGAACTAGGTACTTCATACCTGGCCCCCTCAATGCGGAGCAAAATCTTCCACTCCGCAACATCGCTTGACATGCAAGGTTTGATTCAAACAAAAGCCCAGCAGCTTCGTCAATTGAATCTTTTCTTAGCATCTTACCCTCTCTTCCATAACCCTAAAAGGTCCACGGCAAGTATCCATTGATCTAGTTCCACGACCCCTCCGTGGGGCAAAGTCTCCAAGTTGATCGCAGGCCAATGCGGGGAAGTGGAGTCGCCCGCTGAAGGGCAATCGTCGCCGGCGACCTACTCTATCCAGCTAAGGAGCCCGATGAGCTTCGCAAATCGAAGTCCGACGGCAGTTGAGCCAGTTATGCAACAGGAGTCAGGTATATAAATTGGACTTCGTCATGGCTATTGAAGCATTCCATTACCTCGCATTCCCATTCTCTGTCAATTCCTCTCATCCCAGCATAATTTCGCAATGACCTCCAAGCTTCAAGTTGCAGTTGCCGGCGTAGGGCGCATGGGTACAGCTCTCCCCCTTCACCTCAATCCCGATCCCTACAATTCCTGCACGGCACTTGAATTCTTTCTCCGTCAATAGGCTAACCCGATACCCTCTCCATAGGCATGCGCCATGCCCGGCACTTCGCAACACTGACTCCGCGCGCGGAGCTGATCGCCGTGTGCTCGCCCGTACAGGCGGAGCTGGATGCTGCGGTGAAGGAATTCGGCTGTCGCACGTACAAGGACTACGAGACCATGTTGCAACAAGAGAAGAACCTGCAAGCGGTGGTTGTGGCGAGCGCTACGACCGTGCATGCAGAGCAAGCCATCAAAGCCATCGAGCGCGGTCTGCACGTCCTGTGCGAGAAACCCATCAGCACTAGCCCCGAAATTGTGCGTGCTACTCGTTATCCATCTCCTTGTTCTCGCCCCAAAAGCTCTTCCAGCGTTCTGAACGTTCTTCATACCACGGTGACAAGTCTCGAAAGCTAACCTGCCTCGATTCCTCACACAGTCTCAATCCGTCGTCGACGCCTACAGAGCCTCTATCCGGAAGTATCCAAACCAGAAGGTGATCTGCGGCTTTAGCCGGCGCTTCGATGCTTCATACCGTGATGCGCACCGGCGCATGGCAAGCGGTGACATCGGCACACCGTCCGTGTTCCGTTCGCAGACGTGCGACAAGCTTGATCCGAGCGGGTTCTTTGTCGCATACGCGGAGTTCTCGGGCGGAATCTTCGTGGACTGCTCGATCCATGACATTGACCTGGCGCTGTGGTTCTTCGGCGAGGAGACGAAGGTCAAGAGCGTGACGGCAATTGGCATCACGGCTGTGCAGCCAGACCTACGCAAGCACAACGACCGGGACAACGCGCTGGGCATCATTGAGTTCTATGTAAGTTGTACACCTCTGATATGCTCCTGGCGAGTGTTCTGCGATTCTGCGCCAAACTGGTACAAGTACCTAATATCTGGGGTGGGTTGTTGTAGGGCGGCAAGATCGCGCAGCTCTACTGCTCGCGAATGATGGCCGCAGGCCAGGAAGACTGCACGGAAATCTTTGGTACCAGCGGCAAGATAGCGGTCAATACGCAGCCGCAGCTGAACCTGGTGAACCTGTATGAGTCGAGTGGCATCCGGCGTGAGATCCCGGCGGACTACTACGGCCGGTTCCGAGAGGCATTTATCACGGAGGCGAACGAATTCACGGCATCGTGTCTGGATAACACGCCGGCGCCACTGCCGCTAGACTCTGCGGTCAAAGCGGTGACGATCGGATGTGCGTTGCAGGAGTCGCTGATTACGGGAAAGAAGATTGAGTTTGATGAGAGTGGCAAGCGTGTGGAGGCTGCACGGTTGTAGAGAGGAGTTTTGGAAGTCGGGAAGGGGTGCCAGAGTTGCCTTTTAGAAGTGGAGAGGGGAGGAGGCGAGCAACACGTATATAGAGATGCTTTTTTCTGTTCATGAACAAGTGAAATGAAATAGTAGAGATCATGCCTATCATGGTGCAACTGGTTGTGTATCCGATGGGAGGACTTCTTGTTCCCCCAGGAGGGAATCTCTTATCCCGGGGTTCTCCCCAGATAAGCTTCAGCCTCCCAACCTTAAAGCTCTATACTCTTAAAAGTATACTGAGTACCCGATGAAGCTACAATCAAACGGCTGGAGACGATTGAGACTAGGAAATGCCGAGGCGCTGCAATTGACTAACACATGGACAGACGGCCAACATAAACCAAAAGTCCCAGAGCACGAGAACAACGAAAAAAAGAGTAGTAAAGGAAATAAAATGAGCGGGTAATAGGGCACACAGAAAGCGGGCAAGAACAAGATATGGCGTAGCAAAAAGTACATCACAAGAAGGGGAAAAAAGGTCCCAGGTCGACCCCCGCGGATCGTATTATTTCAAAACCATTCTTTTAGCGATGCGTGGGCCCATCCAGTGGAAAGTAGAGAGGTTAAAAGGGGCAAAAAAGCGGAAAATGGAAGAACAAGCAACGTTAAGGGGCGGTAAGAGAGTGTGAAGTGACAATCAAGGAAATAAGTGGGGAAAGAGAGCGCGAGAGAGTGATGATCAGCAGCGGCCGTCAACGGCACGAGAGCAAGGTTGGGTCTTAACGGAGAGAGAAACCCTTGCGCTTGCCCTTCTCTTCGATGGGTCGGCCGCTCTCCAAGCGGTTCTTCTTGTCCTCTAGTTCCTGGCGTTGCCGGTCTAACTGATCCTTCATCTCGCGGTGTCGGGCATAGAGTTCGTCTTCGCTCTGCTTGAGCTTGCTTTCTTTCTCGGAAACCTTCTGCTGGAAGACCATCTTCATCTCGGCCTCCATCTTGGACAGTTTCTGTTCGTGCAGGGCACGCTCCTCCTCCTGCTTGACGGCCGGGTTGACCTCCTTGAACACGCTGGGGTCCTGGGCAACACCCATCTGGGTGAGCTTGTCCGAGCGGTAGTTCTCGTACAGGAAGTTGTTCGTGTGCTCCTTGAGCTCCTCCATGTGGGTGCGGATGAGCATCTGGCGCAGCTTAACGAAGTCGCAGTGCTCCTCGTTGTCGACTTCGATGATGCCCCAGGGGTAGCTGCGGCCACGGACGCGACGGCCATCAGCCGCAACGACCTCAGAGTTGGCACCAACCACGGCGAAAGGAACCTTAGACATGATTTCCTGGTTCTCGGCAATAGTCTCCTCATCGTCAAGCTCATAACGGGGTCCCTCGAAGATCTGGATGGAGTGGTGCTGGATATCGGCAAGGATCTAGACGGAGTGGGAAAGAAGGTTAGCTCTGATCACATACTAGCTTTCCAGGGTTCGCATATTCAAGGGTATAGGCGAATGAATCGGTTTGAGGGCAAGGGGAAAAGGGCATCCATACTCTCTGCTTGAACGCGGCAACCTCCTCGTCGGTCAGGGTATCGGCCTTGGCGATGACGGGAATCAGGTTAACCTTGGTGTGCAGGCGACGCATGACCTCAATATCCAGAGGCTTCAGGGAGTGGCCGGTGGGCTGGATAAAGTAAACACAGGCATGGATGCGGTTGTCAACAATGTTGCTGCGGTTGACCTTGTTCTCGGCCTCCAGGTAGGTGTCAAAGCGGGACTCAATGTTCTCGACAATGGGGCGCCATGAATCGTCGTTGTTGACAAAGTCACCGAAACCGGGGGTGTCAATCACGCTCAGGCGGAGACGCACACCATTCTCCTCGATGTCGGCGCTAGTGGACTGGATCGACACGGTCTTGGGGATGATATCGGCATTGGGGCCGGTGCGCTCCTTCGGGGGATAAAGGGAGGTGTTGAACAGAGTGTTGACGAGGGTCGACTTTCCGAGGCCGGATTCACCTGTACGGTGGATGAGCAATGTCCAGGCCGGGCATTGAAGACTAGAGCAAGATATAATTGTGACATACCGACAACCATAACATTGAAGTTGAATCCCTTGCGGACACTCTTGCGGTGCCACTGGTTGGGCAGGTTGGCGAAACCGACATAGCCGGTGAGCTTGCGACGGACGACGTTCTTCATGTCGGTGGCAGCCTGAGCGACAGCCTTAGGGTCGCGAGAGCTGACGGTCTGGGCATTTCCAGAGCCCATGGGGTTGCTGCGCTCGACATAGGGCGACTCCTTGCCGCTAGAGGGCTCGGGGGATTCGGGCGACGCGATAGGGGAACCGGTCACTGGCGGCGAAGCTGCAGAGGCCATCAGTGTCCATTTCTGATATGTGCGATTGGGCCTCACTGAAACCCGGCTATCACCATTTCAATTCGGGAAGGAGGGAGAAATAGCTTACACATGGCGGGCGAGTTGTGTTTTGCGGGAGAGAGTTTATGGGGAAATGAAGAGACGACGTGAAAGGATCCCCTGAGATTGAATCATTTTGGTCAGCGATACATTGCTTTTGCACAAGTGGGGGAAAATTCTCTCTCGTCATGATCCAGACCAAAGACTCCTAAAAAAAGGTTTGGAGGGGGTGGAAGGGGTACGGAGATCAAAAAATGTTAGGGATTCATCATCATACCTGGAGAAACCTGCGTGGTCCGAAAAAAGGGGGGAGGGGGAAGGGGAAAAGGAGGAGAACACAAGTTCACAAGCGAAGGACGAAAAAGCAGCTCAAGCGCGACAGCTTCAAGCGCGACAAAAGAGAATTGAAAGAGAGGAAGGATGGAGGAAGGGAGGTTTGGAAGGCCTGCCAGTCTGGGAAAGAAAGGGGGGCGTTCGAACAAGTCTCGAGGTCCAGTGATTCGATCCGCGTGATTCGTCCACCACAGCTCCCGAACTACACCTCCCCCCGTTTACTACTTTCTGACACGCTACATCACCCCTCTTCTGGTTATGATCATTGTGATTTCTTTATTGGCCTCGATGTGCTAATTGCTCTGTTCTACTAGCCGTCGACTCGATCTGGATGCATCATCTCTAGCGACCCGACACCGCACATTCCTCGGGGGATTGACTGGCTACATGGCCCTTGGCCCCCCCCGGGCACCGCTGTTACTGGTGCGTGCGGCGACGGGGAATGCGGGCCTAACAAGCCTTGGGAGTATACGGCCAGTTGTCATGTTGGTGACCCCCCACCAAGCAGACACGGTTCCAAGCGATTCGACTTCCTCGAAGGCGCCAATGGCATCGGTTACTCAAAACGGGACCTCCAAGGCTGCGATACCAAGCTCTCCGGGGTGGGACAGAAGCACCTGGCCGGCTCGTCCGCTGTTCCCCCCGGGCCCAGCGACCAAACAAGCCAAAAAGCTGGATCTCCTCAGGGGTTACGGGGTCGGTCACGTGAGTTCCACCCGCGGTGGATCCGCAACCAAACGGTAAAAACGAACAGGTCAACAAGCTCCCCGAGGCTGGACTATTGGGCCGCGGATTCCAATGCAAGCCCTGCAAATCATACGGGAACACTAGAGAGCGCATGTACAGGCAGGATGATATGAATTACAGAGACTATGTGAGCAAAGAATTGCGATGGAATATCATTGCACTGGCCATGGAAAAGAAGCATCTTCATGAACGCCGCGAGGGGATTTTTAAGCAGACCCAGAAAATCAACCCGATTGATGAGTTGAAATAGAACATAAAAAAAAAAAAAAATAATTGTACATCTATTTGCCTGTCTTACTCTTCTTCTTCGGCCGAGTCTCCTCGTCAGCGTCGGATCCAACATCTGCGTCGTCGTCGTCGTCATCGGCCTCGCCCATCTCGGCATCACTGCCGCTGCCGCTGCTCTCGTGCGCCGAGTCATACTCTTCTGCAACGTCCGAGTCAGAAGAAGCGTTGAAATCTTCATCCACAGACTCCTCATCTTCGTCGGCCGAGCCACGGTCCGCCCGTACGCCCTCTTCGTCACTGGATTCCATCAGGTCTTCGTTGTCGAGTGCCGCCTTGAGCAACGTGGAGGAGTCATCCGACATCTCGTTCTTGATCCGAATACCCTTCGCCTTGAAAAAGTCTTCCAGAGGTTGTTGCTCCTCACTGGTTACAGTCAGTTATCCTGGAAGATGGAAGCGAAAAGGATAGGGGACGAAGATGTTCTTACCGGTTGATGTTACTGAACTGATGCTCACCCGCGCCACCCTTCAGGCTAACCGTGATATCGAAAGTCCGGCTGGCAGAGATAGCACCGCCAACACGCGACATTGTGACCACAGCGACACTCTCAAGCTGGACATAGGTGGCGGGCTTGGGAACAAAGATAAGACTTTTGTCCAGGAAGTAGAGCAGACCCTCGTTGGCCTTGATAGAGCACTTAACGCCATGGTGGCCATGGTGGCTGACAAAGTCCTTGGACGGCATAATAACCTTCTTGCCGGATAGACCACGGAAGATCTTCGTCACCACTTGGTGAATAGGCTCCTCGTAATGTGACTGCAGCTTATCCTTATATTGCGTTTGCAACAGCTCCCTGGGAATACGGTCAGCAAATCCAAAGTACCAACAAAAATGAAAAACCGTTCTGGAAGCACGAACTCGGTCATATTTAATTCGAGGCTAATCTCCTCATCCAGCTTCATTTGCATCACCAGGAAAGGGTATCGAGTCTGACCCTGGCGCAGAGGGGGGTCCAGGCCAAGAACAATGAGAGTGTGGGCATCATCATTCTTGGGGAGCAAGAAGAACTTTTTGATGGCAGAATACTGAATCTTGTAGTCGTATGTCTTACCGCGCAGGCGGAAGGAAGATTCGTACATGTCGATATCGAAGCGGCCTCTGTTGAGCGCCGGTCAGTAACAGTCCCAGTATCAAAAGGGGAGATGAGGCAAACAAACCTAGGTGTGAGGTGAAGAACGTCCAAGAAAGTTGCGAAAGTATCGCCAGCGACATCTCCAATCTCGGCCTTGTCCATGAGTGTCTCATAGAAGAGGTTGGCCGCATTCTGCTCCTCGACCTCTTCCTCGTTTTCCTCCTCGCCTTCGGCACCTTCAGCCTTCTCCTTCTTCACGGCCGTGCCAGGAATATAAAATCGCATCTCCACCAACTCGTCGGGGCCGGCAGCCGCCTTCCGGCCCCGGTTCTGTGTGCTGCCCGCAGGCTGTGCGTTGGCCCCATTGGCCTCAGTCGCAGAGAGAGCAAACTCCACCGCCACCTCATTCTTGCCTGCTAAGTTGGTGTTGGAGATTTCGGAGTAAGGGACTTCGAACGCGGGCCGATTTTGAACATTGAAGGATAATTCGGCCTTGGTGAACTCTGCTTTACCCCAATTCCATCCACGAAGAGCGTGTTCGCGGGTCTCAATGTTGATGCCGTACCAAATTTTAAAAGCCTTACTCAGGCGCTCAAAATCCTAGTAGTCAAGACAAATCCAATCAGCCAAACTGCGCCATTTCTTAATTCGCGAGAGGACTCGCGACACACCTCTTGATCAAACCCATCCATCTGAATAACACCAGACGACCGCGACAGTATCTTCAACTCGAATCCTTTAGCGGCGCGACTCCACTGAGCGGCGCCAATGTTGCTGCTGTCCAGGGTGAAGGTGTCGCCGCCACCGGACGGACGCCATCCCAGGCCACTTTCAGCCAGCTTGCATTTTCCGGGCTGTTTCGAAAGATCAAGGTAAATATTGTCGAAGCTCTCCCTAGAGGCGATTGTTAGTACCGAGCCGACCACATGGGGAGGACGAACCGGAAAGCTCACATGATGGAGAAGCTCTCACGAATGATTCGAATTCGTCACTGGTCGGTGGTGTCAAAATATAGTCGCTGCGAGATGGAGAGATATAAAGAAGAACAGGGACGCGGGAGTGGGATGAGAATGGCAACCAAGAGGGTTTGAATAGCTCTCAGATTTCTCGCAGGTTCGCGTTGCAGCACGCGCAGGGGAGGCGAGCCACTTTCGCCCGTTTGGGTTTAGCTTAATGCCTGAGGAAGGTGGCCGTAATATGGCAGCAACGGAAAACTGTAACTACTAGTATTGTAACCACAGAGGCAGGAGCAAAGCTGGATTGAGTTTTGGCTGATAAATAGTTTCGATTTTCAAAGCTATCTTATCGATTAGTGACCGGTAGAGATAACTCCTTTGGTTCTGCTTCCTGCATCGCATTCTTGGAAGAAGAAATCTCAAAATAGGTTTTACCTACGCACAAGAGCCGGGCATCACCCCGTCCTAGCTAGAAAACTTGTCACGATATGCGTCAGTCATAGAGTTTAGCACCTATTGTCGAGTTTAAAAATTCTATTTTGCCTACTTTTAGAAGGGTTGCCATCACTTTGGAATCAGTTCATCAAGTGTGGTTCAGTGACCAGGTATCCAATGCTTTGACAAATATATTCAGCCCTCATCACCCGAAATCAACCTATGGTGGTTCCCTCATAGCTATATACTTGGTAAGGGGGTTTGAAAGAATTACGAATTACCATGGCTGCTAGCCAGTTTTTTTTCCTCTTACTTTTTTTTTCAAAAAAAAGGAAAAGAAAATTGAAAGGGCATCACATCAAAAGTTACCTATATCTGCTGAGATGGGAATAACGGAATCAGTGACGGGCGGTGATTCAAATTCGATCTAATTGTCTCTATAACTTTGATGCAAAAGGATCTAGTGTTTCATGTTCTGAAGCATAAGAGAAACTTTATTGTCGGTGATCATTAATAGCCAAATTCACTCAATACTCGTAATTCGATCGTCTACTTTCGTGTTAAGTTCATGGCTACCGGGGAGATCCACCGGTGGTCAATAGAGTGCGGCGGACTCCGTCCGTTTTGACCTTTCCTCGGATTTACGGATCAAGTATTAACCTGATCTATCAAAAAGACGAAGCATAGTGGACACTCAGTTCCAAGGACGTGTTTCTGAAACATTCGAGACCCCTCCGTGGGTGCAATCGTGACAAACGGGATGGATCATCCCTAAGGCTCCACAGAGGGAGAAGAGGACCTCGCTTTATAAATGTCCAGAGTGTCTATTTGAAAGCACGGCCTCTGGGTTTTGTGCATATTGACTTTTGTCGACAATCGACAGTGCAGGTCAAAGCGTGGAGTGTACATATATATGTACTTTTTCTAATCGATGATAGGGTTCCTCATAAAGATTGTATGTAGTCTGTACTCCACACCAGGAGACGAGAGCCCCAGAAGCCTGCGCGGACTCCGTACAGATTCGTCAACCGATGGGACTTAATCGTGGGCCTAATTACTATATTTAAGTGGCAGTGAGGCGCGGGGCTGGATCTTGTTTTTCCGCCTCGTTTCGGCCCACTTGGTTTCGGAGCTAGACGGGAAACGGAGGAGGTCCCAAAAAACGATTGACTGGCAACTATTTTACATCTGTGACATGAGCAGTCTTTCGGTTCGGGAACTGTTGGAAAGTGGGTTTGTGGTTTGGGATGCTCTCGATGTTGCCGCCGAACTATACAATGCTTATGGTGATGGCCCCAGGCCTCAAAGTTGGAGGGTGGTCCGGCAGACTAGGCAGCCGGGATGTAGATCCTCATACAACTCGAGGACCAACCCGACATGCCGACGTAATGCTTGCACGGGTTCATGATCGCTGGAGATAGACTGTTAGATTATTGAGAGGACATTTTGAACAGTGGGTTGTGAAAACAGATGTAAAATACTAGGTTTCGTTGTCCGGAGTATGGCTCTTCGACAGGTCATGAGCCGGCTGGCATGATGGAGCATATCCCGGCCCCCAGTAGGACCGGGAATCCCAAATCCAGGCGGACGGGCGGGCGGGCTGGGAGCTGGTGATTGGCTTCGGCGGTGCTAAAGGGGGGGCGGCGGTGGAGGTGAAGAGGGAAGCCCCCGGTCGCGTTGGTTGGCGTGGCTTAGAGGTCTGGTATGGCGGGTGTATCGGGCTGGGCGGGATGGGAAGGAATGGACGGGAAGGGCCCTGCCGAGCGGGTATTTGAGGGGTATTCTGGGCGTATGGGTAATCACTCGTATTAATCGTCAGATTGGGTCTGTTTGGTCTGATTTGTCCCGTTTGGGTTTGGCGTGTTGGCTGGGCGAATTCGTTACTCTCACCCAAAGCCCCAAGGCCCAAACCCCCCTTCTCCCTCTCTCGAACCATTCCAGTCATTCGTTGATTACCCTGCAAGAGACTTCGGTCTCGACATGCAGCCGACATTCTTTTCTTGATTTTCCATTTTTTTTCTGCCACATTCCTTATTACGTTCTTTTCGTTCCACGCGTGGAGGCCCGCGGTCTCCTGAATTCTTAACGTCAACCCCCTTCGGGGCTACACCTTCACTTCGTTTCCTTTGAACCTCTCTCCTCACCCACAACCTTCCCATTGGAGTGTTTACACCGCCTCAGCCTGTCGTCGCAGCCTAGACAATGAGGGCTTCTTCATTGTATGGGCCCGCGGCGGCCGGCTTATCGACTCTGTTGACGCTGCTGCCGACCGTCCACGCCTTGACTTTCGAGACGGTCTCGACCCCCGACCTCGACCTCTCCTCGCTCGGCCGCGTCGCTATCACTGGAGACTTCGATGGCGTTTCACTGTACGAATATGTCGGCCAGTCCGAAATCACATCCCGCCGGGGCTCGTCCATTCTCACCGCGCTGCCAAATGGCATCCTCACGAACCTCTCATCCGCCGATTCGCAAATCCGTGATATGTGCGCCTTCACCCAGAAAGACGGAACTTTTGCCGGCATATTTGTCGGCGGAAATTTCACCAGCCTCGGGGGAGTCGATTCCCCGGGCGCTGCCTTGTTCAATCCGAATACCACCAAGGTCACGGCCCTGACCGGTCTCACCGGCTCCATCTCCGCCGTGTTGTGCGACCAGGACACCAATCGCGTGTATGTCGGGGGAGATTTCTCCTACAAGAAGGTCTCCAACGCGCTCGCGTGGTCTCCGGACGACGGCTGGACGGATCTGTCGTTCGATGGCCTCAATGGCCCTGTCAACTCGATTTTAAAGGGCGATAACGGCCATATCATCTTCGGAGGATCATTTGATGGACTGGGCAACACCACGACCTCATCATCTAACAGCAAACAGATTCTCAACTTGCAGAATGCGACTATTACATCCGACGCCGAGACCTCTCTCTCTGGATACAAAGATCCCCGCAACATCATCTGTTCGACCAGCGGCGAGGCGGCCGAGGGCCAGACTTGGTTGCTACATGACTATGCCCCTGGTTATTGGCGGGCCTATTTCAATTTTACTTTCAACCCCACCAAAGTCCGCTTGTATAATACCCATTTGGACGGACGCGGCACCAAGAACTTCCTGTTCCGGGCTCTGCCTGATGATGGTATTATGAACATGACTTACACGGATGATTCGGGCAACAAGATCCACTGCGATTCATCTTGCCCACTCTCCAGCAGCTCCAGTGAGAAGTATCGGGATTTCACATTGGTAAACCCTGTTGGCATGAAGGGATTTCAGATTGAAGTTTTGGATTGGTATGGCCAGGGTGCTGGCTTGAACGGCATTGAAGTCTTCCAGGATCAGATTTTGTCTTACGCTGTTGATGCATTTAATGAGCCCACTTGTGCGGGTATTGAGTATCCTTCCAAGTCGACACACACCGGATCCTGGACGGTTGAAGACGAAGGTTACTTGTCCTCGCAGGTGACGGATTCGACTGACTCTAGTACCTCCATCGTCTTTTATCCGGATATCAAAGAGTCAGGAAACTACACTATTCTGTTTTACACCCCTGGATGTGTTCAAGATAGCTCTTGCAGCTCTCGTGGCATGGCCAATGTTACTGCCTCGGTCGCAACAGGTACCAGTGCTTCGCAGCCGTCTCCGACTACCATCTACCAGACCAATGACTACGACAAGTACGACACCCTGTATTCTGGATATGTTGATGCAAGCAGCGATTCATTCCGCCCAAGTGTCACCCTTCGCCCCATCTCTGGCCAAGGAGATATCACTCTCGTGGCATCCAAGGTCCGCTTTGAATTGATAAACGGCACTACCAGCGGACAACTCAATGGACTGTACGACTACAACCCTAGCTCCAGTGCCAGTACCACCGACCTCGACAGCTCGGATATCAACGAGGCTGGAAACTCCCTCGATAAAGATGCTGTGATTATGAGTTTAGCTGAGAATGATGGTGTGATCTATGTGGCGGGCAACTTCTCGGATAGCAAGATCAGCAACGTCATGTCCATCACCGATGGTAATGCCACAGCAATGGCAGGTAACGGTTTGAACTCCGAGGTGCTGGCTATGACCACTCTCAACGACGTTCTCTACGTTGGAGGCAAGTTCACAGATACCTCTGACGGTGGCGCCGATGGTCTCAACTATGTGGCATCGTACTCCTTCTCTTCAAAGAAGTGGTCAGCACTTGCGGATGGGTTGAATGGTCCTGTCAATACTGTCTACTCAATTGATCTGAGTGTCTCGCCTGCAATCAACGAGACCACCATCGCCGTTAGCGGTGATTTCAATGAGATTCGCGCTACTGATGACCACGCTGCTGTTTATGTCGCTGGCTTCGCCATTTGGGTCCCGTCGAAGAAGGCCTGGCTGCAGACTCTCAACGATACTCAAATGGAGTTTGCCGGCCAGCTGTCTGCAGCTACCGCCTACAACGATACCACTCTCCTTGCGGGCAACCTTGCAACCGATGGTATCACTGCTGGTGGCGCTGTATCGCTGCAAGAACTCGAAGACCTGACTCTGGTTCCTTTGTCGATTAACATGAACCATAGTCAATCAAGCTCTGGAATCAATACCGGTGTCTTTGATATCGATTCCGACCGAAACCTCACCATCCTCGGTGGCTCCTTCACTGCAGTTAGCAGCAATGGATCCACTATTCAGAATGTCGCATTCTTGAATGGCAGCGCGCAGACTGTTTTTGGTTTGCCTGAGGGGTTGTACAGCAATTCGACCATCAACTCGATGCTTGTGTACAATGACACTTTGTTTGCTGCTGGCAACCTGTCTGGATCTGTTGATGGGTCGGATGTCAGTGGTCTTGTGCTCTATGACTTGTCCAGCAATCTTTTCAAGACGAACCAACCCTCGGCGATCAAGGGCTCCAACGCTACCGTCAATTCCATTGCCCGCCGTCCTGGATCGTCCGTTATCTTTGTTGGTGGTAAATTTGATTCTGCTGGCAGTTACCCTTGCTCAACGGTCTGCGCTCTCGATTCGTCTCAGAATTCATGGACCTGGCCAGGCTCATCCATCAGTGGTACTGTGTTAGCGCTTAGTTTTGCCAGCTCCAACACTCTCTATGCCGTGGGTGATATTACTATTGGGAACAACAAGACCACTGTTGCTACCTTGAATGTTAAAACCGAGACCTGGACTGCACTCTCGGGTGCATCTCCCGCTAATGTTCCGGGGACGATCACTGCATTTGCACCTGCTATTGAGGATGATTCAAACTTCTGGATAGGAGGCACATCTAGCAATGGGTCTGCCTTCCTTCTGAATTACGATGGATCTAAATTCCAATCTCCAGGCTCTCTGTTCTCCGAGGGCACAACCATACGTGGCATGGAGATCCTCCCTCTTAGCAAGGATCATTCCTCTGTTTCGACTCTGAAGAATGATCAGGCCCTGTTGATTATGGGTCAACTTGTCATTCCCGATTTCGGCAAGGCATCTGCAGCGCTTTTCAACGGAACCACGGTGACCCCCTTTATCCTTTCCTCAAAGTACAATGGGGAGCCTGGCAGCATGTCACAGCTGTTCACCGAGAACCAGAACCCTTACACAACCAAATGTGAGTAGATCTATGCCTTCTATTTTGATTCGACTGTTACTAACATGAAAACCCAGCGTCCCACCATTCCAATGGTATTGTGGTTCTTGTAGCCTTCTGCTGTGCACTTGGCTGCGTCTTCCTCATCGTCGCTGCCGGTGTCATTGCGAACAAGATTCAGCGACGCCGCCAGGGTTATGCCGCTGCGCCTCAATCGTTTGGAACGGACCGACCGTCCGACATGCAACGCCTGCCTCCGGAGTATCTCTTCAACTCCTTGGGGCAGCCCAACCCCACCGCACCAGTTATCTAATGAATATCCCAATGTTCACACACCTTTACCTATCTATCTCTTCTGCACAAAATCCCCCTTGGCTCTCTCAAGTCTTTGTGAGTAGCATTTTTGTTCATTTTTTTTCTCTCGGGAGTGGTGTTGTTATACCCCCTTTTTCAAACCCTCCCCCGCTTAATGTCTTGTTTTAAATGCTAGCGCATCTCTGGTTTATTTTCGCACTGGCCATCTGCAATTTTTTTTGGCAGTGGATTTGGCCTTGGTTTTGTTTCGATCTCCTCAGTTCCCTTGTGCATATGCCACTTTACCTGTGACACTTGTATGTAACTTAAGTGAAACGTCCTGGGGACGTGGATAATACAACGATCTATGTTAGCAGATGCTTGAAAAACAAACGACGAGATCATATAATTACATCTAGAATGACCGGGTGCTCTCAGCAGTCCACTCAATTGGCTGGGAAAGCTGAAATGCGGGGAACGGACAACCCCCGGATTTCCATCTTTTCCGTTTGAGCCCTTCGAGCCACTCTTCTCTTCATCCAGCATACTATGCGATGGCACGACATCGCAAGATTGTCTGCTCCAACTGCCGCAGACGCAAAAGTAAATGCGACGGAGGCTCACCGAGTTGCACAGCATGTGTCTCGGCTGGCTCAACCTGCCAGTACGAAAAAGGACCATCAATCGCATACGTGCGTGCCCTACAAGCTCGGATCCACGAGCTCGAAAATTCTCGAAGCAACACAGAGAATTTGCCTCTATCACCATCTCCATATACTGATTCTGTCGCCAGTCCTCAAAATGGGAACTCGATCAGTCTGGATGAGCGCGGAGACGTAAGCTATCACAATCAGACATCGGCTATCCATGAGGCTTTACCGGCGGCTCCATCCCAACCACTTCTTACTGAGACATCGTTATGTACATCGAGGACGACGGTCGAGCAAAGTAATAGGGATGCTCGACGCTCACTTGTCGCCAATGCGATTAAACAGAAAGCGCTAGAGCCGCTGAATTTGGATTCAGTTCCCCCTCAAGTCGATGTTCCCAAGGGGCTGGCCAGTGTCTTGCTCCAACTGCATTGGTGCTGGCTGCATCCAAGTTTTCTGTTCGTGTACCGCCCGGCATTTACAAGGGAAATGCCACTATTTGCTCGCGGTGATCGCGCTGTTGCCTATTGCTCAGCAACATTGCTCAAAGTTCTCTACGCACACAGCTGTCGCTTCATCCGTGCCCCTGAAATTGTCTGGAGTACTATTCAAGCCCTGCTTCAGCAATCTGCGCGTGACATTGCATGCGGCCGCTCTTCTTCTGCATGGCTCTATTCTGGAATGGCTTTCCGCATGGCAATTGATATTGGTCTGCATGTTTCACCGGATAAGTTACGCCAGTACTCTACCTCGCTCTCCACAGAGGATATCGAGATCCGAAAACGGCTGTTCTGGAGCTTGTTCGCCTGGGACAAACACATTAGCTTGTACCTAGGACGGATGCCGAATTTTGTCACTGGCATTGACCATGTATCTTTGGAGTTTCTGGATGACTTCACAGACAGAGATCTCTGGGCACCTTTCTATGGGCCTGACCCTGTGGCGGCTGAACTCCCAGTGTACCCACCGACTCCTGGATATGTGATATCATGCTTTACGGAGTTGTGCAAGCTCTGCAAGATCCTGACCCAGGTTATGTTGGAGCTCTATAGCTCGCAACATCGTAGCAAATCCATATTGTCAGACTCACGGCAAAGTTCTTTCGTCAGAATAAATACGGAACTACGGGCATGGTGGTCAGATCTGCCGCTATTTCTTCGTATTGCCCCTGACAACATTCCTGACCTCAGTCCACCCCCGCATATCACCTCACTTAACTTGATGTACCATAACACCATGATACTTCTCCACAGACCCCACGTCTCCAGCAGACAAAGTTCGCCCTCTAGCAGAGCGCAACAGAGCTGGAAGATATGCCGAGGTTCAACAACCGCCATCTACGATTTGCTGAACATGTACGTGGCCACGTTTGGATTCCATCACATCACCTACATGAACAGCTACTGCACGTACACTGCTGCAACGACGGCCGTATACCAGCTGGAGACTGCAGAAGATGGAGTGCTGCGCAGCCAGTCTCTCGAATCGACTTGGGCGGAACTGAAATTTTTGCTGGATATTCTTCAGCGCACTGCAGTGACTATGCCGGGTCTAAACAGAAGTATTGATATTATCCATACGAGGATCAAGAAGATTCTAGATCGACAGGTTTCCAGACAGCTTGAGTCTCTGTTCCCGACAAGGCCTTCTGTTGAGGGTCGCAGACAGGAACAAGCACTGCAATCGCAACCGGTTGGAATCACAACTAGGCTTGAAGAAAGAGTCCCTTTTGTTGGCTTTTCTGACGATTTGCTGGTGAATTATACCCACAATGCGAGTCGCAATGAGGAGGTTGCGGCGTCTACCGGGAATATCCTGGAACAGTTGGACATGTGGCTCCCAGCTTTTCCTGGCCAGGACTTTTCTTATGGGTCGGGTCCTATGCTCGATGCCCAGGATATTCTAAGTCCCGAGGCACGATCTACTTTGATGGGCTCGAGCTTGGATCCTCATATCCGACTTGACCTTGATTTAGAGAATGCCTGAATAATGCTGTACTTTAAATTATAATTCATTCTGGAACACCTATATTACGTATTGCAAATATATACTCTGATGATTTTACCAAATATTTCCACAGGTTTGCTGAGCTATTGTGTAGGCAATCGGGAGATTCATCAAGAGTCAAATATTTGAATAATGTCAGCTTCAAGTATCCTAATAATAATTATATGATAAACAATTCCACTCTACGATTACAACACATATCGGAAGTCTTTATTTTCGAACTCAGTACAGTCCCTCATACCTGCCTCATCACTCTGGGCCTTGTCTGGGGGACCGTAGTGCGAATCACGATATCGATTGACAGCAAACATGTAACCTTGGAAGAATTAGCCCACTACAAGATGCCCGAAGAATGGTTATGAAGGCATACCAAGTAAACCAAGATGACAAACAGCTTTGATCAAATATCCAACAAGCAGACCGATAGTAGCTCCCTTATATTCGGGTGCTTGTGATGCTTTGACGACAAATGGACCAGCGAAATTGCCCCAGCAGTAGGCGGTGCTAAGTTCCCGTCAGCTCATTCTCAAGTCACTTGAATGTTCCAAAGTTCAACTTACAATACCATGGCGTTCGCCATTGCTCTGTGTGTATAACCGGCCATATTCGAGGATACCGTGACCAGCGAGACCGTGAATCCCACTGATTGACTGTTCACTAGCCAAAAGCATACCAATCTCGACCAGGTATGGGACCGGGGTAAATATGCCATGCAGCCAGCGGTGACAGTACACAGAATGTTTGCAGCTGTTGCGGTGAGCAGCCGAGAGCTAGGGACGTTTAGTGTGATAATACCGCCAATTATCAAGGCGACAATCTGCACGGCATCGCCGACGGACTTCAGTTCTGTTGTTCTTTCAGTTGAAAGCCCATATCCTTGATAATAATAGTAGAGAAGGAATTGATCACTCCATTTGGAATGGCAGCAGCAAAGACTGAGACAAAAAGCAAAATGGCCTTAGGATCCACAAACGCAACAAGACCCTGCTTCTTGTTAAAAGTTTTATTCTTGATTCCTGTCTCATTACCAGCGACACGCTTGACAGCCAAGAGACGCTCTGTCTTTGATAGGAAGAATGCGCTTGAAGGAGAGTCTGGCAAAGCAAAGAAGACCACGAAGGCCCAGAGGCAGGTTGCAGAGCCAAGAATGTAAAAGATGAGCTCCCAGCGCGCAGGCGTAAAATCCGCGGGAAGCTTTGCGATTCCAAAGGAGATGTACGAACCAATAATGCCCCCCCATCCAAGGGAAGAATACCATATGCATTGGCGAAGTGGGATCTCTTGACGGGTATACCAAAAACCAGTCATGAGGGTCAGGCCAGGAGTGACGGTTGCCTCGAAAAGTCCCATTATGAAACGGACAGCGAGGGCACTTGAATAAGTACGGCATTGAGTGAGGATGATAACCATCAGGCCCCAAAGGAAGATGCTAACTGCGAGGACACGCTGGGCTGGGAATCGTCCAATTAACCAGCCGCTGGGATACTGGCCGAAGAAGTACCCAGCATAGACCACTGCAGGATGTTGGTTTTGGAGCGACAAAATAGCAAAGAGTAATATCGATGACTTACTTGCAGAAAGATAATTGAATTGTTGACCTTCTAACCCTAATGTTGTTTGATAATCAAACAGATTTGCATAGTTCAATGCGGTCTTATCCATGAACTGCAAGGCTTGCGTAGTGAGGAAAATGGGAAGAATGACCAAGTCAATCTTCCAGCGAATTTTGGAGTTCTATGACCCGATTAACACAGAAAAAAAGAAAGACTGGAGAAACAAGCTTTGAACTGACTTCTTTCTTGGAAATTACCATATGAAGACCCTCTCGATATTCTTTATAGCCTACCGCGTCGGCCTATAGTCGTCTCACACAGTAAGTACCGAGTCCCTAGCTCTGTGCTAAGTGTCGACATACCTCGAATGAGGAATGTTCTTTGGCTTTCTCGATGTCATCAACCTGCTGAGCACTGTCCGCTCGACGCAAATCTTCGATCTCCATATTGTCATGCAAATCTCGTTTTACAGCGCTCGCCATGCTAGACAGAAAAACCTGCTACCAACAACAGCTATATCGTAAGGATAAGAAGTCGACAAAAGCAGAGCTCAGAAGTAAAGGGAAAAATTAAAAAGAATCCTTTTCCCGCTCGGGGTCCCGCCCCCAGATATAGGGCGGTACGTACATTGTTCCCTTATTTGCTTCCCCGGTTTGTTGATTGCAAAGCCGAGTGCGGACTGCGGGGAGAATCCACCGGCAAGGCCAAAAGCGTGGCCAGGATTCACGCCATCCCCACCCAATTCTAGCATCGGCCAAACTCCGGTGCATCAGCTGAGTCTGTCACCGGCAAATGGCCGAAGGAACAACCAAGGAAGATTCTGGAGTTTGGGGAGCATAGCACTAGGATAAGTAGCGTTGAGAATGGATGAATCGTCCATATTGCTGGAAACCAAAGATTGAAGGGATCAAAAGTATCTTTTTTTTTTCCTTTCCCACCCAAAAAGACACCTCTTCTTTCAAAATGACTCTTTCTCAAGCTACCAGCAACGACGACGCATGGATTGCGAAGCCCTCAGGTCCGTGTTGTTTGAAAGGAACTCTGCATGAGGGTAAGCCTCGGGGTAAATTTGTGACCATTTCAGGGGTGGAAACCTATATGATACAACCGGAGGCATCAAAAGCGAACGGCAATATCTTGCTCTATTTCCCCGATGTCTGGGGAATGTTTACGAACGGGCTCCTGGTAATGGATGGATTTGCGGATGCAGGATATCTAGTTCTTGGCTTGGACTACTTTCGAGGTGTATGGTTTAGAAACTTCATCCGTTTGCCGTTCTGGTTTAGCTAACTTAGCCCCAGGATCCGGTTTGGAAACATCGTCGAAATAGGCACGACCGGTCAAATCCTGGTTTTGACTATGAGGCATGGAAGCAAAAGCATATGGCCTTTGCAGATGAAGCAGTCCCACAGTGGATTGAGGAAGTGAAGCATATCTATGGGAAACCATCTACCAAGTACGCATGTGTTGGGTAAGTGTGATTGCAAATATACCTCTGGGGCATTTGGATGGCTCTTATGATGCTCTTATAATCCAGATATTGCTTCGGGGCACCCTATGTTTGTAATGAGCTGGCGATGGATACTGTGAGTGCTGGTGCGTTCGCTCACCCGGCCTTCTTGAAAGAGTCGCATTTTGCAAATATACACAGTATGTTTTTCAAACAAGCTCATATACACTGTGTATATAACCGTGTGGTTAAGCTGAGAAAAAGTATAGAGCCTTTGTTCTTGTCCTGTGCAAAGGAAGACCATACCTTCAACCAGGAAGCACGACGCGCTGCAGTCGACGTCCTGAATTCTGGAGAGAAAATCTATCAGCTCCAGGTTTTCTCAGGCGTTGAGCATGGGTTTGCTTTGCGAGGGAATATGGAAGATGCCTACGAGCGTAAGAAAATTCAATATATTTGATGCAGCATTGAGACGAGGCTGATGAATATTCTAGGTTATGTTAAAGAACAGAGCCTAAAGAGCATCGTGGAATGGTTTGATTTCTGGCTTTCACAGTGAATGAACATTTTTCAAAGAGATAAAATAGCTATTTTTTACCTAAGTAATCAACTATTTTCTGGAAATTATTTAGTTTACCAGCTCCTATAAGTCAAAATTCCTCGCTATCATTTTGTATTTACGTTTTGACCCATAGACCTCGGAAGACTTTGTGGAAGCGAGGAGCCGAATTGCCGCAAGCCCCACTGTGCCTTCTATCGCTATGTTGACTATACTGACTCGCGCATTGTCCGAGATTGGCGAGTGAATGCTCCATGGATCCTTTAGCAGCTTAGCTCGCTCCCCGGTCATGCGGTCGTTCCATCTCCACTCCTGGCCCCCATTCCCCACCTCGCTGGTGACACTTCGGAAAGCGGGCATTCGGCGAATGGCCGGTATGGCCCTGATCGTATACAATTCACGATTTTTGGTATTAACCTTTCAAAACCCGAGGGGCTTATAAAAGGCTCAACGGTGAACAAGGATACGTATATGCAAATTAAGGATAGGAATCGGACAAGAGAACTCAATTCGAAAACGAATCGACACTATGGCTACAAGGGAGGTATCAAACGCCTTTGATTTTTCAGGTGAGATAGCCATTGTCACAGGTTCTGGCTCCCGAATGGCTGGTAAGAGCGCCGAATTATGAGCTTCTCACCACGACTTATAGCCGGCTAAACAAATCACAGGCGAAATCGGCAATGGCCGCGCGACTGCAATCTTGCTGGCTCGACAAGGGGCCAAGGTGGCACTGGTGGACTACAATGTGGAATGGGCTCAAGAGACCAAGCGCATGATCGATCTGGAAGGTGGCACGTCTGAAGTCATCCAGGCTGATGTGACTGATGAAAAAAGCTGCCAGAATGCCGTGACACGGACAGTCGAGCTTTTTGGCACTGTACACATCTTGGTGAATATCGGTGAGCTTTCACCCAACCGAATAGTCGGTATCAGATTCGGAAGACATTTTAGCTGATCAAGCGTTATTCTTACTGCGCTTAGTGGGAGTTGGAGGAGCAATGGGGGATGCTACGAAACTGGACTTGGAGGCGTGGGACCGTGACTTCCGGATCAATGTGACGAGTATGATGCTCATGAGCCGTCATGTCGTTCCTGAAATGAGAAGAAACGGACGTGGTGCCATTGTGAATATGTCTTCAGTGAGCGGTCGTACGTTCATTCCTTGCTTGTGATGGTTTAATCACTTTTTCCTTTTGTTGCGACAGCTTGATTGATGGATAGATTCTTAGTATTGGGAGGAAACCCAAGCCTCCTGTACCCGACCACGAAGGGTGCCATCATTCAGATGACTCGGGCAATGGCGGCTCAACATGGCCCGGAAAATATCCGAGTGAATTGCGTCTGTCCTGGCATGGTTTATACACCGATGGTGCGCGGTCGGGGATTGACGGACGAGATGCGACAAGCCCGGATCAATCAAAATCTCTTGAAGCAGGAAGGTACTGGCTGGGATGTTGGTTATGGTAGGTGCCGGCTCTTGAGAGAACAGGCAATGTATCCAAATCAGATGCTGATGGTGGACTAGCTATTCTGTTCCTGTGTAGCAAGGAAGCAAAGTGGATCACCGGGCTGATTATGCCGGTAGACGGAGGTGTAAGTAGATGCAGTTCCCAAGTTTCTTAGCCGCAAGAAAGGGAAGGTCAAAGCGTGACGACCGTTTCTTGCTAAACTGTGTCGTGATTCCGCTGACTTAGACTTCTTGACTTTTTAGACCACCGCCGGGAAAGCCGACCGGCCCGCTTTGAAGGCCGATACCTTGGCGGAACAAAACACAGGGATTCCTAACACCCAGGAGCAGAAATTACCATAGAGGTGAATACAATTGACAATTGAGACCGTAATATTCAGGAGTGTTGTCGAGCCAGGCGTAGTGGTGAGGTGATTGAGGGAGTAGCGAAGTAGCGAGAGGGAAGGCGGAGTTGTGGGGGCCAACGCGGCCCTTGTCCCCAGGTCACCTGCCCTCCCCGCAAGTCTCCAGGTTTCTTTCTTTTCCACCCGGGGACTCCCCCACCGATGTCGCGCCTGCGCCTTTGCCCGGCATGCGATCCCGAACCGGCTGGTAAGTGGTGATGGACCCCTGCAGGTCCAGTCTATGGCTAATTTACTTCAGCTTGACATGCCGGACTCGCAAGCTCAAATGTACACCCTCTCCATGTCACCCCTGCGGCGCGCGTACCACCGTCGCCCGGGCTAACCTTCTTGACAGGTGATGAGCAAAAGCCTGAGTGCTCACAATGTCGCAAAGGGGGCCGAGAGTGTCGGCCAAGCGAGGGAATTGTGTTTCGCCATCAGCAAAATGCCTCGATGAACGATAACCCCCAGGAAGCGCCTGAAGGGCGCGGGGACCTGAAGGGGTTCTATTCGTATAAAAACACGTTTGACAAGGACAGTGTTTGGCTGGACGTCCCTAAACACGGTAAATCACCCATGACATCCAGGCTGTTGCCCTCCGGTCACCCCGTTCATTAATCGTACCGCCAGTGATCTTCGTCGATAATTCCGATCCATATGCCGACGACATCGAAACCTCCCTTGCCGAATCCAGCGCTGTCGCGCTGGCACAAGCTCAGAACCAACGATGGGGCAGCGGCTCCAGGGCTAGTGATGCAGGATCACATACTCTCGAGGCTCTGTCGACTGTCGCCAGCCATGATCGGTTCCCTTACTCCCCCATGACCCAATCCATCCCCGACAGCGTCTCATATCCCTCCCCGAACCCCTCCTCGAACCGATCACGAACCAGTGCGATGCCTCCTCCCTCATCACCCTCCATGTCCCTATCGGCTAGCAGCAACAACACAAACATCAACTTTCTCCTCAATCCGTCGCACTCCTTGTCTCCTCCTGTAGACCCTTCCATGACACCCGACTCACGAAGCACCTCCCTCCCGTCTCGACCTGCTCCATCTCGAACAATAGAGCACCTTGTGAATAATACTGAAACCGATTTCGAAGTCGCATTTCTGTTGCGACATTATACCGAGGGGCCAGGGCTGTGGTATGTATCTGCTTGGCGGACTCCTTGTTGGAAGATCCCTAACATTGCGTTTTAGGATGGATCTATTCGATTTGGGCACGTACTTCGCCTCATATGTTCCAGTCAGAGCGATGTCGAATCCGCTGCTCAAGTATGCAGCCTGCGCATATGCCGCAAAGCAACTAGGTCGGGTGAAAGGTGCCAAGGCGAAGATGGGCGGGGTATGCTCTCGACAAGCCATCATGGAAGTATGGCCTGAAAAAGACAACAACTTCCTCTGGCATGGCGCAAAATATTATGAAAAAGCCATCCAGCTGCTGATGAAAGAGCTGCAACCTGATACTTCCGGCGCGCTTCCCGAAAATAACTCCGAGGCGTCGGGACAATGGAACGCGACTAAACCCTGTGATGATGCAGAGAATCCTCGTAAGCGTCGTCGGCGAGTGTCTAACAGTCGGCTCTCCCGAGGCGTACATTCGGACGAAATATTGGCGGCAACGGCCATTTTGTCAATATATGAATTTCTCGATGCGACAGGCCCGGCCTGGAATCGTCATTTGAGCGGTGTCAAATCCCTGCTTGATATGGCCGAGGTTGGGATCATGCCAGTTGACCAGAGCTCCCCTGATGGAGATAGCCCGTATCAGTCGTTCAACAAGTCACGTCTTTCCAAGGCGCGCAAGGCGACCTTCTGGAACTTTGCGCGACAGGACTATCTAGCTGCATGTGAGTTGTGCTCTCGTCAAAGGTCTTTAATAAAGTGTGTGCCTAATGATGTTTAGTTATCAACGAATGCCAGACGAGATTGAACACGGATGATATTGCACTTTGGACAGAAGCCGGCTTGCAGCTTGATCACATGGGCTTTGTGCGCCCTAGCAATACAAGTGCTGCAGGATACCCAGAAGGTGACGGTATAATGAAAGAAGATCTCATCTGCAATGCTCTCATCTGGATTCTGTCCAAAATTGTCAATTTCATCAGCTCCGGTGATAACTCTAATGCGAATGACAACCGATCAGTCGAGAGTGGGCCCCTAGGAGTTTCGCAGCAAGTCCTCCTAGAGCGGTGGTATCGACTCGAAGCTGAGCTTGACGCCTGGTATAACGGCCTACCGAACACTTTCCAGCCATGCGCGCGGATCGAGCCGTCCCAGATCTCCCATTATCGACCCGCCGAAGAAGCGAAGGACCTCGCTACGCTGCAGGAAATATGGTATAGCATTCCGATGTGCGCCTCGACCATGCAGCACTACCACATGGCGCGCATTCTCCTGCTCATCAACAAGCCATATGAGAGCACCAGTCGCCGAAGCACCATCACCCTGCGGCTGCAATCGTACCGGTCCATAGAGGCCGAGATTGGGTACCATAGCCGGGAGATTGTTAGTATTGGACTGGCTCGCCCAGATGGGAGCGTAAGAATCCACGCTTTGCAGCCTTTATTTGTCGCGGGCCAGTGCCTGACAGATCCGCGCGAGCGCCGGGCCACGATTCGACTCCTACGAGCTATCGAGGCTGATCTCGGATGGGCGACTGAGTACCGTGTGCAGCAATTGCTGAAGGAGTGGGGGTGGGATGAGAGTCTTCTCCATTCAGCAGGGAGTTGAGCCTGGGTTGTCGCGGGTTGAAATTGAGCCAAAAGAAGACTCGAGTCAAACCTCCTAGGCACATATCCACCTATATAATAGACTGGCGAAATCTTCCCAGACTTCATTCGGATCTTTTCCTGCGATCGAAATCCTTCGCAAAAGGGGTGAGCGTGGCGAGTTCCCTGTGATCATGGATACCATTCATTGATTGTTCGTTCCATTTTCGGGTTGTAACAGAGTGCAACGAACCCCCATCTTCAACATTTGGGCCCCTCAGTCCATATGAACTGATCTTGATCTGCAAGCGCTGGCTTCGACCCCGCGGTGCAGCTAGACGAACAATCCACCAGACTGCCGTTTCGGCCATGAGAGACGAGTGTAACGACGATTCCCCTCCCGTGGTCGCTCTAGCGTCCCGACAGGAACTAATAATTTCGGGGAACCTGCAATAGTGTTTAATAGAAAACAGTGATCGGGATTCCGAGCATGTAAAAAGAGATTTTTCTCTTCTGTTTCCCAGTAATTTGAGCATTCTGCACCTGCTCGGTCCAGTTGCCCTGTTGTTGGACGCGGTTGCATCACCTCCGAGCGCGCAGCCGGTTCAGGGCAAACCTTGTCCGTAATTAGTTATGCACTAGCTCCCGAGCTTGTTAAGGTGGATGCCCGGGTCGGCCTGCCATCCTGAAATGAACTCGGCTCACCAGAAATAAGCATGCAAGCCGCCAATCTATCTGTACGTCTAGATATATAGTCGATTGTCCCAATCGATAACAGTATCATCTTTCCTGCTTCGGCTCTGCTTTCCCGCAAAGCGCATTACATCGTGAAGAGCGTGTGTTTTTTCCGCGAAGCTGTGCCAATCCCGTCACCGCCGCGCCCACGCCCCCACCAATAGGCATCACTTCCCCCCACGCCGCGGAAGGTTTACCGAACCGGCCTTTGCTCCGCGTTCTCAGCGCGATCAGCTATTAATTACCTCCGCGAAGTATCGGATCTCCCCCGGCATGCCGTTATTAGAAATGCCGGGTACAGTACGGCGATCATTGCGGGCGAGAAGCAGGTAAGGCGACGAGTCTAGGCATATATGAAACTCGCGCCTATTGTGCGAGGACATAACGGAAGTTGCATGGGTGTAGATCAAAAACTGGAGGAAGCCTGGCGAAGGAACTTGATTGAGTTGATCGAAGCTTGATCCTGATTAATCTGATCTAATCTCATCGAGGGTAGATCTGGATCTTTCCCCAAACTCAAATCGAGAACCACGATAGATGAATATGAGAGCTACACCGGAGCTATGTCTGGGGTTAGGAATATCCTGATCTATCGGCGCCGGCATGTCGGGTATTAACATTGCGATTGCGATTGCAGAAGAAGTTCTCAGAGGCTACTTACCATTGCTTGATAGAGGAGATGGCCTTTGCGGGATGTAGTGGGTGAACACATACCCGGAAATTATGTAACATATGCCATGCACATCTACCTAAATTATCTGTACGCAACGAAAGAGACGGGTTTCCTAGGCTTCTACCAGGAAGCTGGAGGATTCATTCATCAACAAAGATCTGAAGCGCGTCCGAGTCGATATTTGAAACGTACCGTGCCAGAGCAGTACCATGATGTGCTGACACGACGTACAGAGATCGGCTGCAAGTGTAAGAGTGTCAGGTCGAGGATAAAGATCATCTCACTTGTCTCCATCATTTGTGCATTCAAACCCCATTGAGGAGATCACTGAGACCGGCATCAATACACAGCCTGGCTGTGAAGTGTATGTGGAAGCTATCATTCTCGTAACAAGGTTTCAGACCGGCAGGTACTATATCGGATGGAGATCATAGGAGAAAAGGTTGGTAGTCTGTAAAATTCCACAAACTTGAAAGATGAAGATACTATGGGAAGTGATATGGAATATTCGGGAAGAGAAGATCTATGGGATGATCGCGAGTGGTAACTAAATAGGAAGAGAGAAGCGAATGAGGAGAAAGGGATCGCAAAGAGATCCAGAGACCTCCTAAGGGACTCGCCGGCCAGGCGATGTGTCACAGAATCTCTCTCTTTCGACAGAGTTCAATGAAATAAAATCTAGGTTGCTCAAAAAGTGTAGAAAATGCTTATGGCTGACAGGTGCACTCGTACTCTAACACCCCCAATCTTCCGAACGTATTTCTCAGCCAGCTCAATAAAATATCGAGCCAGCCTTGGTCCCGAATTCTGGCGCCCCTAAGCATGTCTCAGGGCTTCATTACAATATCGTTTGCGGGCCCTTGTCAGGTGTCGCAGTCCCAGTGCCTCGTCTTTGGGAGCAGTCGGTTTTAGGAAAGAAGAATGCTTCCGATGATCGATATGGAACTTCCATAATGGGTCTTGTTGATAAGGTCGCCCAGGACCAACAATTCGATGCTTCGCGAGAACCCGGGCTGTCTGGAAAGGGCGGGTGCATCTTGTCTCTTCTTTCCGTTGGTTTCGTCAACCATGCGATGGCGGATCGAACCAGGTCGGAAACTTCCCTTTCCATATTCTCATATAACAAGTTGACTCATCTGAGTGACAAAAATTTTACCGCTCTCTGCGCAGAATCACTATATAATTTCTTCATTTTGATAGGTCTTAACACGACTGGAAATCTATCGGTAATTCACTCGACAGAGTGTCAGGTCAGTTTCACGCTGGGGGTGTTACATCCCACCTTACGTTCACTTTATCCCTCTGGTCTGGGGTATCATGTCCTACCTATTTTCGCACTTGCTGGCCCCTTTACTCAATACAGTTTCCGTGGCGCCAGCGGCCGGGCAGGCAGATAACACCTTGAGTAGACGGCAGCGATTAAGTTGGTCTGGGGAACAGGGTGATCGACCTGGTTCGTCGATGGACATGCTGGGCAAAACACGATGCGGTATCCTGATTGGCAATTCAAGGATTGCGCGTGAAGTGTGTTCGTGCCACTTCTCGCCACTTCGTGTTTAGACGAAGTCCGCTACAGCTACCAGCCAAAGAAATCACGAAAGGAAGAGATAAGATCAAGAACAGCCATACTAGCGTGGCGGTTCGAGTGTGATCAGGGTGGGGTGTGGGTATTAGTTTCGCCGCTGCGCCTGTCTTGATGGTTTATGGAATCGCAAATTGATGCTGACGTCAATGAGGTTGATGGGTCTATATGCAGGCCGTGCCGGGATGGTGACGGTTGATAGGTACGGTCTCACCATGGCTTCTCTTCGCTCTCTGCCTTTCTCCAGGATCCTGGTTGCTGAGGAGTCCAGGCTTCTCCCATTCGACAGGTCAACTGACATCCATGTTATTTGTGGCACGATCATGTCAGAAAAGGTCCGCCGCGGATGTCATTGGCCGCGAGTGCAACGAATGCCAGGGGCGATCACGGTCTGAGGCGGACTCGTGGCGGTGATTGGGTGGATTGGCGCGAGCATCACCAGGAAGCAGTGCTACAGTGCTTTGGCAATTGGCGCAACAGAGCGGAGCTGACGAGGATTTTGAATCATGCATTCATCTGAGAAAGTCCGGGATGTCGAGCTGGGATCTTGGATTCGCAGTGGAGAGAATCGTGTTCGAGAAGAGTCGTGATTCTCGTTGGTGTCACGGGCTGATGTTTGTGTTCCCGTGATCGGCTGGCGAGGTGTCGCAACCACTCGTTAGAATAAGCCAGGAACACGATCCCCGTGGCCAGAACTGTGGACCAAATCTACCTAAGGATTTTTTGGATATTCTCCTATTAATGAATTATCGTGTCCGTTTACATTGCAGGGCTAATAGATTGACAGGCCGCACAGACCAGGGTCTTCCCAAAACGGTTCTAAATCTCCGAGTGGACTACGGACTGTATCTGGTTAGCAGTCGCGCGTTAGTGCTATTCATTTCATTACAATCGTCACTTGTATCTCCTCTTTCTCGACTCCACGAGGCTGAGAGTGGAACCCAGAAGAACATGTAAGGACAAAGTTCGCTCTAGATTTTGACCAGCCTCGATCCGGGCGGCCTGAGTTTCCCGAAACATTGCCATTCTCTGGGCATTTTTCGTCGGCCATTGTGTGCAGGGTGGCTAAATTAAACCGAGACAACATACCTCCAGGCTGTCTGGATATGTGTATCAAAGCAGCATAACGGCTTTGCGAAGTTTGCCCCCGTCGCTGTCTCTTCCTTTGTCACATTGTGTATCCCTAATCGTTGCACAGACATCCCCTCTAGTGGCGATGAGGGAGGCAAGCTCGGGTCAACTTCGGTGGTTTCCGATCAATTTTATGCTTCAGCTTTCTCTTCTATCCCCCTGAACTACATGGGTTGGGTTATCATCGTCGATGCACGGCATCAACCCCATGGAACGAGTGCTCCGTACTATGGCGCAACTTGCGGACCTGATCTGAACGTGGTTCAAACGTGGTTCTGCAATTAACGGGACCCATGTTATTAGCATTTTAGTGGGAGCTCGGCAGTTGTTTTCCAGAACCATTTGCGACCGTGGAAACTCCGGTCCTACTCCAGACTAACCATAAACTTCGATGTACCATGGATGCCATTCTGGATGGACTAGCCAAAGCTGTCCTCGTTGATACCTGGCACGGTTAATGATCCTCTTCTCGTGCCGATCGCGTAGAAAAGAAGGCCGTGTTGTACGAAGATCTTTGCCCCCTGCGGCTCGCTTCCACACCTGTGTTCCTTCGTCTTTTTTTGCGTCAACCCTAATTACCGTCCGAACCAGACTCACAACGAGAACTAACCAGTTTGGTGGGCTCCCAGGCTCAACCCTGTCCCGTCTTCCCCTCCAGGCCGTTCTTAACGGCGGTCCACCACTCAGCACTCGACCAGGGTTCTCTCTTCTCCTCTTTACGGAGCCCCTCTGGCTGACTGTTGAGTCGCCCCCCTCCCCCCTGCTTCAAGCCTGCCAAGCGTCCATAGGAATTGAGTTCTTCGAAGGAGGCGGAGGGGACCGTGTGTAACTCCCCTTCCAATCATAGTCCCAAGGGCTTGTCCGCGTCCCCATCCCGCTCGTGTGCTCGTGGGCTGAGAACGGGCCCTGTTCTATTTTGCTGTTGGATTCGTTCCGTCGGTTTAACCAAAGTTGACCCACTTCTTTTTGTCTTGCTAGCGCTAGCCCGCGACGGCGACGCGGCGATGCTCTCGAAGGGCCCCGGCTCTGGCCATGCTCGATTTGATCCACTCGTAGCTTCGACCCCCCTCTCTGACAAAGTCCACTCGGGGGTCCCCCCTGTCTGAATCTGGACTGACTATGTATATCGGGGGGACACCCACTCTGCTTTAATCTTATCCTCCCCTTTTGCCCCCCGCTTTCTATTATCTTCTTCCCCAGATCCTTCTAGACAATCCTTGGTTGCGCATTGCGCGCTCGGTCTCGTCGCGCTGGCGCGTTAGATACCCTGGGTCCTGGGGACATGCCGGACTTGCTCAACGAATAATTCATCATGGTCACCGCACACAATTATTGTCCTGGCGTGTTTCTGCAGGAAAGTCATTTTCCTGAGACAGGTGGATGTATGTGATCTATGGCCCCCGAAGAAGTAGGGCACGACGTCTGAGCTAGCTGTTGACGATTTTTTTCCCTAGTCATTGACGGTCGATTCTGTGAAACAATCGCCAACATCGGCCCTAACGGCACTGCCGTATCCTGTTGCTTACCATGCCCTCTCTCCGACTGGCGGTATGCCGATAGTCAGTGATCGACCCCAGTGCCATTCAAATCTATTAATATCTAACATCACCCATAGATACGGCAAAACGAGTTGATGTTGCCAGTTGGATCAGTGTCGCCATTCTTCCTCTTTGCATTTTTCTCCTCATCTCCTACGCTGTTCTTCCCGTGAAATGGACAAATCGACACTACCTGAGTATTTGTTTCACAATCGGCATCTGTATCATGGAGGCAAGTCAAGCACTACCCGCGTCCGCACAGAAACAGAGAAGAGAGCTTGGTGCTGACTAGTTCTCCAGATTGCCTTCATTATTCCTCTTGGGGCTAAACCGGAGCAGTGCCATAACGATATTACGCCTAATGATATGTACACCGACCTTTCTTGCGCCTTTTCGGGTTCCTTCCTCCTCTTTGGCGGCTGGATGGTCGTGATCTGGAGTTTTATCCGAACACTCGCATTCCACCTGCAGGTGTGTTGGGAAGTCGTCTTGGGGCTGAAGTTCATGTGGGGAGCCTTCATCTGCGGATTTGGAATTCCTGCCATTGGCATCACGGTTATGCTGATCCTGACTGGAGTATCCTTCCGGTTTGGTGAGATCTGCCATATTAACATCAAGCACGGGGCACAAGACTACTGGTATCCAATCATGGCTTTTGCAGCTGCAGCCCTGGTCTTGCAGTTGGCCACTATGGGCTACTGTATGCACGTCTACCTCCGCTCGCTTTTCGACAAATCCGCCTCCACCACCGAGAACAGCTCCGGTTTGCCCTCGTATACGTCTAGTGTGCGCACGGTGACAGCACGGCAAGCCTATCGCCGGGTGCGCCGTGTACTGCAACTGCAGTGGCGTGGGGTTGCATTGGTGCTGATCATCATTGGAAACGTTATCTTTTTCGCCGTTGTTTTCATTAACCTCGACAATCAGACTGATCCCAATAATGAGACCAACCTGAAAAATGCCGCTGAGTGGCTCGCCTGCCTTGCCATTGGCGGAGACAAGGCCTCGTGCGAAAAATACGCGTCCTCCCTAGGGCCCAACGAGGCCACTCTGCTCGCCATGGTCTATCTTCTCTCGCTCGTCGGGTTCTGGAACTTCATCCTGTTTGCCCGTCCTTCCATGTTCGCAGGCTGGCTGGACCTGTACAAGCGCGGATTCGCCCGACGCAACGAATTTGTCTCAGCGGATGCCCGCAACCGCTACGTCGACTCTAAGGGCTTCGAGATGCTAACGACCTCCATCAAGACCAATGAGACCTACATGCGGACCCCGTCTCCCGGGCATATGATGCGGTCGCCGAGTCCCAGCCGCATGATGCGATCGCCCACCCCGTCCCAGATGATGGACAGGCAGAGTCCCGTGGCCAGTCCCAGTCCTACATTTGACCGAAGCGTACACTTTGGGCAGGAAGCCCGCTATACGCGGCCATCAATGAGTTTCAGTGGGCCCCGACCGCCGAGCTCGTCGGCTGGAGGGCGTGACTGGGATCCATCGGCGACTTTTGCACGAGGCAATGCACGATAGCCGTTGGGGAGGGGGTTGGGTAAGTAGCATGGCCGAAAGAGGAGCCTTGGGTCATCATAGTCGATTGGTAGAGTTCTGGGTTACTCTCAAACAGGTATCGGGGCTGCAGGGAGGCAAAAAGGAGCATGGATTGTGACGAAAGCTCGGTGTTACGGGGATTGTTCCATGGCGTCCAGGGTTGGTCGACGGCTGTTTCGACTAGCTTCGTTTGTTTTTTGTTAACCCTACATTGACGCCTTTTTGACTATACCTACTTCTGTCGGTCCCTCTTACCTGCTCGCTTGCCCCCTTGGCAGGGGTCTGTTTGGCTTGTGTCAAAAATGCGCTCATGAAATTTTAGGGTTTAATGTCTGATTTTTGTTGGTTTCACATGTTCACTACCCATTATTGTATCATCATCATGCATCAACTATTGAATCATAATTGGAAGACTCCAAAATCAAGAAATGCCAAAAAAGGACAATCCAATACACTTTTCAATCCGCCTACTGATCTGGTTGGCCTTGCCAGCTGCCGGTCTCCAGTTTCCAATCCACCGGATGCTGTCCCACTCCCGCGATCGTCAGTGCGACACAGCCTGACATTCCACGGCAAGAGATCCTGTATCCCAGCCCTCGGGGTTTCCGGGGACAATCGACATGAAGCATGCCTACTTAGGTTTAGGAGGACTAATCCAGGCCCAAGGGTCTACCGGAGGATCTCGCCCTCGGTGATTGCCCAACACTGGACGAAACAATCCTAGTCGCGAAGAACGAATCAATCAGAAGATAGTGAGACAATCAACGAGCTCCCCTTCCAGTCCATGTTTCAATAATAATGCAATAATAACTATCTCGCCTCTTTATTTCTCCACTTCAGCCGACATTGTTCCGTGCATTCGTACTTCCATCGCTTCCATCGTAGCGAGGTGGTAAACATTGAATCCACGGGGATCCAACCACACCCAACGCCCCCCTCCGAGAGCCGAGCATCTAGCGCAAAGTGTAATAGGCACAGAAAACAATCTAGAACCCTTCCCAGACCAGCATTCCCCTTTCCGCGCGGTAGGCCAAGCTCGCCCTGAAACAACCCCCCAGTAGGCGACCAGCCCTAAGGGGGCAAGTAGTCCGTTCCTGCATGACGCCTTGCGCAGGGAGCGGAGTGCGTCAGCGTGGGCGTTAGCAGGAATGGGCTTGCTCCGTTTTCTAGGCCCTTTTGCACCGAGCGGGGCGGCACTAGCCGGAATCCGGGACTAGCGTTGCCCTTAGGTGCCATTGTGTTGGATCGGACGCTGAATGGGTGCCAGGGAGGGAGGGGGGTAACATGGGACAGTGACGGGGTCGCATGGCATATACAAACAAGCTCCATGGGTTACATACATAGTATTGATAGTATCTACTAGACTATGCCAGGCTTCCAAGGGTTTTGAATGAAACGGTGTGTTGGGAGAGGATTCATGGCTCGCATGCTCCCGAGGGCGGGAACTAGTGGCTTGGAGCGTTGGCATCATTGAATGTCTGGGGATGGAAAGGCGTTAGGAGTGTCCAGGATCGGAGAGTTTAATATATTGGCCTCATAGATCAATAAATGATTAATAGATTGACCGTTTGGCGGAGAAAAGCAAATTGGGGTCAAACTGGCGAAGCGACCGCGTCTCAACACAATAATAGGCTTTGCAAGTCTGTTCATTATTTTCGGGATTTGAAAGAAAATAATACGAAGCGGACGATTATCTTCGTATAACTGCGCAATATGTGTACTGGCCGGAGCCTGACCATCGTCCGGAAAGGGCGATTAGGGTTCTCGAACTGAGATTAAGCCGAGGATCTACCTTAAACCACATGGAAGTATGGGTTTCCATGGATTCAAGTCGGTACCGCATCGTCGAGTTTGCCCTCCCCGCATTTGGCAGGGTTCACTCGTCAAATCCAGAGAGCATTGATCACCAATCAACGGTCAATTATTCGACCAAAAAACCATGAACCGGTTTGAATCGATCCAAAGACGGCTACTTTGGCTGGGATCCCATGCCACCCGGCCGATCACGATCACAATTACGGGACCTACGACTTTCCCAGGATCAATGCCACTGCCGAGATCCTCCATGGTGAACAACTGCCAGACCCCAAAAATCAGGACTACCGAAGATGGTACCGAGGAGTAATATCCAAGTATTAGAATTGGTGAATCATGGTAATTGAGTTCGTCCATACCATATACCACGCCGCCTCCAGAATCCCTCCATTTACCCCCAAGAAATACCATAGTCAATTAAAAAACCCCCCCCAAAGTTGCCTGGAAGCCCGAAATAATCATAGCCCCCGAGGTAGGGTTCACTGTGCCCACTCGATCTTCCTCAATCATCGCTGCTCGCAGAAAATTATTCCCTATCAATGTTTTCATTCATGTACTATCCATGTACCATTGACGATCACCGCCGGGAGCCATCGGTATTCCAGCCCTAGCGTGCTGGTCTAGTATGAGGCATTTCCCGCAGTTGGCATGTGCTTTTTGCGGGGAAGCGTATATGATCGTATCTGCCGGGCTTGCGGACGCGGTCACCGTCCCATCGTCTACGATGTCTCGGTATCATGGGCAAGGCAAGATGGTAGATTGAGACTAAGCTACCTGACATCCGGGGTAGTAGGGCAGTCCATAGGGCGCATGCGATGAGAACGGACAGCCGGGGTAAGCAGGGATTGCGGAGACTAGCGGGCGCGGGGGTCAGACGAGCCCTTGTTCTCGGGACGCCGAGGTTCTCGCACCCACATGTGATTTCTAATACCTAACGTAGGGGCCAGAGTCCAAGGATACTTCAGTGAGATGGGTCAATATGCCTTAATGGTCTTACTAGTGCTTGCTTAACATCGAAGGAAGAGGGTTGGATTGAGGGGCCTTCCCCCACCCCGAGTTCCCCGATGATCATCTTGTTTTTACTTTTTCTCGATAGACATTTATTGTTGCTGTTCATGCTGGTGGCATATTCTAGTGAACTTTGAGTGGTTGTCTCTTCACCCTTGTGACGTGACTTTGTAGTGGATGAGGTCTAAAAAAAAGGACGGAGAGACAGGGTCCCATCAGGCGGGGGCAAGGTTGGTCTTTGGGCGAAACAGCCTCAGGATGTCAATCGAAATTTAGACAATATTGAGTGAAGGGGAATGGTATAGCCTGAAAAGGCTTGCAATTGTTTTGTTCTATTGCTGTAGTCAGCCTCCGACTGGCAATCTGGTTTCCCTCCTGTTTTTGCGACAGGCAATCAAAACTATTCTCCACTATAGGAGGGCGGTGGGAATTTGTCTTGTCTTTACTCTTCACTACACAATTTGCCCCAATTGAAGTATTGAGTTGAGCTGCTGGGCTCAAGGAAGTCTTCAATATCGATCGCAATGGCATTCGTTCTGCTGGAAATAGGGCCGGAGCAGGGCGTCCAGAAGGAGATATAAGAAGGCGAAAATCTCAATTCCTGTAAAAGAGCTTGTCTGAGAGGGAAAGAGGTAGGGTCAGTATGCTTTGGCTGTCTTGCAATGGATCTCCATCTTATGTTAACACGCGCACTTAGGAAGTCTTATCATGCGCTACCGTCGTGGAGATCTGTAGCTCATTTCTTGCCATATTTCATCGCGTTATATTCAAAGCATGTTCAAAGGCACTTCATCCAATAACGCATCATCAGATTGACTGACCTCCGGGTACGCATTTCCGGGTGCGCATTCTGTTTGAATAAGAGTTCTTCCGGTGATCTCATGACTAGATCCCCAATTATCATGGCCCTTGAAGATAAAGTCTTTGACGTTGCTTATTCGTGTCTGCCAAGAATTCATTCTCTTAGAGAATTATGATGGAATATGGAAAACGACTGACGCATTTTGCAAGCAATTCCAATGAATAATGGCGCTCCAGCACTCGGTAAGAGGCCATGTGCATGCCTTAACGAGAGTACAAGATTTGCTGGAGGGCTGGAATTTAACGACTAGGTAGAACCGTGAATACAACACTATTGAACCCACCTTTTGCCAGTATTTGATCTCTGATGATGCAGTAGAGTATCAGATTGAGACTAAAAGAACCAACATACTTCATCGGAAATACTGGAATAACCGACAATCAATCTATGTGCGAATGACATATAGTCCCCAGGCTAAGGCTAGATGCGCCGCCAGGGAAACGATAGCAATGTTGGTCGCAATATCCGGCATTGTGTTTCCAATGAAAAACTCCTTGAGGCTGATGCAAATTCCCAGCGCATCTGTACTGTATGCCTTTCCGATGAGACTGCATTGGATTATTTTCACGCAAATAACCGCGTTGATCCTCGCAACAGCAACATTGTCGACAATGATGGACGCAAACCGAACCCTTCTGGTGGGGGTTATGCATCTATACATCAATAGTATCGGAGTAATAATCATTCCTACTAAGTAACAGTGGAAGGATTAAAAAGCCATTATCAGCTGTGAGACATGTCAGTATACTTTTGGATAAACCCATAACTTTCTATAAGCTATAACCTTTGCAATCATTGCCAACACATCAGCATGACGGGCCATGCCAGTGAATTACTATCGAGCATCGGTCAGTATTGCGACTGGCTAGTTCGCACAACTGAGAAACCTCACTGGCAAAGACGGATATCACAGGCATCGTATAGTAAACGCGATTGTCGAAGCGATTGTCGCACAGAGCGATTCAAGTCAATTTTGTTTCAAAAGATTGAACAACCGAATGGCGCGCCACTTACTGGTGATAGGAGCATCAAATAGTCATTGATTTCGATGCCTCTCGCATTACAGAGAGCCAAAAAGTGCAAAGTCACAAAGACAGTTCTCAGGACAGACAGCGATAAGGCCTTGCCAGATAAAACCCCTCCCCCTGTGGGTACTTATCAAGGTCCACCGTCGTCGCCATGCTGCTGCGCACCAGACTCGCCCTGGCGGTGCAATTCAGACTCGTTCAAGGACCATGTATACTCTTTGAAACAGTGGGAATATTCAAGGTAAAACAAAGTCAGCCTTTGTTCCCCTTACCAAATGAAAAATGCTCGAAAGACCTTTTTACATCCAAGGCTGCCATGAATCCACCGGCCGACGTTAGCTCCTGTCAAGCTCATGGATGTCTTCTGCAGATCTTCACCATTCCGACAAATGAAAAGACGATTTTCCACTCAAATGGGCCCATCAAATCTATCGAACAGCGGCTTTGCTCTATTTACAGTAGGAGGTGCTGCTGGCAAGGCCCACGTGTGGAGCCGCAGACTTGGGGGCCGATGGAGCCCAGATAATGCCCGAGTGAATACAAAATGACTGCTGACTCCAGGTGCCATATAGCTAATTATCTGGTGTGAATACCCAACTCCTCATGTTGCTATTAGGGGGATTCTTATCCCGCCATTCCTGGTTTGCGAGAGGCCGAGGCTTTGATAAGCTCCACTCCTAGCACGACGGGCAATTCTTTGAAACCGCTATGAATTGGGGGCTATTTTTTCTAGTGTACTATGAGCCGGTCGATGCGGGATTTGTGGAGTAGGCAAAACCTCGTTTGTGGCATACTGATTCTGTTTTGTTTAGGTAATTTCGCTGGGTGTGCCAGTTATTCGTGAACTGCATAAAGTCCCGCTCCCCTGGAATTCCCATTCACACTGCTCATACAGGGCTCTACCGCACTTGACTAGATTACAATGGCCTTACATAAGAAACCTATCTTCGTCTTTGTGCCTGGGGCATGGCATACCGCTGATACATTTGATGGTATTCGGGACTTGCTCACCGCGAGGGGCTTTGAATCGGAAGCTGTTACAATTCCTTCTGTTGGATCAAATGACCCCAAGACTGGACTCTATGCAGACACTGGCTATACCCGGGGTATTATCCATGAGCTTGTGAGCAATGGACGCCAGGTCGTGGTGGTAAATCATTCATATGGTGGCCTAGTCGGCGCGGGCGCCGTCGAAGGTCTTGGATACGCACAACGGGCCAAGACTGGCCAACCTGGGGGCGTAATTATGGTGGTTTGGATGGCAGCGGTTGTGGCTCCCAAGGGCAAGTCTGTGATTGACATGTTGGGTGGCAATTGGCTTCCCTGGATGCTGTTGAAGGTAAGCATTTTTTATTCTCGTATCTGTCCAAGAACCCAATTCGTCGAGATGAGAGGGAAATGTGCTAAGAATAAGGCATTTTTAGAGTCCAGATGACGGCTATTGCTACTCTTCCGAGCAAGAACATGTCTTCTATCATGACATGACCCCCGAGGAGCAGCAGAAGGCGATCTCTAAGCTAAAGCCACACCCCGTGTCGTCCCTCCTGGAACCCGTTCTGTACGAACCGTGGCATGACATGCCCTCCTTCTTCCTTTACTTCGATAAGGACCAGGCACTTCCACTTCAGGTTCAGGAGAGCTTTGCCCAGACTTTGGGCAACCCGGCGGCTTTTCATACGGATGGGTCGCACTCGGCATTTTTGAGTATGCCGGAGCAGGTTGCGGGTGGCCTCGAGCTAGCCCTAAAGACAGGACAGGAGCAAAGTGGAATTATCGTGAATTGAATGGCATTTCTCTATATTTTGGGATATAAATGTGATTAGAATCCGAACATTGAAATGTTGATCAGAATTGTAGGGAATTCTCTGAACTCCGCCATGCAACATCCCTTGGAATGGTTGGAAAAATGGCCAAGCCATCAGTATATGACCTCCAAGTAAGCACTTGATTTTTCTGGAGGTTGGGCCTCGTGAATAGAAAAAGCTAAAATATTAAATGACAAAATCGGTGTCGGTAGAAGATAATTTGGTATTTGGACAAAAAGCGCTGAAATGCTGGAGTTGTCTGGTTCATTGAATCATCACGCATCGGGTCCTCTCTATACTATACTTCAAGAGTTGCATGTACTCGGTACAATTACATAGATCCGAGAATCCCGGTTCCCTATCGGGTTTCCTCATGCTGTCCAAGCGCCAATTCTTACCTAGTGAGTGACTAGCTCACTACTTAATCCTATGGCTAACATCGTTTACGATTTCATTAGTCTCCACCATCGTCAGTTTGTGGTTTCGGGTCTTTGAAGCTTAAATTAACATAACTATACATGGATTCGTCTCAGATCCAATCTCCAAGTACCGCGGCTATTCCGAGGAGAGACTAACCTGAGAATAAGGCCCAGGACTAGCGGTCAGGCCCAAATTGCTTGCTTCATTCGAGCTAGAATCGTGTCCTTTAATTTGCTTGTGTGAGCCTGAGGGTATCCGGGTCAATTGTAGCTTGTTTCCTTGAGGAACTATGGGGCTTTAAAAAAGGAACGAAGTGCCGAGCACATGCACATGCACTGACTCGAATGCGTGAGAGATCTGAACTCGTGCACTTGGGCCCGACCAAGAGCTCAACAGCTCAACACAGGGCGCTGATGGTGATATATTAGGCCAGTTTCCCAGAGTAACACCGAGATTCGATCAAATTATACTTTCTCGATCTTTTTCTCTTCTCAGGAGGTAATTGCGATGAAGATTCCCTTATCTTCGATCCCGATTAGTAGACATCAGAGTGCCCGACGTCACCGCGGCCAAAGGCGGAGAGCGGGTTAGCTCCCGAGCTGGAAAGCACAGGTAACACACAACCTCATCCCCGCTCCCCAGCCTCCTTCACGACCTCTTTTTTTCTCTCACTTTTCTCTTCCTCGCCTCCCTTACTCTTCTTGCTGGTCCTCGGTGCAGATATTGAACCCCCTTCCTTCTCTCTCCTTCCACCCCTACCGCCTCTTCCGCCCTCGGAAAACGAGTCCCTATCACCATGGCTCCTCCTCCTCCCGCCAACCTGCCTTTGGCTGAGAGACTCAAGGCTCTCGCCCAGACCCTCCAGTATGTTGTGGCTCTTGCTTGCACACAATTGCAAGAATGCTCCTATCCATAATGTACAAGAACTAATCTGGACCCTTCTTGCAGGTTTGCCTGGTTCGTTGGGTATGTCAATATCTCGCCAACCTTCGAAGGTTCTTCTTTTCGGAACATGCGATCGCTAACCTATCCCTAAGACACTTGACGCTGCTTCTCTCGGTTTTCCGCTACACCCTGTCCTTTGTCCTATTCAACTACTATTCCTCGTCCGCCCAGATCGCTTATCGCCTAGCCTTCATCTCCGCCGCCGTGACCTACGGTATCGTCGTGTACAAGGGCCACTTCGCCCGCGGTGTCTCCGGCAGTGTGCCTACCATTGTGACCAAACTTATCTCAGATGAGAATGTGCAGTATCTGGGTGAGTAAGCTTGGAGAAAAGCTACTACGACGTAGAAAGAAACAATGAACGCTCATGTGATGTACAGGAATGGCCCTCGTTTGGCTGTACTCGCGCCAGCTCATCCTGGCTCTCCTGCCCTTCAGCGTCTACTCGGTCTTCCACGTCGCGACCTACACTCGCATGTACCTGATCCCGACTTTGCAGCCGCCGCAGCAGGGTGCTGCAGGCGCCGCTTCTCCCACCTCCCCGACCTCCAAGCCCGCTGCCAAGCAGAGCCCTCTTGCCGAGACCATCGGCCGCTTCATCAAGCAGTACTATGATGCTAGTATGGGCGTGGTTGCCACCCTCGAGATTCTGCTTCTGGTCCGCCTCATTCTGTCCGCCATTACCTTCTCCAAGGGCAGCTGGGTTCTGCTGCTGGTTTACCTGTCTTTCTTCCGCGCCCGCTACGCTCAGAGCTCTTTCGTCCAGCAAGCTGTTCGCCAGCTCACCGCCCGCGCTGATGCTTCTATCTCTCACCAGAGCACTCCTCCCCAGGTTCGCCAAGGTTGGGAGACCTTCAAGGGTCTCGTGCGCCAGGGCTATGAGGCCACTGATATTGGCCGTTATATCTCTGGCCCTGCCGCTGCCAACAAGAAGCCGCAGTAAAGGACTGGATCAAATGCAGCTGACCACTTTCACTGAACTCTGCTGGGGCTCAGCTCGGTGAAACAGATTCGGTCTTTTGATGACAAGTTGGATCGCGGTCTATGAGACATAAGCAAGATATGCAGAGAACCCCTGTACTTCGGGTTTTCATTTTTTGGTCGCGTGGGAGGACCAGCATGGGTGATGTCTGAATACGGAACGTATGAAGTGTTTCTGTAGAAAAGCGGCAGCCGGCGAGAAAAAGCTGCTATGATGATGCTATACGCAACGCAACGCCATGTTTTTCTTTTTCTTTTTCTTTTTTTTTTTTCCTCTTTTCAACTTTCTCCTTTCTTTGGTTTCTGTTTTAGAAATTCGCGATGCATTGTTTTTTATTGTATCTCTTCTCCCCTGCCTACATAGTCGGCCTTGGCTGTTCACGATTTTGAGGTCTGGTGTGCAGGCGTGGTAGTGACCTTGATAGTCTTTCTTATTTCAAACAAGAGGAAATTGAAGAAACACTACGCATTATGTCTCAGAATACTTTTTAAACAGCTCTCGAGAGAAAATAATATTTTTGCAGGTACTAATCAAGCTTGGTGTGCGCTTAAACCAATGTATGGGGGTTAGGTGTGCACTTCCATGTACATCCAACTCCTATATGGCCATCTCCAGCAGGATGCAACCTGTTGTCAGGCCGTTGGTGTAGATTGAAACATTTGCGTAAAATCATCATGCAGGAGGTCTTTAGGATGGACGTAGTGTCTCCAAATCAGGAAGGCATTAAACACTGCGTTGGTAGGCAGAGTTCTCGTTCTCTGCAGTACTATAACCCACATGGTCGGGAGTGCCTTTTACAATTCTAATGAGGACATAATACTAGCAAAGGCTTATCGTATTCGGGATCCATGCAACCAAGGTGACTGGAAGTGCAGAAAGTGGCTGAAGCAACGGGAGGCCATTGGGCACATTTCTGAGATCGCAACGACATCATTCGAATTGTCCTCGGATTCAAGAAAAATCTCCGGTAAAAAAAAACGCCACCTTTGGTGACCATCCGGTCAAACTCGGTCTCAAAAATGCGCGACTCCCTACAGGAGGTCCTTTCCACCCCGCTTTTCGGGAAAGCCATAGCCAAATCAAGCCAATGAAGGGGTTTGATATCGGAGTTTTCAAGTCTGATCAGTCATTTCTCCTGGGGTGATGAAAACTTCGCGTATTTGGTCGTATTTCACGTGGGAAAGCCAGGACCTTGTATGTTGACTTGCCTAGTATATTCTGTACCCACACGTTCCGAAAGAAGATAAACACAAGAAATCGAGGAAAATATATTACAATCTGTAACCACGGGAGAATAGCTTTAGATGGCATCCTGTACAGCAAGAAGTAATCGAGACTATGCCCAAGGGTAGATTGGTTGAGACTGTGCAGAGTACCAAGAATGAAGCTAGAAGATGGATAATATCAGGCTAAGGGCGATCAAGAGTGATCGACATGTCGGAGCATCCAGCTCCACCATCTCCGGAAGGGGTCCAATAAGGAGCTGCAAGGTCTGTGAAACGGAACCTGAAAAATAATAAGATCCATGCAGCAAGATTAAAACAAGGGATGAGTTCTCGCTGGAAGAAAAATAATCGACTCAAGTTCCTCATGCTCTCCATGCTGCACTTAATAGTGCTTGTGGGTCGTGGCTTTGAAGAACTCGGTGCTGAAGATTCGTTTTGTTCAGGATGATCAAGAAGATAGAAATCCCAGAGCCTCAAGCGATTCCGCTTTATGACGTGAAGCCGCCGGAGAGGCTTCCAAACCCTCCTGGATATCATCGCTGGCAGGACGATGATTTTGCTGATCGAGAGCATGCCTTCTATCACTTTTCAATGGATGATGAAAAAGAGCTCAAACCATATGGCAAGGAGCTATCCAAATGGAAGTTGGTCTCCGTGACTGTCGCGTTATGCTCTGCTATGTTCTGCGTATCCCTTGTGAGTGAGGATGAATATCCAGCTTTTCAATTAACGTGATCAAACTGATTATTCTTCTACAAGGATGGGACTATTCTTGCCACTGCAATTCCCAAGATCACTAATGCTTTTGGGTCTCTGGATGATGTGGGCTGGTACGGTAGTGCGTACCTGTTCACCAACTGCGCGGTGCAGCTGCTATTTGGCAAGCTGTATACGTTCTATTCCGTCAAATGGGTCTTCCTCACGGGGCTCCTTATTTTCGAAGTTGGGTCATTAATCTGCGGGACTGCCGCAACATCGTCTACGTTGATTATCGGACGAAGTATCGCAGGGTTGGGGTCTGCAGGTCTCTTTGCCGGCGCCCTGATCATTGTCTCCAGCACTGTTCCTCTGCGCGTCCGTCCGATCTATGTCGGCCTGGTCTCTAGTATGCATGGGGTGGCTAGCATCGCGGGGCCAATGTAAGTGAATCCTGACGGTGCTTATATCTTATACTATATCCCTTCCGAAGCTAACTGCGCGTACCCACAGTCTGGGTGGAGCATTTACTCAATATCTAACCTGGCGCTGGTGTTTTTTCATTAACCTACCACTTGGCGGCTTGACGTGTCTTTTGATTCTGTTCTTGGTCCCAGGAAATGAGTCGACCCTGAAGAAGGCGCCTTGGAGAGAGCAATTTAAAGAGTTTGATCTTCCTGGCACTCTCACACTAATTCCCGCCGTCATCTGCATGATTCTGGCGCTTCAATGGGGTGGTTCCAAGTATGCCTGGAGTGATGTCCACGTTGTTTCATTATTTGTGGTATTTGGCCTCTTGTTTGCAGTGTTCATTGCCATCCAAATATTCCAAAAAGATCGCGCAACTATCCCGCTTCGCATGATGAAGAACCGAAACATTTGTGGTGCAGCCTGGTATGCGTTGTGCATCTCTCCACCCATGTTTTTGATTGCGTACTATGTGGGTTTATTCTCTCGCACATTGTCTTCAGATTTTATCCTTAAATTGCTGACACTTACCAGCTACCTATTTGGTTTCAGGCTATAAAAGGAGTCACTGCGACACAGTCTGGAATTGACACTCTCCCAAGCTTACTGGGATTAGTTGTCTTTGCGATCATTGCCGGTGGTCTCTCGTCGACGACAGGATACTATACCCCGCTGGTCCTGCTATCCTCTGTGATGACTGCAATTTCTGTTGGACTTTTGACCACCTTACAAGTTGACAGCGGAACTCCCCACTGGTTTGGCTACCAAGTTCTGCTGGCTGCCGGTTTGGGATTTGGCATCCAGAATGTCATGCTGGTTGCCCAGGTGGCCGTTCCCGAATCGGACATGGCGATGGTTACCTCTATTTTGTCTTTTGTACAGACTTTGGCTGGCTCCCTCTTCCTATCAATTGGAGAAAGCGTTTTTGCCAACCGGTTGATTTCCAATTTGAAGGCTCGATTGCCCGATGTCAATGGCGCCGAGGTTGTGGCCAGTGGAGCCACGGGTATACGCAACCATTTCACGCCCAAGCAACTCCCTATAGTCTTGCAAGCGTACAACAAAGCCATTGTGCAGACATTCTATGTGGGTGTTGTCATGGCCAGCCTTTCGATATTTGGGCCCATCTTCATGGAATGGCTGTCCATCAAGAAGACCGCTGATGAACGAGAGAAGAGAGATAACATGGCAAAGAAACGCATGTCGGTCACACTTGGAGCTGTTGGGTTGAATTAGTGTTATTTTAAGGATCTCGCATGGAGTATGACTAGGCGTTGAAAGGGCGATTCAATTGATGGATCGAGACTGTACAAGTATTGCCTACCAGATCTTGGGGGGAACCTGCAGGCGGGTTTCTCTCTCGAGTCTATGACCTTGATGGTTTACATGAATATTGGCTCAAATTTCGACTATTATTCTTTCTTTGTAGAATCCTGATCTCAGATCCCTATCAATAAGAATGGTCGCTTGGAGATGCTTCATATGCCTTCAAGTGTTCAGCTTCTGCAAGTATGATGCCCTTCAGAGAAGGCGGTCAAGAATAGCAGTACCATTTATCATGACGCAGTTGGTGCCTGAGGTGCTTCCGGGCGGAGAAAAGAAAAAGACCGCCGACCAGAATTTTGGATCGGCCCCGAGGAACGACGGCGAACCTTCCATTATCCACGTCCATTTCTGTCACTCTTTACATTCGTTGCACTGGGGGTTGCTGTCCTGACATTTTAACATCGGCACACCCCCTTTTCTCCTGGAGCCATTTTTCCTAGGTTTCAGTGTCGGCCCATCTTGCCATGAGCCTGACTTCACGGGTGTTCGGCCTGTTCTCAACAACGGCAACCCCAGACCCGACTGTCCAAACACCCACCACGAGTACCACAACATCCACTTTCAATAATGAGATAGGTTTTGCTGGTGCTATCCGGCATGCCCGGGACAACCTGCTGGAGGACGAGGAGGAGCCTCGTCCGCCGTATCTTCATGTACGATATCCTCTCCCGGGTGGCGAATATCATGCGACGAGATGACATATTCAGAGACTAACACATAGCAAATTTATAGGCAATGCTGGCTGGTGGAACTGGCGGAACATGTGGTGACATGTTGATGCATTCATTGGATACCGTCAAGACCCGGCAACAAGGCGACCCTCACTTCCCACCCAAGTATACCGCGATGACCTCCTCATACGCGACTATCTACCGACAAGAAGGATTTTTCCGGGGCTTATATGGCGGCGTGACCCCGGCACTGATGGGCTCGTTCCCCGGCACGGTGATTTTCTTCGGTGTGTACGAGTTTACCAAGCGGCAGATGCTGGATATTGGAATCAACCAGAATGTCGCATATCTCTCTGGCGGTTTCTTTGCGGACTTGGCTGCTTCAATCGTTTACGTGCCTACCGAGGTCTTGAAAACCCGGTTACAATTACAGGGTCGATACAACAACCCACACTTCAATTCGGGATACAATTATCGCGGCACCGCCGATGGCTTCCGGTCTATTGTGCGGCAAGAGGGCTTTTCGGCGCTTTTCCATGGGTACAAGGCCACCATCTTCCGTGACCTACCGTTCTCGGCACTCCAGTTCGCCTTCTATGAACAAGAACGAAATATCGCGAAGGACTGGGTTGGCCAGCGGGATATTGGGTTGAGCCTGGAAGTGCTGACGGCTGCCACCGCTGGTGGCATGGCCGGTGTGATCACCTGCCCGCTGGATGTTGTTAAGACACGGATCCAAACCCAGCGGAATACCACATTAAATCCCTCGGGATCTGGGTCGCCTGGCAGCAAACATACAGGAGATCACCATGTGCCGAAGGAAAGCCCGCGACCCCATGCGCCGGGGTCGCCTCAATCTCACGCGTCCTCGTCGCGGGCACATTCGCGACCAATCTCGACTTCCTCGCCATCCACCTCCGTTCCTCCTCCCGGGGCTCCTCGACTAGACACATCCTCCGTCTTCACGGGGTTGAGGATGATCTATCGCACCGAGGGGCTCGCGGGTTGGTTCCGCGGCGTGGGCCCCCGCGGCGTATGGACCAGCATCCAAAGTGGAACCATGCTGGTGTTGTATCAATACCTGCTCAAGCAACTCGAGGCCTATCAGGGTTTGGACGAGTTGTCGCCATTGTGATCTGGATTTCTTTCATGCATTCGGGGCGGGGCCTCTTTCATTGGGGTGGCGTTTTTCTGGATTTTTTCTCATCTCGACTTCATCCTCATCTTCATTGTATTATTTTCTCTGGGAGGATCCATCACCCGTTGGCATACAGATGGATCTCTGTCCCTTTTCCCCCTTCTTTCTCGCTCTTGATAGACCATCTACAACTAGACGAGCCTTGTGGGCCCACGTGTACTATAGCCATGCTTTGTGATCATTTCTTTACCACACTCAACTTTACTTTGAATCAAAGACAGGGTAAAAGTCCAAATCCCTCCCCTGTAAATCAGTCGGCCAACCAGCCTATGAAAAACGGCGCCACGGAATCCCAGGAACCTGAGACTCCAAAGGGCGAACGCGCTAGCGTGTTTTGTTTTGGCGATCCGCGGGTGTAAACAATTCCAATCCCCAGCCCCAATTCAATTCCCCTCCTTGCATCCTCCATCCTCTTTCCCCTCGTTGAAAAAAAGAAAACGAACTACCCAACCCGCTGCAATCTAATCTGCCTCTCATTTGATGGTCGCATTGGTCGCACCGTTTCCCTTGTTTCATTTGACCTGCGCGCTCTGACCCGGATCTGTACTCATCGCATCCACCATGTCGAGCGGCCTTCCCTATCTAAACAAGCTGCGCAAGCCGGAGCTGGTCGAGTTCGCCGAGAAAACCGACCTGCAAGAGTATGTTTTCCCCGATTTTTTGTCATGCGCAGTCGCATGCGCGTGCTCTTTGCAAACTACGATCCTGAGCTGACCTGTCGTCTCGGTGCCCCGCAGCCATTCCGACTTGAACAAGAATGAACTCGCCGTCGCGTTGGATAAGCATCTGTCCGAAAATCGCTCCATATTCTCAAGCGAAAAGAAACTCGCCGACTATTATAAGCGCCTCTCTGCGCCCCCTCGTGGAGCGTCGCCCATGAAGCGCGAAGCCAAGGTGGAGATCACCCCCGCGACCGAGAAGAAGACGCCTGCTCGGAGAACTACCAAGCAGAAGTTGGAGGAGGCAACGTGAGTGGAAACCCCCTCCTCGGGCGACAACCACAAGCGCACCGCAACCACGTTGCGATTTTGTGTATGGTACTAATATCGTCCGTATAGCTCATCTGACGAAGCTGCCAAGACTCCCAGCAGCGCCCTGCGTGCCTCTGCGCGCTCTATAAGATCCGTTGGGACTGTCGACTTGCCCGCTTCTCCAGCAGTGGTAGCGGATGCAATTGACCGGCAAACCACCAAGGTGCGCGAGGGCATTGAGAAGGCATGGACTTCGTCCGGCGTTCTTCAGCGCTCCCAGGAACTGCGCACGTCCCTAAGCAGTCTCCTGGCCATCGAGGTTCTTATCCTGTCCATCGAAGGGTTCAGTATTCTGAAAGAGCTCCTGCCATTGCGCTATGTGGGCACTACTCCCCCTATTTCGGCAATCCATCTCGAGCCTGTGTCGGTCAAGATTCCAGATTTCTTCTTGCTCGTGAGCGGCGCGTTCTGGGCGCCCTTCCTTCTTTGGCTCCTCACTGGCTTGGTCCTACCTCTGGCCGCTGCTTACTTCTTTAACTTGAGCTGGAAGGCAGCTGGTGGCGCGGTGCGCCGTGGCCGCTCGGCTGCTTCCCACCAGGCTAACTTCGACCCGCTGTCCTTCAACATCGCCAAAGCCCTGCTGGTATACAAGGTCTATGTGGACCATTATAGTTTCCACGGCCTGTTCAGCAACTATGCCATCGAAAAGGTCAATGTGGCAATCCCCGGTCAGTGGGCCGGTATGCTTACTTTCACTGCCATCGGTGCAGTTGGCACTTTGTACGAGGCTATCTTGCGGTCGTAAGAGGACTGCTAGGGTTCCTGCATCTACCTTGGGCTGTACAGGTGGCCTAATCGGGTTTGGTTTGCGAGATGAAGATAGGCTTTCCCCTTTTGCCTAACATGATAGTTTTGAATGATGTGAATCTGCTCGTTTATGTTTATGCGTTGTCGGCTTCCCCCTCCCCTCCCCTGTGGTGCTCATCCCGTGATACTGGACGAGAGCCATCCCTCTTCTTCTCTTGGTTTTGATACCCTCTGATTTTGGAGGCGTGTCGTGTGGATTCCAACCTCATGGTGTGCTCTGCAATTCTGCGTTTTTGTTTTCTGGTTTCTACAGGCTCGCGGGTTTATGGATTGAGTTTTTAGTTGGTCTCTCCGGGATATGCGATGATGCAATACGCGATATTGGGCTCTTGTTTTGCCGTTCCTCTATTTCCCTTCTACTATATTTCTTGGTCTCTCGTTTCAGCCAGAGAAGGCGCCTGGGTTTGTTGGGTTCTGATTCTGGTCTTGGCTCTTTTGGTGGTATCCTTTTTTTCATTTCCAGTCCACGTGCTCTTTATTATCCGTTCTAGTCTTGACCGAGTCTATACGGGGGTATCCATCAACAGTGTAGTGAATTTTTGAGGCTTATCCAACCCTCTAGAGTCATGCTCTTTTCAATCTCTGTGCCAGCTCCACTGTAAACAGGACGGGCTTCGAAGCTTCGACCTCGACCTTGTCGGCCCGGATGTAATTGCTGGTCGATATCTGCCCGCCCAGTTTCGTGGGCCAGTCCTGCACATCCCAGTTGAACCCCTTCGTAGAAATCGATGTCGGTCCTGACAGCGGAATGATGCCGATGTTCTCTTCGAAAAAGAATTCCTGCTCAGCCTTTTCCGCCCGCTTTCGCTTTTGCCCGACTTCCGGCTCGTCAGACAGGCACTCCGCCGAGGGTGGAGGGTTTTCAAGGTCTGTCCGGTTTGTACAAGGCGTGTGGATGACGTTCTTCCCCTCTTGGAGAATGAATGTGACGCTCTCCTCGGAGACCAGATAGAGGTTACCGCCAGCAGCCGGGTCGACGACCTTCTGTTCATCGTCACTCTCACTTTGACAACCCCGTGCTTCACGTAGCTCTCGCTGTGTCTGGGCCACCATGTAGAGGTGGCTGATCTGTGAAAAGGCTTGATCGACCCGGCCGCCCAAGCCGCCCAAAGCCACTATGTCAAGCATAGGGTCCGATGAGGGTTGGGTTGGTTTTCTCATCTTGGCAGGTGGTTGGCCATTGCTTGGAGACTCTCGTGCATTATATCGGGGGGCAGCAATGATTTCTGCTGCATGCTCATTCAGGTATTTGAGGCACTTGCTGAAGTCCGGGCTATATTTATCTTCATCTTGCAGGATGAATACCCCTAGCTCCTCGTAGTGCTTTCTCACGGATGGAAGGATCGAGTCCAGATCGCCAACGATGGCATCGGGGAGCTGCAAAGGCCGGGTTAGTACCTATATGACAAGAGACATAGATATAGATATATATATATAGATTCCTCTGGGATGAGACAAATATCGCATCAACTTGCTAGGTCAAAACTCATTTAGATAGCTGTTGAGCCTCAAACCATGACTGAACAATACATATCATGTCCTAGAATGCTTAGAATATATTCCACGTAGGGTGTCGTCTTACTTCAGTAGACTCTTTTCCTTGAGCCTTCATTAGGTCATAAAAATGATTTGAGGCACCATCAGCACACACAATATGAGACGCTATACGTAATTAGATATCACCCTGACGCCGAGCTCGTGACCCACGAAGCCCAAGATTGCCAGCCAGTCTGCCCAGGGAGGAGCTCACTATGTTCACTTAGTACCGCAAACGCCCGTTCGTTGATTGGCTGGTTGAGAACGAGCAGGGCATAGGGCGAGGGACTCCCATCTGCGCGGAAAAAACGACTCGGATCAAACTCCATTGTTGAGATCGCGAATCTCGTTGTATCTCGCTTGTCGAGTCGTGGACCGTTGCCCGTTGACGTTTGAGTCGCGTGTAACTCGGTTCCGTGCAACGTGACTGGTTGGCAAACCTCAGGCCGACATCCACTTCTCTTCCACCAACTTCTCCGTCCGCGGCTTCGGCTTTCTCTCCCCTCCATTCCTTCTCCTCGCGCGCGCTCCTCGGAGGTCTTTCGCCTCAATTCGACTCTTTTTCTCTTCCTCTCTTTTCTATTCATCATGTTTCGTCCCGCCGCCCGAGCGCTTGCCCGCGCGCCTGCCGTCGCGGCCCGTGGCCCGGCGAGCACTCGATTGATAAGCACTGGCCCGACGCCGAAATCGAGAAGCTGGAAGAACACCGCTGTCCGGTTGGCTTTGGCAGGTGGTGCTGTTTACTACTACAATACGAGTAGCTATTTCGCTCAGGAGCCCTCCTGTTTGTCATTCCCGTCTTTTCCCTCTCCCTTAGGCTGTCGGCCCTGCGTCCCCGAGACCCAGAGAAACCCGGCAAATCGTTGCATCTTGAACCAATGGCTGCATAGAGGACTGAAAATTTGCTAATGTCGCGTCTGTATATAGTCTCCATCCTCGGCACATTGAGCAAAGAAAATGGCGACGATATCTCCTCCCCCACCCTCGACTCCATCACCCCGAAGATCCGGCAAGAGAAGGCCGCTGCCCGGTCTCAGCCGAAGACCGATGCGCCTGCCGTTGAGGCCGTCGCTGCTCCTGAATCCGTGGAATCCGTCCCCATAGACAGTGAAGTGAAGCCCCATATCCCGAACGAGGAGGAAGAGGGCCCCGAGTCTGCTGCCTTCAACCCAGAGACCGGTGAGATCAACTGGGACTGTCCATGCCTGGGTGGCATGGCCCACGGCCCTTGCGGCGAGGAATTCCGGGCAGCGTTCTCCTGCTTCGTGTACTCGAATGAGGAGCCCAAGGGAATTGAATGCATTGAGAAGTTCAAGTACGTTATAATGCGACATGTTCGCGCACACAGATTCAAGTATTGACAAGCTTTCTAGGGGCATGCAAGACTGCTTCAGACAACATCCCGATGTGTATGGTGCCGAGCTGGAAGACGATGAAGTCGAGGGCGGTGCTCCTGCCCCCGCTGACCAAACACCCGCTGCCACCGAGGGGGATAGCCTGCCTCCGGCCCCTACCGATGCCGAGGAAAAGAAAGAGGAGACTAAATAAGTCCCCGTCGACCGCATGCGTATTGTTTGACGTCCCTTCTCTTTCTCTCTCTGACAGTGCAACTTCAAGTCCAGGGTCGGGGCGTGTATTATATTAAAAGCCTTTTCGCCTTCTCTCCCCCGGCCTTAGTCTCAATTGCCTCTGCTCTCCTCTCCATGATCTTCCCAGCATATCCATTCCCCGTTCTGCGCTCCTATGTTGTTGCTGATTTTTGTGGTCTCCACGTGTAACTTAGTGTATTGGTATGCCGCTGTGCCTCTGTCTTGATTTCGACATCAAAAGAGCGGAGATAGAATAGACTTGTTGCATTATGAGTTTCTTGATACTTTCTCTACCTCCTCGCCCGATACTACTTCTTAATACCATATGCATGATCCACGCGAGCTGGATCGTCCCATTTACATTGCTGGGGTGTTAAATCCTTGAGTGCTTGTGATCCGCGAGATATTAATTTACAAAGAAAAAGAATTACCCCCTCTGCGGCAGGCCTATTTACAGCCTCTCGTCTCTTTTCGAACGGCGCTCGGTGTTTGAGCCAGCTCATCGGGGGCGTCATATCATATGTGCTTTTCCAACTCCAATCTACATTCCAGGAGACCTTGATGCCCGACTCGCCTCGCCCTGTTCCGACTCCAGCGAGTACTCCGTCGTGACATGGATGGCAAGCCCATCGCGCGGGCTACTCTCCCTCTGCGCCGGACTCGACGCGATCTGCGCGCCTTTCGCGCTCTCCAGGATATACTCCTCGCTATCGCCGGACGACACACGGCTCCCTTTCTCGGTGCGCAAGACGGTGTCCAGTTCGTAGTGGTTGCCGTGGCTGCCGCTGCGGCGCGAGGAGATGAAGGTCTTGGTCTTCCCGGATGCCCTCGATCCGAAGTTATTGTAGCCCTCGCTATTGTAGTACGGGTTCTTGGAGGTCTTGCGGTTTGAGGAGCCCAGCCAGCGAGTGTTGCGGAAGAGTGGCTTGATACCGGGCAAGGAGACAACGATGGCGGCGACAAAGCACTCGCGATCGGCCCAGCCGAGGGCAGTGGAAAGATCGCTGATATCTCTGAGGGAGTAGAAGGCGCGCAGGATGGTGCAGATCATGATGAATATGCCCGAGGAGAACATTACCACCAGGATCATCTTGCGTTGGAGGGGTACCTGGAGCTTGGCGAGCACAGGTATCGGAATCACTAAGATGCAGCAATCGGATCTTTATAGGAGCTTGATGTCAATATCTAGCGTGAAAATTGGGGATCCGTTCGCTGGTTGGAGTGTATGGGATACGTACAGGACGTTGAGCGTGGCATTGACGACGTATAGTGGTTGTCTCAGGGTGCAGTAGTCTGTCATTGACTGTGAGGGACTATTCATAGTTCGCATAGATGAGAAGAAGCTTACCTCCTGGATAGGGTTTAATCTGCCAATTCCTATATACCGGAGTACAGATGCAGACATGCGTGAGAACCGATGCCAGCCAGGTAGCCCCGCAGAAAATCGAGGTTGCTACGACGAGATTGCGGTGCCATGTGCCTTGTCTATAGATCTCGGAATGAAATAATCAGCACGAGCATATGTTGGAAATGGAACAAAGAAAGGCAGTGCCTACGTGAGCTTCCAGTAAAGACACAACATGACGCCCTTCAAGCACCAAATGTATGACATGTACCAGATCCAGTTCATAAAGGCCAATTTGGAACCCAGAATCATTTTTGGTACCTTGGAGTCGGGGACTTCCATGGCAGTGACTGCAGTGAGGCCAATGTTGTTGCCAAACAATTCTATGGCATGTCAGCGATAGATCCTAATGCGCCACCCATTCTTTCCAGCCTTTCTTACCTAGCAAATAGATATTGATTGTTTGCATGGTCCAAAAGACCTGGGCATTCATACATCTTGTTAGTGAACACAAATATGGGACTCGTTGACGAATCGAATATGGCATACCATGGCCGCAACCGCAAAGGCATCATCCAACCGCAACCCACGAATGCCTCCCATATGCAGCCGAGCAATGAGCCGCACTGTAAGGAACAAGAATCCAATGCCAAACTCGGCGAAGCTCTCAGCGGTCAAGTTTTCTCCCATACTGAAAGATAAAGCTCCCCCAAGGAGAGGCTACTCCATCCACGAGACACGATTAGGATAATTGACGATGGAGAAAGATCCAGCGTTCTCACGCACGGCCAGTGATGGGAGAAGTGGCGTTTTAGGCTATACCAATGATTATATTTTTTTGTATTTTTTTGGGGAACGCCTAATCGCAACGCGTTGCCAAACTGGGGACTTTTCTTCAAACAGGAAGAACTATCTATCGGGGTTGATATGAATTTCCTATGCCCCCCCCCCCCACCCAACCCTTGGTCATCCCCCTTTCTCACTTTTTCCAAGACCCAAGGAACTGGATACAGGAATATATCAGGCTAGTCTCTGTTCGCATCATTTCACTTTTGGGGAGTTTCTTTTTCATTCCCCCGACACACGGGACGGGACGTGTTGGGTGGCAAGGGTACGGAAGGATAGTTTCAACAGCGGGCCCATGATTGTAGTTGTTTCTGCAAATCAAGCTCAGGAACTGGACGGCTGACAGCGCAACGGTCCGATAGGAGAACCATGTACTCGAAAAAAAGGATAAAAAGGGGCCGGAAGACAATGGAATTCCTCTATAGGTTGGAACCCACTGTGTGGTGGAGACAGCAGCATTGGCGTGTTGGTAAAGCACGGTGATTATTGTCTCGCTTCGCTTCGTACTTCATTCGGAGTCCTCATATGAAAGGATCGGCAATCACGTAATGGGTACTAGCTAATATACTGTTACCAGTGAGAACTCTGGCTTTGGAGTCGATGAGCTCAATGGAATTGAAACGCACATGGAGCGCCCAAATTATGTGGACGGCTTCCGGCCGGTGCAAAGAAGACGAACTATAGAGTTGAACCAGGATCTTGGTTGAGGGGCCATGCCTCGTAGTAAGTTTGTACTGGGGGCCACGCGGGATATCCTGCTGGGTGGACCTAATGAGGCCACTAGGAACGGACTGTCTCTAGAATGGGGAATCAGCGTAGTTTCAGGGCGGAAATTGGTATTGTTGATCAGCCGGTGCCAATCATTCGCCCATCACTGCAGGCGTGGGGTCCTGAAGAGAAAGCAGGGACTAAGGTCCGCTTCTCAGTACGAGATTGAGCGATAGGTCTTTTGGCAGACGAGGAGGGGTCGGCAGGAAACCATTGATGGCGCTATCATTTCAAGTGCCGAGACGACGCCTATTCTGGATATAAAACTTTGATTGTCACTAACCACGAGTGTTTGACTATTCGAGCCGTGCACCCAACACCGGACCAACTTGTACATCACCGAATCTCATACTTCGCTATGGCCACCACCAAAGTTGCTTTGATCACAGGCGGAGGTGGGTTTGACGAGTTCACGGATTGATACATCAAGTCCAAGGCCGCTGACTCTCCCCCGCAGCCAGTGGAATGGGACTGGCCGTCGCAAAGGCTCTATCAGCACGCCCTGACTGGATTATTCATATCCTGGACATCAACGAGGAGCGCGGTGCCCAGACGGCCCAGGACTTGCCTCGTACCTTTTTCCACCGTGCCGACGTGACCAAGTATAGCGAGCTAGGTGAGGCATTCCAGCAATCATTCAAGGCTCAAGGCCGCCTAGACTTTGTTTTTGCGAATGCCGGCGTAATCGAGCGAACCAATTTCTACGCTGAGCACCCCGTGGCCAACGAACAGGATGTGACCCCGCCGCCCGAGCTAGACTTACTGTCGATCGATGCTGACCTGAAGGGGGTCGTTTTAACCACTTATCTTGCCCAGCACTATTTCCGCCACTCGCCACACAAGGGTGTCGGCGCGACGCTTGTGATGACTGCGAGTTGCGGCGGACTGTATCCGTCCTTCTACTCGCCTCTGTATTCCGCTGCGAAATGTGCGTGTTCAGTGTTTCCCCTCTTCTTCTCATATTATTACCCTCCTTGACAATAGTTTTGTTCTTTGCCGAGAGATTACTTTTCTAGTTTCTGGTTTCGTCAGTAGGCTGACCGGCTTTTTGCCTCTTCTCAAATAACAGTCGGCGTAGTTGGCTTCATGCGGTCCATCGCACAACACTTCATCGCGGACGGCGTGCGCGTTAATGCTATCTGCCCGGGAATTGTGCGCACGAATCTCGTCGACCAGAATGGCTGGGCTAGCTTCCCCCAGGACCGGTTCACGGAAATGAGTTCGGTGGTCCGCGTCGTGCTCCAGCTCGTGGACGGAGGCGAACCATCGGGCCAGGGGCTGTCCGATACGCCAGGGTCCCACCTACCCGCATCCAAATTGTACGGACTAGCCGTGGAGATCTCTGACAGCGGGGTGTACTTCCGGGATCAGCATGAGTTTTGTGATGAGGGAATGCGCGAGGTGATGGCCGCGACGGTTCTCGAAAACCAGGTCGGTGCCATCTTGAATGCTGATTAAAGGGAGTCTACGGAGAAAGTCTTAACCAAAATTTCTTTCATTTTTTTGGTTTCTTTATGGGGCAGGAGAAGGCGCTCCCTCTTTTTTAGCGGGCCAAAGGAAAGGCAGGATTTATCAATGATGTTCGATGCGGTTGCTGCATTGAGAACGCTTATGTACAATGGCGGAGCACTCATTCTTTGGATGATAACTCGGCACCCAGTACGTTGCTACCACTACTAGATGTATGTAGTTTCAGCGAAGGCCAAAGCAACGAAATATTTCTAGTAATTCTCTCCATTTTCACCCTAGCCGTGTACTCACCGAGCCCTGTATGGTATACCCCTCTACTACTTTTCTCCTCAGCTCAGCTGAGATTTCTTTTAGGGCTAGCGAGGGTACTTTGTCCTCGTCAAATCTCTCACTCCATAAACTAACAATTCCTATATTCCACGTCCCTCTATTATACCCTTCGGAATAATTATATTGCTATGTCTTTCGAGAAATCTTGCGAAGATATCAGTATCGATACCAGCGGCGACCGTACTCGCCTTGTTGCCGCTGCGGCAACAATAGACAATGAATTCGTTCCTGCGGTGTTTATTCTCGATCAGTTGATCAGAAACTCGAATGGTCAGTCTTAATAAATATGCATAGGGCACGAAGTCTCTGACTGTGCACTTTATTTCGGACGTGGCGTTATCGAGACTCGAACCAGGAAAAGTCTGACTATTAAATGCCGAAATTAGATGTTTTAATTTGTCTACTCCATATAGAGAATGTACTTGCACTATGTAGGCGTTTAACCGACAGAGCGGACCACGCGGCCTTGCGCAAGCTTCCAAAAACATCAAAGATCGACATGACGACCTATCCCCGAAGTCAAGACTCCACTCTGGCTAGTCAGAACGCCCAGTTAGCGGCTGTCCAGGGGTTGGCGTTAATGGCGGCGGGCCGAACGGGAGGGCAGTGCCACCCCGTCATTCAAACTTGGTAGACTTTCGATCCCCCCCACCGCTCGATAGTGATACGATAGACTTGAACCGTGAGCTGCTACCAGACCAAGACACATAGATCCAAGGCCCCTCCACTACATAATCCCAGGCACGTGCCATTCGATTAAAGTGGAGTCGACGGCTTGAGAGAAAGTTGCGCCGTTGAGATCCACACGGGCCACGGCTGCAACTCCGCGGATGGGGCTAGGTTTCACCCATGGCCTTTTCTTTGCGCCGAAGGATCTGATACTGGAAAAGCTGAGAGATTCCAGTAGAGTTTACACAGCGATCCATTCCCAAACAAGATTTCAATTCAAGGCTGATAGGACAAGGTGTAGCTATTGAGTTCCATCCTGGTGGAGTTGGGAGGTGCACGCTAGCAAGGTTAGGCCAGTTCAGTGCAGAGTTAGGGCTTGGTAGTGGCTGGTCTAAGAGACACCACAATCCTTCAGGCCACGCCACCTTTTTTTTCACGGGATCGCATCCGGAAGTCCTGAATCTTCACCGTGCATCATACGGAACAGGGGTTCCCAGACGGTAATGGCCCGTTTGGTGACATGTCCATTTCCGTATTCAGGCATGTGGTAGTAGATCAGCTTCTCGGCAGAACATTCGAGTATTTCACCGGCCATGCCAGTCGTGTCTTCCAGGAAGGTCTGGTACCCCTTGAGGATGGTTGCGACCGGGGTTAGGCTAGGCACGTCGCTTGTATAAGTATATGCTGGTCTTGACGTAGAGGGAGAGGAGGAGTCAATAGGCCCAGGAAGAGGTCTTTTTTTCTTTGCCAACTTACCACTCTGGTGTGACGGCCGCGATCATTTCGGGTGGAACAATGGGCGTGTTAACAATACCCGGCATTACGACATTGATCAGGATATTTTCCTTCTGCTTCAGCAGCGGCGCAACACCACGCACGAAGTGGTTGACAGCAGCCTTGGTACCGCAGTAGACGGGATACGACTCATGGGGGAAGACAGCACCGATACTCCCAGTGATCACAATGCGTCCACCTGGCTGAGCGTTATGCCGCATGAAATGAGTGGCCAGTTGGGTGCCATAGACCACGCTCTTGTAGTTGATATCAACCACCGTCAGCTCTGGTTCAGGCGGAATCTCATCCACGGTCTTGTCCTGCTTCTTCCAATCATAGATGTAGATCGAGTCGGTATCGACGATGCCGGCATTAGCACAAAGAGCATCAATGCGTCCCCAGAGTTTGCGGACTTCTCGGAAAACACTAGCATATTGATCGTAGTTGGATATATCAGCAGCATAGAACCGGGCATTATCACCGGGAAGCTCTTTCAGGAGAGCCTCGCCGGCTTCACGGCGTCGACCCACGACCGCAACTTTCCAGCCGCGTGTGTGGAGGTCTTTGGCCAGGTCAATTCCCATGCCGGACTGCACAGCCTTCGGGTTAGTACAAGCTTGACAAGCCTATGGCTGCAATGAAACTAACAGTAGCCCCGACGACAATCGCAACACGGTCTTCTACATGCAAGCCCATTTTTGTGGAGATCAAGCAAAGTGTCACAAAAGTAAAAAGAGAAGAGATGAAGGGGGGAAGTTAGAAAAGCAAAATGAACTACATGAAGTCGCTATTGCTGTCAAGTGCGATAGTATGTTGACACCGGCCCGCTTAGTCCCGCGTTAGTATCAATTATTAGGAATTCCTCGTTTCGAGTCGCCTCTATTGCACTGTGACTAGCGCGGGGTCTAAAGCCTGAATCATTTGCAATCAAATTCCAAAGTGACAACTGCCGATCCTGCCGGTCAAGCCCGGCTTAGAGCCATAGACATGGCGGACTCTAAGCACTAGGCGCCCCGGTTTGGGGTGGACTCGCCCCCTCGTTTCCACTACCAACCGCGCTGGTGCAATGAGAATGAATGCATGGCGCCCATGTTGGTCCACATACGCCGAACTATAGCGGCTTCTCCCTATCGAACCCAGCCGCGAACAGCTCCCGTTGGCCAAGGATTCTGTGTTTCTGCATGGCGCTGGAGCCATGTGTCCTCCCCTACTAAATGCAGGGAAGCTTAATGACCTGCCGCAAGCTGCATGAAAAGTCAAATTTCCTGGTCGCCCCTCTTTCCTCCTGACACTCTCGCATTGCCCTAGTCAAAAGGTTTGAGGTTTGTGGTTGTGCATCATGACTGTGGACGCAGAGAAGAATACGGTGCAGGACACCGCTGGTACTGCTTCTGAGCCGAGCTCGCCGTCAACGGCAGTCAATGACAATGGCCTGCCCGAGTCTGAGCCTCCCGTGGTCACTTTGAAAACGTGGATCGTTGCTTGTGTAAGTCCTTCGTGTCGCGGTGCTAGTCGCAAGCCATGTCAAGAACACCTAATTGACCATGCGATAGATTCTGTCCTGCGGTTATGGCCTTTCTTTCTGGCCCGTCCCTGTCGTCTCTGCCATTGGCTCGGAGCTCTCTGCGGATATGGGAGAGGCAAATGGGTATATCTGGTTTGTTCCTGTATGAAAACTCCCGAGGCCAATCTCCCGAAGATCATATGGACTAATGTGATACAGGCGTGGACCATCTCTATCACTTGTGCTTTCTTAATCTTGTAGGTTTGCTTCACAAAGGAGCTTGGCCTGAGACGCAAACGCTGATAACGTATTCTAGTGGCCCAAACACGGATCTGCTGGGTCGACGATGGTTCCTGGTTCTTGGAAATTTGGTAGGAGGCCTTGAAGACATGATCCCGGGTATATTTTCGCCAGTACTAATGTTTTTAGGTCTGCTTCATCGGCCACATCGTAGTTGCCTCTGCTAAGACTAGCAACCAAATTACCGCAGGTCTGGTTATTTCAGGCTTTGGTGGTGCAAACTGCCAGGTATGGATCGTTTCCTTGAGTTTCCTTTCTTCCAAAATGGAGTCTAGACTCTGACACCCATTCTGTGGTCATAGATGGCCGCTTTCGCACTACCTGAGCTTTTGCCAAACAAGTGGCGTCACATTGGTGTTGTTATTGCTGATTTCACCGTCTACATCGCCGTCATTGTCGCACCGGTCACTGCTCGCTATGGCTATGAGATGGGTCACTGGGCTTGGAACTTCTGGGGCGTGGCTATTTTCCAGGGCCTGTCTTTCGTGGGCCTCTTGTTGCTTTACCACCCGCCCAAGCACCCGTAAGTTCCCATGCTCAATTGACGACCGTGTGCGAGAAGCTGATCTATATATAGGATGGGTATCCCCTACCTTGACGCTTTTAAGTCTCTGGATTACCTTGGTTCGTTTGCTCCTCTCTTTCGAGAAACATAATCTTGCGACTAATACACATCAGGTGCCTTCCTTTTCATTGGCGGTGCGGTCCCCTTCCTGATGGGCATTGTGTGGGCCGGTGTCTACGACTCCAACGACGCCCACGTTGTCGCCCCTCTGGTCGTCGGTGCTGCCGTTCTGATCTGCTTCGCCCTTTGGGAAACCTTCGGCAACTTGAAGTATCCGCTGACGCCCTCGTACGTCTTCACCAGCTCCTGGGGCCGCGACTTCACCGCGCCTGTGATTGCTCTGGGCGTGGTCAATATGTTCTACTACTCGTCCAGCATCCTGTGGCCGCAGATGATCACCGTTTTCTACACCAACGGCGGTGCTGACTGGAAGAAGTCAGTGATTCTGTCGTTGCCCCAGGGCTTCGCCATCTTCTTCGGTGCAATGCTCCTCACCCTGTTCGGCAGCAAGCTGCGTCACTGGCAGTGGCAGTTGACCGGCTCGGTGTTTGTCATGGTGGTCTTTGGCTCACTTTTAGGTCTGGTCACTCCGACTAACAAGGGCACCATGATTGCGTTTGTGTTCCTCTCCCAGGCTGGTTTTGGTTGGGCGATCTACCTCAGCATTGCGATCTCTCAGATGGGTGTGGACCACAAGAACCTTGGTGTTAGTGGAGGTATCTCGGGATGTATCCGTTTTGCGTGCGGTGCAGGTATGTCTTGATGGCTGGGTTTTATCAAAACACAACCCTAGTTGTTTCGTGGTAGGGGCTGGGTTTGTGCTGACAGGGTCCATAGTCGCAACCTCGGTTTACGAGACTATCTACAGCAACAGTCTGACCAAGTACATGAACGAGTACATTCCCAAGGCTGTTGTCGCTGCCGGTCTCGACGAGTCCAAGGTGACAGGTCTGATGGCCGTCGTTTCTGGCGGTGCTTCGGCTCTGACCTCCTACAGCTCTGTTGTTGCATCCGCGGCGGAGACAGCTCTTGCTGATGCCTACTGCAAAGCCATCTTGTGAGTTTGCTCCTACCCCCTCTTCATCTCTTGTTCAGGGATCTAGGAATGCGAGGAGTCGAAAAATCACTAATACCTGTCCCCCTAGCGTTGTGGCTATGACCTCCATGGCCTTCGGCATCGTCGGTCTGATAGCTTGTCTCTGCTGCAAGGACGTCGACTCGAAGATGAACAACAAGGTAAGACTGTGCTGTTCGATATTATGAAATATGCCATGCTTCAGAAAAAGCTGATTTTGAATTTCAGATCGAGGTTTATCTCGAGAACACTGACCTCAAGGACCGGAACGAGTTCCACTGAGAAGATCTGCTATACGGACAATCCTCGATAAGAACACTGTTGGGAGCTCTTCTGTCTATTCTCGGTGTTCGTCAAATTAATCTCAAGTTGATAGAACTCACGAGAGGAAATGGAGGGAAAATAAAGATGAACCGAAGGAAATGTATAGAAGGACTGCTGGGATATTTACAGAGCGAGAAGGACGGAGTGGGTAATGGATAGTATAGTTAAGGTTAATGTGAAATATAATGGGGTTCTGTGCACGGACTTTTTTGATTGAAGACAAGAAAATATAGTGGCTTTGCGTTGCGCTGCAGAATAATCGACGGGCGCCTGAACGAGGAAAAAGAAGAGAGCTTCTTATCCTCATTGACATCCTCATCACCTCAAGCTGCCTCAAGCTAGCTAGCAGAATACATTCTGTGGATATACGTAGCCTTTCCTTCAGACATGAGCTCAACAAGCGGTGACGTGAGTTGGAAGTGGGTGAGTTGTCGCCATGCTCAAGGGGACTAAGAGATACAAGATCAACCCGACGAGCATCAACGGCTTGTCCATTCAGCGAAAATGAAGCCGAAAAATTTGGATGCCACCCCTTGAATTCCTGGGAAATCCATTACTCGGGAGAGCTTCAGGCGAACCAGGGCTCATCAATGAGATGCCGATTTCAATGAGTTGATCGCTGCGCTCAGATAGGTAATCGGAACAAGATCCCTCGTAAAGGCAAGGGCTGTTGACGTCTTCCATCGAAGGATTGAAGCTGTCACTTGTAAGGTGAAGACATTGCCCATCGGTCTCATTACCAATTTACGTCACTGAGCTGGAGTTTGCGTGATCTGAAGGCAGACCGGTTTGCAGCGGACTTGTCCAATCGCTGGTTGGCGGGGATGCGCTTTTCGAATTCTGTACCTGACATATCAGCCAATCAAGTCCCAAGAATGGCTAAGGAAAAAGACCAAACAAGCATTCTTACCTTCAGAAGGTTCCGGTTCATTCGCTGCCTCGTAGTTCAAAACCAGGTTCTTGATCCGTTGCTGTTCTTCCCGATCAGCCTGTTGCTGAGTGCGCATAGCAACAGCAAAGGTGGAATCGGAGGGAAGATCGATGGTGCGAGTCTGTTCTCTGTAAGTATGATGACACATTCAATATAATATAGCAAGCCACAATCTCACCTGTTGTTTGTTCCCTTTCTTGGTCATCAGTGAGAAGGCCATCGTCCTGGTAGGGGGCATTGGCTCCGGTGTTGCAGACTCGGTCGAGGATTCAGTCGGCATGGCATCGCGAGGCCGCTGCTTCATGGGCAAAGGAATATCAAAGATGGCCTTGCGCTCGAATCGTCGGGAGTCCATGCTTTCAGCCATCATCTTTTCGAACTCGCGATCAAACTCGGCTTCGGCTTCCGGATCTCGTTCCTCTTCTTGACGCGTGACGACGATGTGCTCATCTTCGAAATCGCTCTCGTCGTTGGCCTCTGGATTAGGGCCCGATGCCTATTTGCGTATCAGAATGTGTTTGTGAACGGATGAAGAATTTTTTTTTTTTTTTTAAAAAAAAACATACCTCAGCTTCATCACTGGACTCCTGCTCATCTTCAATTTCGGGAATCGCGTCTTCCTCCAGATCCTCATCGGATGAACTACTTTCTGCCTCATCCTCGTCGGCATCAATCGGTCTCTCGGAGTCCGGCACATTGTAGTTTTGGGCGACAGCCTCGCTGAAAATACGAGTAGCCTCTTCCGGATCGGTAGCTAGCTTCCATTGCGGCCGGAGAGCCGAGAATGTGTCCTGGACTAGGAACTCTATATCCATGGGTAACGGATCCTTTGTAAACAAGTAGTACTGGAAAAAGCCAAGGAAGAAATCCAACTTCTTCTTTGCTGAGCCACGGTCGAAACAATGGCCGCACGTGTCGAGAAGTGTGCAGGCTAAGCGTAGTCGGAAGAAGTCATCGGGCAGGTCTAATGGGTTGATTCTGTCTGCAACCGGGGTGCCCCCTTCGTGGCCGAAGGTAACAATGCGATACAACGTATCAAAGACGACCGGAGAGTCGATCATTTTGTAGTTGTAAAGCTCGCCCAGGTACTTGACTTCGGCAATGCGCTTCTGGTTGAACTTGAAGTCATTCTGCTCCAGGCCCAAAATAACCTGTTCGAGGACATTGTCCACCACACCGATCACGAAGGTTTGGTGGTAACGGTACAGGGCGCTGACCAAGATGGCCAGGAGATGAATACTGCCATATTTGACTTTGACCGGTTTGCTGAAGACTCGTTCTAGAATATCAACAACCTCCTGCTCCTCCCAGTGAAGCTTGCGAATTGACTTCAGGATCTTAGTATAATTCCGCTTGTTCATGTCCAGATAGATCAATCGCCGAATATACTGCTCCATTGGAGTCCGCTCCTTCTGCTGGATAGCCGGCCTTGGTGGCGGATCGACATAGTAGATGGCATTCTCAATCACCATGCGTTCTTGCTGAGCCAAGTGTTGGACGGTCTTTTTCCGACTCAGTGTTTCCAAGAAAGAGGCCATCCGCGGTGCAGTCTCCGGGTTGCGAAGCAGGTAACGGCCACAATTCTCCAGAAGGTTGCCAATGATCTCAATGTTCATGCGGGAAAAGTCATCCAGCGAGACCTTGAAGCAATGGAATATAATATGCTCGGGAACAACGCCAAATTTTGTCAATTCAGCGAGGTACCGCACATTGCTCATGCGCACTTGACCGAGGAATTCCTTGGACTTTCGACGCTGTAGACTCCGAAATTCTTCATCAAGATAGGCGGTCAGTCCCTGGGGGATATCGGGCAAGTATTGTCCAAGAGTAGCCACCAAACGTGAGTACAGTGGAAGAAGATCAACACGGCCTTTAGGGATATCAGAGACAGCCTTGACTAGTCTGTTGCGAGATGCCTTCGAATTGACGAAACAGAAATCCAAGGCAAACTGATCAACTTGATCTTTAGTTTGCAACTCTGGAAGTTTGCCGAGTAAGGCATCTACTTGTGCGCCAACGGTCTTGCTGGCAATTGCCATTGACTGGTCGTCTGCTTCTGCGGCAGCCTTGTCTTCGGAGGATTCGGGCTTTTCAGCAGGAGACTCGGATGGCGACTCCCCATCTGTCTTCTTCTTGCCAGTGTCTTCGGCATCGCCCTTCTTTTTCTTGCCATCCTCGAGGAGCACCGCAGGCACCTTTCCTTTGAGATCAACCAGGTTTTCGTAGAATCTTCTCTCCTCTTCATCTTCCCAGATCCCTGCACCATCACCCTGGCCACGCAAATAGTCTGTAGTTTTCACAAGACCGATTCCTCCTCCAGCGCCAGAATCATTGGTCTCTTTCTCAACTAAGTCTGGCATTTCAGCGCCTAGAGCCTCACATAACACCTGCGTGTTGGCAACAAGTTTTTCCAGGGTCTTGGACTGTTTCTCAAAATTGGACTGGCGGTCCTCAAAGATCTCGCCGCTCTTGACGTATGCTTCAGCATTCCGGCGACTTTGAGACGCTAGAGCCTTTTGGTCGCGAACCACATGGGCCTTGACATCATCTAAATACTTGCTCAGGATATTCTTGAACCGCTGTTGAGTTGCCTCCGGGACCAGCGGAGGATCAACCTCCGCCGACGCGTCCGTGGCGACCTCCGCCTGCTCCTGGTCCGAACCGGTGGCCTTGGAGGTGGCACCGTCCACCTCCACCGTCTTTCGACCATCCTCGGCCAGCTTGGTGCCCAATATATCCCAGCTGAAGCTTTTCACGAACAAAACAGCCAGAGGCAGATTTGTATGGTCACGGTCATAGCCCAGGAGGTCCTTGAGCACCTCCAACGGGAACGGTTCAGCCTGCTTCTCCAATTCCTTCAGTGCAGCAGCAGATTTCAGCGCTCGCATGGGGACGAGATCCGGGAGCTTGCCGGACGTAGCATCCTTTCGAGCATCTTCCGGCCGTTCGGTTTCGTCCAGGGTCTTGAGCGCACTGACAAGCCACAGGTCCGTGACAACGCGAAGGAGAACCCGGTGCCGCGACAGACGTTCCCGCTCCTCGCGCTCGCGGAGCTCTTGGGGCAGGCTCTTGAGAGAGGCTTTATCCATTGAACTCATGCCACGGCCGAGTAGCCATCCGATCTGCCGCGTGAACTCCGCAGGGCCGAACCGCTGGTGCAAAGCACAGACAATCTCCACGCCCGCGGCGATCTCGCCCGGGGACTTGAGTTTGCAAAGCCCCTCATAACAGGCTGAGATGATCTCCGACAGATATTTATGGAGGGAGAGGGTCCGAATGTCGGTCAGGAAGGTGGACAGGGCGGAGGCGCTGATTCCGGTACGCAGGCGTTTGATAAAGGCCGTGTTCTTCTTCAGGGCGGAATCAAGGGACTTGCTGACGGGGAAGACATCTAGAATCGGAGGGGGCAAGGAGGAGGGTTAGTGATCAAGACGAAGGGAGCCATGCGTTGGCGGGGTGCACCCGGGTGCATCGTGGGGCGGGATCGTACCAGTCTCGCCTGCCCAGGCCCTCTCATTCAGGTCGCGAAGCTCCCCTGGAGTGATAGTGAGGTTAGTGCGGATTGAGGGGACACTACAGGGTCCGGCTGGCGCATACTTTTCTTCTGGCGGTCCATGGCCGAGTGTGCGTTCGGGGCCGATTCAATCGTGGGGTCCTCTCAGAACGTCCGAAAGGAAATCGCAGAAGTGACTTGAACGCCACATTGGGGAAATAGAGCAGGAGGCAATGCAGGGGCGTCTTGCTCCGCAAGGTGGGAAAGGAGGTGAGGGTGAGGTCAAACTGCGGGCTGGTTCCAAGGCGGTGCGGAGCTTTGGAGGTTTGGAGATCGGCCTTTTTTGATTGCCGATCCACGTTTTCCGTAAACCCTCCCCCTACAAAGTGCATCTACAATGTGATCTATGAAGGCGAGGGAGAGATTTTTTTAGTACCTGGTCCATTCCATTTACTACAGACCATTCAAAGTACATGTCTGCCAGCTTCCAGCACATCTTCTGGCGCTGGCACCCGAAACCCCTGCTATCATTCTTCGAAGCCCCTCCCGAGTCATATGGTCGCTAGGCCGATATCCACTAATCAAGCCAGCCTAATCCTAGCTTTCCGCATAGCGCCTGGACTCTTTTGCTAGCAATAGGATGCTGGTTTAGCGTCCGGTCCCAGTCTCGGTGAACCCGGCTTGCTGGCCACTCTTCACATCAAGGAGCCGTTCCTGCAGCTGATGCTTGTGGTCTTCATTGCTCCAGCTTTGTCGCCGGTCGAATCGGGGCTTCCACGACTGCTGGGATGGAGCTTCGGGACTTGGATCTGGTGATTCATGCGGCTGGCTGGAAGAGGAGGTCTGGGTAGAAACGGGGTCTTTCGTTCGGTCTGGAAAGAGTCCTTGATGGCTGGTAGGTTGCATCGTGAATTAAGTTGCAGGAGAGGCAAAGAGATCGAGAGGTATAATCTGAAGTTTTTTTGTTTGTTCCGTGGTAATCCGATCAATTACCAAATGGAAGAGGCTGTGTATAAGAGAAAGAGGCGGCCATGAGAAGCTCTGGATGCGGGGTTGATATTGGAAGAATCCAGATCTCGAGTGGCGACACGGATGACGATGCGCGCTGGCTAACTCTAATTACAAGCTTGCGTGGTCAACGATCGCAGTATTTACCATGCTGAGAAATGGGATCAACAGATGAATAAAATCAGCCCAAGCTGACCATATAGGGATAATGTCCAAGACAATCTCCTGGGTCTCTGTATGAGCTCACAAAGCATTCCCTGTAGCAACCTACGTACACCGATTGATATCTCATATCTCTGAAAAGATAGTCGAATCCATGTAAATGGGGCTCTCGAGTCACTATCGACATACGAGTAAGCAAGCCAAGTGACGTGGAGGTGGCGTAAGCGGAGATGGACAATCTGCGTCAACTTTATTTCTCGAGGCAGAATAATGCCCTCGTGGGAAAGTGGAAAGGACTAAAACAAACCAGCACATCAGAGCTTCACTGTTACCTTGCTGTGCCACATGGAAGGCCCAGTGCGGAGTGTTCACTGTGAAACCTGGCAGAGTATTCAAAACCAAGCATGCCAGCCAGTCTAGACAATGATCCTTTTCAAGTTAGAACTATAGGTCGCAGAGGCAAGAGTGAAGGTCGGCATCCCGGAGAAAGCACCAATCCTAACTAACACTTTTATAATTGACGAGGGAACGAGCTAACGTACAAGTCATGACCATATCCAGCGTACTCCAGAGAATTAAGCAAAACAGGAAATCCAAGGACTAAGGGCACATGATCTGGCCGGGTCTCTGTATCTGGACCAAAGGAACACTGCCAAATCGGGACCAGCCTTGTCAAGTAGGCCCGCATGCAGATACACAGTGCACATGAATCAAGAGAGCAAAAAGGCCGGATCAAAAGGGAGAAGAAGAGGAACAGGGAAAACGGCCGTATGTCAGAAAACCATCACACATCAGGAAAGCACTTTCAAGCAAAGAATTTATCACGATACAGAGCACGCAAAGCGCGATACATCGTACACCCCCATGCTGGAAAGAACAACCGGGAAATAATGAAGAGACTGGTACAAAAAAATATTACAAATCAAAATCAGGGTATGCCTCACGCCACGCTATGCGGGTCATCTAGCATCTAGAGTGACCAAGAACACTGCAAATATATACTGAGAAAGCCAATCCGATGGCGGAAGGGCGTGGAAAACTCCTCCGCTCAAAGTCATTTATTTCGGCTTTTTCCAGAAGTATTGCTGTGCAACGTTAGTTTAAGTCCGTCCAACAAGAAGAACCCGGGAAAATGACAAACCTTGTGCTGCTTGCGGCAGTTGCGGAGGCCAGGTTTCCGGAGGTTGTTCACCACTGTCTCGCGCCGCATGTCATCTTCATCAAAATCTGGAACATAATAGTATTCGCTTTCAAGAGGCTTGCCGGCGGCATCCTTGCCTTCACGGGCAACCTTGCCAATGCACTTGGTATTTTCGAGAAGATAGCGGATTTCACCGCGGGACGGGCCGGACATATTGGAGCTGGATCGCCAGAAGGTGGGCGGGAGGTTGTTCAGGATCGTTGAGAAGGGGGTCGAGGAGAGGCGCGAGAAGGCGAGCTGGTTGACGGCGTGGTTACGAACGCGCTCGAAGCTTTCATCTTCAATCGGGGGCTTTTCCTTGATCTCGCCCTGTTCTTTAATTTCGTGAGAAATAGATGGCTGTCTGGGGGACTGGGTGGGACGAAGGGGCTGCGCAGGCAGCAGGCTGCGCGGCGAGCGGCCAGTGCGAGAAGGCGAGTCATCTGCACGGAAGGAAGCCATGCGAGGGAGCAAGTTTTCACCAAAGGGACCAAAGGAATGGATTATCGGGTCGTTTTCTTCATCATTATCCGAGTCCTCCTCGACTCGACTGATATCACTCGATTGGGAAATCTGGAGCATGGCACTAGCACGACGAGCACTCTGGGATGTCACACCAGTGACAGTGTTGTGACGCTTCAAGGGAGAAGGCTCATCTTCGTAGACCACCACCGCACTACGAGCTCGAGAAGGAGTAAAAAGAGGTGATGACGGGGGGATTGCTCGTTGCACTGCAGGAGATGGGGAGACGGGGGAGCCCAGACGGTCATTTTCTGGGAATGGGCTATCCTGCAGCACCCGCCGGGGTTTTCTCTGTGTAGGAGTTGCTTCATCCCAAGTCTGTTCCGAGTCCGTAGATGGGCAGTCCTTCCTGTCGAGTTCGTTGCGCGGCCATTGCACCAAAACGCGAGCCTCATGCACGTCAACCATGATGTCGGCATCTTTGATATCGGACGTAAATGTCTTCCCCTTGGCCAAATCATATTTCTTTCCTTGGCAGTGAATCTTTATTCCATTCCAGCCCATACACATAATCTCCACCCGGTCCCGATCGAAGGGGTTCGGTGCCGGTTTATATGTTGCCTTCACATGCACACGAGAAATCATTCGGCTATTAGCCAGCTGGTGGTGACACGAAGCACTGGACCGGCCCATCAGCATCGGTTCGCCATTTTCGGGCAGCATCAGAGTTGGCACGGCGGACAAGGGAGTTCGTTCAGAGGGGGCAGAGAAGGTTCGACGCGTCGAGGAGCGACCAGCAGCGACACCCGGAGGAGGCGACGACGACATAATATGGGTCGAGGAGGTTGGCACCGGGGTCGGGTAAGTAGAAACAGCAGGTTCGCGTGCAACACGCTTCTGGGGCCTGGGAAGAGAGGGAGACGAGCTCAAGGGTTCAAAAGCAGGCAACAGAGAGGCAGGACGCTTCACGCCCGCCACAGAGGCTGTGATGGTCCGAGTTGGTGAGGATTCCATGATTTCTGAGGAGGCAGCCAATCCACACGAGCTCCTGGGGGAACAAGGGACGGAGGCGAGCTCGAGGGACTCGCGTCACCGCGTATCCTAGACAGGAAGGATAGAAAAAAGAGTAAAGAGAGGATATATAGGAGAGCGGACGAGGACCAGGGCTCTCAAGAGGGAAGGAGAAAGTGAGGGGAGAAAGGGTTCGTGGAGGGGAAAGGGAGGAAAGGGCCTAGGAGAAAAAGGTAGAGAGGTGTGTGGTGGTGGAATGCCCTGGGGCGGAGCGTCTCGTTCGCCCTGCGCGGAAATGCACGCTTACAGCCCGAGACGCGTTCGATAGGCGCCGACGAGGGTTCACGGGCTCCACTACCCTTTCACACTCGCAATTGACCCCTCTCCAGAACCTGGAGCAAAAAACCTGTGTCAATTATAGTAATTTCAGGACGATCACGCGTGAAAAAATTGGCAATTTATCTTCCACAGGTTCTATAAAGGGTGCTCTATACTGGAGTAGCCAAAGCGCGGTCGCGTCTGAAGTCACGTGTGCCCCGAGGAGTGGATCGTGACAGGCACGCGAGTCCGAGTATGGAGTATGACAGACTCCTCTAGGTATGCCCAGGGCGTCTGGCATTTCCTTGACCGCAAAATGGACTAATGATGGAATTGAGGCCCATCGCCGGAGCATAGATTCGAGCCTGGAATTTTGGGGGGTGGTTTGAAGGCTTGGGAATTATGTGAATAAAGTGTCGACGACTATGGACAAGATAGGAAATCTGCTGCCAAAAGTTTGTAGATGAAGTGCTTTACTATTTTACCATATAGTAGATGGGGGGCAGGTCATGATGATTTCGACTGCTCTGTATTGGTTTTATAACGACGCGGGGTGAAATTGACAGAATTTGCACCGTGGGGCATTCGACGTGGTCGCGTAGTTACCGTTACTTACACTTGCAATTGTGGCTGGCAACTAGCATGTGTCGGTCAACCACAGAAGGGCACAGAAAGGCACCGACATTTATTATTGTTTTCTGCATTCTTGGATTGAAAAGCATTAGCTCGGTAAGGTAAGTAGCTTAAGTAGCTCCCTTTATGAGTTTTCATAACCCAATTTGCAACCAATAATAGCTCGGTAGAAAATAAGAACAGCGAGCTTTCTTTTCGGCCCAACAAGTGGACCCTTGCCGAATGTATAAGGAATTTTTGAGAAGCCAAGCTAGACAGACAATGTTAATGGTAGCGACCGGTGATTTCACTAAGATTCGAAGTGTGAACAGGTCAGCTAAATGCTTGAGCTGCATTTGGCTGAACCTAATGTCTCATAAATCTTTCAAGAATTCCAAGTTCAAGGCTATAGTATACAGACATTGATTGTTGCGCTCAATATACTCTGAATTCATTACAATTTCAGCCCCGCAGTCTGCGCCTGCGTCGCGCAGATATCGCGCCTAGCCTTTCATTCAAGATGAGTACAAGCAACCCCGATTGGCAAGACCTACATACCAATCCTGATTCCCCAAGATGTCTGAAGAGAAGCATCTATCACTTACACGGATTATCAGCTTTCGAGTAGCCAGGAAAGATAAAGATCGTCGGACTCTCTTCGACCAGAACAGCCCCACAGCTGCCCCTCCACCCAAAACGCCAAAAACGGCTGTTATTGAAGTGTTGTTCGAGTTTAGGTGCGACGGCATGTAAGAAACTGATGGACCAGCATTCTGTCATAATCAATCTGCGAGAAGCCCTGCTACTTGGACTCGGTGTCGACGTTGCTGACCAGGATTGGTATCGAGCAGGACCAAGCCGGATGCCAATTTGGAAAGGATACGCCTCATTGAAGCATGAAGGACGAGGGGAGCTCAAAAAATCGAAAATAGCTCGTATGCCGATACTGCCATGGTTTCTACAGGCGAATAAATAATAACTTATCACCCAACGCTGTGTCTGTGGCAGAAATCGATTAGAACGCTGTGCATCGCTTCGACCCTAACCCAGCAGACCCGAGAACAAGTCAGCTACTAACGACGTGAAGGTCACCCGACAACGTACATTAACATGCTGCTGAAAAGGGCAGTTTCCCAGAAGAAAGAGCATATTGCTGTCTGTTCAAGACACGAAGGCCAAAATCAAACCTCGGCGACAGCATGGCATCTTACTACCAGGCTTTAATTTTGGGTTCTTTAAACGCCACACCATCAAAGATTAAGTAGCTGGAACGTTGGAAATATGGAGAGGGAGGTTCTGGACAAGTGACCATTTCGCAAAGGGAAAATATTTTTGCTCATTGTGCTCATTGATGGCTTGATAAACTAACACTGATTCACGGGTCTAAAATGGTCGAGACTGGACGAACACAAGAAAGGTAGAGCAACAGCAGCTCTTTCATTTGACCTCCGATCCTTTTGATACTTTGAAGAGCAACGACTTGATAAAGCGACTGATCGTCCAACCAGAAGGAGCCTGATATGGTGAGCGAACTACAGAATCATCTGTCACGTACGCTGAGGATGATGCCCAAGTTTGTACGTGGATCCGCCGTTCTCCGTTCTCTGAAACGCCTGGGCGGTGATTCTTTCCCGGCCAACGACATTGCTCCATGACCAATCTAACTAGGCGTCTCTACAGCATGTAACTGGGACATCGGTCAACTCAAGGCGCAGGGAGAGGCCTCGTGGAAGGTATATAGAAATCATCGAACAGCGCCTCATACGCAAGAACCCAACCCAGTCATGCGATTTCTTGCTTCAATAGCATTCACACAAAACATTTGAGTTGTGAAATCAATCAAACTCCAAGCAGGTCATGAAGACCAACTAGAAGAGCGTGCCAAGGCGACTACCAGACTAGAGAGAGGCGTAAGGCGGAGACCATGGAATCCGGATAGCACGTCCGCCAAGATCGCCGCTGGCTTTCGGACAGGTATTCTGTAGAAAGGGCCTGGCAGGAATTTGATAGACAGAGCCAGGCCATCCATCAAAGGTACAGACTCGTGAGCCAGGCATCTTGGCAGGCAGGATGATGCAATCTTGCCTCGAGTACCACGAGGTACTGCACGCCACAGCAAGCTAGGGCGGAACCGATCACATTCCAAGAGCGATCGCCGAAGAGACCGTGTTACCGTGGCGATCGCGCAGAGATGGCCTGTCTGCCTTGGTCAGCACACCATTTTGACATACTTTTCATTGGCGCTAATGTGCGGAAAGATAGAGATACCATCTGCGCTTGGTCAGTCTAGATCTACGGTCGTGTCACGTGGAATTCTCGGATGTGATGTGCAAACAAGCTCGGTATTTGCCGGAAGAGAGGGACTGTGAAGAAGCAATGGCCCAGGATTGTGAATACATTGGAAATTAATCGAGGGCGAGTCCATGGCTGGTGGCCCTTGCAGACCCGGTCGTGGTCCTTGGTTATGATTCTTGGATCGTGGGAGGGGATGAAATATGGTGGGTGCATCCAGCCACCCGCAAGCCACCAGCCAGGATTGGGTGACAGGCAGGAAAAAAATATGCAAGGGACCGTGGTCTAGAACAGAGGAATTAAACACATCGTCATTGCAATTGCAAATTGAGGAAAGAAAATCGTCAAGTCAATAGTAAGAGGCTGTGGTTGCACTTGAGGTAATGTGATAAAAGTCTAGCCCATAAAACATCATCCACAGTAAGAGTTGGTTGGTATTGAAGAAGGGAAAATGTAACAAGAGATTGAATTTCACCCCAGAAAAAGGCCCACATCAAACGCAAAAATAAAATTTAAGATACACAGAAGAAAGCAACCTCTCAAGTAACAAACCGTGATATAGACAGAAGCACCATTCAGTAGTAGGTGGAGAAGAGAGTAATCTGCAAGGGTTTTGGAATCCCTAGCCCATTCAAATCAAGTCTCCTTCCACCCGCCATGGCAAGGCGCGGTGCAGTTGAAGAAGCGGGGGGGGTGAGAAAAAAAAGGATCATCCAAGTCCGTGGGTCTTTATCTTTTCTTGAGTGTGGAAACCCAATGGCGATTTGGAGCAAGCCGCTTAGTCGTAGAAGACGAAGTAGGCGCTGCCAGAGGAGAAGCTGACCTGTAAAAGGAAGAATGGTTAACTAAACAGATCTGTCCAAATGAAGGTGATCGAAAACTTACAGTGCAGCCGTTGCCGCTGGTGATCTTGCCGTCGCTGTTGTAGAAGTTGCCCTCGCCATCGTAGCTGCAGCTGTCGCTCAGGTCGTCACCGACCAGCTTGACCTTGAAGTCAAGGTCGGCAGTAGTGGTAGGCTCGTTCTTGAACATGGAGAGCCAGGTGGCGCCGGAGGAGTAGCCAACACCGAAGTTCATAGGAGCCCAGTTACCCATGGTGGTGGAGCTGTTAGCCCACTGGCAACCATCCTCGGTCGAGACACCGGCGTTGTTGACGTAGTACTGAGCGGAAGTGGTCTTGCCCTCCCACTTGTAGTAGGTGGCACCGTCAGGGCAGGTCAGTTCGTGCTCGAGACCAGCGCTGGCAGCCAGAGGAATAGTCTCAGACTCGGTACCGGGGTAGTCAGTACGGCAAACAGCAACGTCCTTGGAAAGCTTGTTACGGATGTAAACGCCACCGGTGCCCTGAATGCAAAGCTTCTTGGAGAGGCTGCTGTTGGTGAGGTACAGCTTGCCGTTCTTGCACTTCAGGCCACCAATGGACTGGCCAGTGCTGCCCTGAGTGGAGGGCCACTGGGACTTCTGGTAACCAGCAGGGCAAGCATACGAACACATAGCGCCGCTGGAGCAAGAATCGCCGGTGACAGCAGTGGTGATGTCGCTGACGATCTCATCGACCCAGGTGAGGTACTGAATACCGGAGTAGCCACCAAGGCCAAGGTAGTCCAGAGCGACAGCACCGTAGTCAGAGGGGAAAGTACCGCAGTCGATCTCACCATCGGGGAAGTCCGCATCGATACCAGTGCTGGTGGAGCTGGAGCTGGCCGAGCTGGACGCAACGGCCGAGGAGGTGGCGGCAACGGAGCTGGTGGAAGTGGTGGTAGGCTCAGCGGAGCTGGTAGGGCTGGTGGCGGGGGTAATGGCGGCGGAAGTCTCGAGCAGGACCTGGGCAGCGACGGTGCTGGTGGGGGTGGGAGTAGGAGTCGAGCTGGTGACAGGAGTGCTGGTAGGGCAGGCATTGGCGATGGGGTCGTCGAGCCACTCATACTCGTGCTCCGCGAGGCCCTCGCAGGCCTCTTCCGCGGAGATGGCCTCGGGGGTTCCAGACTTGCTGGGGTCGTACACAACGAAGTCGTAGACGGTGGGGCCGGCAACGACAGCGGTGTCGGTCTCGGTGTCAACGGCACGCTTGTGGAAGTGGGCGTGGCCATGGCCGTGGGCGGCCACCAGGGAACCCGCCGTGGCCAGGGTCACGGCAACAGAGTTGGTGAACTTCATTGCGAATCAGGAATGGTCAATCTATCAAGAAACAACACCACACAAGCAGTCAGTTCACTGTCGCAAAGAGTTCCGTGCTTATCATGGGAGTCGGGTTTGGGATAAGTTGATTTCGAGGTTCAGATAAGGTGCTCGTCGGGATTCTGATGACCAGTGGCCACCATGATCCATTCATGCAAATATTCCGATACCTCGCATATTGGGAAGGACTTGTCGACACGAGTAGGGAAGAGGGAGAATTCCTCTGGCGTCTGAAGGATCTCGCGCTTCGCAAATCTCATGCGACAATCAGGGAATCGGGTGACATACATCAACGGCAAGCCAGTCGCGCGCTTTCGTAAAGTGCTGTACACAAAAAGGGGTGGAGAAGGCGAGAGAGAGAGAGAGAGCGTGTTGTAGAGGTTTTCCAAAAATGAGTGTGCTAGAGAGAACGAATCCCTCTGGTCGGATGGGAAAACTCGAGGAGACTGAGGCTGGGGAAGAGAAGGAGAAGAGAAGGAGAGTCAAGACCCCAGGGGCAAAGAAAGAGGGGGGGGGGAAGGCAGTGTATGTACCGCTGTACGAGTCAATACCGAGGACAGGCAACGAGGCCCCACTGCTGCAGGCTGCACGGGAGAAAAGGGGGTGCAGGACGGTACGGTACCGTATGTGGCAGCGTGCCCTGTGAGCCTGTGGATGCGCAGTATCACATCAGAACCTCAATACGAGGGTAATTTACCGCTGTGCTGTCTGTCTCACCAGCTGCTGCTGCCAGCGCCTACGTGGATTGTACAGTCCGCCGTATCCCCGTACGGAGCACGAAGTACGCAGCGCCTGTCGCCAACACTGGTGGAGTTGCGCTCCAAAGCCTCGACTGCTCCAAAGTGCCTTGGCATGGACTTGTTCTGATGGCCCGCTCTATTCCATATGTCCATAGATCCGCGTGGGTCATCATTTTCTTTCTTCTCTCTCTTTTTTTTTTTCTCTTTATTTTTTTCTGTTTACTTGAAGACTTGGCCTAACGAAATGACCATGCGCCAGGGGCGAGCCAATCAGCCGGGGGAATTGACCTGGAGCCAAGGGACTGGGCGCCCGGGGCCAGTCAGGCACACCAATCACCGCGCGGCCGACCGGTCGCAAAAATGCCGTATCCATGGGTACCAACCCGGTATGCTGCCGCCCCTGATTGGCACAGAAAAAAATTGCAAGGGAACGGGAAATTGGCCTCGGGGAAGTTATTGAACCTAACGCTTTGCCCACGCTGCCCACTGGTCTGCCCGCCCTCCCCACTACGGAGTACAGAGTACAGAGGTACAAAGTCCCGAGTACAGAGTATTCCAGAGTCCTCGCCTCAAGACTCTGACGTGGAAGAGATATGAATATGAGATGACATGTAGTAGAGAATCCTGCCCAGTATAGACCCTACCGACATCTATAGGTGGATCCTGTGTATGGTACGAGAGACACAAAAGACAGACGAGTTGTATATGCGAACATTCGGAGTAGATCTTGCATGATGTTGGTGCCAAGGGGCCGTTGTAATCTCTTCCCCTGGTGCTCCGCAAGGTTAATCCTGCACTCGTGATGATCTCACGCCAGGGGGGGGGAGGAACTCGAAGTCCCATCTGTCCCATCCGCGCTGGAGACGCGGCCTGCTCGACCGAGTCAAAAGGTCCACCGTGATCGCCCCCCTTGGTAGGCAAGTCCCGACCTCCCTCGACGCGCCGACCTCCGTACGCTACGGTCGGTCTTACTTCTCCTGTCACTATCAGACTAATCACAGTGGTCGGGAAGGAGGGGAGGAGCAGAGGAGGAGAGGAGGAGAGGAGGAGAGGAGGAGAGGAGGAGAGGAGGAGAGGGAGGAACAGGTACTTCCTCGAATCTCGTATACTTACGCATACCCATCCCCGGCCGTGGCTTTTGATTTCCCTCCCTCTATCGTGACAGGCAGTTCTAAAGGTGGGGGGGAGCGCTTCCTCCCTTCACAATCATTCTGGTAACTTGATGGTAACTAGTTTGGGAAACGAAGCCGGATCCCAACAGTGGCATGAATTGATATCCTCGAAAATACAACGGTTTGTTGACAACCTATCCGTTGGACTGTACGACTGCGCGCCAATGACTGGCCCACTCGGATGACGACGTCCAACAGCTGATTTAATTAAACCAGTTCTCCAGACCTCCTGCGAGTCGTTCGGTTGGGCGCGCTTGGGTCCGTGAGAAGGGGGTCGCCCACCACCCACCCCTCTCCTCAAACCAGGAAGATAAGGATCTTCCTGGGAGATCTTCTTCGAAAAATCAAGAGCTAGACGGAGTTGCACCCTTCGAGATGCCCATCAGCGTTACCGTGCCTGATGGGCCGTCGTCGATCCCCGCAGTAATTTCAATCGACCGCGTCATAGCCTCCTTTCGGTCCTCCTTTCCATCGCCTTCTCTCTCGGGCCGCGTCGATTCCCACCAGTGGGCGCTAGAGGTCAAGGTTGTAACTTACAATCTGTACAAATGTAGAGTATCAAGTGTATCAAGTGTATCAAGCGTTACATAGGCATTTGGTGCGCTAGTCGGGGAGAAATCAAACGCCCAACCAGGCGGTCGTCGCCTTGGGGAGGCTTGCATGGACTGCCGGGGTATGTCAGATTGACACACACTCGCAACTTCCGTCCCGTGGACCGCGTTCAAAATGCACGTAGTACCCCGTAAACTATAGGGATGATTTTCCCAAATGAGGCTGACTCGTGTCAGCCCTAAGATTGCAGTCGCCCATTGTCCTCTTCCGTACTCCGGCCTCCGCGCCCATCCGCCGTTCCAAAATTGAGTCCAAAAGAGGTGATGCCTGATTTCTCTGGGTCCTGGATCTAAACAACCATAGCCGATACCCGAAGGCAGGATCGATCCAAAACAACCCGGCTGCCTATCGCCCAGTCTCCAGTTGTGCTCCGTCAACCCATTGCTCAACTCCCCAGGCACAACCTAGGACTGTTCTGGATGTAGAGCGGGGGGGCTTACTACTCATAGTGTGGGCATGATGTGTACGGAGGACAGAGACAGAGTCCGGAGCGCTGGAGTATCAACAGACAACGACGTCCATACTCTGTGGATTAATCGGTTCGGAGGCGTCCCACCCCCTGAACCACAACGCCCGACCGAACACCTCGGGGGTCCTCCCTCTCCGGGGCCGTGGGGAATGTTTGCTTGCGTGGCGCTCTCGACTAGCGAGGGGGTTGACGCATCTCCATCTCCTATCATCGCTGGGCACGGGAGGGGCCCAAAGACATAGGCTTGGCCGGTGGCTTGATGGGGGGGGGCCACAAGTAGTTCCTATCTGCCCACCATATCGGATTCGGACTCGCGAATGGGGCCGAGCCACATTTACTCGATAGAGCTTGTAGTGGCATGTGTTTAGTACGAAATGGCAACATTTTCAGATCTCGATAGTTCCTTCTGTCACGACCGTGGTGGTACAGACGCGTTTGCTCCCCGCGGCCCTTCCGGCGTGGACGGGGCCTGCAAGAAGGAAGGGGAAAAAAAAGAAAAAGAAAAAAAGAAAAACAAGAAAAAAAAAGTAAAAACAAACGACAGTCCTTGCAGACGCTCCGGCACAAAATATACCCTTTGCTACTGCATGGGCACGAGCTGTTTCTAGTCTCACTCCGAGCTCGCCCTGGCTACTCTCGCTTGCTATTGGCCGGGTCTGGCCAAAGAAGGACTCAAGACTCAACCAGCCGGCGACAGCGCCGAGAGCTCTAATTATAGCAAAGTAGCCCAGCTAGCCCACAGGGTGAACTCGATTGCAGTCGCTCGTGCACGACTGGCTGCTTAAGGAAACCCCAGGTCGAGTATGGCTGCTGCTTTTTTTAAAGGGTTTGAAACAATCCCAGACGGTGGCGGTGAGCTTGGACTAGTTGTAAGATATCTGAAACGCTTCCGGTGTCCGGATTCCGGCCGGGCGGGGAGCGAGGGGATTCGTGGGCGATCTGAACCGCCTGGGGTATCAGGAGGAGCAATTCTGTTCGGGCCCAGGTTCAACCCTGCCTGATTACTCCATAGATTGAGCTGGAAGAGATATTGATATGGTATGGTACACCTTTTCAATTTTTATCTCGGGAGGGGTATACGTATTGAGCGAATATGGAACACATTTGGTAGAAATTGGTGGGGGGGATAGAATGGAGATGCGTACTATGTGTACACAACCAGAATATATATATTTTGGGACGTTGACGTCGCGCACCCGAAATCCAACAACCACATCGAAGAGAAATGTATATACACCACCATAGATTCTGTGCAGACAAGCACGACAACCTTGTTTCCAGTCTGATTTTCTCTCTCGTAGACTAATCGATGGTAAATTTAATATAATCTTACAGCCAGGAAAGGTCCACTGTTCGAGGGAGTAGCGAGTAGCATAGCGCGACTTTACGCCGCAAATGAACAAAATCTGCTCTATTGTACTTCAGGCTAGATATCCTTTATGAATTATCCCTGAGGAGATCTCAATACACTTGTTGTGTTATTGACTATAAAATGACAGATCGTAAGAATTGAGTTGCTTCCTGCACGGGATTCGATGACGGAGATGGCGCCAGAGGCAATCAAGGGATGAGGTCCTTAGATGGAGATCAATTTCATGATAGAGAGGCCTGATAAGCCCCAACGGATGCCCCAAATTGCTTTATTAGGCTTCTTGTTAATTTTCCTCCAGTGTATCCCAGACACAACCACAAAGACCCCAGAACATATCAGCAATGAGAACACTATCGTCTGGGCGTGGGCTATTAAGTAATGAATACACGCGAATGACCAAGTCCTTCGTAGAAAAAAAAGCAAATAGAAACTGCACACAACATCTGGAAGCTGAATCAAAGGCAAAATGTAAATAGAAAATCATTATTGCGCAATCATAAAAACGGTCTGAGGGTCGGATGAATGGTCTGGTATCCTGCAATCGCCAAGATGATCTCCATACAAGGGTGGGGTCATTGTTTTGTCATCTTGAGGCTCTCGCAGGTCACGCTGGTACACATCACCATTCTCCAGTATATTTTGAGGCGACATGTAGATATTAAACGGGATACACCCGATGATCTGCGCCAAAATAATGATAAGAACCTTGTAGAGAAACGAGGTAATGGACAAGAGCCTACCTTGGGTATTCGACCGTCGGTATCTTGCATCTCAATTATAATTTTCAAGGAATGGGATACTTTGATCTCATCTAAGTCGACCCGCTGAGTGCAGGCTTTCAGATCTTGGGGCAAATGAACCGATTTTGTGGTGGACCATTCCACATCGGAGATGTCTGATTCTGTGGTGACATAGTCCTCCACGCCGTAGACCTCCCTAAAGATAATGTGGTTGCGCTTCGCGCGAAAGAAAGCAGAGTTGTATCTGATAGAGTCGGCTGCGCTGGGCGTGATCCGGAGAATATGCTGCTCTTCAACCTCTATTGTTATAGTCTTGAGCGTAATGCTTTTGCTTAACGGGACAAACCAGAGGTTGACCGGAAAGATCGAGCCAAAAGGGATGTCTCGATTGGGGATTGAAATGTTATAGTGGACTCTTCCCTCCCAGTAATTGTCAATAGACTGACATAATTGTATGCGTTAGTTGGATCCCCGTGGCTCTGACCAAATACAAACTTGTAGCAACTTACCACTGGTGATAGCCCCCATAGATCATCCATGAATTGAGAAGGTGTGTAATATATTTGGAGAGGAGTTGTGATCACCGAATCGCCTCCAAACTGCCGTGTGATGACGCCGCATACCTCGTAAGCATGGTATTGATGGCCGGGTCCCATAAGACTCTCTCCCATGCCTCTTTCTAAACAGAATTCAAAAGGAAACTCATATTTTCCTGCAGACAGCTGGAACGATCCGCTTTTCTTTGAGGTGGCTAGGACCTGCGTCTGTTCAAAGGTGAGTGCACCCTGGAAAGATTTTGAAAAGTACTCTTGGCATGGTCTGGCACAGTTAGATTCTGATGGTATCATAGATTGGATGGTAGCTTGTACCTACATCTTCAATATGCCTTTCAATTTAACATGTATCTTCTGAATCGAGACATTTTGGGGAAGATAAAGACTGAGTTTCCCTGTTACCGTAGTGCTTGCCTCGCCGGGTCGAGTGGCCGGGAGGAAGATGCACGGACGATCCAGCCTGTTTGATCATAGTTTCACTAATTAGCTTTCTAGGAAGATCAGTCTTGGACCATCAGGGTCGTACCTGAGATCGGAATATACTCTCCGCCTTGTGAACATCTTTGGGTCTTGCAGATAGGTTCCAGCCAGAAAAAAGACGAAGAAATCGGACAGTGAGATGATTCATATCTTCTAGTCTGTGAAATCTTCCCAGGATATATCCCTAATTGGAATATCCCCGAAGCAATTGAAGCAATCGAAGCGGCCGTGAAGATAGGGCTGGTGAGCCGCCCTTGATTAAGAAATGTCGACCCGACCCAAAAAGGCAGGCCTTACCGGAAACCGTCCCAATAAGGAAAGTCAACCGCTCTTCTTTCCACTGAGCGCGTCACCGCCCGTGAATTGCTTGAAGTATTGCCCGATTGATTGGTTGGCGCTTGTCTGTAAGTGGAAGCGCCGCTCGATTTTTACCCTTTTCACTTCGATGAGATCGCCGCCACTTTGCTTCCTGGACGCAATGAAAATCCGTTGGAGATAAATCGGGCCGCTCTCTTGCGCCTAGAAACCTGAATGGAGCTGACGTTCCATGTTGGTCTGGATGAAGGAGGCTTGAAGCGAAAGCGTCCGCAAGGTGCTTGTGAGAGCTGCCGCCGCCGAAAGGTATGCGCCAGCCGCATAATAACCTGTACCCCGCGAGGATGTCAGCTCACTGTTTAAATTCAGAAAAAATGCCATCATGGGGAAGGCGGGCCGGGATCTGTATCTCCAGTATCCCTTCCGCGGGCTCGGAAGTTCATAGCCTATGCTCCATCCCAGGGGGATCGCTCATTGATATCATCTTCGCCTTCCTCGCCGCCAGATCCTGGCAACGAGGTGACTGGCGATGAGAAATCAAGCAGTGCTAAATGGCCGAGTCGATTCCCACCGAAAGATAGAAGTGGAGGCATAAGCTCTGTTCCTGACGATGCTCCGGCTAGCCGTTTTCTCGGGAACTTGAACCCCCTCGCATTTTTGGCATCGGATGAGCGAGCAAGACTACTACCGGGCCATGCGGACCGGAATGGTGTCGGTATGTGGCTGGATCGGGAAAATGAAATCCTTCAGCAGGAGGGAGAGGTCTATCACAGCTTGCCGGCCCTCCGTCATGGGCCGCCGAAGATCAAGGCTGTTTTGCCTACCAAACAAAGTCAGAGGGCGCTGATAGATGTATACTTCCAACGTCTGAACCCGGTCCTTCCACTTGTGAACGAGGATCATTTTCGTGCGCATCTTGATCAAGGCACGGTCTCACCATATCTGCTACAAGCTATTTGCTTGGCAGCCTCCAAAGATCATCGTGCTACACCCTTGTTGCGCATGGCGACTCAGTCCACCCCGCTGTCATTTCAGTCATTCAGCAAACTTCTATATGATGACCTCACCCACTCCATTGCACTAAAATATGAAAAGAATAAAGTTAGACTGATCCAAATATTGTCTCTGCTGTCGCTGCATGTATCCGACTCTGAGAGCAGCGAAATGGCACCCTTATATCTCGGCCAAGCTGTTCATCACGCACACACTCTTGGCTTGCATTTAGGAAAGCACACGGCCAACATGGAAGACAAAACGCTTACGATGCTATTTTGGTGCCTGTGGAGCCTGGATCGATGGAATGCCGCCATTAACGGAAGACCCCTTGCTATTAATGATCTTGATATGGGCCAGGATCTCGCCTCAATGATGCCGCTCTTTGATAAACCCTTCCGCGTCTGGATGTGCGTTTCTTCTGCGTTGGGGAAAGCCTTGGAACTGTACCGACCAGCTCGAGATCTCACTGGCAATAGCGACAACTTTGATATTCCCACGTTTGAGGCAATCCTTGACCAATGCAATGGCTGGGACTTGCCATTGGATCAGATATGTATGTGAAGTTCAAAAATTGGAAGTCTGTGTTGATGGGTTTATTGACAAAATAACTCCAGTGACCTTCGAGCTAGCGTATCACGCAGTTGCGCTGATAGCATCCCGGCTCCTGGATCTCACCACTTTCCCCCGCTCACAAACAACCAATCTCAACCGAGACTTATCAGTATACCGTATTTCTGTTTTGAGTACGATGTCCGACATGAGCCAATTCATCCCGCTACCCATTGTGGCCTACGCCATTTCCCTGGGGTTCTCCCTGTCTTACAAAACCCTGAAAGCAAGCCAATTGCTCAGCAGGCAATATGTCGTAAAACAGCACCTGCAGACATTCTACGACTGCCTCAAAATCCTAAGTCCGAAGTGGTTCTCCGCACAGGTTATGGTGCGGCTTGGACTGCGGGCGCTGGATCGTATCCAGCGTGTCACCGAGAAAGACCCTCAGATCCAGACAGAGGCGGCCATGACGAGCAGAGATTCTCCAATACCCCGACTACCTCCGATGTCGCATTCAGTGCGGATGGCGGAGACATCAAATACGCCAGGTCATGATGAGAGAATTTTTGAGGCTGGTGAAGGGCCCAGCGTTGGCGATGACTTGCCGGCCCTACCTCCAAACCCTGAATCCTATGATTTTACTGGTGTTGGAGCCGCGGATTTCTACTACTCAGCCATGGATCCAATGTTTGCGGACATTGATAATTTCTTGGGTGATTTTTTGAACTTTAATTTGCCAGACTAAACCCCTTGCCCCAGGGCAATGCTATAATGAGAACTACGGTTCTTGCCATATACCGTGAGCGCTGACAACTGTGTCTTTGGCTTATCAGTCTCGAGATCCAATTGCATATACAGAACATAATGATGGAACATATTGATGTAAATACAAGGATATAGACCTCATGAAATCAAAAGGCTATAGCGTTCTCAAGCACTGAGTCTGCGTAAGCTTCAGAGGAATATTGCCTAGATTTCAAAAGTTACTCGGATAGATGAAAAGCAATCAGATAAAAAAAGGAACTCAAGTGCTTGGTTGGAGGATGATCAATCTCGACAAATGGAATTGCCTCGCTAGTTAGGCAAGACCCTGCGTAACATGCTCTGCAAAAAAATACTTCTCTGTGCTATTTACTAGCAACGGTAACACCCGCTACTGGCCCTGAGACTGCAATGACTTCTCTGAATACTTTCTCTTTCTGTAGACCTGCCATTAATTCTTTCGCATGGCTTTCGTCCCTTGCCAGAAAGGCACATGTTGACCCCGATCCACTCATGATACTTCCGAGTGCCCCAGCCGACCTTCCTGCTTCCAATGCGGTTGCAATATCGGGAAGGAGCTCTTTGGAGGGCAACTCAAGATCATTCGCAAGATCTGTCACTGATTGCTCCGGAGGAAAGGTCCAAGCAGTCTCAATACACTTCTGCCGCCGGAGCGAATAGGCTTCCTCGTTGTTTGAGAACCGTGCCAATATTTCATCATACTTTTCAAACACAGCCTTGGTTGATAGGCCTCGGAAGGGAACGCCTAACACCCAGTGCCAGGTATGCTGGCTGGGCTCCAAGGTCCTCAGCGGCTGTTTATGTCCGAGACCCAGGGCCATCATGCCTTGAACGAAGAAGGGCACATCCTCACCCAGTTGTGCGCCCATCGCCATAAGCTCTTCGGCACTCAGACATAAACCCCATAGAATATTGCACCCTACCAGGGCCGCTGCCGCATCGGCACTACCACCACCAAGTCCAGCTTCGGTGGGTATGGATTTGGCCAGCTGGAAATGTAACCGCGGCGCAATCTCGGCCCGGCCCGCAAGCATATGTGCTGCTTTAATGACCAGGTTCCGTGCGTCGGCTGGTATTCGGTCTCGATCGATCCCGGTCACCTCGATCGTGGGGCCTTGGGGGTCGTGTGAGATTGTGAGGGTATCATAGAGGGAGATGGCCTGATAGACCAAGGTGATATCGTGATACCCATCGGGTCGAAGGGGTCCTACGCGGAGCTGGGGGTTGATTTTCGCCGGAACCCGCAAGGAGAGTTGAGAGGGAGGCATCATCGTCCTCGATTGCGAATCAGAAAGATTCGCGAGTTCCATCTGTCGCAAGCAAGGAGCGCGTCAGGATCGGGAAGGAGGCCACGCGCGCAGATCGTCTGCATCGCGGGGCCCGCCATTGCCGCCATCGGACCAGGGTATATCTTTTCCGATCCACTGCCACGACGGATGTGGTTTGACATCTCCAACCATGCCTGCACCCCACGCCAACTTGACCGTAGGGATTGTGATTCCTGCAGCCGGACGAGGCACGCGGGCCGGCCAAGGATGCCAGAAAGCATACCGGCGCATCGCGGGCGATACAGTGATCAACCGCGTCCTTAAGCTGTTCCGGTCCTGGAACACGAGTTGTCCGATCGTGGTCGTCCACCATGTCGATGATATCGCTTTGGTCGACGCTTCGATCGATCGCGACAGCCAAATCTATACAACACTGGGTGGGGATGAGCGGCAAGCCTCGGTCCTGGAGGGCCTGCGCCTGCTGGCTTCCCTGGACAACCGGCCCTCGCATGTGTTCATCCATGACGCAGCCCGTCCCTTTGCGTCGCATGATTTACTGGATAGCGTCCTGGGTTCTTTACTGAAAGAGCCCTCGGTCGGGGTCATTCCAGCCATTGCAGTCGCAGATACGTTGAAGAAAACCGATGCAAATGGTCTCATCACGGCGACCGTTTCTCGAGAGGGTCTCTTTAGGGCACAAACGCCTCAAGCGTTCGAGCTCCAAACGATTCTGGATCTACACATAAGGGCTGTGACCTCGGGTTCAATCTACACCGACGACGCATCACTCCTGGAAGAAAACGGACTGCCCGTTCGAATCATCACCGGAGAGTCCCAAAACACAAAATTGACCTACAGCGAAGACTTCGAAGAAGCAGAGCGATTGCTACGGGCCAAGGGACCATCCGTATCTTTCTTACCGGACGTGCGGGTTGGTCATGGCTACGACACCCATCGACTGGGGCCGGGCGAAGAGATCATCCTCTGTGGCGTGAAAATTCCTCACAATGCCTCGCTTCTTGGGCACTCGGATGCCGATGTTGGTCTACATGCCCTGACCAATGCGTTCCTGGCCACCATCGGAGCCAGCGACATCGGCAGTCATTTTTCGCCATCGGACCCCCAATGGAAAGGAGCCTCATCCGATCAATTTCTACGCCACGCGGCCAAGCTCGTCAGGGAAGCAGGCGGCACTATCACGCATTGTGACGTGAGCTTTGTGTGTGAAAAGCCGCGGATCAGCGTCCACCGAGATGCGATGCGTGACTCGGTGGCCAGCATCGTCGGACTAGATCGGAGTCGCGTGTCCGTCAAAGCGGGAACCAACGAGAAAAATGGATTTGTGGGACGCGAGGAAGGCATTGTCGCTCTTGCGACTGCTACGGCGGTATTCCCAATCAACACTTTCTGACTCGCATGAATGATACTGGACCAATTGGCATATGGTATGCGGGCCGGCAACCGATAATCCCAGCTACAGATGCAAAGATTAAATTCAAATCGTTGATGCTCTCGCCCAGTCCTTCTCCATCATTATTCACCTCCCATCAGAGTTGACGAAAGCCCCAGTGGTCCTGGAAAACTAAGATTCAATTCTTCATAGGCTTAGAGTGCCCCCACTGGGATTCGATCACTGCCTATTTCAGAAAGGGCGGTGTAAACAAGTGGTTAAGAACGAAAGAAAAGTAACCCGATCATCTGGAGATGAACCCCTCATGCGTGCTAAGCTCGATTGAGCCGATCGTGCGGGTTTCTATGCCGTATTGTTGTTGTCATCGAGGAGGGGTTCAGCTGAGATCCGGTGGAGACGTGGGAAGCGAGCACGCGACAGCCCGATCGCGCCAAATAATCGACTGGGAGATGCTTAACGAAGAAATATACTACTTCCTTCCCTGGATGCAGGTTTCCTGATGCGGATCTGTGTTTTCCAATCTTGCTTTGAGGAGCTTCAGGCTTCGGTGGGAGATGCCCAAGAGCTGTGTATGAACCCGGGCCCCTTCACGACGCAACACGTTGTGTCCCACAAGACGATTCTCAAAAGCTCAGCCAAGGAACAAATTGATGAGGCAATCCAGGAAGGCCATGACTTCTACCTGAACTTTATGTGGGGGACACATGATGATTCCCTCGCCGGCGTGGATGCGATTCGATACTTCGAGTCCTTCAATCTTCCCTCTGCGGGGGTCCAAAGCTCCGAAAGAGAACAGTCTAAATGGGACTTTTTCGCTGAAGCAAAGCGCGCCGGAAGTCCTCTTGTGCCTGGCACCGAGAAATTTCCGTTATTCGTGAAGCCCGCGTCTAGTTACGGGAGCATGTTCATTGATGAGTATTCGTTGTGTCATAACGAGACTGAATTGACCCGTTGCATTGAGCGATTGAATCGATCGATGCGCCCGGTACGGATTCAGCGAGCGCAAGCACTGGCCTGCCCAGACCCAGAGAAATACGCGGATGCCCGCGAAGCCGAAGGGCGGGATAGTACAGATATTGTTGTCCAAGAATTCATCGACGGGGAGGAGTACTCTGTAGTGGTGATTGCTATGGGAGAAAGCCCATTTCCACTGATTCCGCAACGCGCCAAGTACAAAAAGGGGTCTGGCGATGCACGATTCTTGACTTTGGATCTGAAATTCGACGCAGAGTCTGGCTATGAACTTCTTTCCAAAAGGGAAGATCCAGACCTTTACAAACATCTGCAGGAGACGGCAATCGAAGCCTTTACCACAAAGAAGATGTATACCAACTGCATGGGTTGTGACGTTGATATGCGGATAGGCAGGGATGGCAGGGCCTATGTGATTGAAGTTGATCCCCTCCCTGTGTTTTTCTACCCCACAGGATCTCAGCTCGAGGACACGGACGTCAAGTATGGATTCCCTGGCGGATATAGAGCGGTCGTGAACACTTATATCACAAACTACTTCCTCAAGAGCCCCGGTCCTCGGGGAACCTATTGGGCCAAATTGACTACGTTGTTTGACGAAAGTGCCCCATCAGAGCAACTCTCAAGCGAAATAACCACCCTGGGACCTTACACTGGCACCGCGATTGATCTTGGGTGTGGGACTGGACTAGTGGGTCGTCTTCTGCATGAGAATCCAGGGAACCAGATGACTCACCTCATTGGTGTCGACATATCAAACAAAATGTTGGATATCTGTCACCAAGGGGGCCGATATAGCGAACTGCTCCATGACAGAATGGAGAAGTTCCTTGGGCAACGCACTGAAATGGTTGACCATATTTTCAGCCTTTTAGCACTGGACTTCCTCTCCGTCGAAGAATTAGACTTTGTGCTCGCACGTTGCTTTCAGCTCAGCAGAAATTCTATCACACTAATGATTCAGGATTACGAGAAGACCTTAACAAATGCGACTGGGCCACCTAAGACCTTTGAGGGTTACTGCGAAGACCATGCTGAGAGGATCAAAACATTCCAGATTCCTCCAGGTTGGCAGCTTCAAACCTCGTCTGCAGGACATTTATGTCGAGAGCGCCACCGAATGTTTTACTTCGTTCGAGATTAAATGTGTCAAAGAGAATAAAATAGACTTTTTTTTCCTGTGGAGAATTCTACATTGAAAACTTTCTTAATTTTCTTCCCTTTCTATTCTATTCTAGTTCTTTTTTTTCGATTATTTTCCGAGAGCTATCAAATCGCTCTAGGACTCACGCGAACATGTTAGTTTGTCGGTAAATATGGGCAGACTGCGATGTCGTCCTCGTAACGAGACTGCAATAAGCAAAATTTTGCTAATAGAGTGCCACTCGCCACAAAATGAATAGTTTCTGCCAGGAAACCCAATACTCATGCCCACACAGCTATATGCGGACACAATCTCGAAAATAATATTGAAAGTGGAGAATTCCACAGGATGCGAATTATAGTGAGTGGACTCGACGATTGTGATGACAAGGACGGCAAGTGAAAGCCACCATATATCGTGGTTGAACTGAGAGCGAATTTGGTTGTAGATGAAGTATCCGCGGACAAGTATTGGGCTCTTTGAGCCGCGAAATGAATATGAGGAGTCGCAGCTGTTAACTTCTATGCAAGAATGCATATCGGGTTGCTTGCAGACTGCAACTGTTTTGCTACTTGGAATAAGTATGCTCCTTCATCTAACTGGACGGGGAAAAAGGTACCTAATAGCAGTTGACACTGGAAAAGCAGAAAGATACTTGAGTAGAAATAGTTAGTTACCAATATGACCCTGCCAATGCACTAGGATCCTACCATCATCAAAACTAAAGAAAGTTCTATTAGAACTCCATGCTTTCAGAACATTTCATTAGAACACTCACGGTATAAGATGAGCAGCCCTTGTGGCAATTTCTCAAACGTTACGACGGAGAATCCGCCGCCACGAACAGCTTTGGCACCCAATTAGACTCATTCCAAAAGTTTTTCAAAGTGGAGAGCCTGTCAAGACATACCTAAAGCCTGAAAAAGCCCGTCTAGAGCTCGAAACTTGATTGGGAGATCCTTGATCTCTTGGTCTTTGATAGAAGCAAGCTCAAACCCTCCCCACATGATTCCGTTCAGAACCAGTACTGTTCCGAACAAAAACCATGTGTGCAATTTTGAATACAATGAAGGGCATACCTATCTGTGAGGTTAATCGCATTATCTTGAATGCAGCTTAGAGATAGCTTACTCTCTGGGGATGGGCGAGAGAAAAATCAAGAGTCTGTCGCCAAGACTTCCAGTTTGGTTTGTTGGGTAGAATTTTTCTCATAGTCCATATCTGAAGTCGCAGCAAGCAAGGAAACAGCGTGTTTCCTGCTAGAATTAGGAGGCCAGAGGATAGAAGTAAAAATGGCCTGCCCATATCAATTAATACAAAATGTGTCGTTGTCATGATTATTCAACAGATCAAATAACTCACTCTCGTTGAAACGGTATCATGTTGGCATCGATCAAGGACATCCCATTGTTGGAGAATGCAGAAGTAGCTAGAAAAGCACCAGTCCAGAAAAGGCCGAGCCCACTTCTGTGCGAAAAATCTGGATGATAGAATTTAAACCACAGCCCGAGACCGATGATCCCCAGAAAAAGAAGGGTCAAAAAGTAGAAAATGACGATTGTCGACACCAGAAGGATTGCCTGATATTCTATATTCGTTGCTTCGTCCCAGCTTATTGATCGGTCCAAGTTGGAGGTAATTTTTCTTCGTTGCCAAATTCTCTTCAACCTGGAAACCACGCGAATTGTTCCCGCATTCACTCTACGGCAGATGCCTTTTTTGACGCAAAGAAGTGTGGTGGGAGCCGTCGGTTCATTATGATTTTTGTTATTTAAGCCGTTGACGAAAACAAGACCCTGTCTGTTTTTGGAGAAACCAAGGTCTGGAGGTGATGAAATAGTCGTAGATAATTCCGTTACTTCAACCTTAGTACTGATCTTCGGCAACGCTAAGCATAGAACGGACGGAGCTTTGTGTGTATCTTGGCGAAGCTGCTTTATCTGTATCTGGGTTGTTGACTTTTCATATGCGCCTTGTTTCTGTTGTTTCTGAGTTGAGCCACATCGATGGGCAGAACGAATAGACCGGGCATGAAAGAAGGAGACGAATGCGAGGATAGGAATGGCGTGGCCAAAAATTAAAAGTGTAAACAGTATTCCTTGCTGAAGAAGATTTAGTGTGGATAAGTCAAGCTGTGAAACGTGTGATTATTAGCGATTGTTGAGATCTCGATGGGCCGGTGATCTTTACTTGCCACGTTCAATCCTGTTCCTGTCATGGCACTGAAAGTCATGAATAACGCGTCAACATAGCGGAGATCATGGATCTGCGTCGATGCTGTGTAGAATATGACACTGCCGATCGCAGGCAAGATTATAAAATATGCAAAGTGCAAGACGACGAAATTCAATCCCAAAAGAGCAGCCATGATTGGCATACTCAGCTGGGTGCTGTCGTAATCATTATAGAGCCGGGGTATTCTATTTGATTTATGGGCTATGAAGGAATTAAATTTAGCAAGCAAATGTATCCCCTCTGTCTGGGCAATAATCATTCGGCTGCATTTGAATAGTAAGGGGTCACTTTTCTGTACGGAATGTTGGCGTACATTCTCTTAGCTTGACAGGCTTTCTTTACATCTCTTATCGCACGTTCCACAGAGGAATCATGAGGCCCATAAACACCACGCGCTGGTTCTAGGCTGAATCGATTTTCTATCTCCTGATGGTATCAAGAATAAAGGCTTAGCGTGCATTCTAAGGGACGACCCGCCGGATTCCGCCGATGCAAGGCTCAAATATGTAGACTCGGATAACTCGGACATTTGCACACATCCATACAAACCGAGCCAATGTGCACGAAGAGAAAAAAGCCCTTTTCACTGGTAAACTCAAGATCTTGATGACCTGATAGCCTTTCATTGGAAAGGAAATGGGCCTGGCCATTCTGAGAATCAGAAGACATGACATCATTGAACGAGTCACTAATTTTAGATAGATTGTTCAGGCTCCTTGCTCCATGAAAATCATGTGTTGTAACATTAATTCTATTTCAAAAGCAAGCCTCTCTGCTTCGCCCCTATCAGAGGAGGGCCATGCACTTTGAAAGGTGAAATTTAAGTCATGGAAACAAGGACATCAACTCCGGGAGCTCTCTTAATGTAGCCGAAGAATCCAAGAATGTTTGATCATTTTAATATACAATATTTAAGGTCATGACTAAAAATTTTGAGTTTCAGACAGTTGACGATAAAAAGCCCCAATTCTCCACTGCATGAGAGTTGCGAAACCAGCAAGGACAAGTAATCAAAAGATTGCTTCAACCGGGCACACTGCTTCACCCATGTGACATTATGTAGGTGTATACTTTTACATGGCAAATTTCAATCCAGCTTTTTGGTTCACTGCAAGTCGCTCTTTGTGGTAATTTTCTCAGCTGATCCTCTCGGCAAAAATGGTTGGATGTTTCACAACCATTTTCCTTGGTTTATCATTATCAGTTCAATCTTGAACGCCATCTGCATGACACCATCAGCATCCCACAAAATGATACAATCAAGTCCAGTGACGATGTCTGGCCAGATGTCTTTTCGTTGTGGAGCTGCTCTTCATCATGAGCAGACTCTGTTTATAGTCGCTTGTGCCATGAGTAGGGTCACGGTCATGTGCGTTTTCCGCGCCACATACTGAGCCCGCATTATAGGCCCCCAGAGGACCATTAATTGGGAAAAATCCAGCTGTACCATTTACCATGTTTTCAGCGGCTTCTGGTAACCAGCCGTTGATCACATCACCATGTGAACAATAGGACGGCCCGCAAGAAGGTTGAAGGGGTGGCTTTCCTTCCCAGCCATCAGGAAGCAGCTCACGAAGGTCATAACGAATCGATAATCGAAGCTGTGGAATGCGATACATGCCCTTTGGGCAGCGGTTCTTGCCGTAGGACGGATACCAGTTAGGATTCTCGTTATAGGCGGACTCAAGGGTCTTCGGGTTGACGCAGTCATGGAAAAGGAGCAAGGTCTGCAAGTGCGTTCCGCAGGTCTTCAGCGGAAAAGCAGCAGCATCCTCATCCTCTCCCTTGGACTCTCCTTCGCAGAACCACTGAATCCCCGCATTAGATTCCACATCACTCTGCGACCGTGCTGATGAGTTGCCAGCAACGTCTGTAAAGTTTTGTGGAATTGCAATTTCGGCGTATTGTAGATTTTCATAATAAGCACTGAAACGCATGGGATTAATTGGCGTGTAATTGCCGTTTTCAACAAGATAGAGTGTGGGGACCCCTGATTCAAATATGGTTAGTTGAAACCAATCTCAAATGATCGCAAAATATTCACAAAACTTGATACGCACAATATGTTGAGAAGTCATTAGGGTTATCGGTACTTGAACAACCCTTCTGCAGCTCTGCAGATGTCGTTGTATTTACAGTAACGGCATCTGACCCAAAGAAACTGTGCATATGACTAGTATACTGCCCAGGCAACACGATAGGATCGATATTCTTGAACATAAACAGATCGGTATTGGTAACAGTGTAGGCTTCGGAAAGGCCATTTAGCCATATGGACCAAAGAATGAATGGCCACATTGCTAGACTAGATCTGCAGAGGCCGTAACAGGTAGAATCAAGGTCAAAAAAGAAAGAGAAAGAACGCGGCGATTGGGATATAAATAGTAGAAGCATAAGACATTTAGGCTAGTGCGTGGAAGCAAGGCTAAATCTTTCTCAATTTCGGTTAACGGGATCGTTTGTTTTACTTTAAGATCTCACAAGGATGTTCAAATGGGATGATCATCTATTGACTGTTTTCTGTGGATCAGATGTCACCAGCACCTGTTTCACCATGGTTCTTGACATCGGCTAAGCGCCGTCCCTGGTTGACTTTTCTTGATCTGCCGAGAGAGATTCGGTAACAAAATGCTCAGCAATTTAAGGAGGATTTGGGGTCGTTGTTCGTTGTCGTCTCACCCAAGCATCAGTCTGAGGGTTATTTTATAACATCGTGAAAACTATAGATTGTTTAATTTTACTTCAATTCTCATCTGTGCTGACGATCACGAGATACAACAGAAGCCGAAATGTGAACCCAGCGGAAAGTCGTATAGACTTGTAAAGACGGGATCCAATGGATTGCGACGCTCAATGTGATGATTTCTACGGGGGCCACGAGAGATGATCCAAAGATAGAGAGGGAGGGCGCGCTCCTTAAAAAACGTCGTATCTTGTTCAGTCTCTTCCCCTCTTTACCTTCTTTTGGGGGCCAAATAACCTGATGGCCTCAATTTGCAACAACTTTGGAAGCACATTATCCCACCTGCTACTTTTAAACTCTCGTAAAAAATGGAGTGTCGCCCTGATGGCGCGCCGGACGTCTCTGATCCTCTGCAAACTATCGAAATAAACAGGAATGTGATCGACGCAAGGCAAGCCATATTGTCAACGAAGAGTCGGACACCACTCTCAGAAACGCAAACTTCAAACCCGAGCCAAAACCGCAGCTATAGATCAAAGTATTTTATTTGGATGAATAATCAAAATCATCTATCCAATTAGGAACGGCGCGAAAATTTAACGGAAATCAGGGTAAGTGTGGTATTGGGATTGAACGTTCGATTTTTGGAATGAAAATCGCATTGGAGAACATAGAGATTGAAATCCGTGGGAGCTTTGCTGTAAATGTATAAAAGGCCAGTCGGAGAAGAATACAGAACCGAAATCTATGCTTTCTCTCTTCCTTTAAAGCATCCACTTCTATTTAAAATCTGGTGAGCTCAACAGAAAGAAAACCAGGACGACAAAGCACATATCTATGCCAAATACCTGTTTTCCAATGATTTTTAGCGACCCAGTGATATAATTTGCAAATGAAATACTGTTCAATAGTTCGATAGCAGATAAAATACGACTAAAGCCCTCTATCAGCTGCCATAAAAGCTCATGAGCTTCTTGAAATCGTCGTCACATAAAAGTTGAGTCGCGGTGAGTCGGTCTTGGGGGTTATATACAAAACCCTTGCGCATAATACTATCAAATAGTTGTAGCTCTGCTCTCGACACTTTCTTCCGACGTGATTCGCAAATGAACTTGATTCTTTCTTCCCGTTTTTGGATCTCTCTTTTTCCGTGGCATCTGAAATTCTTTGATCATACCACTCATCACGTCGATATTTGGAAAAAAAAAAAAACTGGAGTTCTTCCACTCGATTGGTAGTGGACCGAAATATTTTATCATAGCAGAAACCACGCCTTTCCCTGGCTCACACTCGAAAAAAGGGGAACCCAAGTAGAGTTGTGTGAACAATACCATAAAACTCCACATATCACAAGCCGGGCTTGGCTTTTGGTAATGAAGACGTTCCGGGGAGCAAAACCTTTCGGGCGGAATTCCTTTAGGGGTGCGGACTGGGAAATCTGCGTCGCTGGCCTTTATCGAAAGACCAAAATTACCGAGGAAGAAATCATCTGTCCAGAACTCGTGCGGAATCTTTATAGGCGTAACACGCTCTCCTTTTCTTGAGAGATAGGAATACGGTATTTCTTTCCTCAGAGGCGGACTGACCGCTTTATACATCTCGACCCGATTTCGAGGTAGATCACGTACACCACGCATACAGTTACGATTATTTACATCTACAGCCTCGGTCAGGCGATACGACTAAATAATAGAGGATCAGGGATGTCTTAACTAACCACGATGGATAATCTGTGCTCGGTGCAGCTGCTGAAGACCAAGTAACACATGCTTAGCAGCACGCATTCTTGTTTTCATAGGGAGAGTATGAATTGAATACTCATCTAAGCATGGCCCCATTAAGCGGAAAACTAGTGCCTAGTGTCTCCCATCTGGAGTGAGAGGAAAAGATTCGAGGAGAGTCATAAGATAAGAGGTATCCTGCACTGTGCTCTTCACAAGATTCTGAATCGCGATCTCGGTATTATTCGAGCCTATAGGAGCAGCAGCAGTGGCCTTTAGTGCCACTTGTTTCTGTTCCATATTGACGGCGAGCCATACTGTGGAGAAGCCACCAAACTCGATCTTATGCTCGATTACGTATCGGCCGCCCAGTATATTTCCCAGGCAAATAGGAAAATACTTGGAGGTTAGTTTATTGCTTTCGGGATCGTACCTTTCTCCAGGCTCAGCAGACTCATCGATATCCATCTCGTTATCCGAATTTATCGTCAAGTAGCCAAAATTATCATCAGGGAAATCGATTGGGTCCGCCTGCGGCTGCCTGACAGGCAGGGTTGTCTTCGTTGAGCTCCTTGCAGGCATTCTAGAGGATATATCGATACTAGAGATTTCTGATACAAGCCATTCATGCATGAGGCAAATGAGGGTGCAAATGAGGGTTGAAATGGTAACCGTCGAAGGTGTATGGGCGTGATTACTCAGCCTGGTGCCGCAGCCTAAGGCTCCGCCCATCTGCGAGTACAGGGTGATGGCAGCCTCGCAGAACTGTGACCATCGATCCAAGAAGGGCAGTTGGTGCAATAATTGGACAAACCATTATTATACTAAGCGTTTGTTGGGCCCCCTGCTTTCCAGCATCCTATCCAGGGAAGTGTTGGTTGGGCTGTGGCCGAGCTTTTAGTATCTAGTGTTGGACCAACAATGGTGATTTTATGGTCTACTGTCGTATTCACGAGCGGGTTGAACACATCGAAATACTGCAAAACCTTCTCCGGGGCTATGTTTGATGATCTAAGGGGAAGGGCATTAGTAAGGAAGTTGGCAAGGAAACTGCTGCCGAATCTGGAATCTACAAGTTATTGATTGACTGATTCATTGCAAGTTTGCTCCACGATTCCGCGGCCTACCTACCATGCCACCGCGAAAATGGTGTGACATGTGCTCATGGCTCGTTGTCATAAGCACTGTAATACCAGGGTCTCTTTTTATGCGCTACGTCCCGAACCATCCAATAAACATCATTGAAATTTAGTTACATACGCAAGAATCTATCAACGTGATGAGCCTCCATCTGAAGGGCACAAGGATGAATTAAAGCTGGCATCAAAGCAGGGAACAAGGTAAAGGGGAAATGAGAGAGAAAAAAATTAAAGCGTCTGAATTATCTATAATATAACATGATCTATTTGTGAAAACCGAATCATGAATTGCGCTCTCCGCTTGTTGACTCTTCTGCAGCTCTCGAAGCGTTGGATGACGAGCGAGTAAGGAAAATGGTATCTGTCTGGGGGTACACTGCGGCGGAATCGTCCTCGGCGCTCACGCTGCCTCGCGAAACTTGGTTGAAGGAGTTTGAGGTTTCGTAGGTTGTTTGGTAGGAGGTTCCTTGGTTCTGCGAGTAAGCCCCATTGAAGGTGCTGGAATCGTTGGTCGCAATGGTCGGGAGGGTAGGAGGCTGGGCTTCGATGCTGGCCATATCTTCCTCTGTGTACGGAACGTGAGTTCCCGCCTTGCGGTGGCCGGTCGAAAGCACACGAGAGATAGATCCACTAGTTGCACCATCCTCTCGGATAGTCAGCTGTTGGCTCTGACTTGAGCTGGTGTTGTTGGTTGGCGTGCGATAGAGCGCGTCGTCGCGGGCGGGATCGAAGACGGGCGGGCGTGCGTTGAGCTTTTCCATCATGGCGACTTCGCTCTCTTGAGTGGCGACCCGTCTCTGTATCACTTCAGAAGACGGCTGGCTTGTGGCAAAGCCCGAGCTCGTGGCCGTGTCAGGGGAAAGAGAGGTTTGGGCCGTGAGTTGAGCAGCGGCGGCCGCAGCAGCAGTAGCCGGGTTTGGCTTGAGGTCGAAAGTCGGCTCTGGCTCACGCTTGTCCTGATCCGAGTCGTCATCACCCTCTTTCTCCTCACGAAGGGTGCCAGGAGCTCTGATCTTGAGCTTGCGCATGGCAAGGATCAAGGCACACATGAACTTGGAGCGTCGGGTGGCCCGAACCACCTCGTTGGCCCAGTTCGACTTATGGCGAATATCGACCCGGATCTGGACCTTGTCAAGCGAATCGCCCACTCCGAGGACCTCGATATTGATGTCCGGCTGGAAATCGCGACAGTTCTCCTTGTCCCGAACGAAGAGCTCCATCTCCTCGCGCAGAGCCTCGATTTCGGCAAATGAGGTGTCGAATGCCACATTGACCGTGAGCTTCTCATGCATCGCATTGGCTCGCGTGAAGTTGTCGACCCAAAGACTGTTCAGGATGTTGTTCGGCACCTGCGTGAGGCGGTGGTCATTCACGTTGCGGAAAACCGTGTAGAGCAGGGAGATCCGCTCGACGATATACGGTTTGTCGCTCACATCCACGCGGTCTCCAATGTCGAAAGGATGCTTGACAAATAAGAACACACAGGAGCCAAGAACTTCGGCCGCAGTGGTTGAAAATGCAAAACTGACAGAGAGGAGCGCCGATGCAGCACTGGTGATGATGGTATGGAGACCACTTGTCACGAAAGAAATGAAGGCCAGAACTCCCAGGACCGAGGCACCAACCATCAAGAGACCATCCAGAACACGAATCGCTTGATCGACATCATGCATGCTGTGATTGAGGGCCTTGCGTGTACGACCAAATTCGGAAATCGTGAGAATCATCTCCTCCAAACTCACATCTCCATTTCCATCCTGATCTAAAATCTGGAAGCATTCCGCAGCTTCCTCTTGGTGTGCTGGACCTAGAACCTCGGCGATATCCTCGAGATATAACGAATCGCGCCCTTCGACCACAAAGGACAGCCAGATCCGACGAGCCAACGCAGCCGCGCACCGTTTGCGCTCCAGCGCCTGAATCACGATAGAATGGGTGGAGTTCGGGTTGAACACCTGCTTTCCCGTGAGTTCCGCAGCGACGTTGCCAAAGGCAGAAGTTACTTTGTCACCAATACGGCCGACATTGCGGCCGACGTTCTGTCCGACATTTTGAACCATACGCAGCGGCGTGTTGGAGCTTCGCTTGGTGGTCTTGGTCGTTACTTGGCTAAAAAGGGAGTCGAAAATCATCTGATCCTCCTCACGAAACTCGCGGCAATACATGGGGAATATTTTGCGCGATGCATCAAAGAGAAGGCTCACCAAGCGTACATTACGCTTCGACTGTTGAATCTTCGCATCAAACTGCTTGCGGTGATAACTGATCGAAATCAGCTGCACGATAGCTTTTTCAGCCATATAGATGAGACTGCACACAAGCAGACCGAACAAAATATTCTTGATACTGCTTTCCCAGCTAGTGACCGCACTATTGTTTCCAGCGCCATACCGCATGATCTGTACGCTACCAATTAGCTTCCCTTCTTTTGCGTCTAGCGCGGAGAGCAGGTCTTTTCAGCAACATACAGGCAGAAATGTGACAAGAGCAATAACATTCCATAGTGTCAAAGTCAAGGGCGTTTCCAGGGCCCGCAATATCAGCGCATACTTGCGAGTGCCCGAACTGACAAAGCCGCAGAGTGTCTGGAAGACATACGGAACGAAGTGGGCAAATACTTTGCACACCCACAAACTGACCCAAAGCACTTCAATCCAGGCAAAGAACCAGTAGATGTGGACGCCGCCAATCTTTGCTTGTGGCGCCGCGGTGGCACCCACGATAATGGGAATCGCAATCAGAGAGCCGATGGGAACCACGTAGATGAAATACCGAGTCACGATTGAGAATTCGAAGAAGGCCTGGTAGAAGCGACCGACGCGGGTGATAGTCCCATCCAAAGGCGATTGGGAATCCTTGTAATTACTCGCAAAGCCGGTGTTGGTGCGACGACGGCCGGCCAGGCCCTTGGCAGCCGGGTCATCTTTCTCGTTGGCGGGCGATGGGCTGCTCGACGCCCATCCCTCGGCGCTACTTTGGGTCTGACTCGGCTGGTTTTGTAGCGGGATTTCAATCGTCACGTCGTTTGGGTTGGTCACCCCGTAGTTAGCATTGTGAGGCATGTCGAGCCGCGGGGGCAATTGCATGCAGCAATTGTAGAATCCTCACCCTGAGGAACGGACAGTGGTCGGGCTTATCTTTAAAAAGGGTTCAACCAACAACCGAATCAGATCGTTATAGTCTCTACGGGGGTCTCCATCGGCCACAGCTGGTTTGCTGGATCGATTCGCCATAGTGGAGTCGCGCGCGAACAGTTTTTTGAGTAGAGGGGACTAGGGCTCACTCTTGGCGCCTCTCATGTTTCTGCTTCTCCGCCTTTACGCGTCAGCTCGCCGTCACAAGTGGAGACTTGATCGATAGTAGTTGAGACCGGTTCAAACCAAATAGGAAGACTTTCACGCCGCGCGGCGGCGGCCCACTTGCGGCGTGCAAGGCTTATGTTTCTAGCATCTCATTGTTTGGAGATCTATTTCCTGTGGCAATCCAGCGGGACTCATGGTCCCTATGCTATACCGTTTTGGCTGGAAGACTAGCCCTCTTCGCATCTCCCCGAATCCACTTACGTTACGGTGCCTGAGGCCCCTGGTGCGCCACCATCAGCCCTGGCCGCCAAATATCCACAGATGTAGTTCCATCCAGCACCGCACAGGCACCGAAAATGATCCCCCAATACGGTCCCTGAATCCTGAATCGCACAATCCAATTCTTGGGCGGTTCCCGATTTCGGGGAATCCAAGTTGTATTTAGGCTACCGCCACCGAAAGTTTTTTTTCCGTTCGAGTGGAGAAATCCCAGCTTGGGTCGGGATGTTAGGGTTGCTGATTGGTTGATATGGCGGAGATTGCGCGGAGATCGTCTCGTGCCTTCGTGGTGAATGTTCGCCGTACAGATTTCATCATTTATGTCCCGGGATAATCCTCTTGGTGTTTTTGCTTTCCTTCGAAAGGATTTCTTATTTTATTATTGAGATGAATCTAGAATGGATAAATAGCCTCAAATAAGCAGCAAAGCAAAATAGATTGACGGAGTGGCTTCTGAACGATATCTACACGTAGAAGTGCTAACATGCTCAACAAAAATGTAGTGAAACTGGGGGTTTCTATTTATGCATCCTGTTTGGCATTTGTATGGCAGGGAACTGTACATCCAGTGACCGAGATCGGCACTTTCCAATGATGATCTCCCGAGTTGACACCACAGGGGCGGCCCTCATTTCTTCTGATCAGGAGTGTTGATACGATGGATTATTTGGTCGCAGTATACGTAATTATCGTTAAATCATTTCTTTACTTGCTTTGCAAAAGCAGGGGCAGCACAATACTCAACTCACGGCCCAATGAAATCGAAAGGGACAAGATTGAGGGGGCAAAAGCTTAGTCGGCAATTAATAATATGTACTTTCACGAAAGCTTGATTTTAGTTCAGTACTAAAGATGCTCATTATTTGATGTCTAGACATGTAAGTAGTGATTGTGCAGTTAGTAATATTTCATTGTGTATTCTGAAATTTTAAAAAAAGCCTATTAAGCGCGGTGGAGAAGTCTGCCGTCCAAGATAAGCAGAGTAAGTAAATGGTGATCAAGGTCAACAAGTATTCCTTCTTTAAGAATCTGAATCTGAATCTGAATCTTTAGATAACTGTCCTGGATTTACCCATATTTACTCATTCGCTTTCCCTTCAAGTTGCTATGTACTGTCCTGGTTTTTCCTTTTTCAATATGAAAGAGGCTTACATCACATGACCATCGAGAAGGGGCGGAGTTGATGCCGTCAAAATTGGGCGCCGAAGGAGCCACGGCCATAGCCAACATCCATGGATCCTATGTCACACAGAAGCGCCGGGGTTCTATACACTCCCAACAGGGCTATGAAGCATGGCCAATCGAATTCGGTTCTCAGTGACGCGAAGTATGCCGGAAATGAATACCCCCCTCTTCAGGAAAATGAAACGGCTAAAAAAGCCTGCGATACATGTCGCCAACGGAAAGTCAAGTGCGACAAGAATAAACCATGCAATCAATGTATATCATCGTTTAATGGTACAGTTTGAGCCCATCATATCAGTATAATCGATTATTGACCTTTCAGATTGCATCTATTCCGAGTCAACTCGAAAGAAGAGAAAAACAACACAGGAAAGAGTCACCCTCATTGAAAGCAAGCTACAAGCCATGGAAGAACCAACACAATTAGCAGCATCATCTCTTCCCACCTCATGCCTATCTGGAATAAATTCTCCAACTCGTCCCCAAATGTCCCCGGGTCGAGAGATAGCCGAGCCAATCCCGGGCACTAGAGAATTGCCAGTTATAGCGGATCCTTATGCTAACCTATATCATTCCGTTGATAAAGGGGGTGTGGAGTTCCAAGGTTATTTTGCGGATCGAACATTTATCAAGGGCTTTCAAAGTCAACTGGGATACTGGTCAAATGATTTGGCGTCCAACCGAATCTCAGATGCTGCCGTCCCGGGTCTCTTCGACACGACCAAGGGAGGAGTCCCACCAGAAGCCAAGCTGCCGTCCAAGAATTTGGCAATGAAGTTAGTTGAGGCAGCTCTGGACTCTCATACTGTTTTCTCAGTCATTCATCGTCCGTCATTTGATTCATTGTTCACTTTGGTATATTCTCTCGATGAATCCGATTATGGCACACCGGAACAGGGCTTTTTACCGCTTCTTTACGCAGTTATGGCTTATGGTAGCCTCTTCATTGATATGACCAGTGAGGATAAAGATGGAGAAATGCTTTCACTTGGGTAAGAAACCCCAAAATCCCCTCTTTGCGTGTAATCCTCTTACACTACTCTAGATCTCAATACTACGACAAGAGCCGCCAACTTCAAGACATTGCCGACTGCAAAGATCTAGTCTCCTTACAGGCGATCTTTTTCAAAATTTTGTTTCTTCTTGTGACATCGCGCGTATTCACTTGTTATACTTATACAAGTACCGCTTTGTCTGTTGCACTGCGAATGGGACTCCACCGCTCTTTCACCAACCCGCAAGATCTTATCACACGAGAAACTGGCAAGCGGGTCTTCTGGGCTTTGTATATTCTTGCTAGCGACGTTGCTACTACTTGCGGCTTACCAAATCTTCTGAGCCGTGAAGTTGTTGACCAAGAAATTCCACTTGAAATTAACGACATTTACATTGAGCAACACAGAATCATCCGTCAACCCGAAAATGAAGTTTGTTATGTCGCTGCGGCAAATTCCTATAGACGCCTCCATGCAATCATCCAAGATGTCACCAAACATATATACTCCGAAAATCGTTTCAATCGAGCCCAGCCAAGTGGTAGAATGAGCTATTCCGTCAGCATAGAAACCTTGAAGGGGGTTGAGGACCAGTTTAAACGCTGGAGGCTGGAATTACCTGTTCAATTCATGTTGGGAAATTATCCTGGGAATCGTCAGCTTTTAACGTAAGTTTTATCCGCAATTCGCAGAGTAATACTGATGATTACCAGAACTCAGTATACACTTGCAATATTATATGCACACTCTCAACTCTACCTCTATCGGCTCTTTCTGCAGCATTTCCTGAGTCCTGGCGAAAGTATCGACCCATCAGAGCATCCAAACCCACCATGGTTGGCCACAATATGCGTTCAAGCATGCGAGAATATCATCATGCTATGCGAGGACATGTATAGGCAAGGTCTTCTTAGCGGTGGCAACTGGCTCGTATCTCGTGCCCTCCTGAGCTCCACCCATACTCTATTTTACGTCGTTTTGACATCGAGTGGGACCCGCCCGTACCGATCGATTTCTAGATGCTTGGCATTAGGGAGGAAGGTTTCTGACCGTCTCGCCAAGCGGAATATTCCAGCTCACCGATGGAAAGTAATGATGACGGTGAGTTAGTACACTGGGATTTTGCAGGCGCCTTTGTTGCTAATTACTTGCTAGGTCATGATTGCCACCCTACCAAGTAGTGCTCGTCACATTAAAGAGCGGCTTCTTGAATTAGAAACTAAACTTCCAGATATTTCTGTATTTCAAGCGGAACAGAAAGACCCGGATGAGTCTTATACAAAGTCCCTGGGACAACAAACATTGAGCCCTCTGCACAGCAATAGCTCTACCGTGGAGAAATCACGATGGCTTTCACCTCATCTACTTGAAGCTCTGGGCTATGAGTATGCCGAAAAGGATGGTTGTCTGTCGCCCTCATGGAGGATTATCCCCCGTCCGCAGCCTGTTATGACCGACGAGACGCAAGAGTCGTCCGATAACACCCTGCAACTTGATGGCATTGAAAATTATTTATTTGATGGAAGCGGCGAGTCTGATAATTATGTGGAGAACCAGGCAATGCCTCTTGGAGCCGGTGAATTGGACTTGGGGAATTTAGAGGACTTCCTCGACCTCCAAAACTTGTTGTAAAGAATTGCAGAAACATGTGATCTCTTCCTCATCAAGGTAATTTATATCAATAGAAAATATTGAATTGGGAGAAATCCTGCTGTAGTTCTTGCAAACCGCTGAGTTCCGTAAAAGAATAAGAAAGTCCTAGACTATGTATAAACTCTTGCTCAAAACGTATCGCAGCCAAAAAGGGCATCTGAGACGGAAGTTTGTGGCAATTAGCGCTAACCCGAATTACGGAATTTAGAATTACCCGAAGACCGTAAATTTGGCAGCGATCGTTCCAGTGGCTTAGACCGACCAATAATATCGAACATTCAAACACAGCGCTAACCTCATAGACGGCTTTGTGCTTGAAATCTCCGAAATGCATATTGAAAGTTAGAAACACAAGATCGAAAACTCAGCTAGCTGCAAGAGATCTCTCACCCTCGAATTGCAATATAAAAAAACATACTTCTCTTCATTTCTACCTCCAGATTATTTTCGTTTTCGCCCTGTACATTCGACCATACGTTGACAAGAGCTTGGCAAGCATAACAGCCATGGTTCGTCAAGATAAAAACGATGATGTTTGTGACCAGGACCTTTCCAGAATTTACTACCAATTCTAAGCTAACTATATCTTTAAGTTCTTAATGGACTTATCGAAAGGTATTGTCGGTTGGGCAGACCACAAAGACCCTCAAAATCCAAGGTCAGTGAAGAATTTAAGATGGGAGGTGCATAAAGCTAATTCAGAACTCAGAAATTATGCTCCTTCGCGCAAATGGTTTCTTCTCAGCTTAGTTAGCCTTGTGACTTTAATCAGGTATTATTCCCCTATCTATACAATGTATCCAATCGAGAATGTTGCATCTAACCTTTTCCCGGAGCCCTTTCGCCTCCTCGGTTTTCTCACCCGCCGCTTCATTTGCCGCAAAGGAGTTCAATGAGACCTCGTCAATTTTGACTACTTTGACAGTAACAAGCTATCTTTTTGGCTACGCTGTATGTGACCTCTTCTTCAAACCATCAAGCAACCAAAATTGACAGAGCCAAGGTAGGGCCACTCGTACTATCGCCACTAAGTGAACTATACGGACGCCAAATTGTTTTAAACTCCGCGACATCGTTTTTCGTTCTCTTCCAAATAGGGTGCGCTCTTGCACCCAACACGTCGGCTTTAATCGTATTCCGAGCACTCACTGGCATGGGCGGATCGGCCTGCCTGACTACTGGCGGCGGAGTTGTGGCGGACCTGTTCGTACCAGAGCAGCGCGGACTTGCAATGTCTTTCTATGGCTTTGGTCCCCTATTTGGACCGGTCCTTGGACCTGTTTGCGGTGGTTTTATTGCCCAGAATGCTGGATGGAGATGGGTAAGTAGTCTGAGCCAATAATCAGAACTAATTATTAATTCCTTTTTAGGTCTTTTGGACCCTTACCATCGCTAGTGGCACTTTTACAACGTTTGTCATCATCTTCAACCGAGAAACGAACCCAGTCATACTTATGGAGCGAAAAACCAAAAGGCTACGAGTGGAGCTCGGTCTACCTGAGCTCCGAAGCTGCTACGACAAGGACAAAAGCGAAAATGCCAGTAAGATCGGTACTCTTCTGATCAGGTTGAGGACTCCTCTCTATCTTCTCATCCGCTCACCGATTGTCCTGATCATCGCCATTTACATCGCAATTGTATATGGATGCCTATATCTTCTATTCACAACTGTCACCGATGTGTTTCAAAACACGTACCACTGGGGAATCGGCATTAGCGGATTGTCATATCTTGGACTGGGACTCGGATTCATCACGGGTCAGCTTGTCTTCGGCCTTGTCAGCGACAAATTAATTATCCGACAGACAGCACGCAATAACGATGTCTTTGAACCCGAAATGCGGCTGCCCCTTTGCATTTTATATGCTCTTGCTGTCCCCATCTCGTTCTTCTGGTACGGTTGGGCGGTGAATGCCCCTACGCACTGGATCGTGCCTATCATTGGCCTTTTTCCATTCGGCTTTGGCATGGTTGGAATTTTCGGAACGCTGCAGACCTATGTAATTGACTCTTATCCTCGATATGCGGCGTCGGGGATTGCGGCAATTACGGTCACGCGGTCCCTCTTTGGGGCACTGCTGCCATTAGCAGGTCCATATATGTATGATGCTCTTGGATATGGCTGGGGCAATTCTCTTTTGGGATTTGTTACTATTGCCATGCTTCCCATGCCCGTGATCTTTCATCGATTCGGCCGTTCTCTCCGGGAAAGGAATCTAGAGAGTTTCAAATAGAATGTGCTTTTAGTTAGAATGGAATAAATATTACCTTTGAGAAAAATGGACATGTACTTTATATATGATCTGTAGTTTTCAGGAGACGGACCCTGCTATTGAGCGGATGAATTTTCTAGCCTACAATTCAGTTTGTATACTCATGATAATTGAAGAAAATCACCCTTGTGATGATCACTCCACGAATCTTGGTCTCGACTGGAACTTGGGGCCAATCTTTCTCTCTCTACTGATAGCTACTACATCATTATTGCACATGACTTTCTGACCACACATAATTTATGAGGCTGACACCGTCGTATATTCAGAAATCAGAACGTGTTCGACTCTTCTCCGGATGCTTCGACTCGGCGTGGCGCCTGACAAAACGGGCACAAATCAGTGCCTCAGACTGTGAATCCGACCGCCTTTGCGAGTCTGGACTGCCAAGACCGGCCGGGGCCAACTGCCACCGCCTTCCGAGTTTTTTTTTTTTTTACTCGTTATCGTCGCGCAGAAATCAGAGGTCGACATCGAGTCAAGCAACCTGCCAAGATGGTGTCCTCTACTGCCCTCACAACCAAGGTGGCCTCTGGCTCGCCTTACCAACTGGACCAGCCTCAGGTTAGTCGCGATGATTCACTGAACTTAACTTCAAGTTCGCCAACTAATCTCTGCGCAGGTCGTCAAAGCTTCCTCCGCATTGCTGCGCCATATCAAGTCGAGTCAGGATGAGAAGGAAAAGTCTGCGACTAAGAAGACCCTGATTGGCGATAACGATTCGGATGATGAGGAGACCGCAGTTAACAACGAGGCCGTCTGGCTCCTTCTCACCACCAAGCAGCACGTCGTGGACAAGAACCGCCTGAAGCCTGGCAAAATCAGCATTCCCCACTCCCTCAACACCTCGCCCTCCCTCAGCATCTGTGTGATTACTGCCGACCCGCAGCGCGGTTTCAAAGATATTGTCGCCGATCCCTCCTTCCCCCAAGAATTATCCTCGCGCATTGAGAAGGTGATCGGCTTCTCGAAGCTGAAGGCTCGCTACCACAGTTTCGAAAGCCGCCGCCAATTGTTCTCCGAGTACGACGTCTTCCTGGCTGATGACCGCATCATCACCCGCCTGATTCCTACGCTCGGAAAGACATTTTACAAGTCAAGCAAGCGCCCGATCCCTATTCGCATCGCCCAGATTGAGAAGGTCGATGGCAAGCGCGTCAAGAAGGACCCCAAGCAGAAGCCCTCCAAGGAGGAGAAGAGCGCATCTTTTGCCGCTCCTCTAATTGTCGCTAAGGAGATTGAACGCACCTTGCACTGTGCCCCTGTTCAGCTTGCACCCTCCACCTCGTCCGCCATCCGCGTCGGCTCGTCCAAGTTCACCGCCGAGCAGCTGTCCGAGAACATCGCTGCCGTTGTCAAGGGCATGACCGAGAAGTTTGTTTCCAAGGGATGGAGGAACATCAAGGCGATTCACGTTAAGGGCGCTAACACTATGGCTCTTCCGATTTGGCTGGCCAATGAGCTGTGGGTGGAGGATGGTGATGTGGTGGAGGTTGATGAGACCGCCGCAATTGAGGATGGCGCGAAGAGCAAGAAGCGCAAGTCTATTGGTGACGAGAAGCTCCTTGAGAGCAAGACTTCCAAGAAGTCTAAGCCTGCTGAGGATGATGATGAGGCCGAGTCTGCCGCCGCGCGGAAAGAGAAGCTCCAGAAGCTCAAGGCCAAGGCTCTCGAAGACGGTGAACCAACCAAGGTTGACGCCGCAAAAGCGGGCAAGAAGAAGAGAAAGTCGACTTCATGAGCGAGGTCTAGTTTTTGCCTATTTATAATGTTCCCTGCATGTAAAGGTATTCTCGGCGTACAAAATATCACGTGTCAATTTCTTTTTCACAATATCTTCTTTTCACCAAGAGTCGTATGCTTGGAGATGTTTGTCTGAGGAATTATAGTAAATGCCGTCGTAGATCGATCAACAAAGACATTACCTCTGCGTCATAGTCCAGCTGTTGATCAGCCTATATGCTGCCTGCATTAACCGAGTCCGACCTCGGGAGGGCGGGTCTTGGCATCCCGACGATAACCACATCCTCACATCACCGCGGATCGCCGAGACTCAAACCCTCCCCTCTCCAGCCTCCGTGGGAGAAACAACACCAGTTTCACTGTCACCACGATATTCACGATGATTCCAATTGCTCGAAACTCCGTCCTGCGGGCTGCCCGCTCCCAGATTTACCCTGCCCGCTCTTTGAGCTCGACCTCGGCGCTTGCCCGTCTCCTCTCGACCCTCGCAGTTCTCGAGCAGCGCGACGGTAAGCTGCAGAACTCGTCGCTCTCTGCAATCGCGGCTGCACAGAAGCTCGGTGGCCCTGTAACGGCATTCCTAGCTGGTACCGGTGTCAAGGGTACCTCCGCTGCCGAGGCGGCGAAGATCCAGGGCCTTGACAAAGTTGTTGCCGTGGAAAATGATGCTTATGAGAAGGTATGAATGGGATTTATGTCACCTTCTACCACTGCTTTTCTTGCTAAAAAACGCAATTTCTTTGCTACTGTGCAGGGTCTTCCCGAAAACTACGCTCCTCTTCTCGTCGAAAACATCAAGAAGGGCGAATACACTCACATTGTCGCAGGCCACTCGGCCTTTGGCAAGAGCCTTCTGCCCCGAGTTGCTGCTCTCCTTGATGTTCAGCAAGTGTCGGACATCACCGGTATCGAGAGTGAGGACAGTACGTACCATATCGTAACCGAACAAAATTTGGCATGTGATTATGTCCCATAAACTAACCAAGAATATGTATGTAGCTTTCGTCCGCCCCATCTACGCCGGTAACGCCATTTTGACCGTCCAATCTACCGACAATATCAAGGTGATCACTGTGCGAGGCACCGCTTTCCAGGGTGTGGAGACCGAGGGTGGCTCCGCAGAGATCGTTGATGGCGTTGACTCCAACGCTCCAGCCCAGACTGAATGGGTGTCCGAGGAGCTGGCCAAGTCCGAGCGCCCGGATCTTGCCACCGCTACCCGTGTTGTTTCCGGCGGCCGTGGTCTGAAGTCGAAGGAGGAGTTTGACCGCATCATGATGCCCTTGGCTGACTCGCTTGGTGCTGCCATTGGTGCCTCCCGTGCCGCCGTTGACAGCGGCTTCGCTGATAACAGCTTGCAAGTTGGCCAGACCGGCAAGAACGTTGCCCCCCAGTTGTATCTTTGCGCTGGTATTTCTGGTGCCATCCAGCACTTGGCTGGTATGAAGGACAGCAAGGTCATCGCTGCCATCAACAAGGACCCAGACGCGCCGATCTTCCAGGTTGCTGACGTTGGTCTTGTTGGCGATCTGTTTGAGAAGGTCCCTGAGCTGACCGAGAAGGTGAAGAGCGCTTAGAGGAAAAGCAAGTTTGAGATGGAATGATCTTGGAGTTTTATTTTGCCACGACCTATGGAGCAGGTTGCGCATTTTTGTTTGAATAAATGAACCGTACAGTATACCACCTTAGAGAACTGGTGCCTGGCCTTATGCCAAGTCAGTTTGCAATACAACATCTATAACTACAATTTTTCGGTTCTGAGCGAGATATTTGGGCGGTTAGCAAACTGACCGGGGAGAGAAAAAAAAACAATATAACGAAAGAATGGCCTAATATGAAAGTTGAAACGAATTGTATAAAAAAAAAGCAATAAGAAAACACAGTGAAAGAATTAAAGATAGACAAACGATCGCAGAAATAACGAATAGAAGGAAATATTGAGTTCTATGACAGTGTTAGTCAAGTATACGCAAGCCTCAGTACGTCTTATGTTGCCCCCGAAGCCCGTTTTCCCTTGGGCACGCGTGCCAGCCAGTAGATGAAAACCGCCCCCGCAATATTGAAAGCAATATAGGCCCACATCAGCCCGAAGTTCCTCCATGCATCATCGAAATTGCTCCCGATTTGTGCAAGAAATGAATCTGTCTCGCTGACTGAGCAGAAGGAACAGTCCGATGTTGCCTGTGGATTTTCCACATAGCCTGCCATGACACTCTTGATGTACGGGTCCAGATACTCGCCACAAGTTTGATTGCCAGGGGGGTTGAAGGTTAAATACTCGACCTTCTCACAGTGCGCGGCGGCTCCCGAAAGGCCTGTTGATAGCATCGCTGATACAAGATAGGTGAAGGGGGAAACGCGGTACATGAAAACCCAGAATCCGGGGAGACCATCTTTAGTTTGTAGAACACCACAGAAGATCAAACACAGCGAGAAAAGCATCGTTGCAATGTTGCCTCCCGTTTCGGCGAGTTCGATACCCGCAATCACCATATGCGCGAAAGTAGACGTGAAAAGAAGGAAGGTCAAAATCAGAAGGAACATAAGACCACCTTTCTCGGTCACTGAATCGGTCTGCTTCGCATTGTTGTATAGGCCGATCGGGTAATACCAACAGAAATAGATGATGGCGGCCATCAAAGCATTCCATGGGATTTCAACCAGGATATTGGAGCACATAAAGGCCTTCCATGAGTATGCTTTCGAAGGACGTTCCCGTACTTCATACAGGGATCTCTGGGTAACAAAATTAGGCATGATTTGTTGAACCAGATTGCCAAAAATTGTCATCAACATAAAGACACTGAACATTTGGTTCTGTAGTCCTTGGATGGAGTTGCTGGCTTGGAAAAATGAAAACCCAATATAGAGAGATGTCAAAACACACAGCGCCGCTTTCGACCAGATATAGGTCGGGGTTCGGAAGTATTGAGCAAAGACCCGAACAAGACACTCATAGAGCTGAATATGGAATGGTGCCGCGAACTCATTATATGCACCAGCAGCAGCATTTTCTCGGGGGCTCGTCGCTAGTGTTCGTTTGAGATCTGCCAAATGTTCCTTGACCTTGGTATGCTCTGCGCTTTCTCGCCAGACCACAGGCCAGTCGACATCGCTATGGGAGCCAGGTGCTGCTCCGATCACTTCCAGCATCCACTCGGCCGGATTCTCCCCAGGGGTAAGTGCCTTCGCTCCATTGCGCTCAAAGTAGTCCGACATGGTTTTCGAATTCTCGCCAATCTCACCGAAGTAAATGGTTTTCCCGCCCTTAGCTAAGAAGAGCAGCCGGTCGAACCGTTGGAACAACATGGCAGATGGTTGATGGATAGTGCAAAGAATTGCCTGGCCATGTCTTGTCAAAGTATCAATTAAATCCAGGATAGACCAGGAAGTTTGACTATCCAAACCACTTGTCGGTTCATCGAGGAACAGCAGAAGCTGGGGCTTAGCAGCGAGTTCAACGCCTATCGTCAAGCGTTTGCGCTGTTCGACATTCAATCCCTCTCCTGGTACTCCAACTACTGCATCGGCGTAGCCTTCCATGCCCAAGAGCTTGATCACTTCATCAACATAGGCGATCTTCTCCTTGCGGCTTGTTGATGCAGGCTGTCGTAAAACAGCGCTAAACTCCAAGGCTTCTCTGACGGTCGACGTAGGGAGATGTAGATCTTGTTGCTGAACATAACCAGTTTTGCGTTGGAAGGATTGATCGCGTAGCTGTCCATCAACTAGCATTTCGCCTGTGACAACTCCCATTGTCACGCGTGTAGCAAGAACATCAAGTAATGTTGTCTTTCCAGCTCCCGAGACTCCCATCAACGCAGTACAAGTTCCTGGTTTCACCCATCCATCAACATGATCCAAGATCCGCCGGGGCTCCCCTTTGATTTTGATATCATAACACACATCCTGCCAGTGAAAGATTGAGGTTTGACGTTGAATTCCGGAGGCTTGAGGAACAGACTCCTGAGTCTTTTCGCTACCACTGACGGGAGATGATCTCTCTAAATCGAAGTCCATAATGGGTAGTCTGTGACCGCGTCGGAACAGAAGAACTTCTCCCTTGGACTTCTGCTCGGAGATATATTCCGTTCCGACAAGATAGGTGAAGGCGAAAAAGACCATAAAGGCTATAAGGATTCCCATGTTTCTCCACAGATGGCCTTTGGCATACTGAAAGCTCAATTCGAGGTAAAGAGACCCCGATACATGGTCTGACCCGGACTCTGCACCGACAGTGGAGCAAATACGGTGATCCATTGACATACCGTTGTAAGTCCCACCTGACGGCACGATCGATGAGCAGGGAAATGTCCGATCGTGAAACTCGTTGACCATAAAACTTTCGAAGGAGTAGGCAATAGGATTGATATAGTTCATCCATCGTGACCAACCTAACATATTGCGCGTTGGAATAGTAAAACCAGTATAGATGACCATGCCGAGAATCAGAATTGCCGCGGGGACTAGGGCTTGCGATAAAGATCTCGATGTAGCTGCAATAGTCCGGAACACCATCGACATTGTGAAAGTAGTGACGACAGAAAAAATCCAAAATGTAAAGAAAGCGCCCGGCTCTCGACGCAGATTCGTCATGAAGTATAAGACAATGTTGAAAGTGACAGAGTTAATTAGTTTGTAAGGAACGTCGCATAGCATTGACGCAATAGCCTCAGCAAACGGATGATAGAATGCGTATCTAGCTTGCTTCTCAACTATTGGACGCTGAGCATATAGCGTAAGTATCTCTAAGGCGCTAGAAAACGCATTCAGCAGGACAGCAAAGAAGAGAAGAGCGCCACGAGAGTAGAAGCTTGCAGTCGTTTCAGGCAAGTTGAAGAAGACAGAACCGATAATAAGCGCCATGATGAAGTTGCCAATCAGAGCAGTTGCAGTCAGACTAAAGTCGCCCTGAAGTCGTTGGAAGCCGCGAATAACACATATCTTAATTTGATTCCGCATAGAGATAGTGTAAGGCGAACCGGCTCGCTGGTGTTTCGCCTGTACGGCTCGACGAGCAGTGACAAAAGTATCATATGAGGATCCCCCTATAGGATGCGCTCCCTCATATTCTTCAATTTCTTTCAACAGTTGAGTTCGGGCGCTGCTGTTCTTCCAAGCTGCTGCAAAGTCATTTGGTGTTCGAGGCACTAGGCCTTCAAACCCGCTGCGAACCTGTCTCTCCGATGGGCTTGTGATCGATGTAAGGAAATCTGCGGTCGTTTGGCGTTCCGGACAATGGAATCCCATGTCGACAAAATATTGTTTGGCTTCATTTGTTGGGCCAAAATAGATTTGCTGCCCTTCGTAGAGCAAAGTGACTTTGTCAAATACGTCGTATGCGTTCTGAGACGCTTGATAAATCGCAACGCAGGCAGTTGTTCCGGAATATTTGCTCATCAGCGCCAAATTCTTGCAAAATTCCAGAGCATTTGCGCTATCAAGACCTCGAGTACTGTTGTCCCAGCATTGTAGAGGGCTTTGGCTCAATGTGGCTTCAGCAATGCTGACGCGCTTTCGCTCGCCTCCACTAACACCACGAATAAAATCATTTCCAACACGCGTATTGATAGTATGGGAAAGACCAAGCATTGCCATCACCACATCTCTCATGTGTTGTGCATACTGCTCGGTAGTGACACCTTCTACCCGATTGCGTGGTGCTCTTGCTAGGGCAGCGAAATTAAGTGTGTCTCCAACAGAGAGTTGAGGGAAATGAATATCGGTCTCCGCAGTGTAGATTGCTTCACCTTTGAAGTTCTTCTGCATTTGCTTTGCCGTGATTCCTAGATTGAGACACACTTCATGTTAGAAATCTGATCGAATTATAATTGGCTGCCATCGACACGAACCTTCATAGTTCATGACGGAGTCATTTGACATCTCAATACCGCTCATTTCGCCCGCAATGGTTTTAAGAAGTGTTGAGCATCCAGAACCCGGTTTCCCCAGAACAACAAGCATTTCTCCGCTTCTTACTAGACCATCAAATTCGTGAAGAATCTGAATCCTCTGCATCTTGACGCCCGCCAAGCGTCGCGCTATGGTCCCAATTTCAAACAAGCAATTTAGAACATCCTTCTGATAATCAGTCGGAGTTCCAAACCCGTGAACGCTCAGATTCTTGAAAGCTATACCGGCCACCCGATTTGGATATCTTTCAGGGTCCCGAGAGCGAATTGCTAGGAGCATCTTCATCCAATCGCGGACTTTGAAGTTTGGACTATGTGGGTTGATGGATGAGTCGGAATCAGCAGCGGTGAACGGATTCTCCAGGCTACTCTTAATAGAGAATCGAGTAGATTGTCTAGTGAGCTGCCGCGCGAGAGCTCCCACCCGTGCCTCTAGCTTCTCTTCATCATCTTGCAGAGTCAACCCGTCCTCACTTTTTTCTTGATCATTGTTTTGGCTGCGCTCGGTTACCGAGTCCTGTTGTGCTGACAGAGTAATATTGTGGCTCACCACGGACTGGGACCGATTAAGATTTGGATTAATAGTTCCTAGGAGTGACATGGTATGCTAAATCAACCTCGCACTACTAGCAACACAAAGGTTTATGATTAGCTTATTTGAAGAAATTGGTCCAAGAAGACATACCTATATCCATCACCCAAGGAACCAGGCCTTATGAGAAGTAAAGCTGAGTGATGGCAATGATAAGTTGACCTCTACAAGAAAAAGGGGAAAGGCTGATTCAAATATCAAACAATGTGCTGACTTTAGGCAGCTTCGGATCGGTAAAATCTTGACAACATCCCGGATCGAAGTGACGAACGTGGCTTTAGCATAATGGGAATTTAGGGACATAAGGGCCGGGGCACAATAGAGCAAGAATACAGAAAGGCTAAAATTAAGGAGGGAACTCCCGGCGGACCGACAAGGATATTTAATCTGGAATCCGATGTCCATGTATCATAATCAATTAAGAAAACAGAAGAGTTATATTATGGTAACTCCGGATACCGAGATCCATGCCTGGGCATTCGGACCAGAAGCAATCCGACGGCCTTGGTAATTTTCAAGAAGAAGTTGAACTCACAAACAAACATTCGTTCTCAAATGACAATTTCATTTATCTCCAAATTTGACTTGTATTTCAGAATAACTTTACAGATAATGGTTTCTTTTTATTAATCAATACTTGGCTTCGTAAATGGTTGAACATAGCACGCTTGCATTTTAGTTTATACAGCTCCTTTGATTGAAACGATCTCATCCCTCTTCGGGGGTGAGGATGGGCAGACTAGTGCATGAACTCTATCGGCCACAGAGCGGGCCGTGATATCAGGAAATCGTTGCCAAGCGTACGGTCTCGATACAAGCGGAGCCGAGTCTAAAAGAACCTCCGGCATCCGAGAATTGAGATTTGTGGAGTTTGATTGGTTTCTAGAGCTTCCCGAGGGTATTACGCGACGCACAATACGTCCCGATACACTGTGGAAAGATTGATCACACATGCTCACGGTCGGTTGCCCAGGAAAATTCGAGATATTCCTCTGAAAAGGGAACGGGACTCGAGGATTCCGAGTTTCTAATAGTATAGTTCTTGATAATTGTCTGACGAAAAAGTCCCTGACTCCGACGAAAATCTAGACAGCCTACCTTTGGACAAAAGGTCAAGGGACGATTTACCCCTAATCCGATCTGTACTGTACCTTTCATGCCCGGGGTATACCTTTGACTGCCTCGAAATATCTTTGTGCTTTTCCAGATATATTGATATTCCTTGTTTCATGGGATTTTTCGTTCTTTTTCCGAAATCGAACTCATTTCCCGAGCCAGCTGTTAATGGATTCAAAGTATGGGCTGTGACAATGGCTGCGAATTCGAAAATGCCGCAATTATGCCCGCGAAAAGGGTTGCAGGAGACCCACGATACTGCCATGTTCGTATCAGAGCAGGTTGACGTGCGATGGCAGAGAGGCAAAGTGGGTTTGTTCCCCGGATCCGACCCCTCACATATCCACTCACTGTATCAGGCATGCCAGGAGTGTCATCGCAGAAAGACGAAATGCGATATGACCACTAAAAACAGATGCACACATTGCATCAAACTAGGCATAAAATGCTCAGTCAATGAGTATCGTCGTCACCGTAAGCGCGAAAGGTGAGAGAGCACTCTCAAACTCACGTTATTCCTAAGTACCAACCGCGTGAGTAGACGGAGTAAGATTGATCGCCTGGAAACAAATATCGGAAGACTGGAAGGTGTGTTTGAGAGCCTGGGTTTCAATCTCAATGATAAAACATCAATATGTCCTCAACAGACCACCCAGATGCATGCACTTGCGGAACCCGATACCTCTCTGGTACAGAGTGGTGTTGATTCCGGGTGGGACGCGATGAGCGAGTCGGATGTCGAGGATTCTCGCCCCTTCATAGAACCATCATCAATGTCACCGGACCCAACTTCCAATATAATTCATATCGATTATGAGTCAGACTGCCAAAACAACTTTTTTTTGGGCAATCTAGTCTTTCCACATCTTCCACAGTGTTTGGTGGATACGGCAAAAATCGGAGACGCAGACCTTTACCCACTGTCTGAAGCGGCTAGGAGATGGATTGGCACAAGGCTAGGGAATAAATCACTAATGGAAGTAGCCCCGCTCTTATCTACTGAGGTATCTCCAAATAACCCAGCGCTCGATACACCCAAGGGTCTATTTCCTCGGGAAAACTTCTGCGATACGCCGGGCAAGGCAGAGACTAAGATGCTATTCATGACCTTCTTGAATAATTTCAATACCATTTGCCCCATTTTTGACACCATGTCCTTATTGACTTTGTGTGATGATAGTCCAACCTATCTATCTGATGATCCAGGCCGCTGGGCCTGCGCAAACGTCGTTCTTGCACTCGGACACATGTTACTTGTAAAAAGAGACAGCAACACCCAGATCGATGATCATTATCAAAAGAGCTGGATTTTCATGAAGAATGCCCTGTTTGTTGTGAATGAGCTTTGTCTTGGCCACTCGACACTCTGGACAGCCCAAGCGCTTCTTGGAATGGTAAGACGTTCTTAGATCTCACTACCTCAGTCTCTGACTAAAATTTATAGGCAATCTTTCTGCTTGGGACCTTGAGCAACCAACCATGCAGCTATTTGGTGACCTCAGCGCTTCGCATTAGTTACGATCTAGCGACAGAAATACCCGACACCCCACCACTAGGATGGAAAGAAGAGATGCAGCAGCGACGTACAGTTTTTTGGATTGCTTACTGCTTAGACAGAGAGTGAGTTTTTCCAGATTCCATATTGAAGGCACGTACGCCAGCTTATTCAAATCCTAGTATGTGTTTACGTTTTGGTAGCCCTTTGGCGCAAAATGACGAGGATATCAACATTGATATTCCTTCTTGGCCATCTGAGAATCTGGCATATGCGACATCAAAAGAGGGAAACACAGGATTCAGTGCTTTCAAGTCATACTGTGAACTCTCTGTCATCAAGGGCAAAGTTCACAAACATCTTTACTCGGTGACTAGGACCGAAAAGCCAACTTCTGAATTCAATAGCTCGGTTATCATGCTAGACCGGAAGCTTCAGAAGTGGAAGGAGAGCCTACCCAAAGAGTATCGACCTAGCGTTAAAACTACACCCACTTTTCCAAAGTCATTAGTGTCTGTCATTCTTCTCAATCTGCATTTTTCATATTTTTATTGCATAATGGCTGTGCATCGCATGGTCACTCTCCAGAACCTGGATATCAATATCCAGCTCGCCAAGTCATATTGTTACGGGTCTCTTCCTGATGATCTTGCTATACTCTCTGGCTCACTCTGCCAGGATGCCGCGAGGGCATCAATTCGATTGATTAAATATATACCTAACAGCAATATGTCCATCACTGGGTAAGCAGAGCCCCTGAGGTCTCCAAGTATTATTTGTTCACTGATGAATTCATGTCTTTCAGTATCCTGCTTCACTATCTTATTGCAGCATCCTCGTTCTTATCTACAAGTATCATACAGAATTCTCGCTTTGCATCCCACGCGTGGGACATAATGCTTATTACTCAGGTGGAAAATTTCATGTCTTCTCTGATTTTGGACACGCCTAATGAAGGCATGAAAAGGCTTGTCGGGCACTGCGCCACATATCGCTCTCTAGCCGAAAAAGCTGCGCAGAAAAATGTCAAAAATTGAATTATGATGTTTGCATAGTGCGCTTTTCCTGTAATCCTGCCATTACACCTCAACGTACCTAAGCGGGCCCTCTACGGCAAGCCTGACATGCAGGCAGGATAAAATGGATCAAAAATAAGCCATCAGACCACCACACACCACGACGAAGGGCGGCCTCCCAAAAAGGAATCAGACACTGCCTGAGCGAAAAGAGTATGGAAGTGATGTTTCTTCCAGTCAGAGATGTGGAGCTATAGTTGTGAAGACTGTGTACAATGAAATATATCATCCAATCTGTGGGCATCTCGATGCTTCGCTGACCTCATCATCGCTGGCTCCATTCTGGATAGCTTCGGTGATTTTCCGATTCCGAAGGGAGTCATCAAGAACTGCGATATCAATAGGTTATCGGCCGAAAGGTTCTTATTATTCTTATTTTAGTTATCTGGGAGATAGAGACTATATCTGTCATGACCGTACACAATATCAAATTCGCAAATTGGAGCATTTGCTGAGTTGGCAGGTTCCATTTTATAATATATAGCTATTTTTCTGAGGTCTAATTTTGAGCAACGAATTTGTTTGTTGAAGGGAGGTCAGCTAGAGGTAGGTCCATGATAAAGAATATGGGCTTACTAAAATCTAGGGGTCATACAGGAGTGCCTGTTTACCGGTTAACTTGACCCATCGCGAGTTGGATTATGAACCACAGCCTACTGGGCTGGGTACTTTGGTGGAGGGCGACGCTCAAATTATACTCGCCATTAATTTGGTGGCCTTAGGATTTTGATGTCAATATCAGGTTTCAAGAGAGATAACCACGGCTTCATCTAGATTGAGAGCAACGAGTAATGCTGTTTCTGAGATAAGGTGAGTGTGTTGTCGTAGCGATCGCGCGGTGGAGGATGAGTCACTCATTGAGCGTCTAAACGGGCTTCTCAGCCTGTCTATTGCGCACTCACCTTTCTTACCCCGGTCGCACGACGGGAAAGCCGCGCTCGTTTTATTCTCACCTGGAGTATCTACCATCCTTCAGTCTACTTGATTCTGCTCATAGACGAGTCTGATACATACGACCACAGGGTGTGGAGAAAAGGGCTTCCCGTCCGCTCAGCCGTACTTAAACCACATACTAAACGCGGTCAATACTCATAGAGCCCCGGACCTTAAAACAGCGTCGAAATTTCTGTTAGGGTGAGTGCGAGTGTGTTAGAGAATAACTACTTATACAGAGTAGTAAGCCTGTCGATTAAGTGGGAAGATAGACGTCAAGTAAGTAAGGCAAATAACTGTTTCTTGCTATCTTGGATCTCTCCATAATCCTCAATTTATATACGGGCTTTGGTATCTTCCCGCATGACCGGACGGCAGATGATGACGGGCAAGTCAAGGCGGAGCGGAGCGTTGAGCGAGCGACATGCCAGGTGAATCGACTTGATCCATTTATTGCGGCATACTCGCGCGAGAGAAGAATTTGCCTCGAAATAAGATATTTTACCCGAATTTATCTGAACACCTTATAAATACACCTTCGTTGAATCTCAGATATTCCCGGACTCTTAGTATGGCCATAGATTCCTGAACAGCTCCTTTTCTTCTTCATCCTCCGCCAGCCCAATGAAGGTATCTTTGAGCTTCCGACTATTCTCACGGGCCAACTCGTAGTCTTCAGGATCAACCATCCCGTCCACAGGGAGTACAGCTTCCTCTCGGAACAATAACAACATACGCCCGACCCCATTGATGTTTTCCTCTTCCTTGGACTGGAACTTGATATCATCGCTGCAGAAATCGATCGGGCAAGGGGTATTTGGGAAAAACTCGCTCCAGCGAGCTGTGATGTTCATGAGTGCTTCGCGGAGGAAGAATAGGTCTCGATTTTCCCACACTCCGGTCACAAGCCAAACAGGTTTCCGTAGGATAGAGGTTGCCGGTTGCTGGAGCACAGCCCAATGAACAGGTGCTCGCTTATACACCTGCGCCTCGTAGTATTTGTGAATAGTTTCGCTTTCCAAATTATCATCAATCTGCTTTTGCTCGTCTTTACTCAAGCTCTCAAACTCCTCTGGTCGTTCAGGGACGACCCAGCCTTCCCGAACAGGCCCAGGATGCCTACACATCCTAGGAACGCCAGATTGATAAAACAACGGAGCAACGCACGCTGATTGCCAGTCCACGATGCGTGTGATCCGACAAGTATCTGGATCAACGAAGATATTATCCAGGTGAAGGTCCGGATGCCAAAGAACGATAGCAGAGGACGGTTTATCGCTTGGCTGGGGGATAAGATAAGAGGAGACGTTCATATATTTCTCTAAGAGTGAGATACCATCTTCCGGAACTTCTTCGTTCTGGTTCGGCCGGTAATAGTTCTGTCGGGGAACAGCATGTGTCTTGACCCACATCATTTCATTATAGCCGATCGCACGGGTATATTCGAATGCATGTTTCCCTACGCAAGAAAGAGCAAATATTAGAAACAACGGAATAGGAATTCGATAGTTCACCTACTTACAAGGGCCACGGTCTAAATTCATTTCCCTCCTAGTTCCACTCCATAGTTCGTTCGTAGTCAACGGCCCAATAGAAAATCGTTTGAGGATGTCGGATCCACCACTCTGTATATGAATGTCTTCTGCTTCCCCGACAAGTGAGCGCAAGTCTTCTTTGAAATAGATGCAACCGTGCTTGTCAAAGGTAATGCTGGTCAACTTGTTCTCTATGTCAACCACTTGAGTTATTAGTTGTAGCTTCAGCTGCCGAGGCCACCGGTTCCACACAGAACCTAGTCGGACACCAGGGGCCTTCTCCTCAATGATATATTCGGCCTGGACTAAATTTTTCGCTGCATCGGAAGACCAAGACAACACCCGAGGAATGGGAATATCGAATGCATCGCGAAGCTATCTATTTTAGCGTCGTGATAACGGCTAAATGACACCGAACATCTTACCAGCTCACGCGTAGCGACCTCAGAAGCAACCGAAAAATGTGCAGGTCCGGCGTTAGGATTTGGAAGTTTCGCAAAGACTTCTGACCCATTATCCATTTTCAAGATGAAGGCTTTATTATGCAGACCTTCCACGCATTTGGTAATTCTGGTGCCTTAAATGAAGTAAGCGGTTAAATCTCGCTGGTCTCTCGATAGAACGGGAACATACAATACTGGGCCCCATCGCAGACATTAATGGCGATGTCGAGAAGTTGTCGTAAGTTGAATTTCAAATAGCGCTTTTCAAGTTCGCTTTCTTCGTTGGATCTGAATTTAGGCCTAAATGAGCCGCTGTCCAAAGATGACCAACTAATTTGCTTACAGCCATCGATGTCTGGTGTATCGATACAAGTCTTCCTCAGGAATTCTTTGCTCTATAAGAATAACGTCAATTACTCGGCAGGCTTAATTCATGAGATGATACCTGAAAATCTCACCTGGGCCATGCTGTCTTTCTAGATAAAACTCAGGGTTGCGACCGGTTCCCTGAAGTCCATGAGGTCGAAAATGTGAAAAAAATCTCATGCTCTGGAAAAAGTAGGAATTACGAGGCTTCCCATGTATCTTTCGGATACCGACCTCCCAAAGACTCCTGGGGAATCGAATCATCGTCCTCGAGGATGACAGATGTTGTTAGTAGGGCGAGGGTCCGTCAGCCCCAGGAGGTCCTTTTCCGGAAAAACTTAGTTCCGTGGCGTGGTGGGTCTGAATTTTGCACTAACAAGTTCATGTATTTTGTTATGTTATGTCAATATAGTAGGATACGGTATCGGCTAGGAAAGCTAGGATCTAATAGAACGAGATGCTTAATATAGTGATGTATTAGGTGACTAAACTATCTAAGTATGTAGGCGGGGGAATGTTGAATATCCCCTACCTTGCTGTCTAGCGTGTTACGGCGCTAGGTTCCGAGTATACCCGGGATACTATACAAAACACGTAGTAAATCGAGTATCCCTGTAATATCCTGACGCGTATAGAGATATATAGGTCTCGCCCGTATTATATAGTCTTCCTTCTCGATATACCCCCCTAGGGATAGGCGATTTTACAATCTTCTAAATCTTCGATTTCCGGTGTCTCTACGAATCAACCTCTATTTCCTATTTAGGAAATCTTTAACAGCGTTTTAATATCTTCTATCCCGAGCTAGTTAACGAATACTTTATATCGCTACCAGGGAAGGCTCTTAGTAAGGCTATTAGCAATTATATCCTTCGACTCGACCTATCTAACAATAATACGTTATACCTAAACCTCCTACCTTAACTAGTGCTAATAAATATTAATATATCGGAGCTTAGTCTTTAGGAGAGGCGTCTTCTTCGTTAATAGTCCGAGCGTCTACTAGTTATTATAAGTAATAGTAAGTAGATATTAAGGATCGAATCTAATTACTTTATATAGGCGCTTCTATATCGCAATTAAACGAGCGGCTTCCGATATAGTAAGTAGTTCTATGTCATATGATATTGCAACATGAAGCTATTCCCAACTTCACGCCTTAGGTGTTAACTCGACACCTTATCGGTCAGGCTTCGGCATGACAGCCCTACGTCTCCCTAACAAGGATGCATAACCTATAAGACCCTAAGAGTTCGGTGCCCTTCTATTAGGGATTCGTAGACCCCTCTTCTCTGTAGCCTTTGCTTATCTCTAATATATAGGGGCTACGTTAGACCGTATATTATAATATAATCTATCGTCTTTGCTTAGTTATATAGGAAAAGTGTTGAAGCTTGTATATAAATTAAGGATTATAGAGAGATCTATAATAGTAAGAAATAGTGTTTTGCTTTCCTTACTTAACGTTTATCTTCCTACCTAGTCGATAGGCTTTCTACCCTATATAAGTAGTTATTCTCTAACAATTTCTATTTCTTCTATTTTCGATTACCTAGGAAGATAGCGCTAAGAACTCGCTCTACTTCTTCGACGGAAGAAACGGCTAACCCTCTAAGCCTACCTATAGAGTAATAGATAGTACCGACCGACCTTAATACTAGACTCTAAGTAACCTAAGATACTATTAAAAAACTATAGAAGCTTAAAGAACTATAGGAATAAGTAGAGATTCTAAAATCTTAGATTATACTATAGAGTAATTAAGAATCCTCTATAAATCCTAGCCGAAACCTCTACGAATCCTTAGATAGGGAAATTAAATTTAAAGACCTTCTAAAATTTATACTTAATTCCTTACTTTAATAATATTAGGAGTAGCTCCTTAACCTATAATAAATATTTAAAGGAGCCTCTAAGAAATATTATAACGACCGAACTTAGATCCTAGGAGCGATTAGCTATATAGATTAAATATATAGGTAGAGATAGTATCGATATATCGAAGAAAAGGCTCCGACCTCCTAACAAAATATAAAGGAAGATTAGCCCTACTTCGAGAAGTAGACCCTTACTCTAATTAAAAACGCTATAAGCTTAGAATCGGAAATAATAGGATAGCTAGAAAAGGTTTTTTAGCGAAGAGATAAGAATCCTAGAGAGTTCTATATACGACTAGATACTCTCGAATAGTATTTTCTATAGTCGGCTAAGAAAGAAAGAGTACTTTCCTACTTTACTAAGCTATAGTACGACCTATAAATAACTATTCGGCGATACGTAATTAAACTTCTAGAATCCCGCGAAGATATAATTAATATTACCTACTACTTCTAGGATCTAGAAAAATTAGAATAGATACGTAAAAGGAAACGAACCGATAACTTAATAAAACCCTTACGAAAATAATTAATATCTTCTACGGTCTATAAATCTATAGTTAAAAGAGAAGATTCCCGAGATAAGAGAACCTAAAACGATAAATCTAAAGGATTATCTCTACGAGGAAGACTTAATCGTATTAGGGAAGACGGAAAACGAACCTAATATTTTAAATATAGAAGCGAAGAGTACTACTTACCCTACTACCCTAGGACTTAAGACTCTAAACTAGTAATAATTTAGGTAGTATAGTAGGGAAAAGTCCTAGAGACAGAGTAGACTCTACGCCTTTATCTCTATCTCTCTTAGTAGGGACCCGAACTCGATTTTATATTTCGATTACTATCTAAAATAATATCGAAACCTACGCGGATCTAGATAGTAGAGTAGAAGTTAATCTTATTAGCTATATATTCGTTAAAATCTATTAGTTAGAAGCGACTAAGCTTACTAAACCTCTAATTTATATAGTTAACTAATATAGAATACCTACCTATAGCGTATAGAATATCCTACTAACCGCTACCGATTTAAGAGGGATAACCCGCCGATTTAACCGCGTATATATAGCTATTAACCGAGACCTACGACTTAGCGGGAGCCTACTACTCCTATCGATAACTACTATCTACGACCTTAATATCTACCTTATAGGAAGAAGTAGTCTTTAGTAGTTTAGAACCTCTTTAGTTAAGATACTCTCGCCGGAACGATTTAATAAGGTAACTAGGAATTACGTATATATCTTTACTATAGTCAAGATACCTAAAGAAATATAGCTACTAATAGATCGCGACGAAAACGAACCTATACCGGACCCCTACCGACTCCTAAACGAACTTACAGACTTTTATAATATCTTCTCCTTATAGAATTCGAAGACCCTACCTTTATTAAGCGAATACGACTATATAATTAATCTTCTTCCCGATACTAAGATACTATATAGCCCTATCTATCCCTTATCGTAAAAAGAGCTTACAGAACTACGCTAATATATCGACGAAAACCTTAAGAATAGCCGGATCCGCGAATTAAAAAGCCCTATAGGAGCTCTTATCCTATTTATCTCTAAAATAGATAGAGGACTACGCCTTTATATCGACTACTGAGGTCTTAATAAGGTTTCGATTAAGAATTATTACCCTTTACCCCTAATTTCGGAGATTTTAGACCGGCTTACTAGATCGAAGATCTTTAGTAAGATTAATATCTAGGATACTTACTATCGTATCCGTATTAAGGAAGGAGATAAATAGAAAACCGCCTTCTATACACACTATAGGCACTTTAAATATACGGTTATACCTTTCGGCCTAACTAATACGCCTATAACCTTTCAGAATTATATTTATACTATATTATATAGGCTTCTCGACACCTATATAGTAGCCTATCTTGATAATATCTTAGTCTTTTTACCTAACTATACTACGTATATAAATTACCTATAAGAGGTTCTTTAGCGATTACGAGATAGAGGACTATATACGAAACTTAGTAAGTGTATATTCTATACGGAATAAGTTAAATTTCTTAGTTTTGTTATATCCCTAAAAGGTATATCGATAGACTCTAGCCGAGTTACCGATATTATTTTATAGGAATTACTAAAATTATATAGAGATATCTAGGTTTTCCTAGGATTCTATAACTTCTACCGTAGATTTATTAGGGATTACTCCCGTATCGCTCTACCTCTTACTAATCTATTAAAAGGGAGTAAGAATAGGCGAAAACTAGGTTAAGTAAAGCTAAACCTTAACGAAAGGGTAGCGTTTTACCGCCTAATCGCGGCCTTTTAGTTAGTACTACTTCTTCGGTTCTTTAATCCGCTAAAGCCGATAAGGTTAGAAACGGATATATCGAATAGTATAATAGTAGGGATTCTATCCTAATAGGATAACTAAGATATTTAGTATCTAGTAGCTTTTTAGTTATATAAGTTCTCTAGTACTAAAATCCTATATAGGACGCCGGATTAGGAACTATTCGCTATCGTTTATTCGTTTAAATATTAGTAGTACTACCTAGAAGGTAGTACGTTTCCTATTAAAGTATATTTAGATTATACGAATCTATAAGCCTTTATAAAATAAGGAAAACTTAATAGGAGGCAAGCTAGATAGTACTTAAGCCTTACCCCCTTTAACTTTATAATAAAATATCGAGTAGGGAAATATAATCCCGCGGATAGACCTTCTCGGCGATAGCTACCGAGTAACCTTATAGAGGTTAACCTAATTTCGCTATTAAGCTAATAATTAGCTAGCGAAGTATAGACGACTAATTACCGTACTACTAGGGTCTAGTCGTTGACTATAAAGAAACTT